ACGAGACGAGCTCAGTGCAATTGACGTCGCGATGGATCAACGTGCTATGCAACGAGACGAGCTCAGCGCAATTGACGTCGTGGTGGACCAACTTTGATTGATAGAGTACGGAGTAGCCGTGGCCTTCGACTAAAATATTCGTTCCTCATACACGAGCAAGCTCGTGGTCACCCCAACGTGAAACCGACCCCAACGCGAATCACGTGCATATTCTCGGCCGAATCAAGCCGATTTCTCCGAACACTGTAAAACAGCCATTTCCTTACTAAAATCAAGGTCTTAGTGGGCTTTGGGAGAATGGAACTAGTCTAATTTCATTGGCGATCCTGCGACCACAATGTCAGTGCCCGACTATGATATCTGTAACCATGAAGACCGATGTGCGCGCAACAACAAGTGCCAAAACGAAGGATGCGAACGTTGTGCATGCTTTTGTGCATGGGGCGCTGCACAAAATCTCAAAGCTCGGCAACGCCAAAACCAAAAGATTTCAACCACTCAGTTGTAAGACCATCAACAGATGACAACAAGCAAAAACAGAGCTCTCCCGGACAGGCTTGAACTGTCAACCTCTCGATAGCCAGAGCAATGAAGATCTTAACAGTCGAACGCGCTAGCCAATTGCGCCACGGAAGATGTGAGAACTGTGTTCTCTGTGGCTGTTGGGATGAGAGAAATGCGGGTCTGGGGTCAATATGAAGCCTGCCGTGAACGTGGCCTGACCAAGGCTGCACAGACGGCACCCAATTGATTTGTTCCGAGACTTGAATCGAACGGCCCAAGCCTTATCCTGCAAGCTCTCCTTACTCGAGTATGTCCACTGGCATCTGTTGTGGGTGCCTCAATCTTCTCGGAGAACCGGCTTGATCCTTCTGGGTAAAACCGAGATATCTAAAGGGCCATGCAGTGAAATCTCGATGGATCTGGCTCGTGTATCTTGTGAATGAGTCCTCGCTCTTTCGTGCTACGCAACCAAGAAGGGCAAGCCCGCAGTGATCTTGCAGTAATAAAGTAAAGGAAGAAGAGTGGTTGGTTACACGACTTACATTGTGTTTAGCGGACCAAGTTCCTTGACGCTGGTCTGTATAACAGACTCGACCTGTGAAAGATCCGAGACGTCGCCGACGGCACCTACGGCATTGACGCCGGTTGATTTGACTTGGTTGACGACATCATCGATACCCTGCTTGTTGGCTTCGACATCGTTGATGCATAGATCGTAGCCATCCTGGGCGAGACGAAGAGCAATTGCCTTGCCGCTACCAACAATGTCAGCATCGAACATTGGGTAGGTCAGCCTGGGGGTTGGTTACATTCCACGACTGGCACCAGTGACAATGGCCGTCCTCTTGGCCTCCCGACGCAAAGTACTCGCGAATGTCCTGGCGTGCGACAGACTGAATGTGTTTCGGGCTGAGACGGTGGCCTGCCTAACAGCTCTGGTGCTGAGTCTTGCAGCCATGATGAATCAAAACAGATGAGATGCTGCGTAATGAATTTCGAGAGGAGAAGCAAGAAACAGATCGAAGCTTGAGCAGAGCAGAACAGCTTCTGGAGTAGCCAGTTCACGGAAAGATGGATCGGGCATATCTGAACAACCCCTCTCGTGGAGGCAATTGAGGATGAACAAGGCCCATCAGGCGGGATGGTTCCTTTTCGGGATACCAAAAAGAGACTGGTAAGTTGGAGGATTTGAGGATGCAAGCCCCGCAGCTTGGTGTGTACAGCAGAGCAGATGCGGAGATGCGGCAACAAGACGATCAGCCGAGTGCGGGCTCGTGGTGTTGATTGTCCGAAAGACGAGAGAGATGAGAGATAGAAGGGTTCAAGTTGTGTGCGGGGTACAGGAGCACCTGTGTGGTTGGCTAAGGAGCAGGAGCAGGAGCAGGAGCAGGAGCAAGGAAAAAGGAGAAGGTAAAGCGAGCCAGGGTGGGTGGGCTTGACAAGCAGCTTGGTTGCGCTTTGTTTATCCTGTTGACCTCACGAATGCGCCCGAGACGACCAAAAAAAGAAAATGTCACGCATTGGAGCGCCGGCGAGTAATCGCAACCTGAGCCTGACAGAAGAGCTCGAAAGACTTGAACAATCAATCACCCTGACACTGCAAGGTGCGTTGATGTGCTGGTGCGACACAACAGAGCAGCGCTGAGAACAAACAGAAATCGACCACAACTTCAGCAAGGCCCATCGCATTGTCACGTCGAGCATCCTACCCGTCGTCGACCAATACGCTCAACACTCTCGCGATGTTTGGGAGGGCTCTCGCTTCTGGAAGCAGTTCTTCGAGGCATCTGCCAATGTCTCCCTGTCTGGCTACCAGGAGGGCGCCCTGGAAGACGACATGACCCACAATGACACGACCGCTCAAGAGACATCCTACGACGAGCCCTCTGCCGAAGACGACGTCGCCGAGAGGACCATGACACCCACTGCGCACGACTACCCTCATGACCACGACGATGACACGTCCATCATTGACTCTCCCTCCAACACGACTGGTGTCCACAGCACTCCGCAGATCAAGACCAAACAGAAACACTTCGCCTCTCCCTCACCAATCAAGCCGTCATCACATCAGATCAGCACTCCCATGCGCGACACGGTAAACCTCCAGTCGTCGTCTCCATTCGATCCTCCGTCAGCCTACCAACCCTCGACCGCCCAGCGTCAACAGAACCCTGATCCTCTGATGCACCGTATCATGGACCGCAACTTCCGCATTCAGGCCACACCCCACACTGCTCGTAAACAAACACGTCCCGCAACCACAGACACTCCTGCAACCGCTCAGAACCAGACACAAACACGTACTCGCAACTTGTTCGCCGACAGCAGCCCTATGAGCAGTCCTGAAATGGCTGCTCCCCAACTCCGCTCTGATTTGTTCTCTCCTCAAAAGTCCCCGAGAAAGACGCTTCAGGCTCCACACACTCCTGGTGTTTCCGTTCAGACCCCTGGACGTGATCTCATGACGAGCACCGGCCGCGCCCTGTTTACCGACACCAAGGACAGAACCACACGTACCCTCTGGGATCAAGAATCTGATAGCGACGATGACTTTAGTATCAGTCCTCCCAAGACTATGCAGTTTCATATTCCACAATCTCGTCTTATGCAGACTCCCGCTCGAGAGGCCAGCAGGATCATTGTTGATGATCTGTTAGCGACTGCTGGTGCAGACCGTACCGAGTCTATCGAAGGCGATAGTGTCCCCGAGATCAGCCCTAGTCTAGTCAGGCGGAAATGGGATGATGATGATACTTTCTGAACGCTAGAACTAGGCACACGTGTGGATAAACCATTGATATTCAGAGTTCAAATTTCTGTTCAAATGCTAGAGCCGAATCAAATAATTCCCAATGGAATGCCTTTCACTCCCTGACCCAAATTTAACTCCTTTCAATACCCTCACAAACGTGGACACATCATAATAAGCATTTTAGTTCGTCGATTAGAAGAAGAGCATCTCATCATCGCGCCAGCCTTGGTTCAGTAATGCGGCGTGACAACTCTTCTCAAGTGCTTCAGGGCCGCAGATCAGGATTAGAGCCTGTTCAGTCGGCTCGAGCTTGAGCGCTTCTTTACTGGCGTGTTCAGCAAGCAGCGGTGCGGCAATACGTCCTCTCAGACCATCCCAGTGGTCTGGTGCTTGAGTTAGAGTGTATAGTAGCTTTGCTTTGTGCTCGTTGTCCTTGGCATAGCTGTCCAGCTCGCCTTTGCACAGAATGTCTTCGACAAGGCGGTTGCCATCCAGCAACGTGCATTTGGTCTTGTCACTAGCATCCTGCATCACTGCACGGAAAACTTGGTAGATTGGCGTGACACCTGAACCACCACAGATCATGACGAATTGCGAGATGCGTCGCTCAACGCCGTTAACGGCACAGAGACCTTGGCTGAGATATTGGAATTTGCCAATCGGTCCCTTGAAGTCGACAAAGTGACCTATGGGTAAAGAGTCGAGAGCTTGCGACATCTTGCCTCCCTCCGATGTGCCATTCTTGAAATACACCTTGATCAGGATGTCGACAAAGCCCTTTTCGGCCGTCTCTGAAATGGGCGTGTAAGACCGGATGATGGCCTCGCGTGTTACTGGATCGCGCAAACGCATCATGATGTGCTGGCCAGTCGGGAGACCAAGTTTCTGATCGTCCGTCTCGAGCTTGAATCTGAAGACGCGACTGTCCCAAGACACCGTAGTCTTCGATTGTAAGATGGCTTTTTTCCATGTGCGTGGGTGCAAGAAGGTTTCCGAAGGTGTCGCATTCTCGTCAGGCTGTGCCTCCTCACCACTCAATGCTCGCTTGCCCTCCTCGTCTAGCGTGCCAATGTGATATGTTGGCATCATGGCTTTGGCAGTCTCGCTGTGAATGGCCATGAATTCGTCAGTGCTGTCCAGTCCAGCTGCTGAAACAATACTTTGAGCGCCTCCGGGATGACCTTCCAAGAACGCTGTACCGTCGTAAACCTCACCATTGACGACGAACCATGGTGCTTGTTCCGTGTCATGCTTGCGAAGGTCGTCGATGGTGATTTTCTTGTCTATTCCGTCCTTAGTCATCTTCACATCTTGTGCTGCTTCCGTAACAGGTTCCGGTGCATCTGAGCTTCCAAGCTGTTCGCCCCAGTAGCCGTTAGCGAGATTGCCTCCTAGCTTCTTCACGCGTTCCATCCAACCGCCAGGCATCAATGCGGGTTGCGTGGGGTGCTCGAAACGCAGATAGTCGTTCTCTCGGTGGATGGCGATCCGGTACCAAGGGTTGTTCATCATACCCAGAACACTCCAGTACATGTCACGAGGCTGAATGTTCATGCTCTCATCCATGGCTCGACACATGATGTCCTTTGCATCTTTCAAATCATCGACTGGGATGTCGATGTTCCAGAATGCCCAGGAGAAGCAGCTTTCTCTCCATTCCATGTCTAGCCTACCACCGTAGAGGTCGACAGGACCTGCTTCTCGGTATCTGTCTTCGGCATAATCAACATTGGCAGGACGCCAGCTTTTGCCTTTATCCAAGGTGACTTCGACACGTGTCACACGGCGACCTCCACCACCGTAAGCGTATCCCTTGACACGGTAGTTTTCTGGAGCCCCGACGACACATAATTGCTCTTCGTGAACCGGATGTGCCATTGCGGAGTTGGTCGATAGGTCGTAGATGGCATATCTCTCATCCATCCACCAATCCTTGTTGTTTGCAGATTCCTCTGGCGAAACGGTCGTTGGAAGGACGCGGTTGTCGTAGATGTGGTACCAGTTGTCACTTGGCTTGTCGGTAATGATGAGCTTCTTTAGCCATTTGACGCTGCGGCCTCCTATTTGACCAGGAATCAGGGCTCGTAGAGGCTTGCCGTGGTCCGGTGTCAGCATCTCGCCGTTCATCTTGTAGGCCAGCATCATGCCTCTGTTGGGATCCAATGCCCAGTTAAGTTTGACCGAGGTACCGTAGTATCCATTGGGCTATTTTTGTCAGTACGAATTATCATTTCATCAGTGAACAGTAAGTGTTTGAGCTTACCAGTTTGTCGGCACCTTCCATGCATACGTATCTTGCTCCTCTCTTCAGTCCAGCCTTCTTCAGAATCTCATGCATCATGACACCAGTCCACAAAGCATTTGATACACCAGCAGCGCCCCACGAGAAACCCTTGGTCTTACGGACAACGTTCTGTTCCTTTCGTCTGTTGCCAGCACAGACAAGAGTCACAGGACATGTGATCTGGTCGTATTCTCGAACGAGGTCTTTGAACTTGATTGTGAGTGGTTTTTCGACAAGTCTAGCACCTTTTAGTGGGGTCCTTTCTGGATCATGAGATACAGGGCCTACCCTTCCACTGTGAACTCCCACTCTGGGATATCTTCATCATTAACCTGAGGCACAGGACCATGGTTTCTTACGTAGAACAGTTCCGGACTTGTCAACCATCCTTCGTTGTATAGATCCGTGAGAGGTGCTTCGCAATTAAACGGATGTGCTCCAGTCAATCTGATTAGTCTCGAGTCTCGCGGTAGCCATCCATCAGGCGTTTTTTGATCTAGCGGATCGATCACAGTCGGCGGGTGTGATGGTGGAGGCAGAGGAAATTGTGTGGATGCTGTTTTGTTCGTCGACTTCTCTCCATCGCTAAGATCCGAGTCTGGTGGTGTAGGTGGGAAGTCTGCAGATACTCGTCGTAGGTGCACAGTTTCCTCTTCGGTCGCTTGAACAGTGGTCATTTTGAGGTACTGATTTTGCAAGACTTTGATGTTGTAAAAGCCGAAGGGTCGGACAAGAGAAAGTAAGAAAACTGTTGTAGGTATGAATGAATTGAATCTGTTTTGGATCTAGGTAATTGATTGAGGATCGATTTACGAAAACAGAACAAATCCTGGAGCCCCGGAGAAAGGCTTGACACAAGACTGCCTACATTTTAAACGCCAAAATGCGCCAGAGGCTTCACATTCGTCATATCGGCATGTCTAGACATGTTTATGGGGCGGAGAAGCACAATAGGAGCCTCACTAGATTACGATAGACCGTTCACCGCGGAAGTAGGACGAGGTTGCGACACGGTTCAGGGAGATACCGCTGTCAGCATGTTTGTGGGACATGGAGTGGTTGAGAACGAGCAGAGATAAGGCCGTCTCGTTCTGGAATAGCGTCAGAAGCGAGAGCCAACAATGTTGCTCTGTCCGATGTAACCCGTTTTCGAGATGAGAGTCTCCAGTCTCTTCCAGTCTCGTCTAGTACGAGCACTTGCTTCTCCCGCGTCCATATGTGAGGTTTTGAGGGGATTTTCAGAGGACCAATGGTCCGCCATCACCTTATCAGCGGTATATGGTTGAGCAAGTGAAGTTGAAAAAAGACTCTGCGCTTAACGACTACTTGGTTAATCGCCCTGCCGTGATTGGCTGCGCAAAGTCTTGTCAGGGTTCTTTGCTTTGTTGCCGAGCAAAATCCATTATCGCCCGCGTCGTCCTTATCAATGCCGCTCCACTTTGGTGCGGCTCCGCGTTCGCGTACCCGTTTGCACCCTCGACGATCTTCCCGAGGAGAAAGAAGCTGATGTCGCTGTGCAGATGCATTCTGTTTGGTAATCTGGAGTCGCGTGTATGGCCATGTTCCCCAAACGCTGACCACGGTATTGCTTCTCCGGCCGCGGCAGCAGGCGTTTATGCCATGGCATTTGCTGGGCTTGCATACGCCTCAGTCGGTCGGGAGGTAAAGTATCGCGCTGATAGATAGCTCGGTATGGCAAGGCAAGTCCATAAACACCCTTTCTTCCCTTCCTATCTCTAGCTTTTGTTTTTATCTTGTGATTCCTTTGCTTTTGCCGCAACCTATTCTACGCCAGCATCTGCTGTGCCTATACTGATAATCTTCTCCTCTCCCTCGTTCATCTTCGCTATACCATCTGTCAACATGAGTAACAGCGAGTGGAACGATGCTGAGGCAAATGTCCTCCCCGAGAAGATCGAGGAGATGGAGGTGAAGGGCGAGCTCCCAAAAGATACCAAGAGAAAACGAATTGTGGTAGTTGGATTGGGTATGGTCGGTGTTGCATTCATGTAAGTGCAAAACTCCTCGGGTCAATAGCAGAGCACTCACATTTTGCTTGCAGAGAAAAGCTCATGAAATTCGACGTAAAACGACGAGAATACGACATCATCGTCATTGGAGAAGAAGCACATCTTGCGTACAATAGAGTAGGCTTGACCAGCTTCTTCCAGCACCGACAAGTCGAGAACCTGTATCTTAATCCTAAAGAGTGGTACTCATCAATGCCCGAGGGCTCATTGAACTACCACCTCAACACCAAAGTCACATCAATCAACCCCGAAGAGAAGAAGGTTGAAACATCACAAGGCACAACGGTGCCATACGACATTCTAGTCCTCGCAACTGGCTCCGATGCAGTATTACCTCGCCACACTCCTGGACACGATGCTAAAGGCGTATTCGTGTACCGCACTATTGAAGATTTGGAAAAGCTCATTGCATACTCGGCTACAAAGAATGGATCTGTCGGCGCTGTAGTTGGTGGTGGTCTACTTGGTCTCGAAGCCGCAAAGGCCATGATGGACCTCGAGGAGTTCAGCAAAGTCAAGCTCATTGAGAGAAACCGCTGGGTGCTCAGCAGGCAGCTCGATGGCGACGCTGGTGGCATGGTCGTCGAGCAAGTCCGAGCTTTGGGCTTGGATGTCCTCCTCAGCAAGAGAGTCGGCAAGATCAACGTCGATAGTGACAACAGTGTCACTGGCGTGACTTTCGAGGACGGCGAGCAGATGGACTGCACATGTATCTGCTTTGCCATTGGTATCAAGGCCCGCGATGAGCTTGCTCGGGCGGCTGGCATCAAATGCGCAGACAGGGGTGGCGGCATTGTCATCAAGAATGACCTTTCGACTTCAGCACCGGATATCTACGCCATCGGAGAATGTGCCAGCTGGGAAAGCCAAACATTCGGTTTGATTGCGCCCGGCGTTGAGATGGCTGACGTTCTTGCCTTCAACCTCACACAAGCCAAGGCTCACGCTCCTCGACAATTCAAGCGACCGGACCTCAGCACCAAGCTGAAGCTACTTGGAGTCGAAGTTGCCAGTTTCGGTGACTTCTTCGCCGACCGAGATGGCCCTCAGATGCTCCCCGCCAGACGTGGTGCTGGAAAGAAGGAAGGCGCCACCGATCAGAAGGACCAAGTCAAGAAACTCACTGACGGCCCCGCACCACCTCCAGTCAAAGCTCTCACCTACAAGGATCCATTCAACCAAGTCTACAAGAAATACCTCTTTACGACAGACGGCAAGTACCTGCTCGGAGGCATGATGATTGGAGACACAAAGGACTACGTCAAGCTGGTCCCTATGGTCAAGAACCAGAAGCCTCTCGAGGTCTCTCCCAGCGAATTCATCATTGGTGCAAGCAAGGGCGAGGACGACGCTGATGACCTTGCTGACGATACCCAAATCTGCTCGTGTCACAACGTGCTGAAGGGAGATGTTACCAAAGCGGTCAAAGATGGAACCTGCAAGACCATTGGTGATGTCAAAGCATGCACCAAGGCTGGTTCTGGATGTGGCGGCTGTATGCCTCTGGTTCAGACCATCTTCAACAAGACCATGGCTTCTATGGGCAACGAAGTCAAGAACTACCTCTGTCCGCACTTCGACTACTCGCGTGCTGATCTCTTCAACATCATTTTTGTCAAACAGCTGAAGACCTTTGAGGAGATCATGAAGCAGTGCGGAAAAGATCCCGAATCTTTGGGTTGCGAAGCTTGCAAGCCAACTATCGGATCCATCACTGCTTCTCTCTTCAACAGGCACATTCTCGAGAAGGATTCTCGTGGTCTTCAAGACACCAATGACCGCTTCCTGGCCAACATCCAACGAAATGGCACATTCTCAGTCATTCCTCGTGTGTCAGGAGGTGAGATCACTGCTGACAAACTCATCATCATTGGTACTGTCGCCAAGAAGTACAACTTGTACTGCAAGATCACTGGTGGTCAGCGTATCGACATGTTCGGTGCTCGCAAGCAGGATCTTCCGGCCATCTGGCAAGAGCTAATCGATGGTGGCATGGAATCGGGACACGCCTACGCCAAGTCGCTGCGTACTGTCAAGTCTTGTGTCGGAACTACATGGTGTCGCTATGGTATTGGTGACTCTGTCGGCATGGCTGTCCGCCTCGAAGAGCGCTACAAGTCCATCCGTGGACCTCACAAGATCAAGGGTGGTGTCAGTGGTTGTGTACGTGAATGTGCTGAGGCTCAAAACAAAGATTTCGGTCTCATCGCTACCGAGAAGGGTTTCAACATCTTCGTCGGCGGCAACGGTGGTGCGAAGCCTAGACACAGCGAGCTCTTGGCCAAGGACGTTCCTCCGGATGATGTAATTCCTATCCTTGACCGCTACCTCTCCTTCTACATTCGAACTGCCGACAAGTTGCAGAGAACAGCTCGTTGGATTGAGAACCTGCCTGGAGGTATCAAGTACTTGCAGGAAGTCATCCTCGAGGACAAGCTTGGTATCTGTGCAGACCTCGAACAGCAAATGGAGCAGCTCGTAGGCTCATTCTTCTGCGAATGGACAGAGGTGCTCAAGAACCCTGAGCGTATGAAGCACTTCAACCAGTTTGCCAACACCGATGAGGCAGTGCAGACCGTCGAGGAGGTCAAGGAACGTGACCAACATCGCCCCACGTACTGGCCCAAAGACTCCATCACCACAGACTTCCGTGGTACGAAGTGGACTGAGCTGTCGTGGCAACCTCTGGCACGCTCAGACCAGTTCCAGGATACTGCAACTGGCAGCTCATTGGCTGTCAAGCGTGGTGATACGCAGTTGGCCATCTTCAAGGTCAAGGGTCAGTACTACGCCACACAGCAAATGTGTCCTCACAAGCGTGCATTCGTGCTCAGTGATGGTCTCATTGGTGACGACATGAAGTCAAACAAGCTATGGATCAGCTGTCCTTACCACAAGCGCAACTACGAGCTCAAGGGCGACGACGCTGGCAAGTGCGGCAATGACGAAAGCGTCAACATTGCCACCTTCCCCGTCGAGGCTCGTGAGGACGGCAATGTCTACGTGAAGCTGCCGCCTGTCGAGGAGCTTGACTCGGTACTCGGAACTAGTAACTTCATTGTCAAGAAAGACAATGAGGAGAAGCCTTTCGAGAAGCTTGACAAGAAGATCCTCAAGGGTCAAAAGGGCAAGTTTGTCAGCCACTTGGAGAATGGCATGGGCACGAAAGCAAAAGCAAATGCCATCCTTGCTGGTGGCGAGAGAAGCGGTGGTATGGACTGGTAAATAGTCCGGCTGCCTCGAGACGACGTGATGATACGAGCATTGGATGGTGTTTGGAAACGGATCAGGATCGCAAGATATCACTTTTGTATAGCCAAGTAAACTAGTATGATGAATCTGTCTTTGTCAAGAACGAAATCACTTCATATTGTAAGCCCTGTCAATTCTTCATCCTTAGGATAAGGTCGAAACCCGTGCGTGAGACTCAAGTATGAGAGGCAAGCTATAACAAGGTTGGTAAAGTAGGTTGTGATTCGGGAAGGTGCACCCAAAGCTCCTGCCTACTGGCTGCGTCTCTCCATACCATACCATATCAGCACACAGGCCCATGGTTGACCTTCTCTGTCCCTAGATACAATTATACTCTGAAATGTCAAAAACAACAATCGAGTTCACAGAACACAGGTGTATGGCTGACCGACAAACCTCACAGCAGCTAAATTGTTGAAAAATGTCATACATCTGGAGAGAGCCGACTATTACATGTGACTATCACACAGTACCAGGAGGGGCGGCGGCGATCGCATGTTGGACCAGATCAAACCCCCTTTGTCCATCTAGTCAATCCTCGTCCATACTGACATCAGCCTCCTGATAGCTGACCTTGGACTTGTTTGCCCTGCCACTCGATCTTGCTCCGGCGCGGGGGGCGGGACGCTTAGGTGCAGTGGCGGGTGCATCATCTTCTGACGAGCCCAACTCGAGCTCTGAGTCGTCGCTGGTCGGTGGTGTAACCTCAACCTTCTCCTCCTTTTCCTTCTTCGGTTTTGGTGCAGAGGCCTTACGCTTAGGAGCTGACTTCGTTGCTGTTGTAGGTGCTACTGCCGCGGCGCTGGGAGGAGCAGTTACGGTGTGCATAGCATCTGACTTTGCTCGTGCAGCAGCGGCTCTTGCTTTGAGAGCTTCCTTGGCTTTCTTGGTTGCTGGTGTGGCTGCCTCTGCTGCCTCTTCATCAGACACTTCCTGCTCTTTGACAGCAGCCTCAAGGGCGACAGCATCGGCAAGTGCCTTTCTCTTCTGTGCTGGTGTAACTTTTTTTGCTGAACCGGTCGTCTTTGGTTTGACTTCGCGCTTCTTGGGTCGAAGCCAATCTTCCATGCCTGGTGGCCAGTAGACGCGGCCTTCGGGGCCTCCCATGCCGACCTCCTCTTCAGGCACCAAGGTAGAAGATTCACCATTTACGAGCGAACCTTCATCATCTTCCATCTCCTCGTCCTCGTCCTTGACTTGCTTGCCCTTCTTCTTTGGGGTTGCCTTCTTCTTGTTGGAAGCTTGCATAGCTGCCTTGTTGTCATCGTTTCTGACATGTGGGATGATGTCGTTGAAAGTGTCGAACCCAGGTAGCTTGAAAGTTTTCATCAACTCGAAGACCGCCTGCTCCTTGTCTTTGGCCTCGATCATAAGATCCATGTCATCTGCGCAAGGCGGCAAAGTGGCCACACGTGGGTTATGCTTTCTCCTCTGCCTACCTGTAATGGCAGCAGGAGTCGGCTCGGAATAGTGCATCTTCTGTTTGATACCCTTCTTGTCCCAAGTTGCCTTGATGCGAGGATAGAGGTCGCAAATATCTTTTGTTCCCTCGCGGATCTGCTCGGCATCAAAAATGATGTTATGGTGGTGGTAGTCAAGGACCATCGGGATGTTGAGTTCCTCGCAAATAGGCAGCAGTTCGTGGACCGACCAACTGACATCGTCGTTCTCGAGCACCAATCTGTTCTTGATTGATTGAGGAAGTGCCTTGTAGTTCTCACGGAACCTGTCAAGAGTGGCTGCCTTGTCACCAAACACGCCTCCCAGATGCAAGATCATGACTGCATCCCTGTTCATCTGCTCGGGTAGTTTCAAGAGAGAAAGCATTTCATCGTGGTATTCCAAGTCGCGGAGAGCATTATCAATGACCTGCTTGCGTGGTGATCCCAGCTGAGTGAATTGGCCAGGATGAGTTGTTACACGATGGCCCAACTCGGCAACTACTTTGCCAACCTCTGCCAATGTCTCGGCAGCGAAAGGTGTAAGCTTGTATCCATACTCCTCATGGGAAGCAAAGGGGAACATCTCGCTTGACAGACGCAAGAACTTGATGCCATACTTGTGGTTCCATCTGAGCATCTTGATGACATCTCTAGCATTGGCCAGGCCAAGTGCTTCGACATACTTTTGGCCTCGCTCAACACTGGCAGGCTGCTCGCGATCAGGACGGTTCTTGGTGGGATGTTCTGGCTGACTAGGATCGCGGAGAGGATGTCTGTGTTCTAAGATTGAGGCAATGCGACAAGTACGAGAAGCGAACACGGGTGGTGTGCTGTAGCGAAGATAGGTGTTCAAGCAAGCCTGAAGTTATTAGCAGCTCCTCGCTGTCGCATGAGGTCAATGGTGCTTACATAACCCAGCCTTCCCTTCCAAGGAAGCGGAAGGTAATCACTGTTGACAGGGGGAGGTCTAGCCAAAGCAGCGGACAATTCTTCCTCGTCGGCCTCCTCATCACCCTCGGCCTCTGGGTCGTCCATATCATCATTGGCCGTTTTCTTGACAGGAGTTTTCTTGGCTGGTGTCGCATCTACAGCTCCATCGTCCTTCTCCTTCTTGACGGCAGCACCTGCCTTAGCAGCGCCCTTCTTGGTTTTACTCTTCTTTGCTGGTGGCTCGTTGTCAGGTACATCAGACAAGGGTGAATCTGATCCTGGCTCCGACTTGATAGGTCCAGGTGCTATACGTTTGTCCACATCGCTGTCTGGCGAAGCTCTGTATGCATTCGGCGCGTCAATGACCTCAGGGTTCGCCTGCGGGTTGGTGATTCCATTAGGTGGCGGAGATGGAACTGCATCAGGAATCGCAGCAGCGTTTCTCTTACGTTTCGCAGCGACCATTGTACTTTGGTATCGTAAGAGGGGTGACAGTTTGTGTGGACTCAAAAATGTGTTGCTCTTGTACGCAAGGGATCTCGCAGAGGTATGAAATATAGTCCGAAGCATCAATTGAAAGTAGAAGAAGAACAACGAGGTTGAACAAGCAGAGATGGAGAGAAAACAGCGATACGTGTGAGCTCAAGCTATCTGCTACTCAGCTATGACGATGTTCTTTTCTCGTAAATCGTTAGTTCGCAAAATGCTTGAGATATGTCTTGATCGTCAATAGAGATCGGTGATGACGTACGGATCTGGCGCTAAGGGAGTCGGATCGAGATAGATCTACCAAGTTGTTGAGGGGAAGACCCTGTGCACAAGTACTACAAGCATAACAAAATGCGAGAATGCCGATGGAGACGTGCGAAGCTTCCTAACAGCTTTGATGGCATCTTTTAGAAATGCTTGAGTGGATTTATGCAATGTCTTGTTGTGGTGCCTGAGGCGCAACCCGCCATGACCACTTTGAACATGGCTGATTGGAATCATGAAGCACTGATCTTGAGAGCATGTTGTGTCAACCAATCACACGAGATGCATCATACATACGCATTGAATGTCGTATCAAGATCTATTGGGTATATAAACTATCATTGCATATACTTCTTGAGACCTCTGAGTCTGTCTTTGGCCTTGTCAAGCACGTCGTCATTCTTGCAGATGGCAAATCGCAACCAATCCTCGACAATGTGAGCATTGTCATCAGTGAAGAACTCGGTTGGTGGAATGGCAGCAACACCGAGCTCCTTGATGATGAAGTATGAGAGCTTGAAATCGCGAGGACGGCTTGCGACATGATCAGGGAATGGATAATCAGCAGGAAGCTTCACCTTTGACATATTCACAAGAACGAAGTAGCCACCTTCAGGGTCAGAGTAGGGCAATTCGAGTTCGTCAAAGATAGCGACGAAGCGGTCGATCTTGGCTCTCATCTCAGCCTTGGTCTCATCCCAAAAGCCATGCTTATCAGCCTCCTCAAAGCCGATGGCAGTGGCTTCTTGCAGCGGGCTGACACTGCTGTAACAGATTCGGGTGTGAGCAGCACTAACTGGTTGAATCAGGTGCTCAGGGCCAATCAACCATCCGACGCGCCATCCGGTGCAGTAGAAGTTTTTGCCTCCCGAGCCAACAGTAAGTGTGAGGTTGGCGATCTCGGGAGACAGAGTAGCCATGCGGGTGAAAGGAGTGTAATAAAGACGATCGTAGACTTCGTCACTCAGAATGATGATGTTGTGTTGGACGCACAGGTCACCGATGGCTTGTAGCTCATCTCGTGTAAAGACCTTGCCAATGGGGTTGTGAGGGGTATTAAGGACAATCATGCGAGTGTTGTCGTTGATGGCAGCTTTCAGCTCGTCCATGTTGATTGACCAGTCTCCAGCCGAAGTGGTCTGGGTAGCACCCTTCTCTGGAGGGTGTAGAGGTACGTAAACGACCTTACCACCAGGCATCTGAATGTTGTGGATGTACTGATCGAAGAAGGGCTCAAAGACAATGACCTCGTCGCCGGGTTCAACGAAGCCCATGAAGGCCGAGAGCATGCCTTCATTCGCACCAGTTGTGATCGTGACCTCCTTTTCAGGATCCAGGGTGCGTCCAAAGAAGGGAGAGTAGGCGTCGGCGAGGGCCTTCTTCAGGCGAGGTCTTCCCTTGGTGGGCGAGTACCGGTTGCATTCGACTCTGTCCAGAGCACCTTTAGCAGCGTCGATGACGAATTGAGGAGGGTTGTAGCCGAAGAAGCCTTGTCTATGCTGGTGTTAGCTCTTGGTCCAGGAAGCAGACACTCACTCAGCTCACCCCATGTTCACGACATCAGAGACCTTGGAAGAGGCAGCTGCTTCGTTGACGATGGACCAGACATCTTGCTTCTGGCCGGCCACGCGGGCTGCAGGCTTGAAGGGATCCTTGCGCATTTTCAAGCTGGATGACGAGAAGTGCTTGACAAGATTTCCGGCAGTCAGATGAACAGAAGAAGGTGCAACCCTTGCGAATGAAAGTGAACGGGACAGCAGTCTCATGGCCATGGCAAGAGTCAGCTAGCGATATATTATCCTACCCCAGATATTTGTTTCCTCCCCACCCTGACCGAGCACGACATCATGGGCCCGATACCGCAACCTTCGCAGCACCGGCCGCGGCCCGCGTCGCTCGTCTCGACATCTCGAGAGCTTAACGCGTCGTCTCGGCTGACCGCGTCGGTTCCTATCAAACAATGTAACCACGTCCCATGTCATCCAACCAGCTCGTCGATTGTCCAATCTGTAGCAAGCCCGTCAAGGAGCTAAATATCAATCGACATATCGATTCTGGTTGTGAATCTTTTATCGACGATTCACCTCCACCAACTCAGCAGAATGCTCCCAAATCCACTCAGGTCGCCAGCTTCTTTCAGACTCCGGCAGCCAAGCGAACTCAGTCCATTCCTACCTCTACACAACCCTTGAATGGTGCTGCATTTCCAAAGCCTACTCAAACACCCATCACAACTACAAAAAGGCCCCTGGAGGATATTAAAGACGAAGACACTCTTCATCCTTTGCCTAAAAAGTCTAAAAATGGCAACCTTGAAAAGGCTGCCCCTTTGGCTGAGCGTATGCGACCTCAGTCGCTAGATGAGGTTCAAGGTCAAGAGCTTGTAGGCCCAAGAGGCATCTTGCGCTCCTTGATTGAAACTGATCGGGTGCCATCCATGGTGCTATGGGGTGGACCAGGAACAGGAAAGACGACCATCGCTCGATTGATAGCCAAAACTGCTGGAAACCGCTTCGTCGAGATCAACAGTACTTCTTCAGGTGTCGCAGAATGCAAGAAACTCTTCGCCGATGCTCGCAACGAGCTTTCTCTCACTGGTCGCAGAACCATCATCTTTTGTGACGAAATCCATCGTTTCAGCAAAAGTCAGCAAGACGTATTTTTGGCCCCTGTCGAGAGTGGCGTCATCACCTTGATTGGTGCAACAACAGAAAACCCCAGCTTCAAGGTCATAAATGCTCTTCTGTCGAGGTGTCGAACCTTCACTCTTGCCAAACTTGATGACGAGCATATCACAGCTATTCTGAAGCGTGCTCTGACCATTGAACCTCCGTCAACACCGCACGCTGCAAATTTGTTGGAAGGGAATGACTATGCACTGCTTCGTTATCTTGCCAGTTTTGCTGATGGCGATGCACGTACGGCACTGAACCTTCTCTCTCTTGCTCTGGATTTATCTAATGATCCCGAAACCACTGTCGAGACCGTCAAAGAGAACTTGACTCGGACGTTGGTATATGACCGTCAAGGCGACCAACACTACGATACAATCAGCGCCTTCCACAAGAGTGTTCGAGGCAGCAATCCTGATGCGGCCCTCTACTATCTCGCTCGTATGCTTCAGTCTGGTGAAGACCCTGTCTATATCGCGCGACGAATGGTAGTAATGGCTAGTAAGGATATTGGTCTTGCAGATAACACTTTACTACCATTAGCTACAGCAGCTTATACCGCCGCCAAAGAAATCGGTATGCCGGAATGCAGGATAAATCTGGCTCATGCAGCGGTCGCACTTGCCGAAGCACCAAAGTCTACACGCTCGTATCGAGGTCTCAACGCTGCATATGCTGCTCTTGCAGAACCTGGAGTCGCAGGATTGCCTATTCCGATTCATCTTCGTAATGCTCCTACCAGGTTGATGAAAGAGTTGGGTTATGGCAAAGAATACAAGTACAACCCGGATTATAAGAACGGCAGAGTAAATCAGGAATACTTTCCGGAGAAGCTACAAGGCAAGGTCTTCCTCCCCGAAAATCATCTTGGGGATAAAGTTGATCCCGACCTCCCTCCTGGTATGGAGCAGGAGCAGGAGCAGAGTCAACCTGCAGACGACGAAGACGTACCAAAGGAATGGTCAGCTGAAGATGATGAAGCTGTTGCAGACGGCGACGATCTGCATGATACCGTGGGCGAAGAAGACGGCAATGATGAAGAGCGCATACTCAACCCTGATGGTGAATGACAATGAGGGCTTGGGACTGCCAGTCCCGAGCATTGTCGAGAAGTCATCTCTCTGTACCAAAAGGATGCGATATAGAATCCCAATACACTTCTGAACATACAACTGACAAGCGTCGTGCATCCAACTATGGATCGAGTCGAGCTTGGTACATCCAGCCTATTCTTGGACACAGTTCTTGCCTGTCGAATAGTGTTGAAAGCTTATGTGAATTCATGTACTCTCTGTGTCGTTGTTCTCAATGCCTACAGATGAAGTAACCAGGAAGATCGCCATCGTAGGCAGGCTTAGCGCACTAGCTTCCAGGTACACATGGCGATGGTACGAATGATATCGTGCAGAAAGTGTGACCAAACAGATTTACTCATGGCGTCCGTGTGCAAAGCCATTTCATGCAGGACGCACCTGATGCATCGCGCAAAGTGGATCGGTACACGCTTCTGGGATCTTTAGAGCCACAAAGAGGTCAAATGACATCCGAAAACGCCAGTGTGAGTGGAGAGAGAAGGAGGTGTACAGATGTCGGTGGTTTTGTTGCCTCGTCGTGGTGCCAAGCAGACTCGGATGCTGGAACGCAAGCCAATCGATGAAGCACGCTGTCATTACGCACGTTGTTATCCATCAGACCGACTGCTACAGCTCATTGATCCTATCCACACTTGTAGACGCGGATGTTCACGTGAGAAGATACCGAATTCAATAAGAACAAGGAGATTGCCACCGGCGTCCTGGAGGGTGGACGAGAAAACGATACCGACATCGAGCTCGGCCTTCTTCTTCCCGCACCCGCCGTTCCACTTCGGCCGTCGACATCACCATCGCACAACGAATATTCGGCCGCGCGCCTTGAGAAGCTCGCGCGCATACTCGACATGAAGTTCTCACATAGTATCCAGTTCAATGCGGTGCCCGAGTGGAGTAACAACTACATCTCGTACAGCAACCTCAAGAAATTGTCCGTCGCGTCCTGGTCGAGGCCCTTGATTGCTACCTACTGACGTACTTCAGAATATATTCTCTTGAGAAGAGGCTCCACCAAGCCAATGCCATCCCTGAAGATGTCGAGTCATCACCACTTCTGCCTGGCGACTCCGAGGATCCCGACAAAGTCTTTGCGCGCGCTCTGGATCACGACCTCGAGAAGATTTGTTCTTTCTACCAATTGAAGGAGTTGGAGATCTATGGGGAAGTCGAGTCACTACTCTCGGATGAACACGACTTTGAGGAAGAGACAAGGGAGCAAGATGGAGAGCACGAGGCAGGGCCCGCTGCACGGAATGGCACTCTGGCAAAAGCGAGGAAGGCTAGTATGTTCAAGGGTTTCAGTATTGGTCGACGCCGACGTGCTAGTACCTTAAGCGGCCACCAGGAAGAACCCGACAGCGATGATGAGCGCACTGCTCTGACCAAGTCAACCTCTCGGGATGGAAACCCATATGACATGTCGGCGAGCTCCAACCACGACACTTCGTCGCGCCGACGCCCCAGCAGCTCCCATGACTTTGACGACCAAGCTCTTGATGTGCTTTATAACGAAGGTGTGACTCTTAAAAAGCGCACCGTCAGCCTTTACGTCACCCTGTGCGAACTGCGCTCCTTCATCCAACTGAACAAGACTGGTTTCGGAAAAGTCCTGAAGAAGTACGACAAAACTCTGGATCGCAAACTTAAAGACCCTTATATCAAGGAAAAAGTCGACACTGCCTATCCTTTCCAACCAGAAACTCTTGACCGCTTAAACGGCAACATCGAGAAAATTGAGACAGCATACGCAGATCTGGTAACCAAAGGCGATGTCGACCTGGCTCGCCGTGAGCTACGTCTTCATTTGCGAGAACACGTCGTTTGGGAGCGCAACACTGTCTGGCGTGAGATGATCGGTATCGAACGCAAAGCTCAAGCTGCCAACATGGGTCTCGGTCAGACCATGCTGGGTGGTGTTGAGGATCGTGGAAAGGCACGCTTGCAGGGCGATGAGGAGTTGGAAGCTACCAAGGAGGTTGTGACACCTCTCGGTAAGTACAGGTGCCCACGCTTCCTCCTCTCAAGCACTTTCTACACTCTGGTGGCCGTGATTGCGGTGTTCTTCGTTCTACTGTTCGCTCCGATCATGGAGTCTCCAGTCGAGCAGAACTGTTTGGCACTCGTCGTCCTGGTCAGTCTTCTGTGGGCCACCGAGGCTATCCCGCTCTTTGTAACATCTCTGCTCGTGCCCTTCCTCGTGGTGGTTTTGCGCGTCGTCAGGTCCGAAGCCGAACCTCACAACCGTTTGGGGTCCAAGGCAGCAGCTACATTCATCTTCAGTGCCATGTGGTCTCCCGTCATCATGCTTCTGCTCGGAGGCTTCACTATCGCTGCTGCATTGAGTAAGCACAATATTGCAAAGATGATGGCTACATTTGTGCTTAGCAAGGCTGGCACAAAGCCTCGCAACGTGTTGATCACCAGTATGTTCGTGGCCATGTTCGCAAGTATGTGGATCAGTAACGTTGCCGCTCCTGTGCTCTGCTTTTCCATCATTCAGGTACGTGTTTCACCAAAGCTGGATTGAGGATGAGAAACTGACAGTGTCGTAGCCTATCCTCCGAAATCTGCCTGCAGACTCAGACATGTCAAAAGCCTTGCTCCTGGGTATTGCTCTCTCTTCCAACATGGGAGGTGCGGCGTCACCGATTGCCTCGCCTCAGAACTTGATTGCTCTGCAGAACATGACACCGGCTCCTGGTTGGGGAGTTTGGTTCTTCATTGCGCTTCCAGTCTGCATCATCTCCATCCTTATGATTTGGGTCCTTCTCCTGGTGACTTTCCGACCTGGTCGCAATACCACCATTGTGCCCATTCGTCCTATGAAGGATAAGTTTACTCCTACTCAATGGTTCATCAGCTTCATTACAGTTGTCACCATCGTGCTCTGGTGTTTCAGTCATCAACTGGACTTCGTCTTTGGCGATATGGGTGTTATCGCCATCCTTCCAATGGTCGTATTCTTCGGTCTTGGTATCCTTAACAAGGAGGATTTCAACAACTTCCTCTGGACAATCATCATTCTGGCTGCTGGTGGACTTGCTCTCGGAAAAGCTGTCAACTCGTCTGGTCTGCTTCGCACTATTGCAGTGTCCATCACCACTCGTGTCGAAGGTCTAGGCCTCTATAGTGTATTGGTTGTCTTTGCTGCACTGATTGGTGTGGTGGCCACTTTCATCTCACATACAGTCGCAGCTCTGATTGTGCTGCCTTTGGTCCAGCAGGTTGGTGAGGGTATGAGCGATCCCCACCCCAACCTTCTTGTTATGGGTAGTGTGCTCATGGCCTCTGCTGCCATGGGACTCCCTACCTCAGGTTTCCCCAACATGAGTAAGTCCTTGGCCCCCTTCAATTTATTTTAGTGTCACAGAAACTGACATATCATGCTGCAGCTGCAATCATGATGGAAGAGCCAAACACTGGCAGACGTTACCTGCAGGTAAAGCATTTTATTACTCGCGGTGTGCCTGCCTCAATTCTGGCTTACGCTGTTATCATCTCGGTTGGGTACGGTCTGATGCTGGCTGTTGGATTCTAAACAGACTCGGAACCAGATGCTGGTGCTCTTTGGGCACGGCGTTCTTACCTCGTGATATAGATCTATGACGGTGTACATTTTGAGGATAATAATCTTGGCTTTGCGTGCATACATGGAAGACTGGAGTGACGAGAGGTGTATTTTATGTTTAGATAATTTCGGGTACATGAGCCCTGCATTAATTCGAGCGACATCCAAGAGATGGTTTGTTGATCGCTTCGCCTGACCATATTGAGTAATGTCTGTTGGCCCTGATGAACTCGATGGCTGATGTCCCTTGCAAGCCACAACATCCACAGATCTGATCTTGGCTCATGCACAATGACGCAGCGCGGGGCTCGCGCCGGGCAAGTTACTGTTTGATGGTCGATCGAAACACCACACCAAGACTTTGTGGACCGAGGAGTGCGTGTTTGGAGCAGGTTTTCGGGTTTCCAAGAGCTGCAGCGCTCCTTCCAATTTCTAGTTTCTAGTTTGAACGTTATCACCCCCGAGGCGAGCCGGTCTTTCCTCTTTGTCCTTCTTCCCCTCCCTCTGTCTGCCTATCCGCAACTGGATCACTATCAATTGAGGCCTCTAATTTGGTCCGATCGTTCCGCAATTCGAATACCTGAGGTCGTGTGCGCGCAATCTAAGCACCGAATCAGTTGTATCTTACACCAGTATGGGACTTATCGGAAAGACGTCGCATGTCGACTCGTCCGACGAACAAGTTCGCGACTCCAATGATGCTGAGCACAAGGGCGCTGCCGACCACATCAAGCATCCGTTCTCTGATTTGAGACAGAAGTTGAAGGAATCGTCTCTGTACGATGTCAAAGTCAAGGCCATACATGCCAAACACAAAATCGGCAAATGGCAGAACTTGATCAACCCAAACCACCGCCACGACGAAGAGCACGAGAAAGCCACCGACGAGAAGAGAAGCAAGGTTGCTGAAGGCCATCGCTTCGAGAGTTTTGCTCCCGAGAGAGACGGAAACAAGGTCAAATGGTACATTGACGGACGTGACTACTTCCACGCCGTCTCAGTCGCACTTGAAAGAGCAAAGGAAACCATCTATATTGCGGACTGGTGGCTATCGCCTGAACTCTTCTTGCGAAGACCTCCCTTCTCTACTCAGCATTGGCGTCTGGACCATGTCCTGAAGCGTGCAGCCGAACGTGGTGTTCAGATCTACGTTATTGTGTACAAAGAGGTTAACCAAGCTCTTACTTGTAACTCGGCGCACAGCAAGCGTGCTCTGCGTGCCCTCTGCCCTGAAGGCACTCCTGGCCATGGCAACATCCATTTGTAAGTTCAGAGGAGCGATTCTGCCACAATCGTCAGGGTCTTTGTAAGGCTTCAAGCGCATAGCTGACATCAAAAAGCATGCGCCATCCGGATCACAATATCTTCGAAAACGCTGGAGACATGACCTTCTAGTAAGTCAGCCAAGCAGTCTACTAGGCTTTCACTAATCTAGGGCAGCTGGGCGCATCATGAAAAGTTTATCGTTATTGACTTCGATCTTGCCTTCATCGGAGGTCTGGATCTTTGCTTCGGTCGCTGGGATCAGTGGCAGCATCCATTGGCTGATGCCCATCCTGCGGGTGTCGAGAATGAGATCTTCCCCGGACAGGACTTTAACAACAACAGAATCATGGACTTCCAGGACGTCCAAGACTGGAAGAGCAACGAATTGAGCAAGGCTGACTATGGACGCATGCCATGGCATGATGTAGCCATGGGTGTCATTGGACCTTGTGTCTATGATATCGCCGAACATTTCGTATTGCGCTGGAACTTCGTCAAGCGTGACAAGTACAAGCGTGACGAGCGTTTTGATTGGCTTACTCTTGAGGGTCGCGAAGGTGAAGATGAGGATCTGATTGCAGTCCAAAGGCCTAAGCATCCTGTTGGAGAGTATATCCACCACCCTGTCTCACCCATGAACGTCAAGACTGGTAGACCGGACCCCGAGAACACTCAAGGCAGTATTCACGCACAGCTCGTGCGAAGCAGTGCAGATTGGTCAAGTGGTATCCTGACTGAGCACAGCATTCAGAACGCATACTGTGAGGTAATCAGGAACGCCCAGCACCTTGTCTACATCGAAAATCAGTTCTTCATCACTTCGACGGGAGAAGAACAAGCACCCATCCACAACCAGATCGGTAAGGCCATTGTTGATGCTTGTGTCAGAGCAGGCAAGGAGGGTCGCAAGTTCAGAGTTATCATCGTCATTCCGGCTATTCCTGGATTTGCTGGCGACCTGAGAGACAATGCTGCCGCGGGAACAAGGTAAGTCGTCTTGAGCTGCAAACATCAAGACGAGGACATGCTGACGCACCTCCAGAGCCATTATGGATTATCAATACAAGTCCATCAACAGAGGTGAACACTCTATCTTTGGTCAGATCAGGAAGCAAGGCGTAGATCCTGAGAACCATGTGTTCGTTTTCAATCTTCGCTCATACGACAGACTGAACAAGACACCCGCATTGAAGAAGATGGAAGACGAATCTGGTGTTACTTATCAAGAAGTACAACGTGCTCAAGCTGAAGAAATCATGTCTTCAGGTGTCCACGGTGGTGCCGAGTCGTCCTCATCAGACGAGGGTGAGTCTGAAGATGACGAAAAGGAGCACTTCTCGAGCCGCAAGAAGAAGTTCGAGGCCCGTAGAGCGGCAGCTGGACTAAGGAATGATCAGGTTATCAGCGAAGACAGTGTGGCTAAGAACGCTATGTTGGGCGAAAAGAAGGTTAGCGAGGAAAAGTGGGATGAGAGTGACTTGGAACAAGAGAAGGCGAACTGGGTACAAGAAGAGCTCTACGTTCATGGCAAAGTAAGTCCAACTTTCTCTCAAACACAGGGCAAGCGTGCTAACTTCTGACCAGGTATGCATTGTTGATGACAGAATTGTTCTCTGTGGAAGCAGTAACATCAACGATCGCTCTCAACTAGGATATCACGATTCGGAGCTCACAATCGTCATGGAGGATACCAATGTGCTCCCTTCGATCATGGACGGCCGCGAGTACCAAGCCGGTCACCACGCCGCGACCCTGCGTCGCATGCTGTGGCGTGAACACCTAGGCTTGTTACCTGCACAGCCTCTGGATGCAGAGGAGGACCCCAACGCTCAACCTCCGGATGTCTGTCCCAACACCTGGCATGAAGGAGACGAGTATGACAGACTTGTCGCAGATCCTTTGTGCGACGATGTCTGGAACTTGTGGACTCAACAAGCGACCACTAACACCGAAGTCTTCCGCCATCTCTTCCATGCGGATCCCGATGACAACATCCGTACATTCGAGGATTACCAAAACTTCCTCCCGAGAAATGACATGAAGCAAGGTCATCTTTTCAACAAGTACATGCCAGACGACGAGGTGAAACGCGCCCTCGACAAGATCAGAGTAAGTTGGGACTTATCTTTCATCCTCTAATATCATGCATACTAATTTAAAGCAGGGACATCTCGTCTGGATGCCGTTACACTTCCTTGAGAATGCGGAGATGGCCGAAAAGGGACTTGCAGTCAACTACTACACTGAAAGTATTTACACTTGAGCGTCTGGAAGAAACGCCACGGGAGTTGATGACATTGGTTCTCGAGGTGGTAGGTGGGTTCTGTGGCATATCCTTCACGATCATGAGATCACGTTACATATTGCTCAATGGTATAATTGTATTTGCATGATTACGAGACTTTCTCAATTCTGATCACGATCTGTTAATGTGCCATTATTCAGATCCTAGATTCTGAGTTCGATAAGGTTAAGAGCCATAAGCAAAGTCTTTCATGTCCTTTGCAATATCCTTGACGCATTCAATGGCTTTGTCACTCCAAGCAGTCATTTGCAAGAATCCGTGGGTCATCTCCTCATAGTGATGCCACCTGACCTCGTTCTTTGCCTTTTGCAACTTGCTCGCGTACTCGACGCCTACATCGCGCAAAGGATCGAATCCAGACGTATAAATCGCTGCAGGAGGCTGACCACCGAGTTTACTGATATCCTGCATGCCAGGAGAAATGTAGCGGTTTGATGGCGGTACACCTCTGGGCAGATAGTGGTCTGCAAAACTGAAGATGCCGTTGCATTCTAGATAGTAACCTGTGTTGTTTTCAACGGCCGCTGGAGTGTCGAAGGGGACGCGAGCTTCGGGGTAGAGCATTATTTGGCCGGCCATGGGCTTTTGCTTGTTGTCTTGACGGCGTAGGGTTGTTGCTGCTGTCATGTTGCCGCCTGCTGAGTCGCCGCCGCCCAATACTTTTGAAGGGTTTACGCCTCGAGCTTTGCCGCCTTCGCCTTGGAGCCAGTCGATGACGGCCGAGTATTCGTCTAGTTGGACTGGGAAGCGGTATTCAGGTGCTAGCCTGTAGTCTACGCCATAGACCTGTTGTATGTCAGAATGGTGGTCTTCAAGGATAATGTTTACATAGTTGGATGGCTTACCTGAACTCCACTCTCCTCAGCCAACAACCTTAGGCCATTCTCAAACTCATCGACCGAGCCAACTGTATAGCCTCCGCCATGGAAGTAGACCAGAGCTGCTGCCTGGCCGTTCTTGCGCTTGTCCTCGCCGCTCTTGGGATACAAGACTCTGACAGGAATAGTTCCATGAGGTCCACGAACGGCAGTAAACTCAACCTCGCCAATGGGATGAACCTTATCCTTTGGAATATTGTGGATACCAAAGACTTCGAGGTGGTGGTTTCTCTCGTCGTGAAAGTCTTCTTGACCACCAAGGTGGAGTTTTGGGTGGTCCTTCAGGAAGGTTTGAATAGAGGGGTGCAGCTGGCTGCGGGTACCTGTGGTCGGGATCTCAGACATGGTCGAGATTAGGAATTGTGGTGTAGGTTAGACTGAGGCTCAAGATTAGATAGAAAGAGCTTTTAAGGAAGGCACAATATAATTGATACGTCACATTCGGAAGCAGAAGGGAAAGAGCTTCATTGACATGTAAATGATGCTATCCAATGTGTCAAGTCCCGAAATCCGAGAAGGAGAAGGATGCAGTTCCAAAAATCTGGCATCATGCTGCAGAGTGTCTAGCTCTCAGCATATGCGGAGCCCACCTCCGTGTAATGCCTTTCCAAATACAACCAATTGGTGATGTTCGTCATGCCGCTGTCGTCAGAGGTGGAGGTGGAAAAAACGTCAAGCAAACAGAAAGCGTTTGAGGGTTGGAGGGGTTCCGCGGGGTACAAGTCGACGATCGGCAGATTGATATGATACGCGCGTGAATCATTTGAGCATCAGAAAGAGGGCATCAGTTGGGGCAAGTCTAGAAATCGAGGTCAGGGACTTCGCAAGGCAAGCGCGCGACAGAAACATACAGCGCCGCATGAACCGCAAGACTTTCCGCCCGAGATGGCAGCACCGCACTTGGGACAAGAGGAGTGAGACATTGTTGCTGCTAGGAACAAGATTTATTGCTGAGATGGCTGGAGAGAGTGGTTGCTGCCGGTGAGTGAAACAGACTACGGTGTTGCTGTCAGGTTGGAGGAACAGAAACAAGAAAGATGAAAGTGGTAGATGGTCAGCAGATAAAGAGCTTCAGCCTTAGAGTGACCACCCCGCGCAATACTATGCATAGTGGCTTGTGATGAGCGGGACCACTGAATGAGATGCAATTGGAGGAAGTGAGGGCTGACCGCTACTTCACTCAATATTGACTGGCTTTCCAGCAAAAGGACCAAGACTGGCTGTTCAGGAGTGAAAGCTCAGGTACTTCTTGCTGCCGACCTAGAAGGGTTGGTCTGGACCCTCCAAGTCTCTTACGCTGGAAACACTTCACATTCGTTCCTGATCGGAATTGGTCTTGATCTGGATCTCGACAGACAGAGCAGCAGCACACCGTGAGTAATTAGGCACGCGACACCGAAAGTAGTGTGTATGATGGGCCAAAAGAGTTGTCCGGGCGTCTGGATCAGGATACAATCACACCATAATGTGCAGCCAGAAAGGGTAGCAGAAAAAACCTTGGGCTTACGGCGTACACACGCCGAGTTCTCATCTCAACTCGATACTACTCACCACAAACATGTGCTACAAGCGACCAGGCAACTCAGTGTTTGTGCTCAGTGATTGTAGTTGTGCCAAGTGGAGTGGGCACTAGCGGCGATAACGGAGCAAGCGAAGGCAAGCAAATAACTTCTGCGGAGCAAAAATGATCGAGCTCACTACCTCATCATGTGAAGAGAGCAGTGAAGCAGAACTCGCCTCGACGCGATCAATTCATTATCCCGAACGTCGAACCCGCGCGTCGCTCGGCCTCGCAACCCACAACAACCACTTCGACCGTCGACAACCAAGATGCGTCGCACTTGTATCTTCGGCGGCCGCAGCCATCCAGAGCTGACCGACTTCATCTGCGAGAAGCTCGGCAGAAAGCCCGACAAGGTCGAGCTTAGAAAGTTCGCCAACGGAGAGACCAGTGTCGAGATCAAGACTTCGGTGCGCGACCAGGATGTCTTTATCGTCCAGAGTGGTTCCAACAAGTACCTATACCGCAGCGCCCTGATTGCTTATCGGCACGGCTGACAACCTCCCCAGGACCAACGACGATGTCATGGAACTGCTCATCATGATTGCTGCTTGCAAGGGAGGCTCGTCCAAGTCTGTCACTGCCATCATGCCCTACTTCCCCTACTCGCGCCAGTCCAAGAAGAAGAGTCATCGTGGTGCTATTACCGCCCGCATGATTGCCAACTTGATGCATGTTGCCGGTGTCAACCATGTCATTACCATTGATCTCCACGCCAGCCAGATGCAGGGTTTCTTCAAGTGCCCCGTTGACAATCTGGTCGCCGAGCCTCTGCTTGCTCGCTGGATCCGCAGCACTGTTCAGAATTGGAGAGAGGGTGTCGTCGTCAGCAAGAACCCTGGTGGTACCAAGCGTGTGACCTCGTTGGCCGATGCTCTGAAGTTGAGCTTTGGCATTGTCACCACCGACAGAAGACGCCCCAACATGGGCCAGAGCATGTACAACAGCGTCATCTACGAATCCGCAACTGGCGAGAACATGCCCCCTATCGAGGTCCAGTCTGCCGCCAACGAAGAAGTCGAAGCTGAGCAACACATCGACCTCGACCACGCTCCCCCCATCGAGCACGACTTCGCTCCCCAGTCGGGCTCCAGCAAGCCTTCAGACTACGCCAACTCGGAATCTCGCCCCGACAACTTCTCTCGTCGTCCTGCCAAGCAGCGTGCTGCCACCACGATCAACAGCAGGCTGTTGGGTGCACCTGCTCTTCCCAGCCCCTTGGCTCAATTCTCTCGTCCCGACTCGTCAGATGGTCTCAACAAGGATGAGAACGACGAGGAGACCCAGAATGCCTCGCCCAACAAGCCTAGCCGCCCCAGTTTTGGTCTTGACGGTCCCCCTAAGATGCACCGCACAACCACTGCTCTCGGCACTGTACAGCCTCCTGCCGATCACAGCACCGACAACGAAGATGAAGAAGACGGAGACGACGAATACACAGATGAGCGTGCCCGCAACGTTATCACCGGACGCCTGATCCACGGTCATCTTGTCGACGATGATTTCCCCTCTCCAGTCATGTCTGCCATGTCAACCTCCACTCCTGGCCTCTACCCCATGAAGAGCGCCGGCTCCGACGATGAAGAAATCCCCGACCACATGATGAACTCCTTCATGTCCAACACCTCATCTCGTCGTCCTGACTTTGGCCTTGGTGGTACTGGTGACGCTACAGCATCCGATGACGAAGAGGAAGAAGCTCTCCAGGACCCCGAGCTCGAGACCACGATCACCCTTGTTGGCAACGTTCGTAGACGTCCCGTCTTCATCGTCGACGACATCATCGACAAGGCCGGCTCGTGGATTGCCGCAGCGGAGACTGTCGTCAAGAGAGGTGGTGCCACAAAGGTCTACTGCATGGCTACCCACGGTCTCTTCGGCGGTGACTGCCTCCGCGAGATGGATGAGTGCGAGGAGATTGATGCCATCGTCGTTACCAATGCCTTCCCCATCCCTGAGGAGAAGCGCAAGGGTATCCGCAAGTTGGTTATTCTGGACGTGAGCACCTTGCTCGCCGAATCCATCCGCCGCAACCACCACGGTGAGAGCATCAGTCAACTCTTCATGCATCACGATTGATTACGTCGCACGCAAAAAAGGTCAATGGAAAACGTGAACATGGGAGACATGGGAAGAGACGACAAAGGGGGCCTGGTTGCTTTTTGATTTGTTTTCTTTGAGTTGCATTTGGCTCTGGCGTATAGAGGCGTATCATCGTAGCAAGAAAGGGAGGGCCATATCAAGAAAAGGGCATTCACACCGCATGTCTCTAGGACATTGCTTAGCATAACACATTTGAGATCGAAGCACTTTCATCACTCATACTACCTTGTTCTTGCTCTCGCGTTCTGCATGCATCTTTATATGGATCGTTTGATGTAGAACAAGTCGTAAGGTCAAAGTCATGGTTGATGCTCAGCTACCTGTGCTCTATCCATGTTGGTATCAATTTCATACTTGGAGCACGGCAGTCGTGTTGGTGGCTCCCGAGTAGACTTCTCGGGAGCCACCAACACGACTGCCGTGGTTTCGGGCCGCGACGGAGCTCGCAGAACAAAAGTATCACAACCGAAACGTCCCGTCAACCCGACGTCCTCCACTTTACCAAGACAATTTGCATAAAAAAGTAAAATGCTAAATGCACACCGATAAGAAAACAAAATAAAAAAAAGGCGAAACGACTTGGTATTTTAGGAAAAGATGACAAAGGTGTATTGTACAACGATAAACAAAAGGGACAAGAAGAGCACGAACGAGACGGCAGAAAGAGGTTGGAACCAAGAAACAGGGAATATTTATAGATATGTTTTCGTCAAAGTGTCTCTCTCTCTCCCCTCTCACCACCACTCGTGCCATTCATTCTCCTCCAGTGATGAAGTGGTATTCTAAGCGAGCTTCTTGATGACGGCGGCGGCGTACTCGTGGGTCTTGGCTGAACCACCAAGGTCACCGGTGATGGTCTAGGAATACAAGTTAGTGTTGAGTTATAGTAGTAAAGGGCAGAGGAAAAACATACCTTGCCCTCAGCAAGGACATCGAAGATGGCCTTCTCGATCTTGCTGGCCTCGGTGGTGAGACCCATGTGTTGCAGCATCATGATGGAGGAAAGGAGAAGAGCAGTGGGGTTGGCAAGGCCCTTGCCAGCAATGTCGGGAGCGGAACCGTGGACGGCCTCGAAGATGGAGCACTCGTCACCAATGTTACCCGAGGGGGTAAGACCAAGACCACCGATCAAACCGGCGCACATGTCGGAAAGAATGTCACCGTAAAGGTTGGGCATAACCAGGACCTTGTCGTTGTAAGGGGTGGGGTCAGTAACGACCTTGAGGCAGGTGTTGTCGAGAAGCTCGGCATCGAACTCGACGTTGGGGAACTCCTTGGACAGCTCGCGGGCGGTGTTGAGGAAGAGACCATCAGACATCTTCATGATGGTGGCCTTGTGGACGGCGCGGACCTTGTTCTTGCCGGTCTCCTGGGCGTACTGGAAGGCGAAACGCAGGACACGCTCGGAAGCCTGACGGGTGATGAGCTTGATGGACTGAACAACGCCGTCGACAACGACGTGCTCAATGCCAGAGTATTCTCCCTCGGTGTTCTCACGGATGAGAACGGTGTCGACGCCATCGTAGGGGGTCTTGTAGCCGTGGATGGACTTGCAGGGACGAAGGTTGGCGAAGAGGTTAAAGGTACGACGGAGAGTCAGGTTGAGGGAGACGTGACCCTTACCAACGGGGGTCTAGAAGGGAGGATGTTAGTGAAAAGCGCATGGAAGAAAAGAGAGAATGGCTGGTAGAGATTGCGCGGGAGAGGGCAGTGTTGGTTGAGCGAAGCCAGAGAGTTATCACGTACGGCGAGGGGACCCTTCAGGGCGACGTAGTTGCGCGAGATGGACTCGATGGTCTCGTCGGGAATGACGGTCTTGCCGTCCTTCAGGCGGGGGGTGACATCGACGGGCTCCCACTTGATGGGGACGTTGGCGGCCTCGAAAATGTCCTTGACGGACTGGGAGATCTCGGGACCAATACCATCACCCTCGATGAGGGAGACAGTGTACTTGCCGTCGTTGCCCTTGGTACCCTTGAACTTGCCGACCTTATCGTCGGCGGCGACAGCGTAGGAGCGAGCGAAGGAAAGTCTGGTGAACTGCTGCTGTCTGGCCTGGCGCAGGCACTGGCGAGCAGGGGTGGCCAATGATCTCGAACCGAGCATGTTGAAGAACGTGGGTAGAGGGACGAGGGACGACGACGGGGAGAGGAGATGCTGCCGGTAAGGGTTGCGAAACAGAGCAGTAGCAGTAGCAGCAGCAACAGTAGCGAGTCGGAGCCGGTAGAGCAAAGTCGAATGCCAAGCCTGCCGCCGTCCAAAGTACGTTGGCGGTAGCTGCCCGCTCGGTCAAACTCGGACCGCAATCTTGCACAACCCCCACACTCGGCTCTGCACATCTATGCACGAGCAAGAGACACGCTGCATCCATCCCCACACGAGTCCCGAGCTATCTATGTAGCATCGATAGACCTGACTCTCGCATCGAACAATTTCCAATGTCTGCCGAGGTCGAGCGAGAGCTGTTGAACCACTACAAGCTCGACTCGTTGTATCCCTCGGAATGGCCTGACCGCGACGACGACGACTACGACAGTGACGCCGACCATGACGCGATAAACACAACCCATACCGAGTCCAAGTACGCTGCCCTGCATCGCTCCCTCTCTGCTGCTGGAGGGAAGAGATCCGACAACAGCGTCCAGAAAGATGAACCGGACCCGCTAGGCATTGTCCCGAGTGTCGTCCACGAACTGCGCCGTCGTGGCCTGCCTGTAGAGGAGAACCTACGTCTACGCAATCGCTTCATGCTGTCCTCGACCACCTTCTCGCCCAATCTGTTCCTGTCGCAAGTCCACCACGATGCTTCGACCGATTCTCTCCTCAAAGGTCTCCACTTCTTGTCTGGTTCTATCGAGCAAAAGTCTGCCTCACTCAAGTTGCTGGTCGAGTCCAACTTCGAACGCTTCGTCAAAGCTAAGGCTACTCTTGACAACGTATACACCGAGATGCGCACTCAAGGCCAGCAAACTATGCCAGTATCGCCAGGCCACCAAAGAAGACATTCAAGACACACCAGTCGAGGAGGCATATCACATTTCCGCACACCTAGCGGAGCCCTGTCACCCCCTGCTGTGAACAAATTGCCAGACAAGAGAAAGAATGCCTTGACAAAAGAGAGCGAATATGGTGTCCTTGGTATCAAGGCTCCTCTTATCGAGCTTGGTGCTAAAGCTGAGGAAGTCTGGGGTCCTGCACTGGGCGGTCGTGAAAAAGAAGAAGATCTCAAAGCTGTCCTGACCTATCTTGAAAAACATCGTGACGTGTTTGGAATCGGCCAGGCCCTACAAGATGCCATTCGCAAAAAGGACTATGACTCTCTCGTATCCGAATACAACCGTGCTAAGAAGCTTGCCAACGATGCCACTAGAAAAGCCGATTCAGGTCAAGAATTATCAGATGCAGACGTCCATCAAATCTTGATCGCTGCAAAAGTTTGGTCAGATGCTCAATCACAGATTGGCGCTTTCAAACGCGAATCTCGTAAACACCTTGCTGCTGCTAGGACTCGCCGCTCCACGCCATCTGCTGCTGCGCAACCTGATACGACCATGCCTCTGATTGCTACCCTTCTACAGATTGACATGGACGACAACCCCATCACGTTTTGGCTTTTTAGCCGGTACAACAACCTCAAAGAGAAGCTCACTCGTTCTTTTGATCGTATGCGCGTAGAGATTGAAGTTTCAAGACGGCGTTTGGCATCAGCAGAACCACCTAGCCTCCAAACATCGAAACTTCACCTTCAATCTGCTGTGGCCAACCTTGTACAAGATCGGAACATGACTAACACTTCCAATGCTATGGATGCTTCCAAGATAATCGATTTCTGGGAGAAGATTCAAAGCGCGCTCAATAGCTTGCTGTCCGCACAAGGAGGTCTTCTAGGAGAAATTATAGAATTTTGGGAGACTGCAGAATCGTTCATTTCTCACAAAGCTCAGAGAAATCTACCCACTGGAGTCTTTGCTTCTGAGGGCCGACAACATCTTGATCTCAGGGAGGATGAGATAGCCCGCCTTCGGCAATCCGCTACCGACCTACTCAACAGCTTGCGCGAAAGCATCTTTTCGTTCTTCGTCGACTCACCAGTCGAAGACATATCATCCTTGTTCTCGCCAATTCCCGCAACACCTGATACTCCTTCATCTAGTCTGGCCAGCGACCAGCGGATGTTCTCGTTCGATGTGAACAACATCCCTGAACCCTCGCCAAAACGAGGGGAATCTTGGGAGAAATACGCTTTTTGGGCCCCCTACGCAAATTCATTGAGTGGTGTTCATTATCTCAGCAATATCCTACTTCTCGTTGGGACATCAGCGGGCGAGGTCGCTGGTCTTTCCATCGTCAGAGACAACTACCGCATGGCAGAACAGCTCAAGACCATGGTCAGTGGAGTGCGCGAACGCTGCATTCAGGCTGTTTGCGCCGCTTGGAACGTCGACTCTGATAAAACCAGATATCTTGAGGATTGGACCAGGCATGCGGATCGCCGCGACCTCACCAACATGCCTTTCCGCTTCAATGCCTTCGAGGAAACCATTCTTGGTGATATGCAGAAGATCTTGTATATTTCCGGTGCAATGTCTCGTCCTGGTTATGAGGATGTTGTTGGGCCTCCACCAACCAAGCTTCTGCAAATGGTCAGACATCAGTTCATCACCAGCATATATAAAACGCTTAGTGGTGCTGTGGAGAACGCAGAGAAGAACAAGAAGATTGGAGAATCAGGTATTGACGACCCAGATGGTCTCACAGTACCGGCAATGCAAGGAGGCTCCACTACAGATACGAACATTGCGACTACACGAGCGACGGACAAGGTAAGTCTAAGAACTATTCTCAACAGCCATCAAGAGCTAACATCAATATAGAATGTCCGTCTGTTACTCACACTTAGCAACCTGAATCATCTGCGTCGCGAAGTAGTGCCTCAACTGATATCACAATTCGAATCTTCCTTCTCGATCAAGTTCACCGACGAATCCAAGCAGATCCGCGATGTGCTCAAGCAGATCGATGATCGCTTGTTCCTAGGCTACGTCAAGCCTACGACCACACAACTCCGCGATATCATCACAGCTGGTATCTCCTCTCCAAACTGGCTACCTAAAACCTCTTCACGACCCACAAATGCTCGTCCCTACATCTACGATGTATTGCTTGCCTTGGTATTAGTACACACCGAGGTTTCCACAACAGCAAGCACATTGACCTCTCCTCTCCTGTCCCACTTCCTCGAATCCGCGAGTGAATCTCTTCTTGCAGCTTTCTCTGAGCGGCGGACATATTCCCTCACGGCTCTGATGCAAGCAACTCTTGACGTCGAGCTGCTCGCCCAAACCCTTTCTAACTTTACCACCGAAAAGGCTTCAGAGATTCAGTCGAAGATATACTTGGTGCTTGATGAGAGGACGGATGCGGATGCAAGGACTAGGCTTCAAGCCGAGTTGCCAGAAATGAGGGCGATTCTAAAGAAATTGAGGGAGGGTACCAAGGGCCAATTTGGATGCTTCAGGAGGGAGAGGAGAGCTAGAAGCGAGAGGCCTGGTAGTTCGAGAAGTGGTGGGACTGCAGGCACCGGGTCGGTGGTTGGATAGAGATGAAATGCAATATCATTGCGTTTTATGTCATTTGGATTCTGTCATATTGTTGTTGAGCGATGTCCTCCAGACATGTACAGACGTCGGCTCTTAAAGAAGGGAACTTTGGAAAGTGCGATCGCGAGATGAGTCCTTCCTAAAGTACGGATTTCATGCAGACATGGCTCTTTCCCTCAACACCTTAGCCCAAACGAATGAAATTGAAAATTTCGAGCCCGTACTCTCCATCTATCATCGAGCCACAGCGCATCTATCAGGGACGGTGCAGCCACGCGACGCGCTTAATTCGGCTTCCCTCAAGGGGTTCGTGAGACCCGATTCTACCACGCAAGCATCCCTCTGCTGAAGCTTTCATGCTGATTCAAGTCTGCTTTTGTGCTGTCGAATCGACTTGCGTGGAGAAGCGGGTTGCCCAATCAAAATACGACGACTTGCGTTTGATGATGTGGTTTGGGACAAGATTGTCGAAGTCGAATTTGCGAATTGGTAAGTCTGTGCATATATCATCGCGAGCTGATCCGCAACAGTATGGCATGACTGTCTTTAACTGACCCCGTCTTAGAGGATCCTGGATGCGATGCTGTCTTCTGCTTCGAACTCGTCGTACTCTTCCTCAGCCATCTGCTCACCAGCCATAACGAACCTGTCCGCATCCGTGCTTTGAATCCAACGTTCGCCAGCCTTTCCAGGTTGCTTCCATGGTGGTACTTCTCCTGGGCCAACCTTTCCTACACCCCTTTCTCTCCACTTCTTTGGAGGCTTGAGACCTTGCTCGGCCATCTCTGACCATTTCCTCTCGCCTCTTTTCTCCCATCTTTCCCTCCTTTCTTCTGCCTCCTCCTCGGTAGGCTGCCATTTACTCTTCAGGATCCTTCGAATAGCCTCTGGCGTGACCTTGAAGTGCTCAGCCAAAACAGCTGTGCTAAACATCTCTGGTGACTTGGCGTGCATAGCTCTGATACCAGCCAACGCATCTGGAGAGATCCGCTTTCTAGGGTTCCAACTCTGCTCTCCAAATTTCTCTTCCAGGGCTGCCTTTTGTACTTTCCAGCGGTCTGAATTGCGATTACGCTCCTTTTTTGCTTGTTTAGCTGCTGCTTGCTCTTGGACGAGTTTTTCGACTGCGGCCTTTTTTGCCGCCTTTTCTTCCGCTTTTCTAGCTTTTATTGCTAGAGCTATCTTGTCGGCTTTTGCTTGAGAAATGGGTTTAGGTCGTGTCGCCGATGCGATCAATGAGGCGACATCGGCGGCCTCTTGGTCTTGGACTGCTTGTTCCAGGATGGCCGCTTGAACCTCTTGCCTTAGAGCTGCCCTTTTTGCCTTTCTGTCTTCTTTTGCTTTCGCTTTTGCGACAGCCTTAGGGGACACCTCTGACAGAATTGTAGTATCTGAATCCTGAGTTGTCTGTGTCGGTGGAATGGTTTGTATCTCGCCTGCTTCCGCTGCTCTTCTTGCCTTCTTGCGTGCATTTTTGCCAGGATATTGCTGTTTCGGTACTGGAGCAGAGAAAATACCGAGTCTCTGATTGAGCGAATCTAAAACATTAGGCTTGGACTCGGGTTGTGCTATTAAGTCTGGGAAGAATATAGCATCGATCGCTTGATCTCGATCTTTTAGGTCTGATTGCTGTATGCGCGCATCTCTAACGATCGGGTCGGCCGTGGTCTGCGCCTGCTCTTCATGTATAGTGATTTCTGGCTCAAAGTCTTCTAAGCTCCCAGGCTCTTGATCCGGATCGAAAGGCTCGGGTTTTTCCTGAATATTGTTCGAATGTGACGTGTTCGATGAACTCTCGTCGGTCGCAGTCTCAAAGGGAACAAAAGCATCATCGACAGAGCTAGCAAGACTATGCGCTTGAGAAGGAAGGAATCGGGGTGACGAGTGTCGAATCTGTAGTGCTGACCGTGTGCTCAGGTTCCTAAAGCTGATGTTGTTTCGTCTCTGGCGGATTTCGAGGCCAGCGACATCTCTGACGAATGCCTCCAGAGCTCGCACAGAGCAAGGGCACCTGTATGATCGCTGCATATGTTGTAGTGATCGAGTGGACTTATTTCTACAAGCCAAAGAGGATCAAAGGATCGAGATAATTCGCCTGGATTTGACCTAGACCGCCTGGCAGATTTTAAACCCGTAAATTCCGGTGCATAAAAACACTTTGATGGCCACAGCTTTGTTGATGACGCTAGACGTCCTTCCTTACTACATATGTCTGGACCGATTAGACCAATTCTCGAAGAACCAAATGAATTTCTGAATGGTTGAGTTGCAGTAGCAACAAGTTGTGGAAACACTTGAATCGTGCACGGCAAACAGAGAAGACTGCACCCATTCCGTAGGATGATGATCTTTGGAATAGTGGTTCAGATGACCTTCTAAAGTCTATAACAAGTCTACAAGAGGTTCCAGGCACTCCTAATGGTCCAGGTTGCTATACGCGCTCCCAACCAGCCAATTCCACCCACCACAAGTCCGATGACTGACACTACACCAATGCCCATAAGCAACCATTTGAGGCTGGCCGTTTCCAGCTCTCTCGACAACTTGACTTCTTCGACACCACCCATCTCGGTCATAATACTGTACTCGGGCACGTATTTGAAATCGAAAGTCGTCTCTTCCTTTAGTCCTCCCTTGACGATGATCTTCCAGAATATGTCTCGCAGCACCACCAACTTCTTTGCGTCCGTGGACTTGTTCATGCGGTTTGTATAGCACCAGAATCCGAAGAAGATACATTGACCAGCCATCAGAAGTGTGTAGTATATATTTGGCTTTGGAAGTGCCAGAGCATCGCATAACTCATTGCCATTCAACCATCGAGCTCCCGCGAGCAGGAAGTCTGCACTTGCATAGCCTGGCGGTTTATCTTGCAGACTTCTGATGACGTTGTTGGCGAGTATTTGTGATGTGCGTGTCGGCGCGATTTCGTACATCATGATGCTGTCGAGAATACGTTTGCTTTGTTCTTTTGTTTCTAGGAGCCCCTCGGTTGGACAACCTATTACGTAGGCTATGTATCGCCATAGCGCAATGTAATCTTCGATTTCTTGGGGACGTAGGTAGATGCCTTGGCGTGGTAACGAGATCCAGATGAGCGCACTTGAGAAACTGACGATTGTGCCAACACAGTCCATGTCGTTGATAGGAACTCCCAGTTTTGCAGTGTCGAAGTATTCAGGTCGTGTTTCTGCCAGCTTCATGATGCGGTTTCGTACTGTGGCATGTAAAAGGCGTACTCGTATCGTGGCTGCCCATCCCTCGCCTCCGGGTTGTATGTCTTTCAGTGACCTCGTGCACTGCAGAAGGAATTGTGTGGTTTCGAAGAGACGATTCCTCGCCACGTCTACTGCAAACCCTCCCGTTCTCGATAGAACCTCGGTCACGCGAGCTGCACCAAGTCCACCGAGAAGAGATTGGTATGCCAGTCCAGTAAGAACGGGTCCACCATATCTGTAAAAGACATCCTGGCCACGAGAAATCTGATCCCAGTCCACCCAATCCGGTACTGTATTCACTTGTTGCCACAACTGTTGCAATACCTCATCCTCTGCAGCATGCTCTTGAAGCAAAGCAAACAAATCCCTCTTAGGTTTAACATCCGGTTTCGGTTGCTTCTCATCATCAGGAAAAGGTTCTTTGCCTTCTGACTTCTTAGATGGATTGCGTGGCTGCGGTGGTGGTGGTGGCGATATCTCGTTTAGTCGATTTAATGCCTTTTCACCAAGATAATCCCAAGTCTGTTTTGCCGGGTTCATTTGTTCCAGAGTCAGGTGCTTGTCTGTGCGCTCAAATTTGTAGCCCCATACTCTGTATCATGTGTAAGAATCTTGTTGGTGTGGCTGGATTCGCCTTCTGGATTTACCTGACTGTATTGGGAGAATCTCGTCTGAACCACGCCATCTCAACTGAATTAAATGATAGAAGAATAGATAAAAATTACAGAAGGCAAGGACCAGAATGATATTAAAAAGCTTCTCAAGAGGAAAATGAAGCAAAGATCTAGTCTATACGACTGTATTTCAATTCGCTTGAAGCCGGCAAAACGGTATGGTAGTGTCGTCATGTATGATTAACTTTCGGATGCTTAGGGACCCTTAGATCAACCTGTACATAACCAGACTGTTTTGCATCTCGTCGTAGTAGATACTTACTAGACGACAAATTATATCTTTATCCCTACAGTCATTCAGATGTGTTGCTGCTGGTGAAGAGTCCGATGAGGTATGACGCGAGGACAAAGCATCCGAGGAAGTCGCCACCCTAGACCGATCACATTCGACCTTGAGAATTTCAGGGATACTATTATGTTAATTGCCGCGAGGCAGATGCAAAGTCTAGATAACAAATGTATATGAAGGTGTAGAAGTATAGGTAAAACTCCGAGGCTCTTGCCTGACGAGCATGCTACCAAAAACATGCCATAAAAACACCCTTGCGCCGAGAAATTGGTCATTCGTTCCTGGGATTGCTTTCTTCTCTTTTCAACTGCTCGATACGAAAGGTCGAGACCAGATCATTATTTCATATCCATGCCAAATATGTGCAACGCTAAGGTGAGAAAAATACATCATGCTGAGGAGAGATCGGAGTATCGAGAGTCGACTATGCGCGTCTGAAGAGCTCTCGCAATCCTCTTCGGTCTCCGTTCTCAATGTGACAGCTGCGTTCGTAGAGAGCCTGAGATAGTGCGTTAGTCACCGCTTACAGATTGTGCTCGCATCCAGTTCACTCACTTCGTCATCTCTGATCATATTGCTGTTCAGAATCAGAGCCAACAAGTCATGGTTCCTAGGGCCAAGCATCGAGTTTCTGTATGGCAGACCCTGAGCTCTCTGGATGCCAACTATGGTCTCTCCCATGACTTCAAACTTGCGCCAATTGATTCGGCCATTGGCCTCGTCCCCAATATACGTTTTGTTGCCTTCTGCGGCAGCAACAAGATCTCTGATTGGGAGGGGTAAGAATGGTATTCTCTCTCCGCTCGAATTGTCCCAAGCTAAACGATAAGCCGCGTAAGAACGAGTAGGAGACATCAAAATCTCTAGCTTCATCCAGTCTTTGCCGGTCTCTGGTGACAGCAATTCTCGGGTAGCGGCAAGTCTGTGGACAGCAGCACTGCTAATGCCTGCGAGAAATGCTCCGAGCGAATTGTAGTTGTTCATCTCTCGCAGCTTGCGAGCGACATGCATGAGTTTCTCCAGCATCAAGACTCGATGCTTGGCCTTTTCCCTAAGCAAGATCAAATTGGCCACCCAGTCCCGGACGTGATTGAAATGCTCAATCATGCGACTGACGTGCACCAATGACTTGCATTGTGCTTTTTGTGCCTGAGACAACGAGACATGTCGTACTAAATCGCGTGGACGAACTGCACTAAACATGATCCAGTCGATGCGTGTCAGCTCGCAAGCGATGGAATCTGTCGGCGTCTCCATCAATACGTGCCAGTGCGATTTACTGATCGGGGCTTTTGGTGTCGGGACAAGTGATGGGCCCTGTCTCCTCGCTGCATCGACGTTCTGGAGCATCCCGAAATCGGTGTGCAAGGAACCCATTTGGTTTCTGCTTTGACCGCCGTCAAGAGACAAACTCCCAAGATTGTCGCTGAAATCAAAGTCAGGGTCGTCCAAGAGTGTGCTTACTCGAGACGACCAGCTGAGGTCAGGGCTTAATAGACCACGTTTCTCGCGGTCCATATCACAACATGCCCAATTCGTGTCGTCGTCCTCTGTTACGACATCCAGGTCGCAACTCATCTCTCGTGCTGCGGCCGAGAAGATACGAGTATTCGATAATTTGGCGACAAACGTACGCATCCGACGCCGGGTCTTGATGTGTGCGAAGTCGCCAGGATATGTACGAATCCATTGCTCAATGACGGATAGGTAGCGCAATTGTGAAGCTGTTTTGGTCATGAATGGACCATCCTCCTTTTCTAGGGCTTCGAAGCGGTGTACTATCGCCTCGAGTAGCTGACCGGGAGCAGCAAACTTTCGATATAGAGCAAGGAAGACAGAACCGAACCTCGAATCGGCCTTTGACTTCGGCAGCTTTAATAGGCGGTCGACAAGATTGTCGAAAGAATAGCCACGCTCGTCTGAAGGTGCTTCTGATTGACTGTCAACGTCAAGACCGCCATCCTCGGATGAGGAAACATGTTCAGAGCGCGAAGAGTCGGTCATGTCGTCGCGCGAACCGTCCAAAGCTGTATTGACGTCGACAGAGGGATGCGTGGCATTCGGAGGACCTGTAACCATGGTTGTAGAGTCGTGCCGTGAATCCTTTCGCATAGTATTAGACTGTACGGAGCTTGCTCTAGCGTGGTTTGGAGACGGGTGTGATCGAGGAGATTGGCCAAAAGCTAGAGCAGATGATATGGTTCGTCGGCGAGACAGAGCAGGATCTCTCTGGGCTGGTAGTCAGTCAGCAAATGCAATCGTCATGACAGCAGTGGGGCAGTCTTGACAAACAAGACTTGTTTGTGCGGTAGACGCGGCGGGGCAGAAAGGAGAGGATCGAGAGTGGGAGCGACTTGCCAGCAACAGCTCGCAACAGAGTGGCTATTCCCCTTGTGTGCGAGTCTACATGTAATGTGGAGGATTGGACAGTGTGGAGGGAGCGGAGGATGGCTTTGACTCGCTGCTCAGTGTTGTTTGGGTCGAGCTGGCGGTCGGTGCGGTCGCATTTGTTGGAGACGAGAAGAGAAGGAATCGAGGATTTTTCGAGGGCATCTCGGCAGGGGTTAGTTTGGTTGTGGTGGTGGTTGGCAGTCAGCAGATTGGAACTCACTCAGCACGACTGGGACGTCCTCAAACGAGTCTTTGTTGGATATGTCGTACAGAGTGCATGCAGCGTCGACTGTGGGCATGCGCGGGTCGGTGGGCCAGGTGATCCTGTTGTCCTTGTCGATGATCACGTCTTGGAGCTGGCACTCCAGCATGCGCACCTGGAAAGCGGCGCTGTCGAGGTTGATGCGACAGGAGCTGACGGCAGCGGTGGGTTGCAAGCTGAGGCCCAGGGAGTGCTGGATGAAGGACGACTTGCCCACAGCGGTGGCGCCGACGACAGCAATGTTGACTTGGTGCTCAGCGTCGTTGTTGGTCTGCAGGAAGCCGTTGGAACGGGTTTCGGTATCAATGCCCAAGCCCTGCAACGCAGACGTCTGAGGCGCTGCGCCCGTCAGCGAGCCCTGCCATGGTTGCTGTTGGCTCTGCTCCTGCTCCTGGCCCTGGCCGTCTGCATATGTGGACGTCGTAGCGGGCGATGAATGCGTGCGCTCCAGGGTGCGTGGTCGCGTCGAGAGGGGCAGCCTCAAGACTGGCTGCTGGGCGTGGTGGTCTTGTTCAGGGTACTGCGGTTCCGCCATTGTCTTGTTTGCAAGGGCAGCAGCTGCGGCATGGCCAGGTCGGTGTACAAACAGCTACTCTACAACAAGATGCATTTCTCGACGAGTCAAAGAGATGCGCCGCGACTTGCAGCCTCCGCCGTCCAGCCCAGTGCCAAACCTCACGCCGCGAGTCCGTGACGATCATCTCTCTCCTGCCAAGCGAAGCCGACTGAACTCGTCTAACCGCTCCCACAAGTCCTGCCTGCTCCGCCCGCTCCCAACCCATCGTATGCCCATCCCTGCTCTCATCATATCTGCAAACCTTCTTTTTACTGCTAGTCTGTTTCGATCTGCCCATATTCATGACCATTGTGTCTTTGATCTCTCTGTCGGGGCTCGCGTCTGGACTGAATCGAGACATGGGGTCTGGGTTTGGCTTCGGCCTGCATCCGAGAAATATAACGGCTCCACGTGCGACGCTCCACCATGGGCCTTGCGCTTTCACTTCTTAGCATGAAATCCCTAAGCCTCACACATACAAGGCCGCCAACGTGATTCATGTCCGCTTTGATCTACAAGTACTCTTGCCTGTTGCTAACTCAAGAGGCGGTCAAGTAACTGCCGAGTTTTATCAGCCGCAGCACTTATTACAGCCCACAGCGTCCTCCACTGCCCTTGTCTCAGAGGAACCGGAAGCTTGCTGGGACTGCCTTTCCGCCAACACTCCTATGACCTCAGCATCTTTGATGAGCTTTCAATGGAAAGACTCACCAGAGTTGAAGTCACTTACCATTCTCGATATTCTTCAAAAACCAAGGCAGGGTTGGCTCCCTTTCTGTTGCAGACCTATACGTAGTCACGGTCGTCGAGGCACATGACCACGCAGACACTGCTACACTGGTGTCGCTAGTTGTGCTGTCATGCCGAAGACAGATACTCCGGGCATTGCTTCTTAATGCACATACATGATGATCCTGGTCTCGACCCTTGATCGCATAGCTATTAGACTCTCCAAAGGTATGATGACGTCAAATGTCATTCATGAGTTCATAATTCACTTAGACATCCTTTCTCTGCTTCCATCAACACAGACAATCTCAACACATACTAACATCATGGCTCCATCTGGCTTGGCAATTCTCTTAGGTGCAGGTCCTGCTACCGTGAGTGCATCTCCCACCATGGGATCTATCTGTACTAACAGTGTGAAAGGGCGCTGGCATTGCACGTGTGCTGGCTGATCCAGCTCGTGGTAATATGGCCGTCGCGTTGCTTGCTCGACGATCTGAAGTGCTGAACGACTTGGTGACTGGGCTGAAATCGTCTCTCGACAACCCGGTCGTCGAGGCCTTTCCCTCAGACACCTCACCTGACTCTTTAAAGAAGGCTTTCTCAGACATCCGTCAGCATCAGTCTTTCAACGGCCTCAAGTTGCGTGTAGCCATTTACAACATCAAGCACTCTTCTAAAAAGCCTTTCCTAGACGAAACATATGATCAATTTACCGACTCGTTGGAGACCTATGTGGGTGGAGCCTTCACGTTCGCACAGGAATCTCTCAAGCGTTTTTTCGCGGACCATGGAGAATCGACTCTGGCAGAAGGCTCCTCCAAGAAAGGTACGCTGATCTTCACTGGCACGCTTGGTGCTCTGAGATGCAATGCCGAATTCGCAGCATATGGAGCTGGTAGATCAAGCGTAAGGCAGCTGGCACAGACACTTGCTCGCGAATTCAGTGCAAAAGGTGTCCATGTGGCACATTGCATTGGCAATGGGTCTATCGAAGACAAGAATGGCGAGGATCAGAAGAGCGGCAAGAAGATCTCAGCTGAAGCTGTTGGAAAGACATACTTGTGGCTTTCGGAGCAAGAGCCATGCTTATGGACTCACGAACTCGATATGAGACCCGCACAGGAGAAGTTCTAAGCGGACTATAGGTGTTGTTAGGTCGCCAACCTCCGCAACCGCCTTGTCGACCCAGGCCTTGGGCTCAACAGAATTGCGCTGCTATCTTGTATAACCGTATCTATCGTTAATAATGCCAAGGTACCAAGATTAATCTCTTGTTAGCGGCATCCGCCTGATTTTGATTGTCACTAGAGTCTAGACATGAGGAAGCGATAGTAAGGGAAGATCTGGACGCCGCCAACACCAACGCAGGATATTTCTCCGTCACGCCACTCGGTTGCGGGGGGCTGCGGATGACTGGCAGGTAGGGCATGACAGGCGGCCTGCACGCATCTACTCGATACTCTCGAATACTGCTCTCATACACACAGTTCTGTCATCACAACAACCATCCACAGGGAGTGCGATACTGAAAGTTGTGATTGCTACATCGGTCGATCACTGAAAAAAGCTGAGCGGACGCCAGAACCACTCTTCTGGTTTGAGGTTTATAATCTTGCAAAGCCCAGATTTCCTGATGAGGATCCTAACGAGACGAGCTCGTGCCTCGGAAGCTCTTGGATCCGTCGGAAGTGGTACAGATGATACCTCAGGACTTGCTCATGAATACATCTCGATATACCAAAGACACGATTTGACACGCCGGGACTGATGCAGATATCGAAATTGAATCCCCCTCCCTTCTCGCGACCCATTCAGCCAACTGGTGAGCGACCCGTGCTTGTTACCATCCCATTACATGTTTCCGCATCCATTCGCAGTGCTTCAGCTTGGAAAGAATTATTCATTATTGGGTCTGGCTAGAGGACTGTGACGGTTTGGTGAGTTCTACACGGCCATCAAGAGCGACATGCTTGCCTTTTGAGTGGTTGTCCGGACAGCAGGACCACCTGGCTCTCGTGGAGACTTTCTACCTTCGGACAGGCAAGTGCCACAAGCATCGTGTGCTTGTGTCGTCCAATGACCGCAAATGTGAAAGTACGTGCATTGATGTTTGAAGAATCCTCCTTGGCCAGCACTCATAGTGAGCAAGACTGATGCTATATTGCAATACGACAGAGGCAACAGAGGATGCTCAGAACTGATAGCAATCTGCTCGGATGTTGGCAGGGCCTACCTTATAAGATCCTGACATGATCAGAATCTCACTGTCTTGTCAGCAAGAGTGTGCCGTTCGAGTGCATGCTGTTGGTCCTTTGTCGTTTTCTATCTCCTCTTCGATGCAGTAGACACAGTGTGGGAGCGCCACGTTGTTATTGTAGGTTGAATGTCGCCGTCAAGAGCGATGCTGTTGGTAACCAATTTATCGGATAGACTTGCAGCTGTAGACGCCAGAAGAGGGGTGCATACCATCGACGACGCGCAGTTCGATGAGAGTCAACAGCACCAACTGATCCCGAGCAGCTGAAGACAGCACACTGAAAGGCCCGTCTCTCGGTCTTACCACTTTGTGATAGACTCCACAGGATTATCGCTCCGCGAAGCACAGATGTCAGTCAAGCCGGGGCTAAGCACGCGCCAGAACTTCACACAAGCTCGTCATGCTCGTATCGAGAACAAGCTTCGCGGTGTTCACATGTGCCTATCCAAGGGACGAGGCGAATGTTAAACTATTCGGCGAATTAAACAGGGCACGGAATAATGTTTCGTAGAGACTTTGACCCAATCAAAGTCTGTACCCTGATAATCAACAGCAGTCGCACCGACTCGCACGCGGGTGGATAAAGTCAGCGAAGAGTTCAGGCACAAGTCTTGATGGAGACAATTCAGGCGGATTGTACCTGGCCAATGTCCAAGGGGCCGGCCAGAGATAAAGGACTGTGGGCATCCTGGCGCCTCATCAAAAGAAAATGATGTGCTCATGCCGCAATCATGGATGCGGAGAAAGGCCGTTGCGACCCTGCGGGGTTTGGAGTAGATCTCGCGTAAGAACATGTTGTAATGCAACCGAGGTGGATGTACCTCGACGCTGGAAACGGACGCTGTTTTGCAGCATCTTGAAGATGCACCTATGCTATGAGTGAGGGTTCTCGGAGCAGAAAGAAGCCGCGTAGAAGATTGGAAAACAATTTGAACAGGGCCTTACAAAGATACGATAACAACTTTCATTGGTTAGGTCCCACCTAGATAACAAATGTGCACCGTGCACTCAGACCTCGGTAACGGGCGCCAGAGGCAGACAGCAGAATGGAACCCACGCGAAGGCAAGAAGAAGACATGGGGTGTGGATATGTAACGGGCTTTCCCTAGCTCGACACATCCAAAGTCAATAATAATAGGTCCCCAGGATGTCGCCTGACATCAAAAGTGTTTTCGAGTTCCCTGAACCTCCTCAAGAACTGTCCCTCCTCGTCCAAACACACTGTCTTGTCTGTTCCTTCGACATCTGAATCCACTTATCAGCCCCCACATCGTACGAACCATACTCGGCCCGGCATCAGAGTGGCTGTGTCTAGATACGACGTTCGATGAGGACGAATTGACGCTGTGATACTGTTCACCACTCTCTCAAGTCATTATGACAACGGCTTGTATCAAGGCGGAAGCCGATGTTGGTGTCGAGCCCAAGCCGACCATTAGGAAACGCAGAAGGAGGACGACAACGACAGGAGCGGCCGACGACTGCTTTACGTGCCGGAAACGAGGTGCCCCATGCGACCGCAGGCGGCCATACTGTGGGCAGTGCCTTGAAATAGGAAAAGATTGTTCGGGATACAAGACGACGCTGACATGGGGCGTGGGCATCGCTAGTCGAGGGAAACTGCGAGGCTTGACATGCCCTGTGGCCGAGAAAGGCGATGGGCCGGTCGGTGTTACCAAACGAAATAGTGTATCGCAACCTCGAAGGAAGCCGTCCACCACCGCTCCTACCTCGGACAGGCCTGTACCTCCACGTATAAACATCACCACCAACCCTGTGTCTCCTCCAACTCAGGAGCCTCTCCACACCCCATCTTATGGCTTGCTATCCCCACTCGACCCTCAACAGCCCATCTTCTGGCAACCTTTGCAGCAATATACACAACCCGACCTTCCGTCGCCAACCTCGCCTTATGACAATTCCCGTCTGGTTCATCAAAGAAACCCTTCCGAATATCCTCTAACACCAGTCTCGCTGGCCTACAATGATGGCTTGCAATCTTCTGCTAGTTACAGCCTGATGGATCCCTCGCCTCGGTCTGTCTCTGATTCTTATTCACAACCGCCGGCCTTCTATCCCGATCCGCCATTAGAAGCCCCTAGTGCCACTGAAGATCTGACTTTCTCTCAACATTCTGATGCCTCTTTCTTCGAACCTTCATACAACGCCAACGGCGCAGATTACAATCAGAATCTACAATCAGAACCCTTTGATTACACTAACCTCGATCTGACCTTGACGAATCCCGAGCAACCCATCAACTCTTTACCAGAGCTAGCCATGTCTATTCCGAGGGCTATGGCCACCTCGTTATTCTATCACCTGTCGCCAAGGATGCAATATTTGCTGGACTACTACGACAAACATATCTGTTCTGTTCTCGTTGCCTTTGACGATAACATCAATCCATATAGGATGCACATTCTTCAGCTCGCCACACACAACGAAGGTCTCCAGAACGCTCTTGCAGCTCTCTCGTTGAACAATATGCGCATGCGATTACATAAGAGAACCCCTCCTAAAGGCTTCATCCAAGAGCTGGACGGTGAGCAGCAGGACAACGATAACAGCATCCTAGCTCGTCCATCACCTGAAGAAAGCTATTACAAGACAGTATCAATCCGTCAGTTACAGTCTCAACTGGCTGACGCGGTTAATGCTCAAGACGATTCTGTCCTTGCTATATTGCTCATTCTATGCTTGTTCCACGTCTGCGACAGTGGATTCTCCAAGTTCAAGACACAGCTTGAGGGTGTGCAAAAGTTGCTGTCGATGCGCGATCCCGGTGTTACAACTGGCTTCATTGGTTGGGTCGAGATGTTCTTTGCTTGGTTCGATGTCATGACATCGACTGTGAACGACAGAGAAACAGAGATACAAGGCGACCGTCTAGACATGCTTCACTACTCCTCTAATCTTGGTGCTCTGGAGCAGTTCTCTGGATGTGATGGTCGCTTGTTCAAGTTGATTGCTCGTCTCGGACGCTTGAACCTTCTGTCGCAAGACCGTCCTGTGCGTCCCGATCCTCGGAACTCAAAAGCATCTTATGGTGCTACCACGACCCCGAAGTCCAAGGACCAGAACACTTTCGCCGTCCCAAAAGCTCGTCGTCCACGTTCGCAGGTCGAACCTATGGACTTTAGCCGATTGGATGGTAATGGCTGGGGCGCTTTACTAGCCGAACCCCTGGAAGACCTCGATACGATCTATAGAGACCACTCGGATACGCGGCAAGAGTTTTGGAAGGAGTGGCATGATATCCGATCTCGGCTAGAAACATGGTCAATGGATAGTCCATGTCTATCGCCCACTGGTCTCGAGCCTTCTGCAGCATCGCTCGAGCCTGGACAAAGAGACCTCACGCATATCAACGAATCCTTCCGCTCATCCGCCTTGCTCTATACTGAACGCCTTGCCCACCCGTTCCTGCCATCGTCGTCTCCAAAATTCCAGGCACATGTTCGCAATGCTCTTTCGCACATCGCTGCCCTGGAAATCACTTCGTGTGTGAACAAGTTCTTGCTTTGGCCCTTGTTCATTGCAGGAACCGAGTGTGTCGATGCAGCCGATCAGGCACTTGTACGCGACAGATGCATAGAAGTACAGATCGAGAGTGGCTTTTTCAACAACATCTCCGTTCTGGATGTTCTCGAGAAGGTGTGGGCTGAGAATGCCACTCAAGATGCGAACGATGCAGATTCCGACGAGGTACAACGCCGAAGAGACAGTGCTAAAGAGAACGGAGATCGCATACAAGCTTTTAGGTGGAGAAAAGCTATGGATAGGGTTGATGGCGAGTATCTTGTCATTTAAGCCTTCGATTTTTATCAAAAAGTCATATGTACACAGAATTGCACATACTAGCATGAGAAACGAAACGATCCAGTCACTTCATTGCAATTTCTGTCAATATTGTGCAGTTCAAAGCTACACGCATTATACGTCTTGATCACGCGGTGGAGGTGAAGAAAGACCCCCAGCACATTACTACCTAACGTCCAACATCACTCAGCTACAGCGACTGGTGTTCACAAATCTTTGAATCGCACTTCATCCATGGCATCGCCAACATTCCAGGATTCGTCCTGAGTGCGCCTCGTTTCGTTTTTTGAGGCCTTACACATCTCCATCAAAGCTCCTTCTGTATAGAGCAACCTTGAGTATGTTTCAAGCTTACTCAGAGCCAATATACGGCATGGTCTCGCTGGTGACGCGAATACGCCTACTGGAAGCTTTGAGCAAGAATCTGTGGCTTGCGATCGTACAGATCCAGGATCATTTGACCGAAAAGCCCGTTCGCCCACGAAAACCAAGGTCGAGTATAGTCTGTTTGATTGAAAGTGTTGATGCTCTCGTGAATCAGACCAAGACCATCGGTACTATTCAGGATCATGGCCAGTTGTTCAGTGATCTCGGTGTCATTGTCGCTGGTCAGTATGCGCACGATAGAAGCCATGGGCCAGGCATATCCAGGACCGTTGTGAGGACCTCCTATAGCGCTGATGACGGGACCGTGCATCCAGTAAGGATTGCGGGTACTCAGCAACAAAGAACGTGTGTTCTGATAGACTTCATCATTAACGTCAAGATAGCCCAGGAAAGGCGCAGATAGAAGCGACGGGATATTGGCATCGTCCATGATGTTCGCACAGCCATAGCCGTCAACCTCGTAAGCATATACCTGCTTGCCATTGACAGTGACGATGCCGTGCTCTTTAATGCCTTGTCTGATACTAGAGGCAAGCTGTGTCATTTGCACGGAAGTGACAGCACTTGCTGAATTGTTGAGCGCGAGCATAAGAGGAGCAGTCGCTTCGAGGTAGTGAGCCAGCATCATGTTGGCAGGAATGAGATATTGGTAGATAGTTGCGTCATCCGAAGGTCTGAAAGCTGAGCGCAACAAGCCGGTTCCACCACTGTAGGGATTGCCTAACCCATCGTTCGCCAGAGTTTCGGTCGCGCGATCACTTACTCTAGTGAAGGTGTAGTTCGACATTTGTACGCGACCATCAGGCTCGTAAGTTGAAGCAGACTGCAGGCTCTCAAAGATCTGGAAAACGTGGTTGATAGCCTCAATCCAATGGTGCTTAGCAAAGAAAGCAACATCTCCCGTGGCGTTGTAATAGTCCGAGCTGATCTGTAGGAAAGCGGCCAAAGAGTCCAGCTCGTATTTGCATTCGAAGACAGAAGCGTTGTCGTAAGTTGGAAAGACAACATCTTGGCTGGCTGAAGGGTTCTTTGCAGGAGCGATGCCGCTCTCGACTGGTGGCTGAAAGGCATTACAGTAGGGCGAGGTGAGGAGGTAGCGAGCCTGCAAGTTGATGACTCCACGGAACAGAGAGGCGAGCGAGTCAACAGAGGAGTTTGCGGTCAGGAGGGGAAGGTAAGACTGCATCTGGTTGCTGCTGTCTCTCAGCCACATGGCATCGATATCTCCAGTGACGACAAAAGTAAGCTCCTCATCAGGTGTATCAGCAGCATAGCCCTTCCAGCGAATGGCCGTATCGAGCGTGTTGGGGTAGGCTGCGATGAGTGAGCACCAGTATTCAGCAATGGCAAGTAGTACCTACCATTGAGAAACAGACGGAACAGATCTAGGTCAGGAGTGGCATGCATGACGTCGAGAATGACCTGGTCTTCAAGGACAGAAAGGTTGAAAGTACGGCAAGCAGGATCAGGGCGTTGGTAGGATATGTTGCGGACTCCTCCTGAGTAGGGGTAGTGCCTGACTTCGGCATAATCAAGATAATCAGGGCATTGAGCAATGGCAACGCCAAAGAACAAAGCTAGGAACGAGAGCAGATTGGGAAGCATGGTGGATGATTGTCTTTTGAGAGAAGCTGGAAAGAAAAACGAAAAGAGGAAACAACAGAAGGTTTTTAAGAGAGATGGGAAAAATGGCAGATGACGGGCATGGGTAAGAGAAGTGGGGGACAGGAAGGAAGCACCTGCCTCTGTTGAGTCTTGACAGTACCTATTGAGTTTATGCATCGATCGGCACATGAGCATCACATGGGCAACACATGGTGAAAACTTGTTGTTTGTATACGAAGATGCGGGACATCAAACAGTGTATTTTGACAAACAGCACCAGCACGAATGAGACACCATGTCGGGACTGCGGGGCAGGGATTTACAGTTGCATTCTGAGGTTGCGTCACGATGTGGGTAAATAGAGCGAGCGGAGAGCTTGGCAGTCTGGTGCGAGGAGTGACTCTGGAAGACTCGGGAGTTGTGAGAGCCATCTTGAGTGGTGGTGCTCTGCGGAGTGGAAGGCAGGAGTGAAAGTGAACAGATGAAGAAGGCATGGATGACGGTGGGGTGAAGACTGACGTTGTTGCATCTCCAACTCGGACTTTCTCGAGTCGAATATTCACAACTCGGCCACACCAACAAAACACAGTTTCAACACAACATAAAGACTATATCAATCCCCTCCGTCCTACTCGGGCCTACGACAAATACAACTCTGAGTGCCATGGCTTCGCAGGCAGCTACTCTTCGAGGCGACGAGTACTCGTCCCGTCTGCCCACTCCACCGCGTATCGTCGTACCGCCGCCTACAGCAAACATCAATCTGGCCCCCGAGTTCAACCTGCATCCCATCGCTCAGTCGGGTCCGCTTTCTGCCGTCAACTACGACAAGATGGTGACAGGCAGCCTCCTGGACTGGAGCTACGAACGTCGCCGTCAAGCACAACAGATCCTCCCCTTCCTCTACCTGGGTCCCATGAGTGCCGTCAAAGATCGCGACTTTCTACGGACTGAAGGCATCACACTACTCATGGCTGTCCGCCAGCGTCACTCGTTTGAGAGCAAGATTATGCAAGCCGCCCTCAACGTCGCCGACGAAATCAACATTCAGAAAAAGGCCCTCGACATGTCCAGTTCCTACGAACTCGTCTCTTCCTTCACACGCGCTGCCATTGTCATCAACGACCACATGAACTCTACCCCCAACGCCAAAGTCCTCGTCTTTTGTGAAAGCGGAAACGAACGCTCCGCTGCTGTCGTCGCTGCTTACCTCATGGAGATCCTGGCCGACGTCGATCACATCAAAGCCATGCAGATCGTCCAGGCACAACGTTTTTGCGTTAACTTCGATGACAACGTCAAGCGCCTTCTACAAGGCTACTGGGACATTTTACAAGCCAGACGTACTACTGCCAACTTCAGCGCCAGCGGAAGGCCCAAGCGACTCCTCGAAAGGGACATGGACAATGATGGTATGGACATTGACGAGTCTGGTGACGACGGCGAGAGGTTTGAAAGCAGAACATTTGCTCCTTTCGTGGACACTGCTTGATGAATCCTACTTCGCCATTCTTTTGTTTTATGCATAGCGTTTGCTTTTACATCAAGATACCCCTGGTTTTTGTTTGCTCGGCGTCATCGGAGGCTTACTTATGGTCATGGTTGGTAGCACCACAGTTATTGTTTTGCTCCTCTAGGGTGCATATTTACGGCGCTTTCATATGCTACTTCGTTTTTTCCATCACAGTACTTGGTGCCACAATCAACACGTTCCTGCCATTACACATTGACTGATACAAGGCAAAGCATGGGGTATATACGATCATCTTGCCGCCTTTTCGTCGTCAATCTGCTTTCTCAAATCACTGAGCACTTCCTCTCTCTTTCGTAGATGTGCTTCTAGACCATCGACTTGCTCTTTGACCATTGAGATCTCATCACTGAGACCCTTCAAGCCTTGGCCAACCTTTGATCTTCCCTCGCCTGTTTCAAGGTCACGCAGCTCACGACGCTTCCAGTCGAGCAATTGCTCGAGCTCGCGCTTCACCAAGGCAGGCTTGCTATCGTCTCGCCTGCCTCCACGTTCCCGCCGCCTCTTTGCTTGCTCTTCCACCTTCTCCATCTTCTCCTCGAGCTCTTTGAGTTGCTTCTTCAGGCGCACCTCCTCCCATTCGGCATCGGTGCGGGTGGCCGTGAAATCGGTGCCTTTGGGTCTGTAGGCACCACGATCACCAACTCCCAGACGACTAAGATATGCGTCGCCAAACTTCTGCTTCTTGCCGCTCATGGTGTTGTCGTCACGTTTGGTACCCCAACGATCGGCGGCGGTTTGTACCTTGTCGACTTGGTATTCAATACGACCCTGTTCGAAAGTGGCGCGGAGACTTGGGGGGACTGAACGGGGGAGACGATAGCCTTCATGGCGATTGGCAAGCATGTGGAGGAAGACAAGGCATTGGTCTCTACCAATAGCTGGGTCGCTACGCGGGTTGACAAGATTCCAGGCACTGCGCATGTCTGTGTCCGGGACTTCTAGGGATTCGTAAAGAGGGTTGAGAGAGTCAAAGGTGATGCTGCCATCGCGGGGATCGCGGTTTGCACTGTAGATTTCCTCGTATTTTGTGCGGTCGGCCGGAGGCATGTACCAGTCGAAGCCATCTTTGAGGCCTGGCGTGTCGTCTTCGAGGTCGTCGACCTGCTCGAACTGGGGTTGGCGACCCGAAATGGCGTGCGAGGCTTGGATCAAATGTGCTTTGCTTTCGGGGACAAGCCAGTCTGGCAATGATGCCGGGACATCCATGTATTCCTGACGAGCAATTGGTTAGAGTGCAAAGTGGAGGGTGGTTATGGGCATATGCTTACACCGTTGACCAGATCAAAGATCAAGCGCATGGCTACGCAGAACTCCTCGAAGTCGAGACTGCCATCACCATCAACATCTGCCAGGTCCCATACTCGCTCCAGTTGGTCGTCGCGCAATTGACTGTTCTTCAGGACCGAGGCTGCCTGGGCACCATTGAGGTGTGTACCACCATTCGAGAGCGAGGCAAAAATCTCCCAGTAGCGTTCAACCTCCCATTGCTCGATGCGCTTGGTCGCCATGGTGTGTGAGAATGTGTCGTTATGACGCTAGGGGATGAGGCTGTAGGATGCGGCTTGATTGACGTGCTGGGTGCAGGTGGCTTGGTTGACGACGGTCCTCAACACCCGTGTGTATTCGTTGTTGCGCTGTGTTACGATGTATTCAAGACAGCTAGCTATGTGAGCACTGCCGAGCATCCGCAAGGTATCTGGTCTGGTCGCGTTCCTGGACCTGCGTGAGCATCCATCGGCGTGTGACGTCCACTTGGCTCCGACCGCCGCCCATTGCGCCCCATCCCCAAGCTTCCGCCCCTTGCACCTTTCACCTGCACCGTATCGTTGTGTACGACCAACACAAATCCTTAGTACCTGGTCGATGTTTTACTCCCACGGATACCACGGCTATCAAACTCCACCCTGCCATGTGTAAATACGCATCAAGGGCCTTGTATCGATTTCGGACTTGACCTACCATTTTCCGCCGAGTCTTGCGCGTCCTGCTGCTCGAGTACCGCTGACTTACCATTATGCTTGATCAGATACGGCACAACAACTTAGCTCTATTGAATTCTTGTGCGACTTCCGCCCGAAAGCATCGCAGAAGCATTCCCTCAACCTTGTTGTCTCTTCTTCCAAATTGTCATATCTAGGAGAATCTTCTTCATCATGACAGGCGCAACACACATCTGGCCAAGACATTGAACCTTGGATCACCACTCATCAAGAACGACTCTGATCTTGCCCACTCTTGTTTTCGTAGGTTCAACGTGACAGGAAGCCATCTCAGCTCCACCATTGCTCCGACATGGAGATCCTTCTTGCCTTATTCCCGCACAGCATGTCGCTAGTCGTCCTTCCAGACAATACACACTCCCTGCTGCTCGTGTTCACAACACCTATTTCTGTGTGCTCAGCTCGTTACAAGAGTACCCATGTCTACCTATTCCCCTACTAGCACCGCTCTCAGATCACTGTCAGCACTACGCTTATCAACACGACTCTGCCGTCACTCTATCTCCATCCCTGTTCCTCTATCGTACACCAAGCTCCACCTTCAACTTGATCTATACTTGAATCAGCCATCTGCGTAATCTTGACATTGTACATACCAAGCAATGAGAAAGCCGTCGAGACAAGCATTCGTCGACGCCGTGGCTTTCTTGGCCTTGCGCAGGGCTGATGCTGCATACAGTACTATTCTTGTAGTCAAGACCCAAGGTAACAGCCTTTCTTACCACGATTCTTCGATCCTTCTTCAGCTCTACATTCACGGCTGCCCGCAACCTTGACTCGGAACATCTCAAAAAGTCCGTAGCACTGGTAAACTTTGTTCCACTTTAGGTAATATCTATGCCGATCGTCCCGAGATTTACCACTAAGTCAGGTACGTCACTTGCTAATACTCCGAAAGGCTGCGCTGATCAACTTCTAGAGGAGTAACATGCATGAATCTTCGGGTGCATGGCCTTGTCTGTTTGGTGGCCCACATGCCACGGTTCGCACAGTATCACGGATCTGATTGCTCCAAAGTATGCCGCTCTGACCCCCAACATCTCAAGATCCAACCGTAATAATTTGCATTTTAATGGGTCTCTACACGGAAGCTTGTTCACCATGGCTCCTGCGCAGCCTTGCATCCTCTGTTCGCAGCGGCTGGGCTTGATATTTGCCTGGCAATGTGGATCTGTGTATACGCTATCCACATTATGCTCTGGAGCCGCTCTTCCGTCTGTCGAAATCAAGTTGCCATGATCCTGTGTATATAAGGCCGAGTCAGACGTGCTTATCTTTTTATTCATCTTTCCCATCACTGCTGGCAGCATTTGCTCCCTACATATCTGGGAGTAATTTTCTTCTCGACCAGTCCTATTAGAACCAGTCCTCAGTGTCTGTTCTTCATCTGTTCAAGAAGCAACAATGCATCTCGGGAGCTTCACCGCCAGCTGCCTGTTGGCATTGGCGTCTGTGACTTCCGCTGCTACTCCCGCAAGAAAGTACCTATGGGGTAGAGATGGCATGGGCAAGATGGTCCGTCGTCAGGCCTCTTCAACAACGTCTTCGGCTGCTGTTAGCACCTCGAGTTTGGTCGCAGATAGCTCTTGCTCAAATGGTCCATATACCCGCGCTTGCTGGAAGGATGGCTTTTCCATTGCCACAGAGTATGTGCTCCTTGTTATTATCGCCACCAGGTTTCTGCTTACAATCTCTTCAGTTTCGATCAAAAGTTTCCTACTACTGGAAAGACTGTCAGCTACAATCTTGAGATTACCAACACGACATGCAACCCCGATGGAGCACACGAGCAACAGTGCCTCTTGTTCAACGGACAATTACCCGGACCTGTTATTCGAGCCAGCTGGGGTGATACTCTCTCGATCACCGTTACCAACTCCATGCAGAACAACGGCACTTCGATCCACTGGCACGGGATAAGACAGTACAACACGCCTGGAATGGATGGAGTGAACGGTATTTCTGAATGTGCACTTGCACCGGGCGAAACCAAGACTTACACCTTCCATTGTACGCAATATGGTTCTTCGTGGTATCACAGCCACTATACCAGCCAATATGGCATGGGCGTGGTGGGAGCTATCTTGATCGACGGGCCAGCTACTGCCAACTACGATATCGATCTTGGTACCTTCCCGATGATGGATTGGTATTACCAGAACGCTGACGTGGTGAATGCTCTGGCCCTCATAAATGCTCAGAAGGGAAGTGGAGCACCGCCTTCAAATACTCTTTTGCTCAACGGCACAAACGACAATGGCCCCGGCGGCAAATATCAATCAGTCGCACTCACCAAGGGCAAGAAGCACCGTCTGCGAATCATCAACACTTCGGTTGATACCCACATGATGGTCAAGCTTGATAACCACCCTTTCACGATTATTGCTGCCGATTTCATTCCTGTGAACCCAGAGCCTGCTCCTGAGTGGCTGTTGGTCGCTATCGGTCAGAGGTACGATGTGATAATTGATGCAAACCAGACATCAGGCAACTATTGGTTCAGAGCCGAGGCTGCTAATGAATGTGCAAGCGCGAGCGACGGCAATGGTCGTGCCATTTTCAGATACGACGCATCTAGCACTTCCGTGCCTGAGGACAACAATGAGACTCCTCCCCAGTCTGAGTGTATAGATCAGCCCACAACCCCTTACTGGAAGCAGTCCGTCGACCAATCCACTTTTGAAGCACAAGCAAAGACTTTGAGCACTGGATTCGGTGACGGCGTCACAGTCAATGGGGAGAACCTGCTCCTGTGGCATTTGAACACCACTTCCATGTCGATTCACTGGGATAGACCAACGCTTGGTTATATCTTCAATGGCAGCACAGCTTGGCCTCAGGAGTACGATGTGATTGAAATCCCCAACGAGGGTGTGTGGACATACTGGGTCATTCAGCAAGTATCTGGGTCGCCGCCCATAACTCGTACGTTTCCATCCTACTCAAGCTATTTTGTGGTATGCTAAAATGACTAAACAGACCCCATCCATCTCCATGGTCACGACTTCTTTGTACTCGGACACCAATCATCGTCCAACTTCGATGCGTCGACCATGATGAATCAGCTGAATTTCAAGAACCCCCCTCGTAGGGATACAGCTACCTTACCTGCTTCTGGCTGGCTCGTCGTGGCCTTCGAAGCCAATAACCCTGGTGCTTGGCTTATGCATTGCCATATTGCCTGGCATATCTCTGAGGGTCTGGGAGTCCAATTCCTCGAAGCGAAGAACCAGATTTCATTGCCTGACCAGGCGCAGTTCACGCAACAGTGTCAAAACTGGAAGCAGTACGCTACTCACATGGCTTTCCCTCAGATTGACAGTGGTCTGTAACTGTATCTGTCGACGGTGTTCGAATCGGCTTGCATGAATCTTCGTGAACAGATAATGTTAATGATCAAAAAATGATATTTTCGCAATCATTCCATCAGTCGTCGAGTCACCCAAGTAGAGCGACTCACTATTCACCAAGCAATTGGCCCTTTGATATTTATTACAAATGTATCAGTCTGGCCATACTCACCCGAAGTCGCTAACATGACCGCAATCAGTGCACTTTCGCTTGCAGGACCAGCTTCCTCGTCATAATTGCTGAACTTCGTCTTCTTTTGCAAGCAACGATCAGCAGCACAATAGGACAAATACATGTCGTCAATCAGCTGTCCTGGACGACGTATCTATACTCTTTCTACTAATCCATAATAGTAGGTAAGAATAATGGAGATAGTGAGCAGGGTTACCCTCGCATCTAGGCTCTAAAACCGATGCTGACAGGAGACAAACGGGGTTTGTGGACTTAAAGAAATGAGCAGTAAGACATGTATTACAGCAAGTAGATGAGTATCGAATTGATGCCTTGAGCTGATGGTCACTTGACTGTCATGATAATAAGCCAACCGACAGCGTGAGATGGCTGGCAAGAGTTGCATGAATCGTCGGACACCTCGTGCCTGCCCTCGAATGGTTCAAACAATTCGACAGTCATGGGTCGAAGCAATCCCTCTGATGCTTCCAAAACACGCACGACCTACACGATACTGAACCTAGGGGATGATAGAGAAGACGAAGAAGGGGTTGTAAAGAATAGTCGTATGTCATTGGCTGATCTGGAATCTAAGATCGGCAATTTAGATCGTGACACCAGATCGCGACGCGAAGCAACGCGCGAACGTCATTCAGGAACACGTCTTGTCCTCGAATAATTGCTGAAGACACGGAGAAAGTGCATCAACCACTTTTCACATCCTGTTATCAATTCCCATTTCGCCAACATCTTAGCTGGATAATTATTTGATTCTCGATTTTTTCAAACACAATATTCAATTATCATGGCACGTCGCTCACAAGGAGCTGCCAAAGCCGAAGATGCAGCAAAACCGACCATCCCTTCCTTAGAAACGGAAAAGAGCGAAATCTCTTCCAACATGGAAGCAGAAGAAGCAAAAATGGCAGAAGCTCGCAAAATCAAAGAAGAAAAACGTGACCAAGAGCTTGAAGCAGAGAGACAGAAGGACTTGAAAGGTGGCAAGAAGGTTGTCGATACAAAGTTCAAAGCCCTGGAATATTTGTTGAACCAGAGTAAGCTATACTCGACCATCATGCTTGCTCAAATGCAAAGACAGGAAGAGGAAGCCCAAGCTACTGACGAGAAGGGTAAGAAGCGCGCTTTGAAGCGAGAGGAAACAGCGGAGAAAGCAGCCGAAGTCAGTCAGAAACGAGCAACACGATCAGCAAACACGGTGCAGGAAACAACAGCGCAAGCGACAGAGGAATCTGCCACTGGAGGCAGGAGAAAATCAGCCAGAGGAGCAGCGGCAGCAAAACCCAAGGCTGGCAGTGGAAAGATCTCCGACTATCTTAACAAAGACGACTTGAAAGCCAAGGCCGGCGATAAATCAGTAAATGAAGCTCTTGCTGAAGAGGCCGACTCTGGTGTCAAAGCTGGCGACATTGGAGTACAAAACCTGCGATCTGCTAAGCAGCCTGCTCTTGTAACTGGTGGTCTGATGCGTTCGTATCAGCTGGAAGGTCTTGAATGGCTCACATCACTTTACGAGAACGGACTGAATGGCATCCTGGCTGATGAGATGGGACTGGGAAAGACTATTCAGACAATTTCATTCCTCGCCTTCTTACGCGAGAAGGGCACTTATGGACCATTTTTGATCGCATCGCCTCTGAGTACAACAAGCAACTGGGTCAACGAGTTCCACAAATGGACTCCTGATATTCCAGTTGTCCTCTACCATGGGTCCAAACAAGAAAGAGAGGAGATCCGTCGGAAAAGGTTCAAGAATCCTGGCAGCAAAGACTTTCCAGTCATCTGTACTTCTTACGAAATCTGCATGAATGACCGCAAATTCCTTGCCAACTATGGTTGGAAGTTCATCATCATTGATGAGGGTCACCGCATCAAGAACCTCAACTGCCGCTTGATCAGGGAGCTGCAATCCTATCAATCAGCCAATCGACTGCTGATTACTGGCACACCGTTACAGAACAACTTAACCGAGTTGTGGTCTTTGCTGCACTTCCTCATGCCCACCATCTTTGACAAGCTTGAATCTTTCGAGTCGTGGTTCGATTTCTCTGCTTTGAACCAGCGCAATGGCTACGAAGACATCTTGTCCGAGGAGCGCAAGACCAACCTGGTAACTTCGCTTCACGCCATCTTGAAACCTTTCTTGCTACGCCGAGTCAAGACAGACGTCGAGACTTCTCTCCCAAAGAAGCGTGAGTATGTGTTGTACGCACCTCTTACGGCTACCCAACGAGAGCTCTACCAAGAGATCCTGGAGGGCAATAGCCGTGCCTACCTCGAGAACAAAGCCGTTGAGAGCTTGAGCGGAACCACCACACCTCGCAGCACTCGCGGTTCCAGCCTCAAACGAAGCAGACCTGAGGAAGGAAGCGCGACCCCGATCAAAAGCGTCAAGTCCAGTCGGGCGTCTACTCCAGCAACAACGACCAGCGCACGAGGCAGCAGACGAGCCAAGAAAGCTCAAAACTACGAGGAGTTATCTGACACTGCTTACTTTAAGCAAATGCAAAATCAACAGTCAGAGGACGAAGAACAGCCACTCGACTCGAGCGAGGAGGAAGCCCAAGAACAAGCACAAACACTGGCTCTGGCTAAGAAACTGATTGGAGCTAAGAAATTGCAGAACCCCGTGCTGCAGTTGCGTCTTTGCTGCAATTCACCTCATAACTTTTTCTATCCTTTCGTGGAGGAAGACAATAGTGATGTGGACGAGACACTGGTCACCGAGAGTGGCAAAATGCTCTTGCTGGACTCTCTGATGCCAACACTGCTAAAACGTGGTCACAAGGTGCTCATTTTCAGTCAATTCAAGACTCAGCTCGACCTAATCGAGACTTATTGCGAAGTCCTACGTGGATGGAAATGCAGCCGCATCGACGGCGGTGTTTCGCAGCCAGACCGACAAGAGCAAATCGCTCAATTCAACTCGACAGAATCCAAGACCAACATCTTTCTCTTGAGCACCCGTGCAGGTGGCCAAGGAATCAACCTTACAGCTGCAGATACAGTCCTCCTCTTCGACAGCGATTGGAACCCCCAACAGGATCTGCAGGCACAAGACCGTGCCCATCGTATTGGCCAAACAAGACCAGTCATCGTGTATAGATTCGCAACCAAAGGTACGGTCGAAACACTGTTACTGGAAAAGGCAGAGTCAAAGCGAAGACTGGAAAAATTGGTCATTCAAAAAGGCAAATTCAGATCGATGCGTGCAGGTGAAGTGTCGGGTGCCGAGTTTGCAGAACTGCAGCAGTTGTTGGCACAGCAAGATGGCGAAAGAGTGGAGCTCGAAGAGGGAACCAAGGGCTTGCTGTCAGAAGAGGAATTGAACACCTTGACGGACAGAAGCGAAGAAGCTTATGAGCGGGCAGAGAAGGGCCTGGACGGTGGTGACAAGTTCAAGGCTGTTGAAACAAAAGCAGGTGGTGAGGGCTTTCTGGAGGCTATGAGTAAATGAGGCACTAGACGTAGATAGAAGCGTTTCCACATTACACGGTCGACAAATTGCAGGCGACCGTAGTCGAATATGTAGCCAGGGGCTAGTTTCTTCAGCCGGGACCCCAGCGCCTTCTATGAGCGAGCTATAGGAAAGTGCAATGCGAAGCCATCTTCAAATCTCTTCAGAGACTATTCCAAAATGTGTCTTGATTTGCTAACCGATGCTATCATGCGGCAATGCGATAGCTCGTCTATCATGAGTACTCTTTCTGTGTATCGTAAAGCTATTCAAATGTGGGGTATCTGACAAGAATGACAAGAACTTTTCTGTTTCTCCTTCAATGCTTTTTGTGAACCGAGACTCAATCAGTCTGCGGCTCCGAATTCATCTTGCGACGGCGCAGATTTAGAAGGCATGAGCAAACGTATCGCGGCCATCTACAAGGGCATTAGCAAATCGGTACGCACGAACGATACAAGAAGGTACTTACTTTACGACCAACTGCGAAGACTAATCTTTTACCTTCGGCATCCCAATTCAGACTTGGTTCATCCCCTGTTTCATCACCGTTTGGTAGATTGTTCTCATCGCCTCGGTACCAATGTGTTGCAGCGGCCCGCCATGTGAGAAGAGGTATGGATCCGGCGCTGAGGTCCCAGATTTTTACAGCCTCTTCACTTGCTACGGCCAGACAGGAACCTGCAGGGGACCACGATAAAGCCAAAGCAGCTTCGTGAGGGCCCATAGTAAACTCGTGCAAGGTCTCACACAGGTCGGAGGTAACTCTATAGACTCTGACGAGTCCAGAATCGTGAGTCACGGCAAGGCGCCTTGACGATGACGAACTGCTTGTTTTCGAAGTGTCAATCGGTTGGAATGCCATGGCGGTAGCACGTTTGCTGGCAGGACCTTCAGTGGGGAAGCCAGGCAAAAGAGTCCAACGAGGGCTAGTCTTGGCGAGCAATATAGTGCAGTCATCGGACGATGAAGTTGCAGCAACAACACCGTTCACAGAGTCATATCGTACCTTGTCCCACTGCTTATCTGTAGGATGCGAATACTGAAGAGCAAAGTTTCTGGTGCCGGTAGAGGCAAAAGAGTCGCCATTCGCATCAGCACCATTAGGTAGTGAAGCATCATGAATTTGATAAAAATCGAGACGATTCTCACCACAGACAACGATTGAGTCGTCAGAGGCCCAGACAGCATCAATAACGGGCTGGTTAAAGAGCTTGACTGCGACAGGATCTAGCGAGGTGGTGGTTTGACTAGCATCCCAGATCTCGACCAGACCACGTTTCATATTTGTCGAGACACTCAACAGGCGGGTACCGGCATTGTTGTAGCGTAGAGCGACAATTATGGCAGAATGCTGGAGCAGATAACCATGAAGATCATACAACCTCTTCGTGCCTTGAACAGTAGCGTCAAACATAGACCTCACGGATTCGTGACTGCCGTCTGGTAGGCGGCGGGTAGAGTCAAGGGCACAGGTAGCGTAGCGGCCAGAAGGGTGCCAGCAGGCAGCCGTGATGACGGAGCCCTTGGGCATGGTCTCGGCGTCGGTATGGTGAGCACGCTGTGTACCGTTCTTTGTGTGGTGTGGCAGGTCGTAGAAGCGACACAAAGATTCTCCTACAGTGAGCAAGCGGGTGGATTGGGAGAGTTGAGGATTCCACAGAGCATGCATGATGGAAGCGTCGGGTTGATCCAGGGCCCAGTACATGGTCTCGGACTTGGACTTGAGCTTCTTGTCGGTCTGAGTGGCAGATGAGGTGGTGGGGATGTGTTCTGGCTCCGGGGCATCAGGTGTAGGGTCGGGGTCTGCGTCTTGATCATGGTCTTGTGGTGTAGGATCGATGTGCATGCTGTCTGGGTTGAGCGAGTCATTGCTCTTGCGTGAGCGTTTGGCAGGAGGGAGCGGAAAGTCATGTTGATTCGTAGAGGGTCGTCTGTCGGTCGAGGAGCGATGGGCGAATTGTCTGGTGGTCAAGTTGAAGCGTCGCGACTGGTTGGTGACCTGGGAGAGTAGTTGGTCGTGGAAGATGGCATCCTGGATGATGTGGACCAGCTCGTGCTGCTTGACGAGAGGAGCAAATGGCAGCTTCTCGGGATCGCCATATTCTTGCGGACGATGCCAGTCTTGGTGCAGAGCTCTCGCAGCGTTCTCGTGTCCTGCTTCTTGTAGATAGCGGAGGATCAGGTAGTTGATGTGGTCCGAGCCCAGAGCGCCGTCACCCATTGCGCCTAGAGGGAAGAAAGAGCCTGCTGCCAACTATGTGCAGATACCGATGACAAGAACTCTGATGCAATTGACACTTGCGATAAAGACTGGCTGAGAAGGTATGCGATGCGACACATGCGACCAACCTCGACGGGCAAGGACCAGCCAGTTCTACCGGCATGCCAAGCTATATTACTAGTGTCCGCTCCGCCATGCCCGCCGTGCTTCCCTTGTTCGCTCCCCGCCAAAGCTCAAAGAATGTGGGGGCTGCTGACGCGCGACAGGGAAGCTACGTTGTTGATTGATTTGACCATGTCACTCGCTGGACTTTCTGCCTTCTTGTCGCCATGCCAATCCGCATCAATCTGCCCCCGCTGACCCGCGCACTATTGCTCCTCCTGCTGATCTGCTCTTTGCTCAATGCCTCGTTCAGTGTGCGCAGTCTCATTCGCGTTCAGGCCGTCCCTGCCCTAGCCATCATCCCTGCGAAATCGTTGAAATATCCATGGACCGCTCTTACTGCTGCCCTGGTTGAGACCAACCTCGCCAGCTTTGTCATATCCGCCGTCACCATCTTCTATGGAGGGAGATATCTAGAACGCGCCTGGTCCACTCAAGAATTCGCAAAGTTTGTCCTGTTCGTGACCATGATCCCGAATTTATTGACCTTTGTTGTCTATTTCCTGTGGTTCTCCATCACAGGAAGTCAGGTCCGAGCGTGAGTCCATCTCTGTTGCCATAATACACAAACTCCTTGCTGACATGTCGTTATCAGCAACACCATCATCAATGGCAATGTTGCCCTCGAAGCCGCTTTCCTTGTCGCTTTCAAACAGCTCGTCCCTGAACACACCGTGTCCCTCTTCCGTGCCGCCATCCGTATCCGTGTCAAACACTTCCCTGCCGTCTTTGTCTTGCTGAACAGCTTGTCTGGCCCCCTACTAGGCACTGACACCGCTTTCTTCTTGTCATGGCTGGGTTTCTTGACCTCTTGGATTTATTTGCGTTTCTACAGAGTGTCCCCTCTACTGGCCACAACTGCCACGGGCGAAGAAGCTGTTATAAAAGGCGATGCTAGCGATGCTTTCGCTTTCAGCCAATTCTTTCCCGACTCGATCCAGGTCATTCTCGATCCTTTGTGCGATTCGGTCTACAAGACTTTGGTGGCTTTCAAGCTATGTGTGCCATTCTCTGAAGAAGCCATCGATCAAAGCAACGAACAAGCTTCCGCACGCGCTGAAGGTGGACTACCCAGTTTGATGACTGGCGGAAGAGGAGGTCATGTTGGAGGGAGGCGAGAAGAAGCAGAGCGCAGGAGGGCACTTGCCTTGAAGGCCCTCGATCAAAGACTGAACGCAGCTGCGGCAGCTCGTACTCCTGCCGAATCACAAACAGCCGAGACAGCAGGTACAGCGGAATCTACAACTGCATAAATTTGATGATGTTTGCGCTTTCCGAATGTCCCAAAAAGAACCAACAATCGCGAAGCAAGTTCAAAACACAATGCGATCGTATGTTTGAGATGATCGTGCCCTAAGCTAGCACACAGCGTACTCGTACATTTCTAAGGTTCGTTGCAGTCAAAGTGCCGTAGCAGTTCTTGATCCATGCTGTCCCTCGCGCTCCCAAACAAAATATGTAGCAAGTCCCTTCCCAGAAAAAAATCCATATCTTTTCTCCTTATACGCCTTAAACAGGATAGGATATCGTAGGCCTCAGCATGGTGATTGAATCTTCCAGCTTCTCGGCTTGGTATGAATAGGCGTGCGAGCACGACGGAGATAATGTCGATGAGTGGTTCGAATGGTGTAGATATGGATTGCTTCAATCCATGCGCTGATCCTGGACACGGCTTTCGACATAGAAGCCAGAGTCGGGCCTCCTGAGTTCCTTGAGTTCTTCCGGAGAGAACTTCTGATCAACCTCCTGGACGTCGACGAGTTCCTTGACGGCAAAGATTTGACCGGCGACCTGTTGCGATACGGGGTGGTAGACGGTCTTCATGCGCTTGCGCAGACCGAGGGCTTTGAGGACGCCCGACGCCTGCTTGGGCAGGCCGATTGACGAGCGAAGCAGAGTGATGCGGAAGTACGACATGGCTGTCTGTAGAGTATCAGTACAAGATTCAGCGGCGGTACGAGTCTTGTTTGCTACTCACGAGGAGGGTCGCGCAACAAACAGTCGGGCTGGAAATGAGAAAAGCTGATGGCGGCTGCAAGTGCAATTGATGATTGCATGTCGGCCCGCCGATTTGTTTCCTCCGATCCCCGCAACCACCACCTCCGTGTACGACTACTCCCACGCGTCACTTGTAGATGCATCTGTGTGTTGCTGCTTTCTGGACAGCCAGTAGCACACGTCTTCTCTCACCATGAATGATACCGACGATGTTACCAACAGATTGGCCGAGCTCCTGCGGCATCCTGACGACTTGGACAAGATCGCATCATTGAAGAGTGAATTCACGCGCAAGAAGGCCGCTGTCGATGGCCAGCTACGCATAGGTCTCAAGGAGCAGCTCGAAATTACCCAACAAGGAATGTCCAGCATCAACGATGGTCAACATACTGTCAACTTGATCAAGGACGAGATGATCAAGATCGATCGTCTCTGCGTTGAGGCCCAGAACATGATCCAGGACTTTCCATTTGTCGATAAAGTGGCTCAAACACATCGCAACTTTGCCCAAGTCGAAGATATGAAGGCCCAGATCGAGTCTTTTGGTCGCAATTTGGACGATCTCGAAAATTTGCTCCGCGAGGATGATGAAAACACCGAGAATCAAGACAATCTCCTTGCTATACATTATGGCCTTACCAAATTGCGCGACATTCGGGATATTGCTTTGGACTCGATCAAGTCTTCAACTGAAGATGCTGGTACCGAGCTCATAAACAATCTCCAGCTTGGCGAGACAGGTGCCACTTTGCAAGACCACTTCACCAGGCTGGATGATGTGATCGATTGGTTTGACGAGCACGTAGGTTCTGCATGTCTAAACCTGATTCCTCTCGTGCAGTCAGGCAATAATGGCATCATCGTACGTTTGGCCTTGATTGTCGAGAAAGAAGAGGAGAAAGACCGCCAGGTCGAAGCACTTCAGCACGCCCACCGCGAGTTCAAAGACCTGGCCTCCCGCTTCAAGTCCATGAATGCTGGCCAAAAGGAACTGCGCGGTTACAAAGACAAATTCCTCAAAGCCATCGAATACAACTGTCAGGCTCAATTTGACCAAGCTGGAGAGACTTTCTTCGAGGATCCGGACAAGCTGGAGAAAAGCGTGCGCTGGTACTTCAATGATCTCAACACTGTCAAATTGGGCATGCAAACTCTCATGCCTAAAAAGTGGCGTATCTTCAAGACCTATGTCGGCATATATCACAAGCTTATGCACGACTTCCTCATGTCAAAGGTCCAGGACGACCAGCTAAATCCTCCCCATATGCTAGCCATTGTCCATTGGGTCGCCAAGTACTATGCTAAGATGGATAAGCTTGGAGTATCTGCTGATCAACTTCATCCTCATGTCATAGACGACCGAGAAGCAGACATTATCCGTGAATACAGAACTCTCATCACTAATGCTGTGGAGCAATGGATGGATCGCATGTCGACTACTGATCGGCAAACTTTCCTCGAGCGCAAAGAGAACACGCTCGACACAGACGCAGAGGGCCACCTACGGACCAAGACTTTGGGCGATTTGTGGCGCATGCTGCGTGAACAACTTACTGTAGCATCCTCTTCTGACAGACCTGATGTCGTTGAAGGTGTCGTTGAGTCCATGATGCGTGCTCTGCAATCAAGACAATCCATGTGGCAACAACTCATCGATTCAGAAACACAAAAGTATACTTCGCCCACAATGCCACAGGCCGAGCAAGAAGGTCTGCAATCATTGCAAGATTGGCTGGTTGCAATTGCCAATGACCAAATTGCATGCATTGATGACCACGAAGAGCAGGGGCAGATATCATACCTCACAACTTTCAGACGCGAGTACGAAACGATCGTTACACCAGCATACGCGCTGTCGTCAAATACTGAGCTCGACACTCTGCGTGACGGTTATGTCGATCTCGGTACACATTGCATAACCCTCTTCACAGCTCTTATATTCTCCGTTGACTTCCGAGGTATTCTTGCCGAGTTCTTTACTCCTGCTTGGTACAACAAGAAAGCAATGGCTCAGATCATCTCAACCTTTGAAGACTACTTGGCTGACTACTCTGACGTTTTGCACCCGTCTCTGAGGGATGTTCTCGTCGAAGAACTTGCCGATGAATTACTGGTCCGTTATCTGTCAGCTATTCGCAACCGAGGAGTCAAGTTCCGACGTGGCGATCCCTTCAACGAGAAGATTAAAGACGACGTCTTGACCGTGTTCAACTTCTTCTCGACTCAAGAGGCTTCCTTCCCGGCCATTAAAGACAAATGGAGAGCTGTTAATGCCTTCGTCGAGCTTCTCAATGCCGAGAAAGGACCCGCAGTCGCAGATGCATATGAACAATTCAAGCGGGAAAATTGGGACCTGCAGATTGGTTGGGTCGAAGCTGTTCTGAGAACTCGTGATGACTGTGATAGGTCTTTGATAGGACTCGTCAAAGCCCGGGCTGCAGAAGTCGAAGTCGAACGAGGTATGGAGACCGTTATGAGCAAAGTGAGATGATAATGACAAGACTGTTTGGTTGTTCTGCATTCGCACTGTGCGTGGACTTGCGCTCGGCGCGGAGGCCCGCATTGAGTTTTGGTTCCTGCATGGGTATCTGCACAGCTGTTTATTGGTGGCGTGGCGTTTCTCCAGGTAAGGTCCAAAAAAGATACCCGGTTTGATTAGAAACTCTAGATATAGCAAGAGGACCGTACTACAATGTGCTGTCGGACATTGATTCTCTTTAACTCAAGCACAGTACATTAATCATGCTCAGGTGCAATCACATTTTGTGCCCCCTTTTAGCTTTTTCCAATAATCATGCAACAGAAGAATAGCTGTGAAGCTTCGGACAGGCCGCCACCTCACGGGCTCAACCGCGTGCTTGCCGCAACTTTGTCCTTTACCGAATTCAACCATACGTCTTTGGTGAGAGGCTTGCAGGCTGCAGCTGCTCACCAGTTCAGAAGACGCCGCCACTCATTGACGGCCGCCACATACAGCTTGGGCTGAGCTCACTCGCACAGCAACGGTTCGTGGCGGGTGGGCAGCCGCGCACGCACGCCCAGTCCTGTCGATCGCTCTCGACCCCGAGTTTCAAGTTACGATTGAGGTCTTGCAGAGAAGCTGCTCCAAGCGTTTCTTCTGGAAATGCTTGTTGGGAAAGCTGCGCTCAGTTGCTAGCTTCCTTTCGGCTGCTTTTGCAGAATTGTTGCTCGTTCTCGTTGCAATGGAAGACCTGCTGAGTTACAGTTCAGCCTTCCAGAAGCCAGCAAGGAATTTGTCCTCAAATAGCAGCGCTGAGCGCTTTGACATCCCCATGTTCCACTTTAATCTCGGTCGGATCAGTTCGTGGACTTCCTGAGGCTACCAAGGTGGAGCTCTGCCTACTTAACACGGCAGCAGTGTTTATTTGCGGTGGTGCAAGTGCTGTATTCACGTTCGTCGTGTGGAACGTTTACATCCAACGGCCATTGAAACCCCGAAGGAAGCAGTGTGAATACATACAGCCGTTGCAATTTTGTCGATGCAGAAGTTACGTCAGGCATCAGTGTCTCGAACAAATGATTGCCGAAATGCTTTTTCGTCATCCAATAGTAGGTCTCCCAACCCCTTGTCGTAGCTCAAGTTGTTGAAGCTCGACTCTCAACGTGCTGCGGCGGGGAAAAGTAGACTTGGCGTTAGTGTAGCTCTGTAACCCGATTCTGACAAGGCTGTGATTGATTCCGCTAATAATTTATTGTTGTGTCGTCGACCCGAACCAAAGGCGGAGCTGGCAGGTTATAAAGTCGACGATCCTGGCGCACTCGTTTCAGCCGTCCTCCTTCCCTCTCTCTCTTCCTTTCTCTTAACCATCTTCTTCTGAGTTGATCCTCTTCTTGTGAGTTTCGTCAACTGCCCACGATCACACGTTTCACGGAGCAGCTTCTAATCCTCAAGCTTGAAAGTTCAATTCAGATTCACAACATTCACAATGTCCTCCGAGATGGCAACCCACCTGAAGCCCAATGGCGGCGCTGAGTTCGAGAAGAGACACCACGGCAAGACTCAATCCCACGTCGTACGTTGAATACCCCTCCTCCATGAGCTGGTAGCAAATCTTTCTTCGTGACACGGTGTCATTTCTTCGAGGCAGGAAGCCGAAGACTGCTGCTACTTGGTGGGGGAGCTCGATCGTTTGCTTCTCAGCACAGCTGAGCTGACGCGATCATTTTTGGCCCCCACTTTGTTACATGCATTTTCAGTTTCACGCTTGCAAGCTTATGCACATACGTTGCTATTGTTGTCATCCGCGTCATGTCCTGTGGTGCGGTCAAGACACAGCACTCGCCAGCTCGCCAGCTTTACAATCCGGATTCGCAAGGTGCTGACTTCATGAAAATAGGCTTTCGAGAACACCTCCACCTCGGTCGCTGCCTCGCAGATGCGCAATGCCTTGAACAACCTGTGTGACTCGGTCACCGACCCCGCTGAGAAGCAGGTGAGTTTTCTGCATTTCGATAGCTGTGCGTTTTTAGCATCTAACGCAGATGGATAGCGTTTCGAGACTGAGATGGACAACTTCTTCGCTCTCTTCCGCAGATACCTCAACGACAAGGCCAAGGGCAACGAGATCGAGTGGTCCCGCATTGCTCCTCCTAAGCCTGAGCAGGTCGTTGCCTACAATGACCTTCCCCAGCAGGAGTCCGTCGAGTTCTTGAACAAGCTCGCCGTCCTCAAGCTCAACGGTGGTCTCGGTACCTCCATGGGCTGTGTTGGTCCCAAGTCGGTCATCGAGGTCCGTGACGGCATGTCTTTCCTCGACCTTTCCGTCAGACAGATTGAATACCTCAACCGCACCTACGGCGTCAACGTCCCCTTCGTCTTGATGAACTCGTTCAACACCGACTCCGACACCGCCAACATCATCAAGAAGTACGAGGGCCACAACATCGACATCATGACCTTCAACCAGTCCAGATACCCCCGTGTCCTCAAGGACTCGCTCCTCCCCGCTCCCAAGTCGGCCAACTCTCAGATCTCTGACTGGTACCCTCCCGGTCACGGTGACGTTTTCGAGTCGCTCTACAACTCCGGCATCCTCGACAAGCTGCTCGAACGCGGTGTCGAGATTGTCTTCCTTTCCAACGCCGACAACCTTGGCGCTGTCGTCGACCTCAAGATCCTCCAGCACATGGTTGACACCAAGGCTGAGTACATCATGGAGTTGACCGACAAGACCAAGGCCGATGTCAAGGGTGGTACCATCATTGACTACGAGGGCCAGGCCCGTCTTCTCGAAATCGCCCAGGTTCCCAAGGAGCACGTGAACGAGTTCAAGTCGATCAAGAAATTTAAGTACTTCAACACCAACAACATCTGGATGAACCTCCGCGCCGTCAAGCGCATTGTCGAGAACAACGAGCTCGCCATGGAGATCATCCCCAACGGCAAGTCGATCCCCGCCGACAAGAAGGGCGAGGCCGATGTCAGCATCGTCCAGCTCGAGACCGCCGTCGGTGCCGCCATCCGTCACTTCAACAACGCACACGGTGTCAACGTCCCCCGCCGTCGTTTCCTTCCCGTCAAGACCTGCTCCGACTTGATGCTCGTCAAGTCTGACCTTTACACCCTCAAGCACGGTCAGCTCATCATGGACCCCAACCGCTTCGGTCCCGCTCCCCTCATCAAGCTCGGTAGCGACTTCAAGAAGGTCTCGAGCTTCCAGAGCCGTATCCCCAGCATCCCCAAGATTCTCGAGCTCGACCACTTGACCATCACTGGTCCCGTCAACCTCGGCCGTGGTGTCACTTTCAAGGGTACCGTCATCATTGTTGCCAGCGAGGGTCAGACCATCGATATTCCTCCGGGTTCCATCCTTGAGAACGTCGTTGTCCAGGGTAGCTTGAGACTTCTCGAGCACTAGAGAAAAAGATTGTTTACAAATCGCGTGTCATTACGGGAAAGGTTCAAGAGACGCAGTAGATACCACGGAACATTCAGTAATTATTTCATTTTATTAAAGTCATGGCGAATTTCATGCATCTTTTTACACACTATCAAATCTGTTCCGATACTGTTGCCAACTTGTGATGCACTGAGGGCCAAAATAACATCATGCCGGAGATTGCGGAACGCATTGGCTGACCTCATAGCGTTTCATCAAATCAAAGACTAGAAAATGATGAATATTCTCCAAGGAGAACTTGCTGATATGTTGTATTTTGGAAGATGCTACAAGTACACAGAGAGCAACAACCATGCGTCTTCAATTCTTGTTGCATGCAATAATAGTGTCTGGTGCGGCTGAAGGGCAATCATGACATAGGGCTGTGACCAGGCTTGGCGGGCGCGGCACGTAACGTTTTACCTTTCCGGAGGCTGGTCAATGATGAGTGTTTGGGAGTTTGTTGGCGGGTCTTCCGGAGACGATCTTTTGTAACGCGGTTCAAAGTCCCTTGCACCGCCAGGACTGCTTGATGTCTGGGTGTATCTAAGTGCGGCCATGTCGCGTCGTGTCACCATCGCAACAACGACCCCCATCTAGTTCTCATCGCCGCTGTCGCCATAGCGCGGCGATGCAGTCATCTCAGGGCCCTCCTGCTTCCGCATCTAACCAAGCCCCCGATTCACAATCCTCGACCCTCAACGCTTCCAACCACATCTACCACGACTCATCCTCGGCCGACAACCGCATCGTCCGCTCCATCCCACCATGGGTCCTCACCGAAGACGACAGCGACGATGAGTCGGTCGACCAGACGCAGCGCCTACTACCTCCCTCCAATGCTGTCCCCGCCTCTCATCACTATCTCCCCGCTCCGCCGACCCAGCACAAAGCCCCTGGCCGCAAATGGGATCACATACGTTCTGCCGAGCCTCCTTTGCTGGACCAACCCATAGACACCAACCAGCAACGATGGATTCCCTACATGCTGTCAGGTCCTCAGCCAAGAGGTGTGCCTGGAGCCAGACTTGTGTCTGAAGCCTGGATGGACGAAAACATGCCCCATCTCACATCTGCTTGGCATGCTGCTGAACCCGAGAAACCCGAGGAGAAAATAAAAGGTCTGTGGCTATTCACCCCGGAGAGACGGTCAAAAACTTTTGCGCACATCAAGGTATTTGTGAATTACACCCTGTATCTCTGCTGTTTGCTGATTTTCCCGCAGCGCATCATCCTTAAAAATCCTTTTGTTCCCCTCGTCTTCCGTCTCATTGTTCTGAGCTTTACTGTGGCCGCCCTTGGACTAGGTGCCAGAGTGTTCCACGAGGCCGACGCAGTCAATCGCCAGGGTGATGGTCCTTGTAGCAAGCGTGCCTCGACATACATGGCCATCGTATTGGACAGCGTCGCCGTGCCTTACATTGGCTACATCACATGGGACGAATATCTGAGCAAACCGTGAGTAGCAGCATTGGTGACCAGCTCTGTAAACAAATTGTACTGACTCGTCTCGTCACAGGCTCGGACTTCGAAGTGCTACGGCCAAAGTTTCGCTCCTTCTGGTTGATCTGTTTTTCATCGTCTTCTACTCATCGAATCTCTCACTGGCTCTGGACGCATTGGACGATCCTCGGTGGGCTTGCTTCGATCACAACGAATCTCTCTTGTCAAATTGCCCCGCTTCTCCTCGTATATGTCGGTCACAACAGGGACTATCTGGCGTTTTGGTTGTTGCTTTGATAGCGTGGCTTTTTACTTTTGTCATCAGTGTCCTAAGAGTGGTAGAACGTCTTCGTTAGTTAGGAAAGGCGAAGCATCATGTTCCTTTGTAATCAATCATGCTACTGTCATATTCATGTATCTATTTATACACATCTAGATCTTTCTTTATTATTACAGCTTAGCTATTTGATTCGATCCGACTCGACATTGTGATGATAGATGGCTCCAGATCTGCCCGGGGGTCACAGCGCTTGGGAAAAGATGGATCTGCGTGGAGCATCGAGGCAATAATCGGTCTGCGCCGAGAACATATCTCTAATTAATCATGGAAGAACGCCGCAGAAAGATCTGTTCAGTATGTGGCTGTGTTGTGTTGTCTTGTGGCTGGCTAAGCCACACCACCTGCCACAACTCTCGACGTCACTTTAAGATCTAGTCTGCAGTACAAACGCATTTCGCGATTTCTTTCTTTCTCTTATTATCGCCAGCAGTAGAACCACCGACAAGACGCTCTCTCTGTAGTCCACCGTACTGACTGCACGACACAACATGCGCTTGTTTCTCCTCCCCATCTCAACACGGCGTACGCTCCTCTACTGTGATCGCGTCGCAACCCAAGTCAATGCTAGCGGAAAGCTGTCCTACCACGATCGCATAGTCAACAAAGCAAATGAAACATGGGCATCCTGGGAAAACTCACCCAACAAGTACAAGAAGAAACTCACCGACTACGGCAACATTGTCTTCAACCGCATCTCCTACGAGGAATGGGGGCTCAAGACATTGCCCTCGTCTACTGCCGACCTGACGCCTACTGAAATCGTCTTCCCGGGCCGCTTCCTGAACCAGAAAAAAGTACCGGAGATCTTGAGGAGAATGGCTACGGAGAGACAAGGGTTGCATAAGCAAAGGTTTTGGGGTAGTTTGGTTGGATTGCCTTTTACCATCCCAGTTGGCTTACTACCGATTATACCGAATATTCCTGGGTTCTATCTTGCTTTCCGCGCTTGGTCGCATTTCAAAGGTCAGTTTGAATACTCTACTGGTTGCTCTCAAGAAGTGTTCATTGCTTGCTGCGTTGATTGAGCATTCTCAAGCAGTAACCCTTGCTCGCTGCATGGTTCAAATAAACAAACATCGGCACGTGAATATGCTCGCTAGATCACACGGCCCATCTCACTTAGAACAGTTTGCCGCGATGAGAGACTGCTGATAATGATTCAACATGCTAACTGCCTCTCAGCGTACTACGGCTCTAAATATCTGGAAGCTCTGATCAGTAGCAAGGAGCCCTTGATCAAGATGTCTCCGTCAAAAACCTTGGACAACCTTTACGCCGCAGGCTTGATACACCCTTCTCGAGAACACGCAAGGCAAGCTGCTCTGCCTTCAGAAAAGTTCCAGGAAGTTGCCGAACTTGTCGCTCAGCAGACAAACAATGATGCCTCGGATGTCATGCTGCTCAAGCGATGGAACGGCAAGCTGCTCGCCGAACGGTTCAATCTTCCAGGCATGGAGCTCGAGATCGAGAGAGCTGTCGAGCAGGTCCAGAAGAACATCGAAACCGACTCCACAGCATCAAACGTGAAGGGAGAAAGTACGACGACCACAGCGGGAAACTCGCTTTCGAATGAGAAAAAGTAACGTGCTTCTGCTTCCAATCCCAACTCTATTTGTGTCCATTTCCAAATTCACTGGATCCAACTCTTCCTCTTCCAACACCAGGTGTATGTGTATTGGTTCTATGTCTGGATCTTTCCTCTAACCCGGTGTGATGATTCTTCGATCAGGAATGTAAGGGCACGTTCTCTGCGGCTTCAGCGGGCTGTATATCCTCCGTCGACCGGCAATGCGACCTACGACACTGTTAGCATGTGTTCTGTACTTCGCCACTTGCTGCATACTCCTGTTATCCATGAAGAGTCTTCCGAAGCTAGAAACACAGCAGCCCTTGCGATGTCGTCCGGGATGCCCAAGCCCCGGAACGGGTGCAGGCTGATTATGTGATCTTGCGTCTCCCCGTCACTCAACATCTCGCTCGTCATCTGGGACGAGATCCCTGTGTTTGTCGTCAGTACTCACGAACTTACAGAGGACACGTCCGCACTCACACCCAGGACAGATACAATTGACATGTATCCTATGAGGCGCGCAGTCCAACGCAACCGCCTTCGTCATGTTGACAATGCCACCTTTGGAAGCACAGTAGCTAGCAAAGTTGCTTGTCCCTACCGTTCCGAAGATACTCGCGACGTTGATGATCCAGCCGCGGTCTCCATTTGGGTGTGGATCTTGGTTGAGCATTTGCCTTGATGCATACTTACACCCAAGAAACACACCCTTCGAACACACTTGCTGTATGTCATCCCACAGGTCCTCGTCGGCGCTCCAGATCGGCTGTAGTGTCTCGAGATCGAAAGTAATGCCGGCGTTGTTCACGAAGCTTGATTCAAGGCGTGTCAGAGTCAAGCGGCTTGTCTAAGGATACTGAACATACACGTCAAGCCGGCCATAATGGGACACTGTCGTCTGCACCAGGTTCTCTACATCCTGACTGCTTCCCACGTTCGTGTTGACAAACAGAGCATTCCTGCCACTTCTGAGGATGACATTGTGTGTTGCATCATCAGCAGAATCGCTGTCGCTGTCTGTTGTTGAATCTGTGTCGGCGCACACTACGTGAGCACCCTCACTGGAAAAGCGGAGTGCAATCGCTCGACCAATCCCTGAAGATGAACCTGTTACGCTGAACGCTTGTCAGCTGATGCGAATGGACAACATTGGTCGAAGATCTGGACGACACGAGATGCCAGTCACTTACACTGCTACTTTGTTATGCAGCCGTCCACAATAACCATTATCCATCGTTGATGAAACAAACTGCTCCTATAGCTGTGTTGTTTGTCAAAGTCTTTTGGGGGTTGTCCTGGAAGTAGCAGCTTGTGCACTGTGCTCTTTCGACTAGGGGACCAATGACCATACAAGCTAGTCGATAAGGAACAGCAAGTGGATCTCAGCCAAGTTTGGTTGCTTTCCGATCAGTTCTGTACAGAGCTTGAGGCCGTTCGAGAAGACCGCGGTATGGATGGCTTGCCTATACGACAGCCCAGTTTCGATGACCCCTGCCCACTGTTGCAAAACAGCCACCAGTGCTAGGGCTGAGAACAGCCGTTCAGAAATGATGCAAAGGGTTCGCTGCGACTGCCCGTTATGGGAACAAGGCTTTCTGGCTGATGTGCCGCCAAAGGTCTGCAGGGTGCAGACCAAGACCGGACCAACGGTCGGAAACTTGTGGGAGAGTGATGAAGTATGACAGAGGGCCAAATTGCGGCTCGGGGTCCACACCGGCGGAGGGGTGCAATGGACCGTTCCTAATGATCCTGATCTGTGCTAAGACTTATTATTGTGCTCAAAGATCATCCTGTACTCAGCCGAACCAACTGGCTAACAAGACTGACCCGAGTACGCGTCTAGCGGCGGCGGCATGTGGGGATTGCAGTACTCGGCACATACTGGTGTTCTGCCGGCAAACCCTTCCAAATCGCTGGCGATCGACCGGCAGTTATGGTTTTAAGGTGTTTATTCGGAACATGTAGTGACCCTTGGTGGATTGATCGTACCAAACCCTACATCCAGGAGGGTCAAACTGACATGGGGACATTCCCGAACCTTTCAGCTGGTTGCATCGTGACGGATTAGATCCAGAACCATGTAATTTTCTCGCCATGCATGACGTTAATGGTGAACTAGTCGTAGACATCGAATTTGGCATGCCTTTTCTCTGACCGGCAAGCAATTTGGGAATAAGTCATCCGTAGGTCCTTGTAGAGTAAAGTGTTCCAAACCAGCCAGGATTTGCAGACCGTCGCTCAAATAGTGAGACAACTAATCATTGCCAGCTCTAAAGATTGGCTAGGCGGTCACTGCACACTCAGAGAAAGCGTACATTGAATCAGAGAGTGGGAGAGGTCAAGAGCACGCACGTGATCATCATATACAGAAAGCTACGTACATGCGACCCGCGGTTCAAGACTCGAGTAGCACACGCAGTAGTCACAGTTTCAGCAGTTAAGCGTATGCAGACCCGTTTGTCTTACAAAACGAACTGGTCGCCAGCCCCAAGCTTTGCCATCAATCAAGATTCGGAAATAGGCGTTTACCGACCGGCGGCTCTGTCTGACTCTCGTGACATGGATTAGAGAGGAAAATAGGTCCGCAATTTCATGCCATGTCGAATCCTCGACTCAGACTTTCTTGCTTTATACGACAGTCATACGAAGAATGAAGCTACCTTTCCTTTCGCTCACACGCACCAATCTTCTTGATTAATTGTCGTCTCGATGCGCTTGGCAGCACAAGAAACAAGATTTGACCATGCAACTCTTCAAGAGACGTTTGACGAATCGACGCTCTCGAGCCTTGACAGGTGGACGCGTCCCAGCCACATTTTGAGGTCTGGTTCGATGTCTCGACTCTGTCTTGAAGTTTACAAGTTAGGGCTTGGTTAGCAGCAACTTCATCTTGGTAGATCTCGACAGGGAAGTTTGAAGTTCTTCAGGCGCTGGCCCGTCCTCTCAGACGCGAGACCGAGCCCGCGTCACTCGAAACAAGCGAACGGATCTGCGATTGCGCTCATCAAGCTATGATTGAGCCAGCCATCTTCTTAAGAGAGCCACGACACCAAAGATTGCAACTCTAATCAGTCCAGCCACCACCAACCACATCAACAACACATGGCAACGAATGCTACCCTCGTGCATCTTTCTGCGCCGCGACGACTGAAGTTATGATAGCGCAGACGAACCTCAAGCTTCAAATCAGAAGCTACACATCTCGAACCATGCATCCAGAGAAGTTTCTCGGGCCAGGAAGTCGAATGCAGCTACCTGTGATTGTGAGCGCGGGAATACATGTTTGTTGGACTTTCCAATCTCGGTCCGCCTAAACAACGCCGTTTGAACCCATCGATTTACGACACTTTAGTCTCACGCAAAGATTGCAAATGGTAGAAGGATCTTCATGACGTCTGCAAGTACTGATGATCAGTTTTGGCATGTTGTCCCTTTGACTTCTGCACGCGTCTGAGCATACCTTAGTCTCGACGCGGACTAAGAGAGGTTCATATCAGTCTCTATGGTTACTGGTCGACCATCAAAGTCTTAGCACGTCAACCTCAATGAAGGCGCCGTACATCTTGGTGTCTATTTTCTGCGACAGCTAGCCACATTGAGAATACCGCTTCATCCTTCGTATCGCAAGCTTCAGTATGCTTCGTAGCGCTGTCGCTGATGGCTCTATAAAGGGTTGTTCAAACAAATACATCCTATAAGTGTTACGAAAGATACGCCGGGCTCAGATCAGATCTTATGGACAAACTGCTGAGTTCTTATCCCTCAACGCAACACATGCCAACGACTTCGTATATCGATTTCGAAACTCCTCAGCTCTTCTTCGCCGCGCATAATCGCCTAAACGGCGAGTTTCCGGGTCGCCTTGTCTGTTTGGTAGCTTGTCGGATCGCACTAGACATAATAGGATAGGTTGCTAAGCGGCTAGTCTTAGACTACCTCTTTCTTGTCACCTGCTCACACTCGACTAACGCTCTGAACCAGCCCTTATACAGGACCTGATTACTGATCATTGGTACAGCTGAAGTCAGTAGTCATTCTAAGGTTTGTGCAAAGGGGCCATTTGACATTGATACGGCCTTTCAAAAATAGGTTTCCTGCTGCTGCTGCTGCTACATTAGCGACCTCACAACAGTGTTTTGCATTGGGCTCCGCAAGCTTGGTTGACAACGATACTGATCTGGCTCTCATAGTCTCGAGGGATGTGATCTAACACAACGATCAGCATACATGTTTTCGGGGAGCCGGGGTGCAGGAGGGAGCGATTCGCTCATCTCTGAATGACCTTACTCGCCATTCAAGGATCTTCCAGGGTGCGTCTACACCCGTTGAATAGCGTATGGCTTGCAGACTGCCTATTGCGCCCTGTAACACCTCCGATTCGCTGCAGTCCCCTGTGTGCGCGCTATCCGACGGACGTGAATAAACCCTGCACAGTGCACACCATGTGCACCATCGCCGACGTCCGACGGATCAACTCGTCTCGGATGTATCACAGACCTGCGATTCGCTTAGCGCGGATGGGATTCAGGTCATCGTTGCGAGTGCGAGGATCACGGTCATGTATGTTTGATATTGCAATTCAGTCGCGTGTCAGTAATTCCACAGCAGGGTCCGATTGCATGAGAGGTGCTGATACGATGCACAAGCAGCCTGTGAATCTTCATTGGCGGAATTGGCCAATAACGCCCGCTTCGCCCTCACCCCTGTCAGTGGCTGTCGTATTCAACTCACGAACAAACATCAAACTCCAAGTGACACACGTCTCGACTCTTCGCTCAGCTGGTACCAGAAAGTGTCTGCAAATGATGGCATCTGCTTGAATCACAGGAGCACAGCGCATATGGGCAATCTTTACGAAACGCCGTCGAACTTCCGAGCTTGATTTGATCTTTCGCGCTTTCAGATTCTGCAAATCACCAGTGTGGCCGATTAGACACATGCATCTGGAGACGAGTACACAGTCAAAAGTAACCCTAGGTCAGTCGTCAATATATTGAGCAGAAAACCAGGAGCTCGTGATGGAGAGGATTTAAGTGAAGCAGTACCGTTGTACCCTCCAGCATTCGATGAGACCGATGAGTGAATGCAACTAGTATGCCAGGCTCAAGAGAGCATAAGTTGACTGTGACTCCAATTTCGTCTACTCAGTTTGGTTGTGAAGGTGACGTACCGCGTTAGCAAAAGCGGAGTACTGAGCTTCGAGAAACTGTCATGATCCTGGAACTGCGCGGCTTTCAGCATAGGATATTAGCAACGAACACCGGAACATGGTGGTGGGCCAGCCCTTGAGAGGAAAGGGCATGATACGACTTGCTTTCGGTCAGCTCGGAGCCCAACGTCCTTGCATTGTACTTGGTTACGGTCTCTACAACTACCAATGTGGCTAACACGATCTTCAGACTGATAAGACCCTCGCGCGTGGGCATAGATTAAACTTGGGGCGCATGAACGTTAAAGTAGCGGCGCTCAAAGTCAAGCCAGCATGCGTACCACTATGTATACGACAAGGCGTTTATACATGTGCCTGTGCCCCCGTGTCAGTCGCTTCTGTAATCATGCAAATACTGAAACAGGCAGTCAACCGCAGAGCCTCGGTCCGCGCTCAGGACAAAGCTGAGTATCGCTGATCACCCCTGAGAAAGGTATGTGCTGAGTGCAAGGAGATTTACAATTTCACATGGGCTGAAAAAGAAATCTTGGTCGTCGGTACGCAGTGGAGTAAAAGCCGAGGTTACACCCGTGGTTCTTTCTTCCGATGGGCTTGGTGAGGTCTTGATTGCAACTTCCAACGTCGGCTCACGAGTCAGCCAAAGAGATCTGGCACCAGTTTCGCGAGATCCGACTCACTTCAGTTCACTCCACGGAAGCCATCGGCTGCTCCGCCAGCCTCATTTGTATTAAGTGGGACCATACGGACCCATCGCCGCCATTGGTTCTTGGTTTGAATGTCATCCGAACTACTTTGCTACCAGCCTATTACCGGGCGACAACTCTCGCAGTCGTCCTCGCCGAGGTGCGATTCAACCACCATGTACAGCTTACGCAGATCTATGTTTGTGAGGGCGTGAACACTCCCTCGACCGAGGCATTGGAAATTCGACAGATGTTAAAATGCATCAAGCAGTTGAAGAACTGCAACTCAGAGGACCACTAAGTCAGCTTCGTGCAAGCATACCTAGCTGTCAAAGGAAGATGGAGCTCATTGTTGATTGACATATAAGTCGAGTAGGTACGTGTTCACCTGAAAGACGGTCAGGGCTTAGGGACTGCTGCCTAGCTCTATCCTATTGCGGTCATCGAGCAAGTCGGGTCCTCGAGACGGGTCTTGCAAAACATGTGCGGTGTACGCCATGACACTCAAGGTCGAGTGCGGGTGAGCTCAACGTGTCTCCAATAACTTGTTTGAATTGGTATTATCTGGTGAGCTGTAAGCTTCTTTTCGGCCTGCATCTCTTGCGTGGGCACCCATATACTGCTTCTTCTGTCCTACTCGACTCGAAGATTGAGATACTTGGGAGGGAGGATGACATTGATGTTGTGAGCACAGATATGAGAATAGTGTGACTCGCAAAAGTCACGGGCACGGCAGCTGCTTCGAGAAAGTGAAGCAGGTAACTTATCTCTCACGACGGCGGAAGATACGATGGAATTCTGCACCTTTGTCTCGAGTTCAGATCGAGTATGTTTGCACTACGTGCTGTTCCTGTTTGGAAAGGGATACTCGAGTAGTAGGAAAGCCAGAGAAGCTGGCCGCCGAGGTAAGACTCAGGGGCTGCATGGTTCATACAAGATCATTATTCGAGCAATCGCGCTGACCAATAGGTGTCACATACGCAGTAGTTGGCAGTACTGCTGTCTTGACCTAGCTGTATGCATTACTTCGCAGACGTGTTCTCATCTGCTTTCAGATGAGGATCAATGAACAAACTGAGTTGAGTGCCTTCCGAGGCAATGGATTTGCCGGAAGGCGAGGGAAGGAACGTTGTCCCCGTCCTGTGACGATTCATGGGCCACCCAGAGATACAACCATGCCTCCACGTCCTACTAAGCATATCTGCTCCCTCGTCCGTTGCACAGGGCAAAAGCATTGAAATGCATGATCGACACCAAGATGTCGCAGCCCGTTATCACTGTTCTTATGGATGAAGCAGCATTGTACACTAACATTTTCCATCAGACCCGGTTGGCTGGACTCCTTGACAGTCTACGGGGTGTGCCTGCGTCCACTGAATGGTACGTGGCTTACGAGCTGGACAACACCAACGATTTGCCGCAATCCTTGTATATGCAAATGCATGCACTATCCAACGGCTTGGAAAACACTCTCACTTCTGATGAGTACCCAGATGGCAAAGCTATTCGCCAGCGCTCAAGTGTGTGCTAGTCATGTCACATATTAATGTTAGGAAGTTGTTCCTCGTGACCGCTTACAAGGGTATTGATGCACCTGGTCAAATGCATGGCAGGCTCGAGCCAAGCTAAGAATGTGGAACGCAAGTGGATATCTCAGAAACCTGTTCATTTACTTCCTTGGCCCGTTCATGCCCTTGGTTCTCGCAGCAGTATGTTCGGGGAGTCGGGCTCCCTGAATTGGTTCTATTCACTTTCGGTTTATCGTCTCATTTGTGGGTTTCTCGCTCTTCGCGCCACGTTTCGCTCTCTGATCATCAACCGGTCATGTCCGAGATCTCTCTATTTGCTGGTCGCTACTTCCCTTTGTTGTTCGCCGTTCGACTCTTCGTAGCATCTGTGTCAGAAGTCAGGCGCATGCTGCTCTCCCTCTCGCTCTTTCCTCGTGCATTCAACAGACAGCAAGCTCACATACGATCATCGCGTTTTCAACTCATGACCAACTTCAATCCACCTATGAGCAGCTGAACTTTGCCACGACTGTTGCCGCAGACTCATGCTGCCACTTTTCGAGACTCCAATCCTTTTTACGATCATCCTGAGTCTACACATCCCAGTCGTGCTACAGCAAAAGAGCAGCAACCGACACGATACACATGGACTCGTGCCCATCATGCCAACAGCGATGGTCCCTCCTCCGAACCCAACTTCTTTCCTCGTGGCTCCGATGGAGAGGCAGCTAATGGAAGAACGTAGGGTCATCGCCGCTATCGTCATTGTCCCATCCTGCCAGCAGCAACCAACAAGACACAAAAGGGCTCATGCCTTCCGTGCCAACAGGGATCACCACACCCCTGAATCCAGCTTGTTTACACGTTGCGTCGATGGATGTAGCTGATGAAAGAATGCAGGAACGTCGCGTGCCATCGTCAACGTCCAAATCCTGCCCATCCCAGTCCATCAATTGGAGTTATGGAACACCGATCTCTGTAACGTCTACACGCTCTCGATACAACTGTCCCTCCTGGCCCAAAAACTGCCGTAGAAACTCGTTTCAAGCGGTTGCTCTGGTGCACCGACCCCTCGCTCTATAGCGGCAGGTCCAGCATACAAATTTCCGTAGATGGCAGCTTCTCAAGAGGACACACAACGCTGTTTATCAAGCAGTTGTCCCTAAAGTTGTCATGGTAGACACTTCTCTTGGGATCGCCGTATCCGATGAGTAGCAATCATACTGCGGACGACTAGTCAAGACAGCCGTGGTTCTCGGTCCAGATTCAACCAGATGGTCGCAGCATTTGCCAGAGAAGATAGTGCGTCTACGAAGACCAGCCCTCGCTGCACGGCAAGCCCCTCAACCCGATTCTGGTATCACGCCAGAGGAAGAAGTGACTCGCTAAACATACATAAGAAAGAGTGATCGTCCAAGCACGAGAAGAACAGTCGACAACCTTTAGGGGGTTTGACGCACAAAGACCCAGGAGACGTCTACGATGAACTTGATCGACAAGGCAACGAGACATGTAACAGGATGTCGTCGTTTCGTCTAGACATGGTAGGTCTTCTCTTGCATACAAAATCATGATACTTTTTGGATCAGCGGACTCCGTAGAAGCAAAATTTGATTGTACGGTTGAACTCCAAGGGTTCTGTGACACCCTCGATACATCTGTTCCTCTTTACCCAAGGACTATCCCGTCAAAGAAAGAAGTGATCGATTACACGCACAAGATTAGAATACCTTTCGCATTGGCGCTTTCTGTAGAAGCAAGATTCAATTTTACAGTTCAATCTCACAAGTTCTGACTACCAAAGGGACATCCGCGGGCGATTCAAATCTCTTCAGCTCATTGAGCATAGTTTGGTCAGTCGATAACAGATAAGCGACAAGTTCTCGTCTATATAATGTTGTGGATGGTTGATCAGAGGGTCACCCTGTCATAAACTCCTAGTTCAACCTCAGATATCGCTCTGTCCTCGATCCAAGCTAGCATGCAACGAGTGCTAATCCTCGATTCTGAGGTGACATACATGGTAAAATACGCTCAAATGTTCGCTTTGCTATCAAACCCTGCCAAAATGGGCAGTCCTATCTATTCTACAAAATGATCATGATCTTCTGGCTGCCACTCTTTGGAAACGGAGCAGGGATTACATCTCTATCCAGCATGCTCAACGATCTCGCTAACAAGCTTGCCATCCTTGATATAGGTACGGAACTGCTCGGGTAGGGGGCACTCCTTGTAGTCGTCTTGTTCGGTCTGAGGAGGGAGGTTGACGTTGATGCTGGCGCACTTTGAGGTGTAGATTTCAGTGTTCAAGCTCTCCTTCGAGAGGTAGATGGAAGCACCGTCAACCTGGTCGAGCATGACGGTCGGAAGGGTGCCGAGAACCTGCAGGGCAAAGTTGGGGCACTTGATGACGTCGACGGATGAGATGAGGTCGTCTATAACGAGGTTTGTGCGCGGACTGTTGTCAATGCTGATAGCGTTGGCCTTTCCGATCAGACGAATAGTAGCGTTCTTGCACTTTGTGATAAGAATGGACTGTGTGGCCGAAACCTCGATTTCAATAGGAGCATCGGCATCTTCGAAGTTCTCGATGATCCATTTGTTGCCGTCCAGTTCCTTCTTGGGCTCCTTCTTGGGTGTAGACTGGGCGATACCCTTGCCACGAATGCTGTCAGGCTTGGGCTTAAGCTCGGGACCTCTGCTACGGCTACGGTTGATGCTGTCTTGGCTTCCCTTGCGGTCAGCGACGGTAGAGCCAGCGCGTAGCGAAGGGTTCTTGTGCGTCATCTCGCTCTTGTCGACCTTTCTCAAGCCAGCTGTAACAGATTCACCTCTGTTAAGCTGATCGAAAACAGCACCCATATCACCACCGCTTGGCTTAGCAGCCGGAGGCGGACCTGGAGGAGGAGGAGGGTTGTCGAAAGTAGGAAGCGGTGGTGGTGGGGGAGGTGGGGGAGGACCACCTGCAGCACCAGCAGGAGCAGGAGCGGATTGTGAAGAAGCGGTAGAATTTGATTTTGCGTCCTTGAGAGCCTTTGCGAGGTCCATGCCCTGAGCGTTCCATGTGACACCAGCGGCATAGTGGCTGCGGATGTATGATTGGAGGTTCTTCCAGATGGCATAGTAGGCTTGGACGTAGGCGACGTGCTTGGGGTCCCTGTTGTATGGTCAGTGGACTGGAGTGGACACGGAGCGAGGATTGGCAACTGACTTCTCCTTGTATTCCTTGAGGACTCTGTTTCCGAACAGTTGAACACCACCCAAGATCTCAGCAACATAGTCGGCGGGCTTGCCCTCAAAGACAACCCACTGTAGACCGCCCATACCCTCAGCGACCATGTTTAGGTGATCCTTGAAGGGCGAGGCGCGATTTGAGTCCTTGATCTCGGTGACGGTGCCCATCTCTTGTTGCAAGTCCTTGATGAGCTCGGAGAAGGCAGGCGAAGTCATATCGGGCTTCTTGGCCTTGCTGGCGATAACGAGGTACTGACGCTGGGCAGCGAATGCGCGCTCGACGGCTTGTGCCTGGCAGGGATTAGAATGGTCGCAGGTTGGTGGTTGTCGGACAGGGGTGGTACCTGAGTCTCAATGTTCTTGTCCAGGCCCGAGGCAGATGTGACAAACTTGGCGACGTGGTCTTTGATCAGATCGTCCATATCCTGAATAGGCTTGGGGAGGCTCTCGGCCTGAGGAGTAGGAGCGGCAGGGGTGGAAGCTTGGGCAGCATCTTTGGCGACACCAGGAAGCTCAGGAGCGCTGGAAGAGGAAGGCAGATGAACAGCGCCAGCATCAGCGACGGTGCCCCTAGGTTGCTCGAAAGAAGGAGCCGAAGTAGCAATGTCCTCGAGGCGGGATGTGGCAGCTTCGAGTCTGAGGCGCGTGTTAGTAAGAGTAGTTGACATGCGAAGCTTCACAGCAGACGGACCGCTTGATCAGGGTGGTGAGGTTATGCATCCCGATATTACTCGTTGTCGTCGCCATGATGGGTGGTGTGCTTGAATTGACAAGATGTTAACTTAAGGTACGAAGTCGAGGTCGACGACTCGAATGTCCATGGTTGGCCCTGGACCCCGGCCTGGCACTCCGCCAATGCACGAGCCAAACACTGAAACAAGCCACTTCCGTCTTCCGAACTCGACAACATCATCGCCAGCATCGACCTGCTCGACAAACACGTCCTGTCTCGACAAACACGTCCTGTCTCGACTCTCTGCATCTTGCTGCGCACAGTATGCATCCTATAGATTTCTGTACTACTGGCATGTTCATCATTGGTCAGTACATCACTTGCTCCGTGCATATCTGTCTCGTTGTTTCACCTGCCAATCTGGAAATGCTAAGTCGTCTCCCCACAGATGACATCTACCCTGCCCCATCTGCTAAAGACCAGACTCCTTTTCTGAACATTCCTGGTGGTGCTGGTACCTATAGTGCTCTGGGTGCGAGAGTCCTCTCCCCGTCGTCTGAGTCCAACCGAGTCGGTTGGGTAGTTGATGCTGGTCATGACTTTCCCGATTTCCTACGTGACATGATAGCTGCTTGGGATACTGCCGTGCTACTGAGATCGCGCGACGCTCCGACAACGAAAGGCTGGAACGGTTACGGCGCTAATGAGCACCGAGGTATGCACATCTCCAGAGAAAGTCTGCCTCTGCTGAACTGAATTCTTGCAAGCTTTCAAGTATTTGACACCAAAACTCCGCATCACCGCAGAAGACTTGTCACCACAGCTGTTGACGGCAAAGTCATTCCATCTGATTTGCGCTCCAGCCCGTTGCGTCGATTTGGTCCAGGGGATCAAGTCTCGTCGGGCAGCGCTCGGCCAGTCCCTCGACGAACCTCTCTTTATCTGGGAGCCCGTGCCTGATCTCTGTGTGCCCGCTGAGATGGACAACACTATCAAGGCGCTCGAACACGTCCATGTCATAAGTCCTAACCACGCAGAGTTGTCAGACCTGTTCTCGGTCGTCGGAACTACTGAGTCCGGTGATGTTGATCGTCAAGTCATCGAAGCTTGTAGCTCCAAGCTGCTTGCCAGCGTGTCTAGCGAAAGAGCATCCAAGATAGCGGTAGTTGTGCGGTCAGGCAAGGATGGATGCTATGTTAAGTTGGCATCCAAGCAAGCATGGCTGCCAGCGTTCCACGCACCCACTCCAGCCAAGGTTATTGATCCCACGGGCGGTGGTAACGGCTTTCTTGGAGGATTGGCAGTCGGCCTCGTCAGAACAGGTGATGTGGTAGAGGCATGCAAGTGGGGTAATGTAGCGGCGAGCTTCATGATCGAACAAGTAGGAGTGCCAGTGCTGCAAGTGGAAGAGGGAGTAGAAAGATGGAACGGAGTGATAGTGAGAGAAAGAATGGAGGAGTACTCGTTGCGATGCAGGAAATGAACAGCAGTTGGACAGCAGTAGTGGTATTGTGTGGCTGGTCTCAAAAAGAAGAAAAAATACAAAGAAGCAGGCCCCCAAAACTCCGATTTACTTCGTATAGACAGCAGATTTAGTTGTCGGTGGATGTGAGAGAGCGCTCGTGCTCGCGGATCTGACGGCTCCAGCTGTGCGATGGTCGTCAGTATGTGGTTGAGTGGTGAGAGGTCGGGCAGGAGAATATGTACTATCTGCTGGGGAAGAAACGGCCTTGCTCAGGCATCTTGTAGCGGTGTTCGCGTTCGGCGCTCAAGCTGAAGAAGACGCCAGCGACGAGGACAACCGAGAGGCCCATGACGGCAGTGTTGGCTTTCCAGTTCTTGGGTTGTGAGTACCAACCACCGGCGGGGGACCAGACGTGCTTGGGGTAGCTGGAAGAGTGTCATTAGCGACTATGGATAGCAAGTGGTTGTCTGCGGTGCGAGAGTGGATTGCGTATGGGCGGAGGAGGGGTCTTGTTGGCGGGTCGATGGTGGGTTGTGGGCACAATGGGCATTGCAGAGGATGCAAACGTACGGGATCTTGTCGCCGGCCATGGTTTCTGAGGAATTGAAATTGTGTTGGTCGAGAGTGGACTACTGGGCAGCTCGCTCTCTCTTTGGTGGTCGCAGTGCTTCGGTTCCGCGACGACGAAGCCAAGACTTGCGGAGCGCACAGACACTTGCTGCATGTTGGTTGGTGATGGCTGGCAAAAATCTTGCCCAGCGACGACGACGACGAGGTGCAATTGCTACACCATCAAGCGCATTGCAACACAACACATGCGTCGCTCTCTACTGTCGCCCCGGGCTGTCCGCCTGTTGTCGCCCGCCTCGCCCCTAGCCTCCTCTCGCCGCTGTTTTGCCCTGTCCACCCGCCGACCACAAGATGCCCCCGTGACACCACAATCCGCAACACTGCCTGAAGCTGCTGCCGACTCTCCTCCTGCAGACCTCCCTACCGCCTCAGGAACTGCTCGCGTCTCGGTCAAGGCTTCTCGCAGGGACTCGCCCAAGCTCAGCGCTCTCCACGCCCGTCTCTCGCTTCCGCCGCGCTTCCCCAAAGAGACCCTAGGACGTTGTCTAGTACATCCCTCGGCCGACCGCAACCCTCTACACAACAATGCTTCTCTCGCCGTCATTGGCCAGGACCTGCTCGCCTACTACACCGCCGAATGGCTGTTGTGCAACTACCCTCGCTTGCCCACCGCCGTCCTGTTCGCCGCTCAGTATGCCTACTCAGGTCCCCGTACTCTCTCGGCCATGCGTGAGGAATGGGGTGTCGAGTCAGTCGCTGCTCCTGGTATAGAGGTTGATCCCGGTCTTTTGCAATATGCCCGCCAGAAGCCCGGCAACGCCATGGCCGAAGGTGCCATGCTTCGTCTGAAGGACATGCCATCTGCCGATACAAAGTCCGCCTCTGCCCGTCCTAACTCACAGTGGAACTACCGTCGCGGTCTGTCTTCTCGCATTGTCTACGACAACCAGTTCGGCGACTTGCACGAAGACCCAACCTCTGCTTCTACCTCAGCCCAGAGCCCTGATGGCGCCGTCACCACCGAGGAAGCTTCGGCAAGCTTCATCAACGCCGTCTTTGGTGCTTTGTACCTACACGCTGGCGCCCAAGCCACACAGGCCTTCCACAAGGCTCACATCCTCTCGCGTCACATTCCTCTGCACACCCTCTTCTCCTTCACTCACCCAACTCGCGACCTTTCTCGCTTGTGCGCGCGCGAGGGCTTCGAGCCGCCAGTCGCCCGTCTGCTTTCCGAGACTGGTCGTCACTCTCGTAGTCCCGTCTTCGTCGTCGGCGTTTACAGCGGCAGCGACAAGCTAGGAGAAGCCGCTGGCTCAAGCCTGGACGAGGCTCGTGTCCGTGCCACTGCTGCTGCTCTTCGTTCGTGGTACCTCTACTCGCCTCCTCGTGAGAACATCGTTCTGCCCAGCCAGTCCGCCACTACTCAATGGAAACCTCAAATGATTGACATTGGCGAGATTGTCACTTGAGATGTCTTTTAACGACTTGTAAATTCTTGTACTATCAGTTATACCTGCGTCCACAGGCCAAGAGGCTGCTGGACTATACCGCTTCGATCCGGACAGCCCTATAACCCCAGCCTCTATGCATCTCAAGCATTGTACCCGTGGCGTCCCAAAAGAGTTGGGGACAATTTTTGACTCCCCCTTGTTTGTATTTCCTGCATACGGATAGGCGTCAAAGGGATGGTGGGCTGTCGATTTATATCAGGAGTATCTATGAATCCCCCTCCAAAGATCCGAGGGTGTTTCAGTGTGTAAATATACGTTTTTCTTCTCAAGACCAATTCATCCAATGCCCCATGTGATGCCCCCTTCACTTCCTGTGAGTGATCAAAACACAAGTCTTCGAAAATGGTCGAATGACATGTTGACCAACTGCGCAACCATTCAGGTCAGCCATTGGCCATGCCTTCGCAAGTTGCGCTGTTTATACGAACCCAGCATTCTCAACACTGCCACACAACAATAGGCAAGCCAAGCCAATGCATCTTGGAAAGTACTATTTCTAGAAAATTGGAAGATGATCACCTTTAGAAGGAATAATCCTTCGGCAATAAGCACCGACGTCATGCCCATGGCACCTATAAATACAACATCACTGCAGAGCACACGCGGGGTACCCCAAACCCACTCTCTACCACCTTCCATATCACAGATTCTCCTCCTCAAGATATTACACCTATAACCAAACATGTCGCAGCAACAACCATCAACCCAAACCGCCGCAGACGCCACTGCAGCCTCAAAATGGGGCATCACACCCAATTCCTCCACCACTTCAAAACCTCTCGATCCAAATACTGGAAAACCAATCGACTGGGAAAACTTCTACGACGAAGAAACAAAGAAGGAGTTGAGAGCGAAGGGAGTAAATCCAGCTCTAAAGGCAGAAATGGAGTGGCACAAGAATCAGAGTGAGGGCAAGGGGATTTGGGGTAAAGTTGCGCAGACAGCTATGGGTGGGGGTTGGATTAGATGATTGTTTGTTTGTTTGGGGCTATAGCGAGATACATTCGACGTATTAGTGTTCTTCTCAAGATGCTTGAGGACTTCTGAACTGGTTGATTAATCGGCAAATTGTCTCGACAAGAATGTTCTCAACCAAGTGGCAGAAGACCTTTCCACTTTGGTCGAGAGGCCTGCGGCAAGACTATACGAACATTGTGCGATGGTCTCGGGCATCTGAAAGCTTGTGAGCGGCCATGGGTGCTCGAATCTCATGATGACTTGTATGATCCAACATACCGCACAGAAAGCCAGACATGGCCTTCTCCTCTAACAGAAGAGTGGCAAGCTGCCAGACTGGTTTCAGATTATCCCAGTGAGGGAGTGAGCGGCTAGCCAACTCTTGTGTTTCCCACATCTCACGGTAGAAGATGGGATGAATACACAAGTCTTCTCCCACTGGTAATGCAACTTTCACGTCAGTGGGTTCGATTCCAGTCTCCTTGAATTTGCGATAGGCAACTGCTGGCGTAGCATGTTTTCCGTATCCGAATCCTGGATCTGGAGTAGGAATGGAGGCAAGGTTTATATGGCCCTTTTTAGCCAAAAGCTTGAGACCAATTCCCCTGACGAGCGGATCTTTTTCATCCAGATAACGGATGGGTCGCGTCTTACGAAGACAAGGGTGCTGAGGCGACGTTGGCTGTTTCTCTTCCGTCTCTGACAGCTCGAGCGAGGAAAACCCGATGAATTCTAGAGCGTGTGCCGAAAAGGCTGATGATTCTGACCAGGCCGGAGAGGGACGTGCTGCCTGCTCCTGATTCTCTATGACTTTGAGGAGAATGCCGCTTTCCGCCCTGACCTTTGGCGTCATCTGCTTCGACACGATTTCGTTTGTGGCTTCCTGGAGATGTCATGGCCTGTGACTTGTATGAAACTGTCCTGTATGAGACTATCCTGGATGATGAAAACACCTCCCAGCAAAAGTATGGAGCCTGCAGAGAATGGCTTTATCACGTATTGATAACGCCGAATGGGATATGGGATTACTGTTCATCATTCTTTGTCATTTTTTTCCGAAAGACGCGCTTTTCGAGTATTTGATCACGAAGAAGAGAACAAAGCTCAGCCCCCGGGTTTGTCAAACATACGATAGAGAACTTGACAATGAGTATCCTAACCTGGTAGCGAGAGCGAATGTGTGTAGTTCGCTAAATTCGCTGCTCCGGTCAGCTTTGCAAAGGTGACCTACATCTTGCAGTCCTGTCTGGGCGAGGCCAGAAATACAAATTATGCGACCATGCGGATTCACAGAAGATGAGTATTCATAGTAGCTTGCAATAGGTTCTCAATTGCGGCAAGTCCTGGGCGAAGGGGAAAAGAAACTGGGTGCTGAGGTGAAGGTACAGCAGGGGCGGAGGATCATCGGCATGACGCGCAAGCACTTTGGTGGTCGCGCGAACGTGTCCGGAGAGCTTGAGCTTCAAGGGGACTTGATTGTATAGAAGATAGGCATACACAATCACCGCAATGGCAAACCGAGGATACGATGTGGTAGTTGATGTGGATGCCGAGGTTGGTCGCTCCATGCGCTCGCTCATTGTGAATTTGACGACTAACCCAGGAGCAACAGGGAGATCTCGGCCATACCGACCTGCAAGAAGACCTTGAATTCCACTCGTCCAGTAAGACCCCGTCGTCTTGTCGCAAACTTGATCCCTTTCTCTGACAGAGATCGCAGACTTTGAGACCCAACCCTCGACCCGTGGCAAGCTTCCTTCAGGCAACAACTCGTTCCTTCCCACCAGCAACAGCAACTCAGGTGGAAATAGCAAACACTATCTCTGGAGCATCTCCTTTTACGCCCAATTCTTCGATGTCGACACTTCTGAAGTCGCTCGCCGCTGCCGTGCTGCTATCTTCCCTCTCTCAAACTTCCTCGATGTCCTAGATGGAAACCCCGATCTTTACGGCCCCTTTTGGATCGCTACCACCGTAGTCGTTATCCTCTTCCTGACAGGCACAATCTCGCAATATCTGGCAAAAGAGGGAAAGAAACACTTTATCTACGATTTCACTCTGCTCTCTGGCGCTGCGGGTCTGATTTATGGATACACTTTCATCATTCCCATTGCGCTTTGGGGTGCCCTGAAGTGGTTTAAAGCAGAGTCTGCCAATTTGCTTGAGTGTGTCTGTCTGTATGGCTATGCCAACTTGATCTGGATCCCCGTCGCTCTGATTTCTTGGTCACCAATTTCAATCTTGAACTGGGTCTTTGTCGCTATCGGACTTGCCGCCTCAGTCGTCTTCCTGGTTAGAAATTTGTATCCTGTGCTGAGCGCCACCGATGTCAAGACGAGCAAGATCTTGTTGGTTGTCGTTGTGGCTTTGCACTTTGGTCTCGCCCTTGCCATCAAAATTTTGTTCTTTGCGTAAGTTCTGCTTCTTCTGGTTTTGAGAGCATCATACTAATCACGTTGATACAGGCATGGTAGCCCTGCCAAGAAGGATAAGGGACACAAGGACGATGATGATAAGATGATGCGCTTTGTCTTTGGCTTGTAGGTCTGATAGACCATTTTGCACTTCCACACTATAGAGTACTGCGAACTTGATTCTGTAGCCGAGCTTCTACCATGTTAATTCGCAACAAAACTGCCTTCTCTCGTTCTCATCCCAGCCATGGCCTTTGCTTCATATCGTTTCTCTAGTATCTGTATCTGCTCTCAAACACGGTATAGAAGTGACGTTGTGGAGAGGATACTGTGCTACTCACAATCGCTTCCTGTACCTCCTTCTGTTGAGCTCTGACATTCTATTTCAGCATACCCAACTCGAGGCTGAGTTGTAGTGAGGAGAGAAAGCTTTATTCTCGAGATACAGCGAACAGTTTGAAAATGTTAGGAAGTCTAAAAGTGTGTATGGGTTTGTTAAAAAGCCTCTAAGAATGCTGTTTGGTTGTTGTAAACTGCCAATGCATGCATGTATTCGTTCGTCCCGTATATCCTTTCTCTTATGCCCCAAACTCCTGAGTTGTAATCAAATAGGTATCTTATATCATCCTCCCCTTCACTTCATGAACCCTAGTCTCTTCTCTCTAGCCTCCACATCTCTCATTTCCTCGTCCATCACACTGTTGAAGTGGTCTGCACCGTCAAGGTAGACGTGATGACCAGCCTTACGGATGATCACGACCTTGGAATCGCCATTTTCCCTTTTCTTTTCGTCTTCCGTGGCAGTGGAAAGAGCCCTTTGTTTCTCGGCCTGCATCTTTTCTGCTGCAGCACGACCACCTTCTTTGTCCATCCAATCGTTTTCTCCGTACATGAGGACGACCGGAATACCTGTCTCACGGACCTTCGATAGACCAGTAGGAGCAGAAGAAGCGTTGTCAGGAGTTGGGGAGGAGTGAGGCTCTGAAATCCATTGACGACCCACACCCTGTATGCGGCGAATCAGGGGGCTACGAGCAAAGGCACCAGGAGCGAGGATGTATGCCAGGGCGTATTCACCTGATCCTCGTTGACGGAAAAGGGAGTAACTGTAGTCGTGCAAGGCTTGTGACTCTTCGGCTGGCAGGTGGCTAAAGCGACGGCTCGTCCAACCCGATACTAGACGAGGGCCCAGAGGACCGGACCAGCGAACAAAGGAGAAAGGCGAGATGTTTGCGTCCCAGAGAGTGGTAAGCCACTTCGGCAATGGCTTCTTAGGCGGCTTGCCACTGTTGTTGGCTGCATCTCTTTTCGCCTTTGCGTTCAAAAAGTTGTTGTTGTCTCCAGTCTTCGCTGATGCCGGAATGTCGGGATTTGTACCGTTGACAGAGTTTGCCTGATCTTGAGTAAATTCATTGACCATGGTCGAATCTTCAGGTTCAGGCATATCGGCATTGACAGCGTAGGGATCTTCTGGAATACCGACAGGCGAAGCCAGAATCAGCTTGTTGAGATGGCCAGGGTACTTCAGAGCATACGCAACGGCCATGTAGCCGCCCATGCTGTGACCAAGCAAAGTGAAACGATCGATACCCTTCTTGACGCGCCATTCTTCCAGAGCGTCAATGAACCAGTTCTCGGCTTCTTCGATTTTTCCCTGACGGTCTTTGGCGTGAATCTTGAACGGAGGACGGGATGAACGACCCATACCGAGCATATCCAGAGCGTATAGTTTCCAGCCTGGCAGTCTAGACAAACTCTCAAAGTTGCGATAGAAAAATCCAAGACCAGCACCGTAGCCGTGAATCATGACAAGGTTGTTGTCAACTTGCTCACCAATTCTCTCGACCGAGAATTCGTTCAAGAAGCGACTCTTGCCTGACAATTCCACCAAGTCCGAGTTCCATTTACGAGGACCGTATGGGTCGCTAACAGTCGATGTAGTTACTGGATCAGCTTGACGGGCAGCGGTCTTGGTGACATCCTGTGTCGGGGCAGTCGTCGAGGCAAGGGCAGAACCGGTCTGGGTGTGAGTCGGAGGCTTTTGAAGATATGGGATGAAAGAGAGGACGCGGTGTTCGGTAACGGCAGGAGACAGACCAGCCCACTGAAATAAGTTAGTGATGAGGATGGCAAGCCATGCACGGAGATCTGCATACCCATTGACTGAAGCCCTCCTTGTAACCGAGGGGAAAGTATCCGGTCTTGCCAGCGGTCCTGGTGGCCTCGGAGGGAGTGTCTTTGCGCTGAGAGGCCAGCATTGGTCTTTGACCACCTTCTGTGTCGGAGGCCATTCTCGGTCTCTTTGGTGTGCTCTTCGGTGTTGTCGGGTGGCGGTTTATGCAGAGGGCGTTGTTGAACGATTCGCTAACTTGATTCCAGGCCTGTTTCCCAAGGCTCAGGGTAGCGCGACTGGCGCGCAGATATTGTGATCGGCTAATCTTGGAAGAGAGATGCTAAAAGAGAGGAGGGAAAAAAGGAAAGAGCGACGGACAACGACTTTATTGTACTGGTCAAATAGGCAGGTACGGAGTAGGCGGTCTTATGACGATGCAGGCAGCAAGGACGGAGTTTAGGTCAGCCCGCGTCTCCGGGTCCGCCGTTGAATCAATCACGGCGCCGCATGCATGAGCTGACGCCAGTCATTTCTCAATCATCCATATCGACAATACAACATTGCTACTGCCCCACGTCGCAAAGTGCTACCCGAAATCATGAGCTGAACAGAGTCATTCAGACATGTCGACATCCACGCTGGATAGAATCGTGAAGGGGGCACCACCCCCAGACGTGTCTCTCGATCAAGTCGCACAATCCGCCCGTCGCTCGAGCACCACCACTCTTTCGCACTCGCATTCTCGCTCACGTGGAGACTCCATCACCGCTCCTCACCCACCCGCTACCTCCCAATCTGACCCCCTGAACAATCTCCCCTCGTCGCCTGAGCAAATCAAGCTCAATCTCCTCATCCTCGAATCTTCTCTCCGCGCCCAGTACCTCTGTCTCCATGCTCGCTTACGTCTCTACCTTGTCTTGATGACCGCTCTCGGTCTCTGGATCTCAACCTTTACATATCTCCTCTTTCTACGCCCGCGCGAAGATGGCAAGGGTACTGGTGGCTCCCCTTACTGGGTCGTCGACATTGCTGAACGCTTAGGCTGGGTTGGAGGTCTTGTGACTGCTGGTCTCGTCTGGGGGACCGGAATGTGGGATCGTGGCATTCGCTGGCCCAGAAGGTGGGTGAATATTACAAACAGAGGGCTACGAGGCTTCAATCTCAAACTTGTTGTCATTCGGGGTCCATGGTGGAAAGAAGCCCTTGGCTATCTTTTCTTCCTGGATCCTTGGGGCTGGTGGGGTCACGTCAAAGGCATGCGATTTGAATTCATGCCAAAAGATATTGAGAAATCTACGCTTGATAACAAGGACAAGGTTGGTTTGTGGGAGACTGGTGGCCGCCATGGTTGGATTGAAGAAGATGTTGCCCCTGGAGGAGATGTTATCAAGCTCCTCTTGCTGCCAAAGCCGTTTTCACCAGACTTCCGAGAGGACTGGGACACCTACAGGCACAATTACTGGGAGAAAGAGAATGAAAGACGCTCTCAATTACGAGCAATCATCAAGACAAGAAAGAGGCAGTTGGCAAAACAGGAAGGTGGTTGGCTATGGTGGACAGGATGGAGGGGATGGACTCGTTTGCGACACCCAACAAGACCCAATCATGATCAATTGAACAGAATGCAACGCGAAGCTTTGCGCGAGAAGCACAGTCTATCACATATGAGAGAAAAGAAGGTCAGGCCAAGCTCAATCTTGCGAGAAAACAGCCATTCGCGCTCAAGCTCGAGGAGTTCTACCCCTGAGTCACTTGGACGTCGGTCCGAGGAGAAGCTACGCAGGATGAGTAGTTCTCACAGCCTTAGAAAGGAACGGCCAAAGACAGCTACTGCTAGGCGCTCGAGTCGTCTGGCCTCTACAGACTCCAGGCCGGGCACACCCAGCTCAGTGGGCACTGCTTCTGAGCACGAGACCTCGCCAACGTCTTTGCACAACCGCGCGAGTAATTTGAGCATTAGCTCAACGTCAACCTGGACAAGTGATGTACTCAAGGAGGACACACCGCCCACTGATGTCGACACGACCGAGAAAGATCAGACGACGCCTAAGCTCTAGCCTTGCGATTGCTGAATATGATAACGACTGTTCTTGTTTCTCTTCTGACCATCCACTGATCCTTGCTGCTCTGGTGATTGTAACATAGCATAAACGCTCGCTAACATTCCTGCTCTAAAACATTCAGATGACTTTGAATTCCTTCAGGTACAAGTCCAAGACTCGTCACATGTTTGGCTTGTACTACCTGGAACCAACACGAGCCATGTAGCCATCCCGTGCTGTGTCTTGAGTCTGACGAAACATATTCAGTCATGAATGGGGAGAAGTACGTCGGCAGGGGTCAGCTATGGAGTTAACAGTCTGCAGTGTGTTGGACGTTAAGATCACAGATTGTCGTCCGCATGTGACAATCATCGTCATCGGTAAAGCTTGATATGCCAGCCTGTCTGCCATTGTTTCCATCGATCACTATAGCCTGACGGTAATCCCGTCAACCAAATACCCAGTTAACCTGATTTGGCAGTCAACATATCGAAACCGCCAACCAATCCACAAGGGGATCAACATCACGCTCAAGTTCGAACCATTGAAGCAGCTAATACTTCCACACTACTCGGCTTTTCATCGCATATTTTTCAATACAGCGCCTCTGTGGAAAGAGGTCTGGTCACTATACCGTCAGACCTGTGATTCTTTTTTGCTGAGGATCCTCAGTTGTATTTTGTCCTGGCGCATTGCCTTGCGTCCGCAAATCACGCTCGCTCGTCTTGGTCTCAGCATCGATAGCAACATGGCCTTCTTCTTTGTTGTCTCAGCACTCATTTGAAACCACACGCTTTATCCGTTGCTTTGTAGAAGTACAACGCATTGTCTCTGTTGCAAAGTCTGTTCAGTCGGACAATGAGCTGACAAAGAAAGTGGGAACAATGTTCTGATCCTTCTTGAGATTTCCTGAAGGATATCGCCCATTACAAAAGCATTCATAAGCATCCACTAACCATCTCCATCTTTTGTACCTTCACGCAGAACTCTCTTCGAGAATCCAAGATATCCACGAAGATACCCCTCAACATTCTTCTGGCAGGCTGCAGAACTTACCAAGTCCGTAAGTCCTCAACCCCCAAGCCTCAATTGACGAGGAAACAGTATTTATCTTAACGATCATGTCTTTGAATGGTGAGTATCAGATTGCGAGCTGGAGTGAAATCTTCTGCCAATGCTTACCGATTGGCAACAAAAAGCCTGCCGCTGGCCCAGATATCGAGATGCAGAAAATGTCCGCATCCTCTCGCTACTCTGCGATCAACAACCCTGTCATTCCTGACAATGTGGTTAGTGCTAACAACCCCGACAACATTCAAAGGCCTTCGCACACTTCTTGGTGGTTGAGAGACGACTCGTCTTCGTTCCCTTCTGCTCCTCCCAGCAGAAGTGGTGCCATGAACCCTGTCGCTTCTTACCTTGATCCAACTCCTGGACCCACAGGAATTCGCACCCCTCCTCGTACGACAGACCCCTACACGTCTCCTAGTCATGTCAGATCAAGTATTGACATGTTCGTTCACAATCCATATTCGCCTGGAGCTCCTGCTCCTCGCACTCCTCAATGGGTCTCTCGTGTTGAATGGGCTGAAACAACTAGTCCTAGGCTTGCGTCCTCAGTCTACCCAGTGTCTGATTCTGAGTTCAGCAGTGGGCCTAGTTGGCGCCTTCCTGCTCCTTCGTCTATCTACTCTTCTGATGCTGCCGACTATACTCCAACACCAGACCCTCGTCTCGGTGTCCGTGTCCCAAGCATTAGCCCTAGAGCTGCTTCTTATGCCGCTATTCTTGATGTTCAAGCTGATATTGATGCCAGGCGCTCCGAAGTCGTGTCACCTGCTGGTCAGACTTCTCCATCTCCAACTGGTTCTGTAGACAGCATTGACTTCTTTACTGGTGAAGCTAGTAGACCTGATTTTGGCGAGAGAGTTGAGAGATGTGGTGGCAGGACAGCTCCGGTCAGACCTCCAAGGTTTGCTGGCACTAGTCCTTATATTGCTTGAAATTGCTCTGATGAATTCTGCGTTTTTGCTTTTTGGTCTTTGGCAGGATGTTCTGAGTGTTTCTGCACGCAACTATTATAATAGAAAAAAATGAGTATCTCTTTCTACAAAACGTATCTTTTTGTTTGTAGTCATTATGTCGTGCCTCTGTGTTGAGTCTCTATCTACTTTTTTTGGCCCACTGTGTGATTATGATCTGTGGTACCTTGACGAATGACGATAATGTCTTCTATTGTTCCCTGCCATCTTTTGATTTTGAAGCATATTGTTTGGGTATTGTGGGACAAAGCTATTGCGGCGAGAAAGCCAATGTGGCCAAAATTTGACCAGCCGGGATAAATGGGAATTGAACTTCTAAGTGCTCGATACTGTGATGTGCCTTCTCAGAGTGCCAAAGGTAGGTAAGATTTTCATGGTTTTATGTGGTCTCAATCCCACATCATTTCCATTGTTTGCATTCTCCAAGTCGAAGTTGGGTTCAATGAATCAGTTTTGGGTGAATTATAGTTTTATCGAATAGCTAGAGTACAAGGAGGTTCAAACTGCTACAAGTTGCAAACGTTGTACCGCCAGCCCGTCGCAACCCTTGAAGCGGACAACCACAACTATACAGCTGCGGAGTATTTCTCCTCGTCTAGTGATATGTTGCTTTTGAGATGTCGGGGCACGTCTTGAATGGGCATTTTCGCTTGGTAGCCATCCTGATCTTCCGCAGGAGTGGTTCGTTCACCATCACCAAAAGTGGGTTTAAAGAAACCGTCATAGGTTCTCCAACAAGCCCTGAAGATTGATTCTGAGAAGATACGGAGCCAAGGCGGAGTGCGACCATGCTCATCAGCGAATTTTGCATTGAGACCGAAGATAAGCACAATGAAAGGTAGCCACAGAGTGAGGAAGATGAACTGGCCCATCTGCTGCTTGTTGCTGGTAATTGTGTATGGTCGGATGTTGTTGAGATAGTCCTGGTATTCGTAGGGCAGTTTGCACTCAGCGGCTCCATCAGTGATGAGCTTCAGGTAGCGAGAGGAGGCTTGTGCGTAAGAAGTATCCGGACGTTGAAGTCTTCCTCCATCCTTTGGGGGTTGGGAGCCTGGTGGAATAGCAGGAGCGAACAGGGTATGAGCCTTGAAAGGCTTAGTGGTAGGGTAGACGGGCACAGGGCGGGTCGGATCCGAATTCTCGAAGGGATAACAGTCGATGAGGATATCTTGGTATGAGGCGCCACCTCCTTCAGTGGCAATGATGTGGGCATAGTCAGTGGCAGTGACTTCGTAGACTACGCCTATCAAGCCTTTGTGCCATCTATCCTTGTGGTAATCGTTGGGTGCAGGCGCTCCCTCCTTCTCCGATAGACTTGGCACATCCTTATCAGGATCGCGACGGGCAGTGTTTGCAAAGCATGGCTCCGAGTAGGCTATACCAGGTAGATCAAAAGTCAAGCGTAGTTGTGGGATCTGAACGTTGATTTGCGACAGAGGCTTAATTCCTCGCTTGCCTCGGAAGGTTTCGTTGCACAAATTGGAACCGTAGGCGAGATAGAGGAATGTCTCGGTCTTCGATTCGGCACCAGCTGATAGAGACTGTTCTCTTCGCTCCAGGCTTGTCTCTGGTAATGTTGGATAGGTCGAGAGAGCCAGTGTTTGAGGGCGGGTCGTCTGTTGCGTCGCATCGCGCAGACTTCTGAAAGCCTTGGCCAATCGGCACGTATTTTCTGGCGAGTCTATCATGGCTGTCAAATGACACACAAAGGTGCACCCCTCTGGATTCCACGGATCCAAGTTGATACTTGACCTTGACCACGAAGGTGTTTCGGTAACCTTGTCGTTCCGAGATTGGTAATCCAATGACGATTGTGGTCTGTGCTCGATTATCTGTCTCGGTTACGGACTAACACTTACTTCCGTCCTTCTTCGCTACAATGTGAGCATCGAAGAAGCTCTTTGGGGTTGATTATGCCTCCTGCCGTGATTGACATGTAGGTGGTGAGGCTTTTCAAAGAGTATCATGAGCAGCCTATCTGGTCTTCTCGGGCTTCTCGATTGATCGAGCTGAATGGCATAAACAAGGACAGAGGCTCTTGAGCGAGCGAGGACAACTAGGAGAAGCTCTGCAAATTTTCTGGACAGTCTTTTGTGATGGGTTTCGGAAAGAGCATCTGGTAAATTTATGTGGCAGATCAGGTAGGTGCATCCAGGCGAGCATGTGACAGAATCCGACAGGCGCGACTTCCTTTGGCGTGCACATCAACAATCAGGCAGATGCGCAGCCATGAATGCCCTCGCTCATTACAGTCATGGCCTCGCCGATGCCTGTTGGAGTTAAAACCGCCGTGTATCATTGTCCCATCAACGCTAGTTCTGATCCAACACCTGTAAAGCCGCCATCACAGAAGACACAATACATCACTCAAGTGCCCAGATCGCCTTCTATCTCTCAGCGGCTCCGTCCCAGTGTTGTCTCGGAGAGCTATTCTGGCGACTCTGTTCAAGATTCTCTTGAGCATCATCACTCAGCGCCTGCTCATCAGCCTAGTACTTTCCTCGAGTTCCTCAACCAGAGCGGTCCTGTCGAGAACAGCCAACCTCCGTATACCTCGTGTGAGAAAGACCCTATCGCTTCGCGTCCACAATCTCAGGATCAAGTCATCGCACAAGGCTCTAATCAAGGACTTTCATCCAAGCATTTACCCTTTGAAAATCACACCATTGAGGAGGACTCGGTCAAAGTCTCGCCATCAGCACGCCTGCAATCCCAAGGCGATACCGTGGATATTTCAGACGAACCACAACGCCGAACTCCGTCACAAAAGGAGCCCGTTACAGAGTATCCAAGTCAAGCACATATTCCTGTACATACTGAGCCAGACGACGACGACGACGAAGACATTCAAGACTGCATCACAGTTCGCTCTCGCCCTGTCACCTCGCCTATTGAGCTCAACTCACGACAGAGCACAAACGACGTTGCTACTGTCTCATCTACTTCTCGTGAACCAGAAGACATCTACAACGTGACTCCTCTCTATCGTGTTGGGTTTTCGCAGCCGAACGTTTCTGCTACCACCGGCATCACTACGCCCAGCATGCCTCCAAAAGCCTCAAGTACCAAAGGTACTACGTCTGCGAGCCAAAGCCGAAAAGCTGCCAGTACAACTTCAAGGAAGACATCGAAGCCTGCCCAGCCTCTTCCTGACATTGTTAATGAAGGCGAGACCTCATCCACGGCTATTCTTCAAAAGTTGAGAGCTGGGGGCACCAGTCAGGCAAACACAACGCGAGAAGCTTTAAAAGTCATGCCTAAGATTGTTTTCGGAACTGAGACTTCTCAAAAATCTGCAGCGCGTCAAATGCAAGCTCCTGCGAACAAGCCCGCTGCGAAACCTTCACTGCAACGTCAAATTCGACCTTCAGTCCTGTCTACCAAACAGTCTTCCCGTGGGCCTGAGCTTCCTGAGGGTGGTGGCGAGTTTGAATTTTCGCCCGATCCGATTGCGACTAAACGTCCTGCTGTTCCATGGCAACCTGAGGAGGTCAAGGGCAAATCGACCAAGATCACGAAGTCAACAGCTGCATCATCGTCTCTGAGCAAGAAGAGCAGCAAGATTCAACCAAAGAAAAAAGCTCCTAAGGCTTCAGAGAGTGATGAAGACAATGATGATGAGGAATACAGCGCACCCAAGACGTACAAATCGAGGACTACGATTACTACACGAGCAAGCACACGAGCTCAAACGCAGACGGTCACCAAAAAGGATGGACTCAACGTTTCTACTCGAAACAGTACAGCAAGCAAAGCTGAACGAAAGGAACAGCAGCCTGTGCCACGAAAGACGGCTTCGTCTCACAGCCGAGAGGAAATTGAGGACTTCGAAGACAGCGTAACTCACATCAACTCTGGTGGTGCTGCTAGCCCGCAGCCAGCAACTCTATCTCCGCCGGCAAAGCCTCCTGTAATCAAGCAGACCAAGTCTCGACGTGCGACCGAAAAAGCGACACAGCTTATGAATGATGTGATTTCCAGTCCTGATCGGTAAGAGCTATACCTACTACTCAATCGCTTTGCTTACTGATGTATACAGTGCCACAACTCCAGCCGCTACCAAGGCACAGTCCAGTAAGAAAGTACCTGTTCCGCGAGCGTCCTCTAGTGCAGCGCATAAGACTACCCCAGAGCAAGGTACCACACGGCGGAACCCTGTCTTCATCGACGACGATGGTTCTAGTGATGATGGCGAGAATGCTCTGCACGACGATTTCGATGTCAGCTATGGTGAGATCATCACTGAGGGGATGGGACAAAAGCCACAAGACAAGCAGAAAAGTTCTCCGACCAAAATCAAAGCTCAGTCTCGAGTCGCCGTCGCTCCTGAATCGCCAATCCAGCAGCCATTGGACCATGTGTCCGACACCCTCCCCAATCCTAGCTTGGTGGCGCAAGAGCGTGCTCAGCGCAAGCCAAATATTGTAGAATTCGATGCCAATGGACCTAGGAACCAGGGTTCAAGACGTCAGACGAAATTTTTCGACCTGGACATACACGATCCACCATTCGAAAAGGCTTCGTCTCCAGATCTTGACCAGTTCGATGTACAAGAACCATCGCCCACATTTTTCACGACGTCGGGCCCAGACACGCAGCCGAAAGGAGTGCTCGACCTCAAAGCCCCTGAAAGTCTCACTCACGAAGACGACCTTGTATCATTGCTCGCTACAACTTCCAGAGGTGTTGCCGCATCGAAACCAAAGTCAAACGGTGAACAACTTCGACAAGCTGTAATGGCCGTTGAGATCTCTACACCCAGAGAAATGAAATCGACAGAATCTGAATTATTGGCGAAAGCAGTCACATTTGATCACGAACCAACGAGCACCTCACGGACCAAACATCCCACGAGCAACACATCTCTCCATGGCAAGCATGGCAGTGTTGAACCTCAAGCTCACTCTGGGTTTTTGGTTGAAGAGTACTCTCAACAAGTATCCAAGAAGCATGGAGACTCTGATGCAAAGCTGCACGGAGATGCAGATACGACCAAGTCTATGATGCGACTGGCCAGGGACAAGGCAACATTAAATCTTGATTCTGCAAGAAATCCTATTCCTGTCGACTCGACACAAAGAAAGCACACTCAAGCCTTGTCTAATCAGAGTGTTTCACAAATGCAAACTCAAATTGTGCAGCCACAACATGTTGACAGATCTGCAAAGACAAATGGCAGTAAAGCATCAAAGCCTTTAGTAGAGCACAATCAGGAAGATATTACAGGAACATGGTCGCAGTTCAGTCATGCCACGCCGCTCGCAATCGATCGAAAGCGGCCGTCTATGGAAGTGGCTGTGGAAGCTTCCAAGCGTCTAAAGCCAGGCTATCTTGGTTCTCGCTTGAAATTGACACAGCCAGCTGCAGTAAAAGACGCAGTCTCACGAAAGCTGTCTCAGGTCGATGACAATGGATCTCCTATGCCGTATGGAGGAGAAGTCTCGCAGGAAACAGCACTCGCTCCTCGAACAAGACAGAACGCTATCATTACTGCCTCGACTCCGACCAATCTTGCAGTGCACCAAGCTACGGATGAAGCCTTCGCCCGGCCTACGACATTGGCGCGCAACGAGAGTCCTAGACCGAAGAACCCCTTGAAAGAGATGCGTGCGCTACAGGAAGACTCACCACCTCAGGTCTCGCAACCTATCATGCACACTGGCTTCGGCAGAGATAAGCAGTTCACTACCGAAATCCTACTGGCATTCAATCTGCACAAGGATAATCCAAAACATGCATCTCCAGTACCATCTAGGAGCCCACCACGAAGAGCCGCACCTGCAAAGAAGCTAATTGGTCTTATGGAAGCATTGCGCTCGGAAGCGATTCAACAAGCAGATGCATCAGGAGCCAGAGAAGATGACGAAAAAGAGGATCCAGAACCTGAGGAGCCTATGGATGAAGAAGATCCAGACAAGACGCTTGTGAACGAAGACTCGGATGATGGGGACAGTAGTGACGATGATGGGTCTGGATCACGGAACTCTTCGGATACAGATGGCGAGAATGTGGCAAAGAGTGCTCTGTCAATGTGGAGAGATGCGTTGGAGTCGCACCAGGGAGATGTTTACGATCAACTAGTGCGCATAGCGCATCGATTGACGAACCATCTGAAGGACCATGAGACTGCCATCAACGAGATCAAGACAGACTACAGCCAAGACGGAACGAAACTCATCCAACGTCTCGTGAAGGACAACGAAGCCAAGCTTGAGCAGTACTGTACCAAGCGATCAAAGATTCAAGGAGCTGTAGTTATGGGATGTGAGAAGGCAGGCAATAGCCTCTACAATGACATGAAGGATGTCAGGGCTAGCCGCGAAAGACTTGTCAAGACGTTGCAGAGACAAGTGGATGCGTTGGGAAGGCTGGACCAGATCATGCAAACTTACCAGGCATGAGAAGTAATAGGAGGAGCAGGAAGGAAGGAGTTGCTGTTCTGACAGGGCTGATATGAACAAAGCTGTATTTTTAGAATCAGGTAGTGTGCTAGATGGTAGATGAGCGTTGCTGCATAAATACATGAAAGAGTTATGCTTGTCGCGGACTGGTCGGAGTTTGGGAGTGGTCTGGAGCCGAGGCGCGACGACACGCGGGAAAGGACCCTCGGACGTCGTCATAGCTTGACAGCCCACTTGACAGGCGTGCGCAAGCCTCTTGATACGCCATCCATTGACTTTCTTTTCCTGTAACAAAGACCTGTGTTATCTAAACCTCTCGAGCCTTTTCCTTGCATTGTCACCTTCCCTTCCGTGCGCCAACAAAGTCTGAATCGTACCCCACAAGAAACGACAGAGCACGCACTTCAGAAGCACTTTCCTATATCAGTCATGTCATCGGGATTCCACCCTTTCGGAGGACGAGTGAGCAGACGTTTTGGTGACAAGGTATGTTGCGCCATTGTCTTTTATGCGGCCGCCGGGCCAAGGTTTTCATCTTGAACCAACTTTTGACGGACGAATCATACAGTCGCTTCATCCGGATGATGCCTATCTCAGCTGTGAGTAAAATCCGCCGCTACTGTAGAGTGGCACCAGCTGACTGGCAATAGATCACGACATTCGATGTACGCTCTGCCATTCCCAAGTCCTTTCACACCGCGCATCCAAGACTGATCAAGCCACGCAGTGACGGTCGAAGACGTTGATTGCATCAAGAACGACTGGCTAACCGACAATGTACTTCCTTGCCTTATCTCAGATCGCTGATCACTTTGGCTGACCGAGACAACAGGCCATCGCCTTCTGGGAAGAATACCTCGAACACGAAAAGCTGAATGCCTACCCCAAAGCCCGCATCGTCCTCCTCCGCCCCAGCATGGCCTTCATGCTCCTCCAAACCAACGATCCCATGAGCCTGAAGTCCGCCCTACCGAGCTTTGAACACACAACCCACATCTTCCTCCCCGTAAACGACTGCCGCGACGTCGAAACAGCAGAAGGCGGGTCCCACTGGAGTCTCCTTCTCGTCAGTGTGGTCGATGGAGTAGCATTCCACTACGATTCCCTCTGCCCATCCAACATGGAAGAGGCCAAAATGCTGTCACACCACATCTCGCAACTTCTACAAAAGCCGCTCAAGTTTGTGAATTTGGACGATTCGCCGCAGCAAGAGAATGGAAGTGATTGTGGTGTGTTTGTGTGTTTGCTCATGCAACATTTGTTGCTTGGACGATTGTTGCAGGCTCATGCGCAAGATAAGGTTAGCATGAGTATGAAGGGCAAACACGTGGATGCTGCTGGCGGTAGGAAGGAGATGTTGAGGGTGATTGAAATGTTCAGAAAGGAAGGAGAGAGGAGACGCTCGTGAGTTATTTTCTTGTGCCTAGAAAGGAGGGCCTTTTGCTGACTGGAATCACAGTGGATCCCATCACCGCGGCGGAAGCGAACACAGTCCCTTCTCGCTCCACTCGCCTAAATCAAGATCGCCGCCACGCATCGGAGACGACTAGAAGTTGTGGACCAAGCTATGGAGTTAGACGGCGACGCAGGATTGTCTGCAAACACGAACATTGACGAAGGAAATGGCATTGCGAAAACAAAAACATGACATGAGATACAGTTGATTCGATAGCATGGTACCTGGGAGTTCTAGAAGCAAGAGGCTCTACACGGTAATCAAAATGTCTGTGGATCACCAGCAAGCTGTTTTGAAGAACGGGAGGTTTGCCAACATGGAATCTTGAGTCAAGTCAAAATTGCTTCATGCTCTGAAAGGCAATTTGCTCTTGTTTAGAACCAGGTAAAACAGAAGTTCAAATTCATCGTATTCTCAAGGCTAGCGTAACGAAACATGAATTATAGAATCGCTGGTGAACAGCAGAATACTGGATTTGCATTTTGCTATCTTTGCTTTGGAAGAGAATCCGAGTGATGGAAAAGCTGGCGGTCCGGAAAGAGCAGCAGCATAATTTGATTGTCTTTTGTTTCGTCATGGGATAATTTCGTTTGCTCTGTCTTTTACATGATCATACATCCGATACCATACATAGCCCTCTCGACATCCCTCCTCACAGCATACCAATCCGCCCTTCTTTCCGCAAATTCATAGACTTCCTCTGCGCGGAAGATGCCATGGTATCTGTCGTTGTCTGCAATAATGGTCGCCAGTTCCTTGCAGCGAGCCATTCTATTTGTTGCAGAAGCAGACGTTGAGAAGATGGAGGTTGAAGTGTTGTTACTGCCGCCACCGCAGTCGACGAGGTAGATCTGTGAGAGTTCTCGGAGGGCCGAGTAGTAAGGTAATAGGGATTTTTGGCGTAGTGAAGTGATGAAGGAGCTGTAGAGGTTGACGTCGCTGCGAGGAGGATAGTGTCAGATAGCATTGAAAGCAGATGGAAGTGGAAAGAGAGTTACCTGATCAGTTTTATCGCTCCATCGACACTGATGCGTTGGCGTTTTATATGCTTGCACAGCACACCGAACAACCTCAACCCGACTTCTTGATTGAACACGTCCAGCATGTTCTTATCCGTGCTGCCCACCAACATGCCTGTGTGCTGTTGAATGGTATCCACTATACGTTTGGCGGTCTCCGTAGGTCCAATATCCACGAGGCCCATCATACTGGCACGTTTATCGTTTGCTGTCAGGTTTTTGGCATCCACGGCGTCCGTGTTGAAGTCGGCGGTGAGCTGGAGTGTTGCGCACATGTACTCGACCTCGTCCATGAGGACATCGATACCCTTCCCCATGCCTGCTGCTACACGCTCATCTAACATTTGCTCGAAGCGTTTCTTTTCCTTAACTGCTGGGTTCAGGAAGTCATCGCGGTCGGTAAGACCAGGTGTGACTAGCTCTTGCATGTAAAACACATCAACCATCTGTTGGATCAGGTCTCCAACGTTGACAAGTTCGAGGAAGGTCACTAGTGGCTCGACTCCACCGGCGGCCCCTTCCTTTTCTGTTTGTCCTGAGCGGAACTCTTTGACGGCACGCGGGTTGTAACTGCTCAGATGACCTACTGCCTTGTCGAAACCGTTTTGGATATGTCTTCGACCGAGAATCTCCAGAAGGCTGATGAAAATTTTATCGCACTGTTCTTTCGTCAAGGTTGCGTATTTGTCGCCCATACGAATGAAGATGGCGGCTCGCTCGATTGATGCTTTCGCATGATGGATCAAACTCAACGCTACCTCGATGCTGAACAAGGTCTTGATCCCTTCAAGTCGTGAATTCATAATGGCAGTTTTGGCTGCCAGCTCTGTTGTTGGCGCCGGTCTAGATGGGGTTGGAGTATCTGGTGTTTCAGGTCGCGAAGTCTGTTCCGTGCTCGGGGCCTCGACTATAGGCGCCGCCTTGTTTGCAGATGGGAAGGTTGGTAGGGCGTTCACGGGCATCATGACCACTTTCTTGAATGAAGATAGGAAATCGCGTTTGGCGGCTTGTCTGTTCACGCCCGACATGAAGAACGATTCAGTCTCTGCCTCTTGATCTGAGAGTCGCTTCTCCCAGGCACCGACTTCGTCATTGCACTTTGAGGTGAAGTAATCAAGCTCTTCTGTAAGGTAGCGATCCACATGTGGCTCGAAGATGTGGGAGATGACCGCTTTTATCTGATCATGGAAATCGGTACCAGATGATTTGGGTGGTTGGATTGAGACTGCAAAGCGCATGGCTTGTTCAAATATTCCAGATACAGCCTTGAGGTATGTTTCCACATTGTTCTCATGAGCTTCGATGAAAAGAGTCGTAATGTAGTCGGAGACGATGTCTTCACAGACGCGAGTCGTGAAAGGAAGGAGGACGTTGACGGAGCTTGGAAAGACTTGATCAATGAGTGAAGATTGCATCGACAACATCGAAGCCAGTTTCTCGAAGAACCTTTGGGAAGGGTTCAGATCCACGTGTCCAGGAGCGACATCTTGCAAAGATTCCAACGGACTTCCGGTCTGATCCTTCCGGCGCATATAAGGGTGATTTGAAATGAAGATGTCGACACCTGCAGCCCCACCATTTAGGGAAACCAAGACATGAGCATATCGTCTCATGCGATCGACATCTTGCGCCTGGTATGCCTGCTCGAATTCACTGATCATAGCATTCTCAAAAATACCGAGCATGGATTCGAGCTTGTCTTGCCGTTGGCGCCACTTTTGGGCACCGTCGCTACGTGCGAAGACCCTCAAATCCGCAAGAATACGAGCCTGCTGCTCAGGGTCTTGAACAAGACGAAAAATGGCTGGGTCGGACGAGTTTTCTGATCGGACTAGATTGTAGTAAAAGGGACCCAGAGCACCATGAACTTTGCCGTACTCTTGTCTAGCTTGGCCTCGGATCGAACGAACCCTTCGCAGAGCAGTGGTGGCAGCTTTTGCGTCAAAGATAGGGTTTTGAGATAGAGTCATGTCATCAAAGCCATCGGTCACACTGCTGTGTCGCGGTCGCCTGGGTGTTGCAGCTTGTTCCAGTGACTTCCGTGCTTTCTCTTCTTCATCGTGTGCGTCGAATAGTGTTAGATTGCGGTCAACCTGCGGACGGCCACTGAGCCTCTTCTTTTTTGATTCTTCGTATCGTTGTCGTGCTTCAATCTCATTCCACACACCCATATCTTTTAATCTGGCTACCCATCTTGTGTCATCATATACCATCTCTTGCAAGCGTTTGGATACTCGAGCGCATGTTATCAAGTCGGAGACGGGGAGGTAGTCAAGGATGGTAGCAATGAGTTCTGATCATAGTCAGTATGACAGCAATAGTAAACATCTCGGTGAGAGTGATTGACCGGCAGGTAGAACTGGCTTCAGAGTGAGGATCTGAGTGGCCTTGAGAGAAGCAAACACATTGCTTGGAGTGTTTGGTCGGCGGGCATCTATACTTGTTAGACCAGCCCTTTGCTTAGGGAGGCCATTTGGTCCAGCAGCGGCCCGAGGTAATGGGCTGCTCATGCTGATACTATTCTATGCGATATGTGAGGATTGAAAGCAGCAGACGACATGCTTGTGTGTGCTGTCTGCTCTCGAACTTGACCACTTTACAGCAACAACAATGACTGACCCTTGGTGCGTCAGTCTGGAGAAGAAGCTCCGCACGCTCCGGAAAGCGGAACCTGCTCCACCATCGCTCCTTCCCATCTTGTTGTCTACCGAACCATTGCTTTCTTTCAATTCTCTTGGTACCATGCAATATACAGTATGCTGAATCTCAGACGCATTTTCTGCAAGTAGATGATGCCTGGCCTTCACGACACAATCTTAGTCTCTATCCTGGTCACGACCGTGTCGTAGTGGGTTTGGGGCTCCGCAAGACTCATGCAAGCCCAATCGCAATCTCGCAAACCCAGCCACACCTCGACCCTCAAGCAGGTTTGTTGCGACCCTTCTTGTACTCCCTTTGGCGTGTCTCAAATCGTAGGTCCTTGTACTTTTCTCTTTTCTCGTTCCTCATTCTCCTTGTCAACATACACCGCATACACAATGTGTCTTGTCAGCGTAAAGGAGGACCACGACGACTACGCTGTCCCAGCCCGGGTTGTTCGACGAGAGCGCCGCCACTCTCCACCTCGCACCACAAGAGTCTCTCGCACATACTACGAGGAGGCTCCACGCCCTCAGGAGCGAACCTACATCATACAGCAACCTGCACAACCTCCTCCTGTTATAGAGTATGCCCCACCGCCATCCGAGCACCACGACCACCATAATAGCCATTATGATGCGCCTCCACCCCCACCCTCTGTACACGCATCAGAGAGGCACTCTCATGCTGGCCCTCAATATGTTGAAGTAACGCCATCCTCGCGCTCGAGCAGCAGCAGTAGCTCCAGCGATGGCGATCGATCCAAAACAACCTCTCGCTCTAAAGCCACTGGCTCTCGGAGCGAGTACCACCTGCGAGAGAAGGAGTATGTGAGGGAGCGTAGGAGTCCGCATCATCATGGGCAGAAAGAAGATTACGATACATATCGCTATGTCCAACCTCCTCGCGTCTCTGGTCATCGCAGCAGTGGAAACCTTGGCCCACGGAGTAGCCAGATTGACGACCCTCGCACTAGTCGCTCGAGCTACAACATAGTGATCGAAAGCGGCAGAGAACGAGAATATCGCCGTTGATCGTTTTGTCCTTGCGAGGCCTGATTTTGATTGAAACAAGTCAGGCACTGTTTACCCTTGTCCTAAGCATGCCCTTCCCTTCTCGTAGCTGGCTGGCCCGCTTGTATTTTGTTTGCTGGAAAAAGCAGTTTGTGTTTGTGCATATACATTTTCAATTATACCTGCTTGTCAATTGACTACCATCATCCTGGTTCCGATTCGTTTCACCTAGGCTTCACAAGGCGAGCACCACCGCACAGTCCCTGCGGATCACCAGATCCCACTACGATGGAGCAAAAGAATGAGCTTGTCATCCTAGCCAGGAGCCAAAAAGGTTTGGACGACTAGGGGATCGAACCCTAGACCTTCAGCATGCAAAGCAGACGCGCTACCACTGCGCCAGACGCCCAATCATAAGATCATGTTCAAAACTTTGGTAAATAATCTCTCAAATTGTTGTGGTAGACAGGCTTCACAAGCTGAGCTCCTTCCTTTCTCAAATCGCGTGTCACTATCGATTCAATGGTGAAAATGAGGCTCAAGGAGAGATGATCGATCATAAAATATTGAGGCTCATCTCAATATAATCTTCCGTAGGATCTGTCGGAGATAAGGCTTTACGTCGTCTATAGATCGTCTATCGTGATCAGTTTGATAGCAAACGTGAGGCCCTAGGGCAGATGTCCGATTTCGCTTCTTGTATTAATGGCTGGTATAAGGTGTCATGAGGTGAATGACCCGGTGAGTGTAAATGCACTCGCGAGAAGGTTTCTAGAAATAGCAAGCTCGAGCAAAAGGTCTTCGTTATCTCGTGTAAATCCTGGCAAGAAAAATCTATGCTTTAACCTCAAACAAAAACTCCCTATCCTATGCCGATTTCCACCACGCTAAATTTTCATTCTGTCATTATTATACAATTTTGCTTGGTCGAAGAAGAGAAGAGTACGGTCGTAGTGGTGCATTTAATTAGACCTCGGGCTTGCCGTGCTCGATTGCCCACTCCTCGGCCTCTTGCTTCAGGCAGCGCTTGGCATACCAGAAGGTGCACAAGGTCCAGACTCCGGCCCAGATGAAAGGAACGGCCCAGCCGACCACATAGGCAGCATCTTTTTCGAGGGTGAAGATCAGGGCAGTGATCACGCCAGCTGCTACCTCTGCACCAATGCCCCAGAACAATGTCAGACGGTGAAGCATTTGGCGGAAGTAGTGGCTAGCTTCGTATCTGACGTTGAGTCTCTCACGGAACTCAATGTTACCGCCGCCATCAACTGCGACGATGTCTTCGATGATCCAGTAGATTCCAGGGCGCAATTGGGAACCAGCAGGCATTGAAGAGATGCGGAAGGGTGAAGGGATTCCCAGAAGACGCATCCCGTCTTGAATAATCAACTCGGAACCAAAGGCAAACATGAGGGAGGAAACAGGCATCGCTAGCAAACGGATCGGTGGGTTCTCAGGAATAGTGCCGCTAACGAGTGGTCAGTATCGCGTTTGAGGTATTTTGGATCCATGACTTACACAATGAGCTCGACAATGATGATGACCCAGGCAAAACTGAAGTTCCAGTGAAACCAGTCGAGCTAGTTCGAGAGTTAGTACTGTTGTCTCTGTGGTGGCCAAGCTTAATATCTTACGTATGATCTGCGACCTCCGATGACACGACATGTGCTGCCTTTCTTGAACAGGTGCCAGAAACGTAGTACATATTCGAAGATACTGATACCACCCAGGGCGGCTGTGACGATGGAAAAGACGGTGTTTGGCGAGAGATTTGTGCCGTACCAGAGGCCGAAGTAGAGGGCTAACGGCATGACGATTGAGTCGAAGAGAATGAGGAACCAGAAGATGAAGATACTACGCTTCCTCTGGCGCAAGTCGTACTCTAGCGACGGCGGAGCATATGGGTTGATAGCTCCAGGTTCTCTGGCAGGTGCTGCGAGACTGGTTCGGGGCAGAGCTAAGGACCTTCGAGGACCGAATGCGTCGGACAATCTACGTCCTGCCGTGGATGTGCGTGGGGCGCCCGTCGGTGACTGGACTGAAGGTGAATGTACACCATCGGCGGTGGGCGACATTGGTGGTGAACGAACACCATCGGCGGGTGGAGATGTTACCAGCGGTGAGGGCGCAAAGTCGACGGTTGGAGACGTCGGAGCCATGGCGAGTCGTGTGTTTGGTCGTGTGTCGAGGCAGCGATGTTATACTGCCAGTCGTCAATAAATGTCAAGTCGCATGTCAGGGGCACGAGCGACGGACTTATTATTATAAAAGTGTGAAACAGGTGATTGTTGGAAAGCGTTTTCCCAATGGCTTTCTGGTTCCGGATCGCGGGTAGAGATTGTACCGAAAACAGAGAGCAGGCTGGTTCGGACGATTGAAATTCGAGTGGGATCAAGACGACACAAGCAGGGAGGCTGTGTATATCGAGTAGAGCAAAAGTAGGAGCTCAACACTTGCAATACATGTAAGCTCGAGACTAAAGACCGGTGGTTTGCGTATGATATCCACCTCTACTCGCGGGTCAAGATCGAGACCCTGGGCAGGAGCGTGACGTCTGCCGCGCCCACATATTGCATACCTCGTCATAGGAGTCGCTATGAGGCTGAACGCCAAGGAGTCTCGTTCTCGTCCCTAATGATCACGAGCCCTTACAAGACGCCTTGGAATTGCTATACAACGTGCGAATGTCACTAGAAACTAGTTCACCTCTCTGTGATCTCTGAAGCATACAAAAGTCTTCAATTTTGCAGAAGTCAGTTGGGATAGCTACAATAAATTGCTTGCCGTAATTCTTTCGTCAAGACGCAAGGCGACCTATCGAGTACATCTGCATAGCTTGTTTCTGAAACGAGTATTCCGTGCCGGGCGTCGGATAAAAAACCTAGCTTGCGCGTTTCGTAACAAGTCACTCAAGCCATCTCGGTCATCGGCCATCGAAAAAGCATCGCGATATATCACCCTACGTACATGCCTCCGCAAATCATCTACCCGCCCACTCGTGTTTGATCATGACATAGATCATCACAATAAACATGCACTTTCTTCTGCTATCTCTCCTGAGTGCGCTATCAGTCATCACGAGCGCACTTCCAGCTCAACAAGCTCCTCTGCTTCGCCATGCTGGAGACAATCGCACAGTGTCTGCCGAGTTATTCTCTGACCTCGAGGAGCTCGCGCGCATTGTCGATATCTCTTATTGCGTAGGTCTCACTGGCACAGGCATATCAAGGCCTTTCAAATGTCTCAGTCGCTGCTCCGAATTTCCAGATTTCGAACTTGTTAAGGTAAGAGAGTGCGTGTTTGCATTGACCATATTGACCATGCGCCGACATGTTACTAGACATGGAACACTGGCCAGTTGATGTCCGACTCCTGTGGCTACATCGCCTTGTCTCACTCACAATCGAATCCTCGCATCATCGTCGCGTTTCGTGGCACCTACTCTATCGCCAACACTGTTGTCGATCTTTCAACGGTCCCTCAAGAATATATTCCCTATCCTGGTGACCCGGGTTCAGATGCCTCAAAAGCTGGCCAAAAGAAACCAGAAACTCCGCGATGCAACAACTGCACTGTGCATACGGGCTTCTACAAATCTTGGAAAGTAGCTTCCTCTGCCATCTTGCCAGACTTGGAGGCTGCCGTCGCAGCGTACCCCAATTACGCCCTGACTCTTGTCGGTCATTCCCTCGGAGGAGCTGTTGCTGCACTCGCTGGACTAGAACTCGACTCCCGAGGCTGGAATCCGACTGTCACTACATTTGGCGAGCCTAGGCTTGGAAACGCTGCCCTGAACAAATATCTTGACCAGCAATTCAACTTACTCGGCTCTTCCAGCGAAGCTTGGGCAAACACTTTCGATGAGCGACAATTGCGATATCGCCGTGTCACTCACATAGATGATCCAGTACCTCTGTTACCACTCACAGAATGGGGTTATCGTATGCACGCTGGCGAGATCTACATCTCTAAGTCTGCCTTGACTCCGGATGTGCAAGATCTGCAGCACTGTGTTGGTGATGAGGACCATCAATGCATTGCCGGACAAGATGGCAGTCTAGAGTCGACTGTCGCTACCCACGATGACCTGAGAGCGCAGGTAAAACGCTCAGTCGATGACCTTGCGGAGGAGCGTGAGTTGGAGAAGCGAGCCATCGGTTCTTGGGTCGTCCCATCTCGCTACAAGTTGTGGCAGTTGTTCTTCTCTCATCGCGACTACTTCTGGCGTCTCGGTTTGTGTGTTCCTGGTGGAGACCCTTGGGACTGGAACCGCAAGCCGTACGCACCACTCGATGGTAATGGACAGGAGTCGACCTGATGATCTTATCTTTGACCAGCCCAGATTGCACCAGGAAACGGGTGGGAGTTCTTTTCGTTGTAATTATTACATACCTTCTAAACTATGGTTTTAATCACTCTTCTCTGATGCTTTACATGTAAACGTCTCATAGCCTATATGCGCTACCCATAGACGGCGTGGTAAGTCGGCTTCTGCCATGATGACTTAGCAATGCGTTCACTGCTTTGTGTATGTCGGAAGCACCTTCTTTGGAATCGTGACCCGCCCTTTCCTACTAGGTTGATGGCCTCTCGGATTCGTACATGGAAGGATGTAGCTTGGTTTGCATCGTTCCTTCGTATCTACAGCTGCTTGCCAATACAGAGCACGATGTTGCGCAAACTTAAACTCTGTATCTCAACCAACAACATACTTTTGACTTACCACCCTTGGTATATCATCCCCCTCGTCTGATTTACCCTTTGATAGCTGGAGTTTGCTATTAGTGCAGCACTGAGCAAGTTGTTGGCATATATCAAGACTGTAGTTGGTTGTCGTGGATACCACCCTGTCCCAGAGTCGACATGTCGAAATCTGGAGCAGCAGGACGCCATGATTGCTCTTGCGAATGAAGCTGCTAATAGAGATAGTCATCAGCTAATGTGGGAATCCTGTCACTAGAAGAAAAATCATTATTGAGCAGACAGCACTGTTCTTTGTTTTTAGAATTTGAAAACATGCTCACATGACATAAGAATGGCAGGCATTTGTCTCCGCTATCGAAGACGAGTACTGTCATAACAGTAGTTCTATCCTTGAGTATGATATATTTGTCGTCTGAGTAGCTAGATGACTATTTCAAGAGCTGCGAGACCTGCTCGTTGATGAACTTTTTGTCCTCGTCTGTGCCGGCACCACCACCGGCAAGATGGCCCCAGATACTTGGAATGACAGCCAATTTTCCATCCTTGATATGCTTGACCTCTTCCTCATTGTCCTCAGGTGGGAAATAGCAATCAGTCCTCGAAGGCATGACCAAGCACTTGGCCTTTATTCTTTCCAGTGCAGTGGGCAGGTCTTTCTTGTCCTCAGGGAAACAGGCAGCAATGTTGCCGTTCTGCCATGTCCACAGCATGGATAGCAAGTCATTGGCCTCGCTGTCTTTGTTGCTCCAATTGGTGTCAAGGTACTGCTCTAGCGTGTCGAAGCCACAGACTTTCCAGCACTCGTGTCTGTACCATGCCTGACTGAGCGCCCAGGTAGAATAAACTCTACCGAAAGCTCTGAGACCTCTGAGTGGTTTCTGCTCATAGCGACCGTCCTTAAAGTCGACGGAAGACTCCAAAGCAGCTTTAGGTCCTTCCAAGAAGTTGTAGTTGTGCCATGAGGTGCGTGCCGAGGTTGCCAGCATCACAAAATTGGACACGAAATCAGGATACAGCACACTCATATAGTAAGCTTGCTGTCCACCCATCGAGAAACCAATATAAGCCTCCAAATGCTTAATCCCAAGACTCTGACACAGAGCATGCTGAAGACGAATGTTATCCTCATACGTCACCCTCGGAAACTCAACACCAGAGAATGGAGCAGGCTGGTTTGAAGGCGACGAACTCTCACCGCCACCCAACTGTCCAACCACCAAAACATGGTACTCGGACAATGGCAGGGCGCAAGACTCGGCATTGTAGAGAAAGGGAGTCGTGGTCTCGAGCTTGCCGGCAAAACACGTCGGCATCAAGACTGCGGGCTTGGAAACGTCGCCGAGGCTCCAGTAGGCTAATCTGCCTTCAAACTCCTGCCCGGCATGAGATGAGCCAGGAGAGAGCTTGATGGTATGAGTAAAATACTTGGTTTCAGGCATGGTGTGGGTGTTTCTGAAAGATGATAGGTGCGAAAATGTGGCAGATACGAAAGTTTTTGTTTTGAATCTGGTGGAGAAGTCTGGTTAAAGACGAGGTCGGGTGGTGGAGGTCAAGCTGTCGTGACGGTGGGTCATGAGCAACGAACGCCCGCCCGAACGCCCCCAAACTCTCATTTTATCCAGGATAGTTTAATCTCTGACCTCGGGTGCAACCGGTATGTGTGAATACAACAGCATATCTGATGATAAGAATCAATGAAGAGTTACAAGAAATGAGGAGAACATGAGAGTAGTTTGAGATAGAAAAAATCATAAATTTCAGAGCGAATGCATATTCAGACATTCGAACATCGTAATAGCCCATTATTCACATAAATTCGCCAACCACATAAACAGCCATGGTATCCTTGTTTACAGCTCTCTGTGCTCGACAGCCATGCCATCCTTCTCGGTCATGTTGACAGTACCAAGACCACCAATCTCGGCGGCCAGAACCTTGCCCTTCTCGGTAGCGGCGGCACCACCGACAACAGCGTTCTCGCCATCGAAGTACTTGGCAATTTCCTCGAGAGGCGTGTTGCGAGTCTCGATGTAGAACTTCCAGACGACGAAGAGCTCGAAGCCAAGCCAGACACAGTAGACGATGTAGTACTTCCAGGAGATAGCATCGAGTGCGACGGGGTTTACGTACTGGTTGAAGAAGAGGGCAAGGTCGACGCACAAGAACATGAGAGTCATACCCTTGGCACGGATCTTGTAAGGCAGAATTTCGACCGAGTATCCGACCAGAAGACCCGAGAAGGCGATGTTGTAGAAGACGTAGTAGATGAAGATGAAAGCGACAACAGCGTTTGCGGAAGCCGAAGTTCCATCGATCTTGAAGCGAGCGGAGCAGATAGTTTGAACGATGAAAGCCACCATCATACCTGAAGTTGAGATCAAGAAGAGAGTGCGACGACCGATCTTGTCGACGAAGAAACACTGTCCGACAGCAACGATACAGTTGACGATCTGCAACACACCGTTGATGACAAGCTGAGTGTTGGTGTCTTTAATGCCGATCTGGTCAAGGACGAGTGTAAGGTAGTAAGAGACAAGTCCGTTGCCTGACCATTGAGAGAAGAAACCGACCGAGCAGAGAATAATCAAACGGTGGCGGTTACCGGGAGTCTTGAACAGCTCACCCCAACCGTTGCCCTCGAACTCCTGCTCCATCTTGATAGTGTCTCTGATCTCGGCCATCTCGAGCATGACAACCTCATCATCGAGGTTTCCATTAGCGTGAACATCAGCCAAAACTTTGTGTGCTTCTTCAACCTTGCCCTTGGAGATCAGGAATCTGGGAGACTCAGGAACGAACCAGATGAAGATGAGCTGCAGCACCGAGGGGAATGCTTGCACGATCGAGGGAATTCTCCAGGCCCAGTGGTTGTGGATGTGGAAGGTACCGAAGGTAAGCCATGCAGCGATAATTGAACCAAGGTACCAAGTAGTGTTGTAGATGGATGTGAACAGAGCACGGTGTTGAGGGTGGGTGAGCTCAGTGAGGAGCAGAGGCGAAGCACCGTGAGCGATGGCAACACCAAATCCGATGAGGAAACGAGCACCAACGAACATGCCAAACTTCATGGCAGCGGACTGAAGGACGACTCCGATGATCATGATAATACAACCAGTGAGAATACCAATGCGACGACCAAGACCATCGGCGATGTAGGGAACGACGGGGAGAGCTACAATGGATCCGACAGACATGATTGCATTGAGCAGACCCAACGATGATGCAGAAGGGTGGTGGAAATCTAAAAATGATTAGTATGTGCTTGTACTTCAACCTTGATACAACATACCATCCTGCCAGACAGTGAGCGCCTGCAAACCGTTCATCATCGACCCATCGTAGCCGTTGGTAGCACTGGTAATCACGACGAACATCAAGCAGATGTAAGTCTTTCTCAAACCAGGGTCAGTAAGCCAGTTGACCTTGGGGAATTCTTGTCCCGCAAGGCGGAAGTGGCCCTTGGTTGCGGCCTCCATGTCGACTCGGTGTTATGAAGAACGATTGTTGAATATGGAAAGAAAGATGAGATCAGCGAGTGCAATTGATGCCCGAGAGACAGTGGAGTCGAGTGCCTGGCTGATCAAGTCATGGGGTGAGGACAATGAAGATATATATCTCAGATGAGTTGCAGAACAAAGCATGCCATCTCATTTAGCCGCCAGGCACGAGCACAAGTACACCTCCAAACTGAAGCGACATAGAGATCCAAGGCTCGCTTGTGTCGACCCGGCGGCATGGAACATGCAAAAGGGGAGGCCAGAGTGGTCTTGGCCACTATCGATTCTCGTTTACCCCACGAACGGTCTCTTTTAGCCACGCGGGGCTCCGCATGAATGGGAAAGGGTGATCGCGTGGTTTGTGGCCTGGTAGCCAAGATGCCTCGCCTGCAGAACTAGGTTAGCCACACGAGAAGGATCGCCGTCGTTATTAGGGTGCCAACAGGCTAGCAGACGGTGGCGCCTTGGAAGACGGAAGCGGAGCTATTGTCAAGAGCTTGTACTGGTATGCGACTTTCTTTGATGCTCTGACAATTATCGAACATCGTCGTACACAGAATGGAGTCAACTCCTGCACAGCGAAAAAGATCATCGCTCCGAAATGTGGAGGAAATCTGGAGAATTGGAGATCCGGAACGCAGGTGCGGTTGTCCTCCCCACAGCTCCACAAAGAGATGTACGAACGCCCGGAGACGGAGGGTACAACGCCAAAAGAGGTATAGTCAGCTATACAGGCTGCATTGATCACACGCCCTTGTATTTAGCCGGCCAATTTTGCCTGTACCATATCGATGCTGGCCGTCAACATCTAACACCAAACTTGACCTGAACAAGCTTCGTGGCACGCCTCGCGACGCCATTGTTAAAGTTCGATTTGCAACGGCGACGACGACAAACAGTCGTAGACGTAAGTGGTGTGTTAAACTTGTATATAGGCAGATTGACAACAGTAATGCTTGTGTGCTTGGGATGAAGTAAGCATTTTCGTGCAGAGAAGGAGCCGCACAGAGGGAAGCCGACAAGCCATTGGCGTGAGTTTCTAGCCTATTGTTGTCTGTGCGTGTATTGTTGCTTCAAGACTTTTTCTGACCAGTAGTGGTCTTATTCTCGAACAAGTACTCGCACGGATTCATGAATATGCTGCAACTCTGTCGTGTTGTCCATCGGATATAGATGATATGATCAGCACAGTCAGGTGCTCTTGAAAAGACATGTACATCCATCAAGGTTGCATAAGGAACGACATGCGCTGCAGCTTGCATACGGTACACCAAAAGCACGTCTCGAAATTGCCATCCCTGAGCACAACAACGTGTGCAGCTGCATCGATGCTCCAGCTGGGACCCACTGCAAGACAGCTCAGGCCTCTCTTTTCATTTTGTCCATTGGCCAGATTCAAAGGCACGGCAAGCGTCTCGCTGGCGATAGGCTATTGTTGGCGCTTCTGGCGGCTAAAAGAGCACCTAGCGATGCAAGCATTGCAGATTATCGGGGATTTCCAGCGCAGACGAGCGGTTCAAGCGAGGGCTGGAACGTTGGATCTCCTCGAGATCTTCTGAGCCGCAGTAGCGTTGCGATCAGGCCCATTCTGGGGCTCTGGGGTGGTCCATGAACTTTGGGGTCGCCCGACATGGGTTGAATCTGGAGACATGGGTGGCACAAGGATACACGTGAGTGATGCATGCCATACGGCTCGAAGGCCCGGTTTTGCCGATCCCATGTAGGTAGTGGCGAGAGAATGGTCTCGAGACCTCTTTCACCAACAGTATATTGGCAAAAGCGACGAGTCAATGATTGCTTTTGGAAATCTCGATGCGGGTCAAAGATTTTATGTGATAGGCTGTAGTCACTGTGATGGCCAGAGGGGTACAGTGCGTGTATTTGTCACATGTGTTGTGAGGGTGTAAACTGTCGCACATGGAAGCTGAGGCGGACATTTCAGGTGCCGGCAGCCTTCTTTTCGACGACGCTCCGGACCCATGTGGTACCATCCCAGTATTCCCGCTTACCAGTCATGATGTCCTCGTTCTCGTCCTCGATAAAGGCAGAATGACCCGTTTCACCGAGGTGCAGAGCAGCTGTCTCTTCCAGGAGTATGCCCAAAGCAAGCAAAGCAGTCTCATCCAGTGATTGGAAGTCAGTCTGCCCTTTGTCCGGAGTGGCCTTTGAGTAGAACTCGGATGCATATCGGTGAAGAAATTTGAGAAGGTCAGAATCTGGTAGAGGGGTATTTGGTTGAGGAGCCTTGTAGACGTCGGATTCTTCATATCGCTCCGGGGCACCATGACGGCGGAACAAGACTTCGTCTGGCGGTACAGATTGCAAGGAATTTGTCTGAGTGTCTCGGTACTTCGTAGCAGTTCGCTTCTCAATTGGGAGAAGAGACTCGTAGCCAGCTTTACCAGCGACGGCTTCATAGACAGTGATCTTACGACGTTTGCGGGCTACGATCTCAGGCTCAACGACGTCTTCGGGATGCTTGTAGCGCTCCAGACGCTCTTTACGAATGTCCATGTCCATCGTGCAGCTTCACGGTGTCATGAGACAGTCGTGTTTATGGTTGTCAGAAATTTGAATGGTCGAGGAAAGTAGATGGCTTGGCGCGAGGTTCCGAGTCGCGATTTCGCATGCTACCTACGTCACGCTCCTCCATCGCTCCTTCTCTATCAAACAAGATCAAACATGTCCAAGTATGAATCAAGCGCCGGATGAACTCGTTCTTACTCAATCGCGCTCTTGGTAGCGTCAGCCCTGCTGCTCTTGCGCGATCGCAGAACACCCGTCTCGTCTACTCTCTTCAACCAGCCAGTCACATATCACTGAGCATCAGCCCGCCAGACACCGACAATGACGAAGACGCCCTTCGGAATGGCGTTGCACATCCCGCCGGCGTGAACAGCATTACTGTCGACAAGTTCGAAGGCCGGTGGCTTCTGTCCGGCGGTGCAGACTCGTCCATTGGTATCTGGGACCTCGAGACACCGACAAACCAGTCCGATGACACTCGTTTTATCCAGCCGCTGGGTTATGCCGCCAAAACTTCCAAGACAGCAAACTTCGGCATCACCCACGTTTCCTTCTATCCCTTTGACTCTCTGGCCTTCCTGTCTAGCAGTTACGATCACTCGCTGAAGCTGTACTCGTCCGAGACCCTCGAGACCTCGGCTGCTTTCGACCTGGAAGCCGTCGTTTATTCGCACGCCCTTTCACCCATTGCTTCACACCTGCTTGTAGCCTGTGCCACACAACACCCTGCCGTGCGCCTCGTCGATCTTCGCTCCGGTGCCAGTACCCATTCACTTGCTGGCCACAGTGGTGCTGTGCTCTCGACCGCCTGGCATCCGAAACGCGAACACGTGCTAGCAAGTGGTGGTTCTGATGGTCTAGTCCGCCTTTGGGATATTCGTCGCAACGCAAGTAGTTTGGGCGTGCTCGACATGGAAGACAGCAGGGGCGTCGGTGTCAACGGCAATACACTACGGCGGGAGCGTGGCAAGGCTCATGTCGGTGCTGTCAACGGCATTACCTGGGACGAAGCAGGTGACTTCCTCGTCTCCTGTGGACAAGATGACAAGATCCGCGTCTGGAACGCAAATACAGGTGCAAACACCTTGACCAATTTCGGTCCTGCTGTCAAGAGCTCCACCACTTCCACCCTACTGCCTCTGCTCAGTCCTAGCCATCTCACTGGGCCTACAAAAGAAATACTTGTCTATCCAAACCCACGCGAGCTGCTCGTGTACGAGATGCACACTGGCAAACTTATCACACGCTTGAGAACACCTTCATACGCTTCGACACGAATACAAGTCGCGGCAGGTTCAGGCACACGGAACGTCGTCAACAAGACAACAAGTCTAGCCTGGCGAGCTCATAATATTGAACTCTACTCAGGCCACTCTGATGGTACAATTCGCTGCTGGAAACCACGGACGTGGGAGGATGCACTTGATGACGAAGATGACGACAACGAGGACGAAGTGGGAGAAGATGCCATGGAGCGAAAACGCAAGAGAGATGAACTGGATGATATAGTCAACGGCCTGACCAAACGTCAAGTAACGTATATTTAATGGAAACCAGTATTGAGCAGTGCATGCAAAAACAACCTTCTATAAGGGGTATCATTCCAGTCATTCATTCTCATTGCCTTTCACAGCATAACAATCACAACATGTAAGAACCCATCCGTGAACGCAGCAGCTCGCATGAGCTCCTCGACAGGTGCATTCATGGGCACAACCGCTCCATGCAACACAGGCACTGCGAGAACCGGATTTCGTCTACTAGGAAACACGGTCGGCAGTATCTGATTCAGCGCCATGCCAAGAGTATTCGGTTGGCCTATTGTATGTGACAATCAGCTCATGTCACATCAAAATACAAAATCACGTCTGCACGAGAGAAGAGCTTGGTCGACTTACGCGTTGCGGAAGATGGAGCGACAAGACCTTGCACCGTCCTTATACTGGCTTGCGCTGGTTCTGCCTCACCACTACCAGAACTTGATGCCGGTGGCGCGGTAGGAAGGTAGATCTTGATTGGGATATTGCGAAGAGGTGTGCCCGGTGGATTGAGCAACTTATTGTGAACCGTGTTGAATTTGGCAAGGTCGTCTGTGTTTCCATATCTTAGCCAATCTGATGCTTGTGTTTGTATTGGACAAAAGAGCAAAGTAGAACTTACGGTCTTGCACTGCTTGCCACAAATTGTCAGAGTCATCTTTGCTCAGACCCATATACACGTTACCCTTGCCGTTTCGTATCACATCTGCCTGTTCAACATCAGCAAAGCCATCCTCATCACGAACACACATTGGCTAGGAGAAAATCTTACCTCCTTCACCGCATTCACAAAACAATCTCTCAACACCTTCCCCTCAGCATCAAGTCCCATCAACTGCTCATCCGGAAACTCTGAATACCTCAAGACCAACTTCCAAGGCAGTAACTCTTCTAGATCTTCAGTGCCATCGTCTTCTGGGTTAGCAGGTGCAGCTCCAGAAAACAGGTCGTAGAGTAAACCGATCGGGTAGTGATATTTTAGGGCCACATTTTCGAAAGATAGCCAGGCGTTTTGGAAGGGGATTGATGGGTCTATTAGTTGAGGAGAGAAGAAGGCGTGGAGACGGGGCAGGAGGAAGGCGAGGTAGGACAGGCGTGGGACATTGATCTGAAGACGGGGTTAGAAGATGACAATTTTTCAAAACATTCAAAACTGATGGGTTTCTTATCAGGAAGGTAGAAATCGATGTGTAGGAAGTCATACCAGATATGGATCTGTCTCGTCGACAGTTCTGCAGTCTGCACTTGCCAGTCGGATCTCAAGTGGTAGACTACCCGCCCATACTTTCTTTTGAATATTCGCGATTGCTGCTTGAGAGGTCGCCATGTTTGATGCTGAGAATTGAGGTCGATATTCTTGAGATTCGAAAAGATCTACCGAGCCATCTTTCGAATGTGTTGATGTGTTGTGACCTCGTGAAGTGAGTGTGAGCATGTCGGCGTCGCTGTTGGTGCCTGCATCTACGAGCAGGGTCACCCTTTTCACAAAATTGTGACGAGAGAATTGTGATCTCAGCAGATATAAATCGTGATATTGAGCAATTAATTACATGAACAGTTGATCATTCCTCTAGATCTCCCCGTACGCTTGATTCCTCTTGTGACCTCCATCAAACTTTGCTGCAACATTGACTTTCAGGTTCTGGCTGTCATCTTCTTGATCTAGCAATGCTCTCCTTTGCCATGCACATGATAGTGGCATCTGTCACGGTCTTGTGGCAGTTTCTTGCTGTTGAAGTGTTTGCACTGTCTGCCCGCATTGGCGATAGCAAGATCGGTAACAGCTTCTGCAGGCCAATGGCTAAGAGTTTCCTTGGTGGTAGGATTGCCTCCATAAACCTGCCAGTCAACTACCAACTTTCTCAAGGGGGCATCGACCAAGGTTCCTTCATAGATGTATGTCATGAGTTTGTCGAGTGGCTTTTGTACTTTTTCGGTTCTTTCGACCAGGTGATCAATGACAGTGTTCTGAAAGGCAGGCGCAAGGTATTTGTCACCGAAGATCCAGAGTGCGCAGAGAGTGTAAGCCCTCAGGTCTATGCCAATCACACCATCCATGTCGCGCAGTTGACCAGTGTAGATGAAGCTGTTGAATATGTAAAACGTTTTGGTTGATTCCTCAGGCAGCGACAACTTTCCCTCATTAGCCTCTCTGAAGGAGCCCTTGAAGGCAGTGCGAAAGTAGTCTGAGTAGAAGAAAAGTAGGTCTTCGTGGATAATGAATGCCTTCTTCTCTGGTCCAACTTCGATTGTGACGACAGCGCCGAAGTGTTCGCTTTTCAGTTGTTAGCGCAAAGCTTTATGTGTTTAGCATGGCGAGCCTTACCTCGAGGGTTTCTCGCAAAGGCTCGAAACAGCCTTGGGTGGACCACGTGGACTCATCGCAGATGACGACTTGCTGTCAATCGCGCGTTTTGAAGATTTGTGAGTGGGAGTTGTAATCGGAGACATGCTGCGTATCTGTGGTCTCACTGATTACTGGCGCCGAAAGGTGGTAGAAGGAGAGGTGATTGCAGAGAGCAGATAAACAACCATTCCTTGATAGAGGAAGAGTGATACGAGATATCGGATGTGGATGAGAGTGACCGCAACAGTGTCGGTGATCGGCACAGTGAAGCAGAAGAGCAATCTTTCTTACCTCTTGGAGCTACATGCACTTACTGGAGCTTCACTTTGATGAATCCACAAGATGCAGTTTTGACCAACTGGCTGAGAAATGTCCGGCCATAGAACAATATTTGGTAGTGTTGTAGAGGAGGCAACCTCAGAGTGGCCAGCAGCTAAATCTCACAGCAAAACGATAACATACACACCTTCACGAACTGCTCATCAGTCTTCGTCCATGTTATCCTCGTCTTCCTCTTCATCTTCAGTGTCCGCCTCGCCGAGCAGTTCCCTTTCATCCTCGTCCAGCTCTGCACTCGGGCCAACGGTGACATTGCCCTCGTCATGCATATCTTCATCTTCCGCTTCATTGTCGGCTCGTGCAGTGGAGAGTCTCGAGGCGTCTGGTGTTCCGTCCTTTGTCTCTTCCGCCAGCTTACTCGCACCGCCCTTGGATTTTCTGCTTGCACCGCCGCCTCCACCGCGGCTCTTTCTGCCTTGCCTAGGTTTGACGATCGTAGCCGCTAGTTCGTCCATGGCTTGCAACTCTCGCTCGTCTTCCATGTCGTCAACAGGCTTGAGCGGTGGCGACGGAAGTATCAGACTGCCCTCGAGGTCTGCATTTTCTTCGCGATCGAGCGAGCCCATGCCAATCGAAAAGGCCCGAGAGAAATACAACGCCTCTTCACCTACATCGTCCCTCGCAATATTGGCAATGCTGTCCAATGGGCGTTGCTTCTCTTGTTCAAGTTCCTTGTCTGTGAGTGGCAAGGCAAAGCCTCCGAGTATGCGAACACCGCCAGCAGCACGACGAAGCGCAGCGGCGGCTTTTTCTTCCTCTCTTGATCTTCCTTTGCCAGTGCCGCCATCGTCCTTGTCCTTGTCTTTGGAGTCTTCTTTACCTTTGTCGGCAGTACCTTCGTCCTCACTGTCCCAGCCGGAAGGCAGCATGCGAATGCGTTTCCAAGCCCGTAATAGTATACCTTCTTCTTGACGTTGACGTTTGGCTGCTATGTGACGTCGCCTGATACCAGTATCTAGGATCTGATTGATTCGCACACGGCGGTAATCGCTGACTGCTTTTTGGTGTGATGTCAGCGGACGGTTCCGTGTCTGGGATTGGTACGAAGATATCGGGACGTGGTCTCGTTGGGGTTGTAGGTATACGCCATCCGGCACGGTTTTGGGGACAGAAGGGGATGTGTGAACAGGATTGGGAAGCAGAAAAGGATGGTGTATGTTGGTGTTCCGGTTACCTCGTCCAGCGCCTTTTTTGGGCAGTGCTGCAGCTTGTGGCGTGCCCATGGAAGGTGAAGCCAAGTGTCGGTTGTCATGTTCCTTTTCATCCATTTCGGTCAAGAACGACTTGGCTCCCGATGGCTTTGAAATAGTGTTGACGGCCTGGAAAGAGCTTGTGGGAGGCGTAGGAGATCGTGTGTAGTCGCTACCAGCGTATGTCCTACGCAAAGAGTCTACATTCATGGTCAGTCATTGATACAGAGGCCGTTCGAGAGGATATCGAACCATGAGGCGCAGGTGAGTCGAAGTCACGGCTGGGGGTCTTGGTCCCAGCATCCGAGTTGGCATCACCACCAAGACCCGCGGCAAACAAACTGCGTTCTTTTTGTTCTCCCGAGTTGGTGTTTAGCCATCGGTCATATAAGGACAACATACCTTTCCTAGCGCGTTTGAGAGCTGTCATGGCGGGACTCGGTTCGCTTGCAACGATTGCAATTCTTTCCTTGCGTTTCTGTTCTCCGTAATCCTTTTCTTCTTGGCTGTCAACATTCTCCAAAGCAGCCTGCTCCTCGGTCAAACTCTCGAGCGGAGGGACTTTGATTGGCAGACCGCCACCTTCTGGCTCGCAACCTGCTCCAAACGGATTTTTGAGCGCGGCTTCATTGGAGAAATCGCTTTCGAGGTACCACCACATGAGCCAAAGGAAGGCGGTTGCCCTGCTTCTGCTGCTCAAACTAGGTCGCATTACGAGGTCGAAGAAGTCGCGAGGATGGTTGAAGTGCAGTTCTGAGATCTTGGGAGCATACTGCGACAGGACGAAGATCAGGTTGACAGGGTTCGTTCGTGGTATGGAAGCTTGTCGGATGTCTTCAATTGTGCCTGGCTGTGGCGTGTCCTCTGTGGCGCCTTTGAGGATGGATTTCAAGCGAGGCGCATCTTGTAGTTGCTTATAGGCGTTCGGGTCTTGGTGTGCCTGTAAGGCTGGAATGGAATGGTAGGTACGCAATTGAGCGCGCATCTCGGGGAAGAAGTTCAGAGTCGTGTTCATCCGGCCGACGTTGACGAGTAGGCAGACCATAGCCATAGTGATAGCGGATTCAAAATCCTCCTTGAGCTTCTCCTTTAAAATCTTGCTGCACTTGCTGCTCTTTGCCATGGCATCGACGTAGATTTCGGCGAACGTGTGGCCCTTCTCATTGTCCGAGTAGCGGGTAAAGACGCGATGATCATCTTTAAAGACGATGTCGAGGAAGTCGTACTGAATGTCCTTGCGCCAAAGCGGTACACCGTCCTCCTTCTTCAAATGGCGGATCTTGTTTCCTGAGTAAACCGATGACACGCTGCCATTTGCATTGCGCCGGGTCGTCTGGGTGGTCGATGTATATAGCGGAGTCTCTACTTCTTGTTCCTCGTCCTTGTCGGCTTTGGGTGCGGGCGATGGCTCGCGGTCGCCTGTAGCTGCGGCCGATGTGGTCCGTATCGCTGATGCGGATGCTGGTGTCGATGGTGGTGCTGGCCGCGATGGCTGCCCGACTGGCTCGTCGGCCAGGATGTGTCGCAAACTGCTACGAGAGTCTTGCTCCACCATGGCGCACTTGTGGTTGATGTCTCTTGTAGAATTGAGGATGAGAAGAACAGATTCCCTTTCATCACGCTCCTGCCCACACCTACAGATTGCGGCTGCTCCCGTCCGCGATTTCCCTGTGACGACGCGGAGCGTCTGGGGGAAGCTTCAAACCACCACATGCCTCTTTGAATCTTGCCATACCATCGACACATAATAACAGCTTCATTGTAGAGCTCCCGCAACACAGTCATACTACACAGCTCTTGATCAGGTATTCGTTACAGAGCAACATGCACGACAGTCACGAACAGAATATGCAAGCTCAAAGAATTGCCTTGATTTGCGCATCTATATTGAAGGCTCGAAACACAAAGGAAGAGAGATAAAAGTAACTTTTTTTGGGGTTGATCCTGCCGACCAGCATATCCCCTTGCAGGCAGCCATTTTGCCTTGCCTATTTCTTCCTGCCTCCAGATGAAAAAAGTCTATAAAGTTTGGGGTATCCATCCGAAAGCGAAAAAAAGAAAGCTGCCCATGCCATGTGCGACAGCCGTAACATCGTTGGAAGCCCAGCCTGGCTCAGCGTCCCGTGAGAACGCCTTTCCAGATGCCCTAGAGCCTCGTGATGCCATGAAATGCCAGGATCATTATTTGAAAGAGAAAAAAAAACTGTAAAACACAACTGGTATCGAAAGATGTCCGAATCCTCTGGAAGCCTCATCTGCCCAGACCGGATACCACGCTCGTCGAATGCATCAAGCGTTTCATGTAAGAACGCTCAAGGCCGTGAAGAAAGTCGTAAACCGTGATGAGCGCCGTCTCCGTGCTGAGAATGAAGAAAAATCAACGCTGTCTATCATGCTGACTGGGGGTATGAGCAAGGACCGCGTCCATCGATCCGTGGGTGTTCTGACGTCCAGAGAAGGACCGCGAAACGAGAAAGCTAGAACCAAAAACTGAAAGAAAAAGGATGACCAGTGGTCAAATGACCGAGAAACGCAAGTTGGTCTTTAGCGCGCTTGGGGAGTCTACCACCAAGAGTTGGCACCAGGGCCGGAGGGACCAGAGGGGTTGCCGTAGCCACCACCCATACCGCCACCGTAGCCACCGCCCATGCCACCGCCATAGCCGGCACCACCAGCGCCGAAGCCACCACCGCTGCCGCCCCACTGCGAGCCAGCGTAAGCGGGACGCGAGCCACCACCGAAGGCACGAACGTCACGAGTGGCAGCAGCACCACGGCCACGACCACCGCCGCGACCACCACGACCGCCACCGAAGCCGCTGCCCTCACGAGCGACAGTCTCAAGGAAAGCGGGAACCTCCTGGTTGGCCTCCTTAAGAAGCTCGAGGAGGTCACGAACGACACCTCTATTGCCGCGGTTGAAGAATGCAGTGGCGACACCAGTGTTTCCGGCACGTCCAGTACGACCGATACGGTGAACGTAGTCGTCGATGTCAGTGGGAAGGTCGTAGTTGACAACGTGCTTGACGTTGGGGATATCGAGACCACGGGCTGCGACAGCGGTGGCAACGAGGATGGGGCAACGAGCAGAGCGGAACATCTCGAGGGCACGTTCACGCTCGCGCTGGGTACGGTCACCGTGAATCGAGGTAGCAGGGAAGCCCTGGTTGATGAGGAAGTCGGAGAGCGAGTCGGCCATGCGCTTAGTCTCGACGAAGATCAAAGTAAGACCGGCGCCGTGAGTGTGGAGGATATCAAGCAGGACGGAACGCTTGTCAACGTCCTCGACGTACTCGATCTTCTGGGTGATGTTCTCAGAGGTGGAACCGACACGACCGACAGAGAGGAAGATATACTCCTTGAGGAAGTCACGGGCCAGCAGCTGGATGTCACGGGGGAAGGTGGCCGAGAACATGAGAGTTTGGCGGGCAGCGGTAGGGGGCATGTCCTCGCCCTCAACGATGCGGCGGATTTGGGGCTCGAAACCCATGTCCAACATGCGGTCAGCCTCGTCGAGAACGAGGTACTTGATGTTCTGGAGCGAGATGCGACCACGTTCTATGAGGTCAACAAGACGACCAGGAGTAGCAACAAGGAGATCGCAGCCACGCTCGATCTGGCGGAGCTGGTGACCAATGTCGGCACCACCGTAAACGACACAAGGGCGGACCCATGAACGGTAAGAGAACTTGCGAGCCTCATCGTAGATCTGAGAGACGAGCTCACGAGTAGGGGCGAGAATGAGCGAGGTAGGGTAAGCCTTGCGCTGGCGGGCCATGCCAGTCTGCATAGGGACAGCGCTGGGGCCGTTCTGGAAGGCCTGAGCGAGAATAGGGAAGAGGAAACCACCAGTCTTTCCGGAACCAGTCTGGGCACAAGCCATCAAGTCACGGCCACCCATGACAATAGGGATGGAGTACTTCTGGACGGGAGTGGGAACCTTGTAGCCGGAGAGCTCGATGTTGCTGATAAGGTGGTCATCAAGAGGGGGGTTGGCGAAGGTGGTAACGGGCTCGGGAACGCCTTGACCGCTGGCCTCGACGGGGATGTCGTCGTACTTCTCGAAGTTGATACCGCTGTGCTGGACGTTGGGGTCGTTGGGGATGCCGAAAAGCTCGCGCTCAATACGGGGGTTGGAAGGGCCAGGAATGTGCTTGCCGTCCTTCCACTGGCCGTCACCGGAGCCACGGCCTTGTTGGCCACCGTGACCGGGGTTGCCGTAGGCATTTCTGTCGAAGCCGTTGCCGCCTCTGGGAGTGAAAGAAGGAGCACCGCCCCAGCCGCCGCCGCCGCGACCAGCGCCGTAGCCGGGTCTGAAAATTTCGTCAGCCAAATGTACGTTTGCAACGAAGATGCAGGCATGCTTACCTGGGGCCGTCGTAGTGACCGTTCATGGGAGGAGCACCATCCATAGGAGCAGGCCCTCTGGCGCTGCCTCTAGCGTGAGGGGGGATGTAGGCAGAGCGGACGAAACCACCGTTGCCATTTTGTCTGGGTGCGTGCTGAGACTCGCTCAGCGAGAGGTTGCCCATGTTGAGTTGGTCGGCCATATTCGCGATAATGGTTCTCGGGGGTGGAAAAGTGGTCGTGTTATGAGATGTTGATTGTTGGGATACGGCTTGGGATGACCGAAAAAGTCGGACGGGCCTGGTTGATTATATGAAACGAGTCTGGCGGGATGATAAACCAGAAATCTTGTATCGGATGCGCAGGAAAACAGCTGCACAGACGACAAAGCAAATAAGAAAACAACAGAACTTTTACGAGTGAGGTTTCTTGTGTTGTAGAGTGAGTGAACAAGTCAAAGTTGTGAAGGCACTCGCAGACGAATTCTCTGAATCCCGCCACGGGTGCCACTCAGTCATTGCTTGGCGCGCGTCGAAGAGCGAGACCCTGCACTGTCTAGCGTCGTTGCCTCCCCAATCACAATCTCACTTCTTCCACAATCTCACTTCTTCCACAATCTTCTCTTGCTATCTGTTCTGCCGCCTGCAAGGGGGCAAAGTCTAATGACGCTCGACTCTGAATTCTTCACTCGTGCTTTCTAATGGTCGTCTTCAAGTAGATGACTTAGCCGCTGGACGACGACATGCGAACAAAGCCCTGACACCTTGGTCAAGCATATCTCTTGTCGTTGAGATTAGTGAACACCCTAATTGTCTGGTAGTCACACTGTTTCATACATCTACCACTACATTTTGCTGGGCCTTATACTTTTCACGCGCCAGTCATCTCAAGTTTGAAACGTTCTTCTGGCTTCTAAAAATGGATGAGAAAATATAATTGTTCATAGGCTTCATGTAGATATATATACTCAAGAATCAATTCCATAAAACCAAATGCTTTTCGCCAGAGACGCCATCTTCATCTACGCATTCCATGCAAGAAACAAAAATAATAAAGACGCTGTTACTGTGATTACTCGGCGAAGTTGGCTTCAGCGCTGGCGAAGAAGTCTTCCCTGCGAATGCCGCTACGATCACACATGCTGCGGAAAATGCCTCCCTGATCGTAGAGGGTGATGGGGCGATCGAGTTCGGCAATCTGTCCCTGATCCATGACACAAATACGGTCGTATCCAATGATGGTCTTCAGACGATGAGCAATACACAGAAGGGTCTTGCCTTGGAAACCCTTGACGATTGTGCGCTGAATCTTCTGATCGGTTTCGAAATCGACTGAAGAGGTTGCCTCATCACAGACGATGATACGGCTTCCACGTACAAGAGCACGAGCCAGAGCCATGAGCTGGCGCTGACCAAGGGAGAAGTTCAACCCTTCTTCCTCGACAGGGGCATCGAGATGGATACGGGAAGACGAGTCAGTGATGTCCTGTTGCTCGCCGACGAGATCGGCTTGGCGAAGTGCACCCCACAGCTCCATGTCTGTATGTTCGTTGAATGGGTCGAGATTACTACGGATGGTACCCTTGAACAAAGTAGGGTCCTGTGGAATGATCGAAAGGCGTGATCGCAAATCTTTGAGACCAATCTTGGCGATGTCGAGACCATCGACTGTAATGCTTCCACCACTGAGCTCCACCAGGCGGAACAGAGTAGACATGATGGTGGACTTTCCTGCACCAGTGCGGCCAACAACACCGATACGTTCACCTGCTCCAACGTGCATGTTCAGGCCCTTGAGAACAAGAGGGAGCCCTGCACGATAGCGCATTTGGACGTTGTCAAAGACAATCTCTCCCTTCTCGGGCCATGAGGGACGAACTTCGACTGTGTGAAGAGGAGCTTCCTCCTCGAGGTTGTTGCCATAGTAGTAGATACGCTCAGTAGAGTTCATGTTGTTCTCGACTTCAGCGAGCTGACGAACAGTGAACTGAATCATCTGCACAACTGAGAGAATGTATGACAGGACCAGACCACCACTACTGGGACTGACAGAGAAACTAGCAGTGACGACTAAGATACCAGTGACGAAAACGAGCAGAGTACCAATTGCGTCAAGACGGACGGACAACCAGCGTTGGTTCGAGAAGGTGAGATAGTAAGCGGAGTTCATGTTATCGATCGCGTCACGCACAGATCTCGAGAACTGATCCTGCAATCCATAGGCACGAATAGTGGCGACGCCAGACACTGCTTCGCTGAAGCGAGAGAAAACGCTACTACGAAGGACGGCTTCGTGGCGCTTGATCTCACGTGCTGAAGAGCGATAGTAGCTTGCAGCAAACAGGAACATGACGAACAAGGGACCCAGAGCAGCAGCGAAGTAGTAGTAATAGGCAATGATCAGGATGAAGACGGCGATGATTTGCGCCATTGTCATGAAAAACATGCGGAATGCATCGGTCAGGGCATTGTCCATGGTATCGACATCCTTAGAGAAGCGATTGGTAATGCGTCCAAGCGGTGTTGTGTCGAAGAATGACATGGGTGCGCGGAGGACTCGAGTGACTGCGTTGTGGAGTAGAGTTTTACTGGCCCGGGTACCACAAATGGTCAGGGTACTGGAAAACGCGAACATGAGCACAGCCTGCGATACACCTAGCGCGGCATAGACTCCAATGTATACTCCTTTGCTGTAGCCGAACTTGTTCGAAGTCCACCACGACAACCACAAACTGGTTGAAATGTTGGCACCTTGAGACAAGATAAGGACCAGAAGGATCAGAGGTGCAACAGCAAGAGACCCGGAAGCCTTGATGTAAGCCTTGTAGATGTGGAACGAGACGCTCTTGACCGCACGCTCTTCAGCCTGCATAAGTGCTGCGGCGGGCTTCTTGCCACCACTTGTCTTCTGGACGTCCTTCTTCTCTTCTTCGATCTCTTCACCATCGACCTCTTCGTCTTCCTTTTCTTTCTTCTCCTCTTTGGCAGTGGTAGCCATGAGCTTCTGGAAGTCTGCGTCGGTCGCCATAAGGGTATCGAATGTATCGATTTTGTATGCAGTACCGTCTCGGACCCAAATGATACGGTCGCAGCGGTGTAGAACGTGAAGTTGGTGAGTGGCAAGAACACGAGCTTTGTTCCTGAGAAGTCCGCAGATAGCATTATCCATGATGTGTCGTCCTACATGCGCGTCGACGGCCGAAAGTGGATCATCCATAAGGACAATGTCGGCGTTGAAGTAAATGGCTCTCGCGATGTTCAGGCGTTGTTTCTGGCCACCAGACACAGTGATACCCCTCTCTCCAATCTCAGTAAGGTCGCCATTAGGAAGCATTTCGAGATCGGGTCTCAAAGCGCAAGCATCAACCACGGCGTCATACCATTCTTGATCGAAGGGCTTTCCAAAAGTGATGTTTTCCTTGACAGTCGCGTTCTGAATCCAGGCATACTGAGGGCAATACGATCGTGAAGCTCCGAAGGTAACCTCGCCTGCAGTCCTGCGCATTTCTCCACCAAGTGCAGCCAGCATTGAAGTCTTACCAGACCCAACGCTTCCGATGACCGCGACAAGTTCATTACGGCCGATCGAGAGATTGAGGCCCTTGATCTCGAATGGACGCTCGCTGCTCGTATCCTCGGCCAAAGTAGTTTCGCTGTCAGCCTGTAGACCAGCACCATTCTCGACTTTCTTCAGTGCCTCCTTGGTAGCCTTCTTTGCGTCTTTTTTCGCTTGCTTTTCAGCCTTCTTGTCAGCCTTCTTAGCAGCTTTGGCTTCTTTAGATCCTGGAGCTCCGACCGCTTTCTTTTCTGTCTCCTGAGTCGGGGTTCTTTCCCAGGTAAAGTCAGCGTTCTTCATGACAATGGCATCCTTGCCTTCGTAATCCCAGGTGGCTTCATCCAATGCCTCTTCGGCCAGCAAGAACTCTTCAATTCTGCGGATTGATGCACTGGCGTCCACAGTCTGCCCGATTACGAGAGGCAGCAAGTTGAGTGGCAGTCTGATACCGTTGAAGAGAGCCAAGGATGAGAAGATCTTTCCTGCCTGGAGTCTGTGGTTTGTAAGACTGTAGGTAATAAAGGCCAGCATAGAAGCGAACACAGGCATAGACATGGAAACAGCCATGATGCCATTACGAATGTTCAGCAAGAACTGAATCTTGCCAATTTCTCTGCGCCGAATTTCTTTCAGGCGGTCAAGGAAACTGCTCTCCCATCCAAAGTATTTAACGAATCTTACACCAGCTAGAATTTCCTGCGTGAGTCCAACTCTCTGATCAGTGACTTTGTTGATAGCCTTTCTGCGAACAAACAAGCTTTTGATCGAGCGACCAAGCAATGGCATAGCGATAGCGAGGAGAGCAAATCCAGCCAGTGCACTATAAGTGATGTTGACAAGAAGCAGTACGAGGGTCAAGACGATGGAGATTGGCGAAGCCCAGATCATGTGAAACATTCCAGAAGCTTGATCAATGCGATAGGTGTCGGTAGACATCAAGTTGACAATTCTGCCATTTGACCAGCCTTCTCCGCTTCCAGAAACTCCTTTTTTGTCTTTCGGAGTCGACTTCTCCTTCTTGAGCTTCGCTTTCAACCATTTCTTCTCTTCCTTACTGCCAGGAGCAATATTAGCGGGCAGAGCAACAGACTCATTGCTTGCTTTGCCGCCGGCCCTTGCTCTCCCAGATAGCTTCATAGCCTTCTCAAAGATGATAGCGATCGTGACAGCTCGAGCTTGACCACCTACAGTCATGCCTCGGTACAAGAAGTGATTTGTGCAAACGCTTTGAACCATTTGCAGAATAGTGACTGCAAAGACCAGACCAATTCCATGGCCAACACTAGGTCTAGGCGTTCCTCTTTCCTTAGCCACGTATACGTCGGCAGCAAAGTTGATCAGATAACGGAGAACGAAAGGAGCTAAAACTTGGACGACGGAGGCGATGAGTTCACAGAATCCTCCCAGTAAAAACTCGTTCCTGAAAGTATCGAAGAGGGCCCACTTGAGGGGATTTTCGGTTCCATTGTCGACTCTCTTCTTGAAAGCGGCCTTAAGTCTTGCAGATAATACATCTACACTACGATCTGGATTGACTTTCCACAGATCATTGAGTTCGAGCGGTCGTTGATATCCAACGTCCATAATGGGTGCCATCCATTGGAAGGTAAGATGGCTGAAGAAATTGGCCTTGTATTCTCTCGACTCTCCCTGTTCGGTGGGTATTGGCGGCTTGTGGTTACTCTTGAATGGGTTCATCTTTTCGCTCCATTTCCGCTTCTCGCCGTCTATGCTTCTTTGGCTCTTGTCATCCGGGGTCTCATCGCTACTTGAGGCAGATGTCCAGTCACTCTGGTGGCGGTCGAGTGCAGTGTGACCATGCTTCTCTGCATCATGTTTCTCGGAGTCCTGTTGTTGCACATATTCCCGATCCAGTACTTTCTCGTCGTTCAGTTCCTTCGATGTGCCGACTCTTTCTAGAGGCTCAGTGACCACAGAGTTATGTTGTGCGGTGTCGGCAGCCGGAGGCGGGTTGTTTGCGTCGCCTGATGTCCAGACAGTGTCTGGCACTGGGGCTGACATGTTCCGGAAGGCGTACTAGAGGTCACAGGCTCAGACTTGAGGAGAAACGGATTCAGGATGAGGAGCGAGCGACAGCGATAACATACTGGGCCACAGGCAGCAACCTATTTCATGACGCCTCCATGTCTGTATCGTCCCGAGTCGGCCTCCGCTTGTCCCGTCTTGATGCATCTTCGATGTAGGCAATGCGCTAACGGGCACAAGCTTTTTTGCTAGCGAACATTGGCAGGCCGCTCACGCTATTGATCTGCTGGCAAGCACCACTGCACATGACAAAACATAAAACTGAACGCTCTCACTCGTGGCCACCATACACGCCACTTTGTTAAAATCGATCTGGATCTATGTCAATTCATCTTGATCATTCTTGGTCTATCTAGTAAAGAGCTCGTGGAGCTCACAAGTCTTAGATTATTGTTGTTAGGTGTCCAATCTGCGGCCAACATTGTATTGGTAAGCATTCTACTGTTCTCTAGAACAACCTATCGACTGTCTCGAAAGTCGGCGGGTCGGCGAAACGCTTCCCTCCACATTTTCCGATGCAGATTATCAAAATCCGGCAGATCTGAGTGCAGATTTTCAGCAACAAGGTTCAGCCTCACAATGCTTGTCCCCGCTTGTGTTTGCCTCAAGACCCAAGAGTCAGTCGCGGCCGGCTTGTTGTTGCGCCGTGACACTGGCGGTCGTCGTTTCTTCTTACAAATCGAACAAAGCACAAGACTGCTGGATATCAACACTCGAAGAACATGAATACGAGAAAGGATTCAGCGATTGCAAAACGAACGATAAAAGAAGCAACTCCTGCAACCTGCACCAATCATTTCCTCATAATTGACCTGCCCTATTTGGCGACTGTGCCGAAAGCCGAGATTCCGTAGTCCGTAGAGCAAAACTGACTGAGCAGAGCAACCTAACTCGAATGTAAATTCTGGCGACGAGGACCAATCAGCACATAAATCTAGGCAGGTGGTTGACCTTGCACCGCATTCAGCGAGGGATAACTTGGCGCCTGCCTGGACACGTTTGCGAGCCAGAGGCAGGCTGAGGAAGGCAAGTTTCCCTGGTCGTCGGCTACCGAAAAGTCCGACAATGCCTCGGCCGACGACCGTATTCAGCGTATCCCGCATTCTAGAGTAACATACGGATACTACTCAGCTTCAACTGCGCATAGCTTGACCATCTTCAAGCACAATGTCCGAATTTGTCCATGATCGAGCGCCCAAGACCAATGACACTTCGTTCCAGTATCCCTTCGCCTCAGCGCCAGACATCATCCGATCACATCAGAAGGATGCCTACTTCCAGGGCGTCTTGCTAGAGCGCCTTTCTTCCGTGCTACGGAATCTATATGGCGCTCGCTTTGCCCAAACACACATGACCGGAACGCGCACTTTCGCCGACCTGCTGTACCTATCCTTGACGACTCTGGCTGGTAATCGCACATTGGGCGAGGAGTATTGCGACATTGTTCAGGTCGAAGACGACACACTGCGCCTTCCGAGCGTATTTAGAAGAGGAGGTTACATACTCGCCAGCGTTCTACTGCCATACGGTCTCACTAGGATCCTACCAGCCTTTCGAAGGAAGCTGCGCGCAAAGTTGGAAGCTTCCCTACGGCGACGAAACAGTAAGCCGGATCAGGCGTCCTCGTGGGTGACCAATCTACAATCTTACATTCTGAGGAACCTCGACACCATCACTTCCCCTTCGCCGATACACGCTCTCAGTCTGACAGCCTTCTACTTTACCGGTGCATATTACCATCTTGCAAAGCGATTGAGTGGTCTCCGGTACATCTTCACAAGACGTCTTGATCCCAGCGAGCAACGCATCGGCTATGAAGTGCTCGGCGTATTGTTGGTCCTGCAACTCGGTGTCCAGGCCTATCTCCACGCACACGAGACTTATTCTTCCGTCCCTGTCATCAGCAATGCCGCAAGTCTAGGCGGAGGAAGCGCCGTACTCGACAATGGCATCGAAGTCTCGCTAGACCCACATGCCTACAGCTCAAACAACGCCTTGCTGTTTGAAGATGGCAATACTCAACGCGACACCTCCACTCTACACAGCAAGATCTCTAGAATGACACATACTCCTCTGCCGCCGTCAGACTCGGAAGCTGCTATCCTCAACCTCGAAGACGAAGAAAAGCTTGCTTGGATAGAGAGCAGTCAACAGAGAAAGTGCACGCTATGTCTGGAGCCCATGCGCGATCCTAGTGCCACCACCTGCGGTCATGTGTTTTGCTGGACTTGTATAGCAGATTGGGTGAGGGAGAAGCCTGAGTGCCCGTTGTGTAGACAGGCTGTTATGGCGCAGCATATACTGCCACTCAGAAGCTAGGTCGCTTGCATAGCATAAGACACTTTAATGAGAAACGATCACAACGAGAGAACAACTCTAGCGACCTCTTCGCGAGGACAAGCTATCGTTTGACGATGTCTACTGTAAAACCAAGCTACATGTGGCCTTTGTTCGACGTGACTCAAAGACTAATATACACACCTTGACGCTTCATACCTTCAGCCTTTCCACAAATTCCTTAGTATGCATATTCTATCCTGTGATCAACCGACGACATCTTATGATCCGATCTTGATAGGTTCACACCACTTAGATATCAATTGACCTCTACGTAATCTTGTACTGGTATGCCACCAGTGCCACAATCTGCCTCGTGTTGAAGATTGATTGCAGTATGCCGTGCTAAAGGCCTGTCAAGCTCGGTCACTGGTCTGAGTGCTTACAGTTTCGTCAACTCCTCGAGCCCGCCAGTGATGTAGTATGTGAGCAGTGTTCGAGGGACACAATAGTACCGCCTGACTTGACTCCAAAGGTATCGAGAGAAGCTTATAGCGTCAGAAAACTTCCAAAGCAGAGGCTGAGAGCCTCAATGGAGGATGACTTCTGCACCTGGACAAACACATTTATCTGTCATTCAAGACTCTAGAGGGTCAGAAGGAACACTAGCCGTGTGTATGATGATCATGAATCGACACACGCTAGATCTCGTCTTGAATGAGGATTTACGCTGTTATGCTATCGAGGCTCCCGAGATCAAGGGAAGCGATCCACGACAGTAGAAGTTTCTGAGGACGAAGAAACCGTCTCTGACGGGATGCCACCCAGGACCCACTCTGACCAAGCATGAGTCGGATCACTGCTGAAGACACATCGAGTATGCAACGTAAGATTAGCATGCCAGGCACCATCATGCCTCGGGTTGCTTGCTCCTAAGGGCGACTAATGTGATGTAGAGATGGTCCGGAGACCACAACATCAAACTCCATACTCATTGAGCCATGCAACAAGGGTTGAGTCCAGCATGACTGGTCTCGATATGAGACTGGAACATCAGGATACATCGATCCTTCTCTTGACCATGGCGGGCATGATGAATTCGGATGTTGTTTGTATTAGAAGGTTCGATGTTGTCAGAGGTGCCACCCATGAGCTGGGTAAGACGATGACAAGACACAGTCCTAAAGACGATCGATGCGCAGAACTGTCGCCTGAAGTCATGTCAGCCACACACCATCAACAAACCAAACACCTCACACATCCCATATGCCCTCCAAACATCACCAACACACCCAACCATCCAAAAACGGTCGTTCACACCATCAGTCCGGGAAACCCGCTTCTACACATTTGCACCCCATGACTCACGACGCAAAAGCAGACTTGAATGTCCAGCGCGGCAGCATGAAACAAACAGAGGGATGCTAGTGCGAAGGTCTTTTGGGTCTCTCGATCCCCGTAAGGAAGGTAGAGTAAAGCGGTGTGTCGCGTGGCTGCACCGTCGCTGAAGGCTTCGCAGTCATTTTGATGATGGCGGATGGGTTGACGGTGATGGGGATGGATGGAGAAGATGTGAAACGTTGGGGGGTTGGGTTTGGGTTGGGTTGATGAAGTGGCGATGTGGTTGCGTTGTCATGAGGTATGAGGTAAGCAAGCTGTGGTTCGCACCTTCCCTTTTGTCTCGATTCTCAATTCCGTCGCACTTACTAGAACTCGGAAACGATGAATGGACCACACGCGATTTGCACATCATGGATCTAGCCCAGATCGTTTCATTGATATTTCATTGCTGTTTAGTGATACGAGGCAATCTCGCGCCAGCTCGCTCAGAACTTGCATCTAGCCACCCTTGACACCATGACCACCAATCTTCCCCTTCTCTGCCATGATGCTTTTGTAGTCCTACAACCGAATCAGCTCTTATATGGTCGAAGCAGCAATAGTCAAGCATACTCACCTCGCAAGCCAACCGGACAGCATCCACAAAATCAACTCGTGGGTAGTAGCCTAACAATCGTCTCGCTTTTTCGTTACTGGCATATCTAGTTCCTACAGCATCCTTGACACTTCCTCGACTTAATGTACTCGCTGTTGCTCCAGAAGCCCACGATACAATTTCGGCCATGAGACCAGCAACCCAGGCCAAAGATGTAGGCACGACAAACTGAAACGGCGGAACATGGTCAAAATGCTTCCAAATAGCCAGCATGAAATCGCGGAAGTATACAGGTTGCTGATTGGATACGAACATTGCATGGCCAGCTGCAGGCTCAGGGAAAGGTTTGGTAGAGAGGAGGTTTTCAAGTGCGAGAAGGTGGGCGTCTGCAACGTTTGTGATGTACACGAAGTCGTACATGTTATCGCCTGTTCCTATTATCCATGGTGTTTCGCCCTTAGCGATACATGCGTGAATTGTAGCGATCACTCCGTAGCTGTCTCCTGGTCCGATGATGGTTGCGGGGCGCAAAGCACACGCCTTAAAGTCCGTAGTATTTGCAGCGAGGACGGCGAGTTCACCAGGTGCTTTACTCGCTCCATAAGCCAGAGTAGCATGACCGATCGGTAAATCCTCAGTCATATTCGGATAATCATGATCTAGATCATCTGACACCACTGTACAGCTTGACGTGTGCACAAATGCTTTGCATTTCGTCTTTTGAGCTGCAGAAAGGACGTTCAGAGTTCCGAGATGGTTAATGGCAAAAACTTTGTCCCTTAGAGTCTTTGAATTGCTGTAGCGTAGGCTGCCATTAGGTACCCAACCAGCTACATTGACTATCGCATCAGGGTTGGCTTTGCGAATGGCAACATCCACTTCAGAAGCTTGCGTTATATCTGCTTGTATGTAATCCACACCAGGTTGAGGACGTGGCGGTGGTCGTAAATCCAGGTTTGTCAGAGTCCAGTCCGGATGTATGTTTTGTATTGCCGTCACAACTGCTTGTCCTAGAAAGCCGGAAGCACCGGTTACGAGTATATGAGGCATGCTGGGTGTACTCTCACTGTGCTTGATACAGAGCTGAGTTCGGAGACGGAAGTCAAATTGGAATCAAGGATTGAAATTGTTGTCTTGCAGGTGGACTTGAAAACATGGCGAGAAACAGCATTTCGAAGTGTACAGGATGACGCCACGAGATCAAATCCTGATCGAGGGAGGCACGATACGCCGGTTCATGACCTACCTTCAGCAGCAGCTAATTTACTGTATACACGAGTGATTTGGACATCATCTGAGGTTTCAAACGCGCTGTAATGACTGTAAGATGACAGAGTGTGTGAGTCTGCAAAGACACCCTTGTTGGTGAACTCTGAACGACCGGCCTTGGCAGGCGCGACAGAAATCTAGCGAGCGTCCTGCTTCTATGTACGGACATCTTCAGGCACAATTCCAACATGTTGCTTAACGAGCATACAGGTAAGAGACTATGGATCAGTTGTAGATGTATGTGCTAGAGTCTGAACATATGTGCTCGCAGCGTTAGTGACTTCACAGATCTTGCTGTGTCCTTACAGCGAACATCATGTACCAACATATCACGAATGGATGAAAGACAAGGTATGTCAAGATTACTACGAATCCACTTTTCCTATCTCATATACTCTTATACTCCATCCTTACCCTGTTTCCACATCCTTGTCAATCCCATATCCAAATTTCAGAAAGCAAGAACATATACAAACAAAAAGCAAAGGAACTACAAGAGCTCACGGCTTCTGAACCTCTGAGCCTCCCTGAAGAATACGACATGCAACGATCCTGGCGTCAGGACTCGGATAAATTGACCTTCATCGCCTGTCTACCTCCCTCTTCACCTGCAGGCTCAAATTCAACCATTACGCCGAAGCAAGACGACGCACCATCCCGCATGATCGGCGACATAAACCTCTTTCTTGTCGACGACGATGACGATGAAGACGAGTCCAACACCTCCGTTTCTAAATCCACCCTTGGTGAGATCGAGCTCATGATAGCAGTAAAGTCTCAACATCGAAAAGGACACGGTCGCGCTTCTCTCCTCGCTTTTATGCACTATATCCTCACCAACACATCTCCCATCCTGCAGGAATATAGCAAAGGTCAAGCAGCACATATCCGCTACCTTCGAGTCAAAATCTCAAAGGACAATGTCAAGAGCATTGCTTTGTTTGAAAGCGTTGGCTTTGTGAGGACGAGTGCAGAGGCTAATTACTTTGGAGAACTGGAGTTGAGATTGCAGGTCCAGGGCAGAGAAGATATTGTCTTGACTGATCTGGAGAAGGTCAAAGGATGGAACGAAACTCCTTCTATTATTGAGTATCGCGAAGAGTAGGCGAAAATGATGTTGTACTCATAGTTCTCACACCAACTAAGAAAGATCCGAAGGTCCCAGATGAACAAGGAGAAAATGACAACTTTTGGTTGTTTTGGATTTTTGCCCAATTTGGCTACACTCATTATCTTTCGTTATAAATCATACCAAGATCCAGACAGAGCATCACTCTATGCGGAGCCATTGGTAGCAGCGTGCTTTCTTCTCTTCTGGACGGCATCGGCCAGCTCGGCCAGAACGCTTTCGGTGTCCTCCCAGCCGATACATGCGTCGGTGATGGAGACTGCGTATTTGAGGCCCGACTTTCCTTCCTTGGGCATCTTCTGGTTGCCTTCGTTGATGTGCGATTCGATCATGACACTCATGATGGCTTCTTCACCGGCGGCAATCTGGGTGGCGAGCTCGTGGGCGACCTTGGGTTGGTTCTTGTGGTTCTTCTCGGAGTTACCGTGGCTGCGTTACATGTCAGTGTTTCTGTTCTCATCCATGTTCGGTCGAGCGAAGACGTACCTGCAGTCGACCATGAGTCTGGGCTTGGCGTAGCCAATCTTCTGAAGCTTCTCCTTGGACTCCTGAATGTCCTTAGGGTGGTAGTTGGTTCCCTTCTTTCCTCCTCTGAGAATGACGAAGCAGTCGTCGTTACCAGCAGTGCCGACAATAGCGACATTGCCAGGCTTGGTGACAGACAAGAAGTGGTGGGGGTTCTTGACAGCGCCGATGGCGTCAACGGCAACATCCAAAGTGCCGTCGGTACCGTTCTTGAAGCCGACAGGGAAGGACAAACCAGAGGCCAATTCACGGTGGACCTGAGACTCTGTTGTACGTGCGCCAATGGCACCGAGAGACAAGAGATCGGCAGTGTACTGAGGGGTGATGGTATCCAGCATCTCACTGGCAATGGGCATGCCCTTCTCGGTCAGGTCGAGGTACAGCTGTCTCGAAACGCGAAGACCTCTGTTGATGTTGAAGCTGTCATCAAGATCGGGGTCGTTGATCAAGCCCTTCCAGCCGACAGTGGTGCGAGGCTTCTCGAGGTAGGCGCGCATGATGATGACCAGCTCATTCTCGTACTTCTCCTTCAAGACGGACAATCTGTCGCAGTATTCGAGAGCGGCCTTGGGGTCGTGCAGCGAACAGGGACCAATGACGACAAGCAGTCTGTTTCTCTCATCCTTGCCCTGGACAACATCCGAAGCTTCGTTGCGGCCCTTGAGGACAGTGTCTTTTGACTTTTGCGATTGTCTGATTTCGTGCTGGAGAAGATCGGGGGCGGTCAAAGGGGTCATGCCACGAATGCGCCAGTTCTCACTGCTGGTGCGGTCGCCCACTGAGGCGTTCTCCATGAAGAACTGTATACCAAGTCAGTCATGGCTCTAGGTCACTTTCTGGCGGCGTTTGGAGAAGGTCGCGGGGCGCTTTTTCTGGAGAAGGCGCAAAAGACTTACTTCGGTTGACATGGTGTATGAGGAACAAGAAAATCAATGAGAATACTTTCAATGTGCAAAACCAGAATGAATTGGGGTATCAAGACAAGTTCGATTAGGAAACAATAATGATGGAAGCGGGAGAGAAAGGTGAATATGTTCGTGAGTCAACCGTCACTGGCTCGGTGCTCACCCCAGCCTTCGGGCCGACAAGCCACATGTGATTCGCTCAGCCTGGATCTGATGACCACCGACATCGCTGTTTCACTTTCATTGCTGGGCATGACCTGCTTCTCAATTATACAATTCTACTCCCCTGTCACTCTTGCATGTCTTGAGTCTGCTTATAGCACACGTTGTTGGCTGTTTGGGCTTTCCGCTCTGTCGACTTTGGAAAAAAAATGATGTCCTATGACGTCAAGCCTGACATGATGCGGGGTGCTCGATGCTGATGCTGATGTTGACATGAATGAGCCCTCGAGCTCATTATGATGAACATACAGCGGGTCCATCGGAATAGTAGAGTATATCACTTGTAGCTTCCTCATCCTCTTGCCTCCCGCTTCTACCTTCAGCTCACAACGAAATACACAACATGTCACTCACAGCAGGAAACCTCAGAAATATCCCCACTTCTTATGCCACTGTCTCGATTGGTTGCAGAGATGAACACACTCTGTCCAAGAAGCTAGAAGCAATCTCCAGTGCAGGATTCCAGGCTATCGAGCTCGGCTTCCCCGACCTTCTGGCTTTCGCATCGACGTACCTGAAGAAAGAGGTTGGACCCTATGACTACGATGATCTCGTTATCTCCGGCAAGGTCGTCAAGGCCATGTGCGAGGCAAAGAAGCTGAAGATCCTCATGTTGCAGCCCTTCGCCAACTTCGAGGGTTGGCAAGAAGGAAGTGACGAGAGAAAGGATGCTTTTACTCGTGCCGAAGGCTGGATCAGAATCATGGAGGCTGTTGGAACCGACATGCTGCAGGTGAGAAGGTCTTACATCCAGCCTCGAGATACCCACATCTGACCATGACATAGGTCGGCTCCTCAGACACGCCTGCCGAGAAGATCGGTACAGACCGCAATCGCTTCGTCAGCGATCTGCAAGAACTCGCCGACATGCTCGCAAAGAAGAACTTCCGCATGGCATACGAAAACTGGTGCTGGTCAACCCATGCTCCCACTTGGAAAGACGTATGGGATATCGTTCAGAAGGTCAACCGCCCTAATGTCGGTCTCTGTCTAGACACTTTCCAGTCCGGCGGATACGAATGGGCAGATCCTACTACTGAGTCAGGCTTGGTCGAAAAGCCCAAGGATCAACTAGAAAAGGAATGGAAGGCATCTCTCGAGGAGCTGTCCCGCACCGTTCCAGCAGACAAGATCTACTTGCTTCAGATCAGTGATGCATACAAGCCGAAACAGCCCTTCAACAAAGACGTCGATGAGTCTGGTACCCGTCCTAGAGGTCGTTGGAGCCATGACTTCAGACCTCTCCCCTTCCAAGGCTATCTGCCTGTTGTCGACTTTACTCAAGCTGTCTTGAAGACTGGCTTCCGCGGCTACTTCTCGTACGAAGTCTTCGACGCTGGTCCGGACGGCAAGGGAAAGGACTATGAGCTGCAGGACTTTGCGAATGAAGCAATGGCCACTCAATGGAAGCTCATCGAAGCCTGTGTCGAGGCTTGAAGTGTGCTCATAAGCTTCTCCTTCCATTCGGCTTACGATGTACATGAATACCTAATATGTATTAATTACAAAACACTATCATGCTTTGACGCAGATCACATCGTGCTTATTTTGCTCTGGCGAAGACAAAAGACAAATATCCTCCAATGTACGATTGTTCTTTTTTGTGATGTCTGGCTTCCAGCTTTCTGTGCTTGTCTCTCTTCTCTTCCATTGCAACTAATATGCGAAACCACAAAATCACGTTCACCAGCAAGGCTCTGGAAGTCGATATGAGCACGATGGCTACATGTTGTCAACAATTCTGCTAAAGGTTGCCATCAACCGAATAAAGGGTCCGGCGACCACGCCCGATGTACCTAGCAAGCCATGCACCACTAACAGTATCCCAAGATCTGTCGCTGTGATACTCCGACTAGGCCTCGAGCAGAGTGACGATGGCAGATATGTGTCTGTGTCGATCCTCAGGTCAGCCCGAGCTGGCTCTTGCGCAGGCTGCATCCTTTGGCGATGAAACGCGACTTTGCCCCTGACTTAAACAACAGTCCAGAAGCGAATCACTCACGCTCTTTAATCATTTCTTTCCTTCGAGATACCAAACGAATTACCTCGCTGCAATAACGTCGATGGACTCATTGCCCCCGGAGCTCCTAGCCAGGATAATTTCCCTGGTAGTCGTCAAACAAAAGCGACTGACCAAATATGCCACAATATCTCGAGCATGGCAGCACGTAATAGAAGAGCGCACATTCTCGCATTTGTCTTTCTCCAACGATGATCTGGACAAAGTCAAATCAGTCGTCTTCGAGTCACCGTACGTACATCGCCGTACAGCTCTTCGGCATGTGGATTACAGCATCAATCTTCCGGACTACGATGATAATGCCTGCGGACGTTTTGAGAGAGAAGCAGACAGACATATCAATGATAAGGCCTTCAGTAAAGCTATGGCCGATTCCTTTTCCGCACTGGCGAACATCGACGCTGGTGATGGGTCCAGGCCTATTCATCTGAATCTCCTACATTTCTCTTCTGCTATGGATACGAATCGCCGAGATAAGGACAAATTGAGAGCAGATGAGATGGCAAGAAGCATAGGGAAACGACACGATCTCTTTGAGCTTCGCTACCGGGATTCGTATCTCCAGCTACTTGATCCCGAGAGTCTACCTCTATTGCACAATGTGACGTCCTTGACTATCGACGGTGATACAGCGCGCAAGCTAGCACCGGCAGTCACCGCTGGACTTATATCAAGACTGCCCAATCTTGATACTACCGACTGTACGTTCTGGGACATGGAGAGACGACGACCAGATCAGCGCAGGCAACTGCGTTCAAAATTTTCTAAGCAATTGACAGAACTGACTCCTCCCAAGAGTCTTCGAGTGTTTGATTTGAAGATGATCAGCAGAGAACCCGCCAACACAAGGTTCTTCTCTGGAGACGTCCGCGGTGGTTTCTATCCACTCAATGTTGATGACCTATCCGCTTCGTTACGGTTGTTCTCACAGTCAGCGCCTTGTTTGACTAGTCTCGAGCTGAGTGGTCCTATTTCCGTGGGGGCAGATCTGTTCTGGCCATCAGAAGAGACCAAAAAAGATGCCGAGCAGCAATGGCGAAAGCTTAAAGTATTCACCGTCGAGCTCAGTGCAGTCAGGCCCGATGGCGGCTGGTACACAGAGCTGGATCCCAACCGTGACACAGAGTCTTCCGATGAAGAAGAAGACGAAGATAACGAATATATGGACGATTCCTCCGATATCGTCCACAATGGCACCTATAGTGAGTCAGCGTCATCATCAGACTACGACTCTGACGACTCCTTCTTCGCCATGGACCAATTACCACCAGACTCTTACGGCTACCCTGATGAGAAACGCGACGCCCGTCTCAATGGTGATGAGCCTTCTACTTCGAACTTCCGCACAAAGCCTACTCCAGAGCTCGAGACATTCTTCCTATCAGCAGCCCGCGCAGCTTCACATATGCCCGCACTGAGAGTCATGAGTGTCAGTCACAAAATTCGTCCCAGTGGGAGAACGGGGAGAAGATTCCAGCAATTGGGTTTCCGGTATATGGCTGCTGGTACTAAGTATCCAGGTGATGGAGCCGAGACGAGAGAAGTGAGACGGCTGTATTGGAACGTTCATCGTGGTTGGCGTATGAACCAAGAGCTGGAGTCGCAGTGGAGGTTACTTCTGGGTGATGATGGCATCGTGAAGTATAATGAGTGGTAGCAACGTTTTCAGAGCGAGGGTGTGACTATATGTTCTTGTACAGCATTGGACGTTACAGATCAGTCCCAGTAAGCTGAGATCCAGTACTTGATCATCCTCCTACTGCACGACGGCAGAAAGGCCATGTCACACATTTCGTATTGTGCAGGTGTCATTTATGGAATTTCTCAACACGCCCTCCATCAATGGTTGTATAGTGTAATGGTTAGCACATCGGATTCTGATTCCGGTAATCCCAGTTCGATCCCGGGTACGACCTAGTTTTTATCCTTTTACCAGAGGAGAAAAGAACTTTTTTTTGCGTTGGTGGGTCAAAGGGGTTTGTGCTCAGGAAACTGGGCGTTGGGAATTATGCTTGGCATGGATGGCTTGATCTCATTTTACTTTTGTCTCTTTTTTTTTTTCTCCTTTTGTTTTGCCTCGCATTGGAGATGACAGTATGTATGAATTGACCAAAAGAGATCTTGGAACATTTGTGCACGCATTGGAAACGTGGATGTTTATTGCTAAGAAGAACTGGTGACGCTTACGGCGTAGAGGGGTAGGCTTTCGTCTGTCTGAGCAGCATTCTCTTTATGGCAAGGTTGAAAATTCTTGATAATCCTCTTTGCTTGCACAGCAAGCCTGTCAATCATCATTTCCTTGGTAGCATAGAGTGCGGTAAGCATGAAGATCGAGCGAATGGGGTGTGTCAAGCTCGTTCCGGATATAATGTTGGGCACATCTGTATAACAGGGTGCCCAACGCAGCATCCACGCGAAGAAGCTATATTCACAGGATGACATAGGATAATCCATAAATTGGAGACTGTATAATGTAGAAGAAGGTGATAATTCGATTGGCCGAGCTTACGGCAAGCCAGCACTACTCCAGCAAGATGTGTCTGACAGTGTCTTGCATATCCTTGGTTACGCCACATTGGAGCAGGTATTCTTCGATAGAGCCATACTTCTCATTGATGTGAGCAGCCACGCTCTCGACCCATTGAGGATCACAGTCAGCGAACGAGGCGGGCATGCCGATACTCCTTATCTCAACAATTCTAGCCTCGCGTTCAGATACGAGTTCCTCCTGAGTGCGCATGTAATCAGTGTTGATGGCCGCGTTATCAACATGCAATAGTAAGAGAACAAGCATAATTGTTAGACCAGTGCGATCTTTGCCTTGTGTACAGTGCACCACGATAGGGTAGTTCTTCTCGTCAGCCAAAACCCGAAACACAGCAAGCACTTCAGCGGTACAGTGCGCGAGCGAGTCATAGGCCAGACCTATGAGTCCGCGCTCAGACATGACTTCTGTGCCTAGGATGCTGATGGCCTGGGTACGATAGCCTGCAGCCATGAGAGCGATGAGCTTGGCAGCGGACCAGTATCGCAATTGGCGGATCAGAGCAAATGAGTACGAGGAGCCGTTGAAGTTGATCTCGGCATAGTTTAGCCCGGGGATTTTGACGGGTTCAGCAGCCTGATTGTTGGAAGGAGCAACAGGCTCGGCTGATGGTACTGGAATTGATCTTTTCTGGGCTTGAACAATGTGCTCAGACTTTGTGCGCAGGTCAATGATAGTGTAGATGTGGTAGTCGTCCTTTAGTCGTCTGCGATCTTCAGTTGAAGCTTCGTCTGGTCTGGCGCTTCGAAACAGCAGACCGGGCTTGATTTTGCTAGACAAAGTGTTACAAGATATCAACAATAACAACAAGACATATGAGAATCTCACTTGTCGCCAGTTAATTCATTGATGAATGCACCAACATCACGGAAGTTTAGCAAGCGATCGAATTTGTCAATATGTGCCATGTCGAGCTTATTCGGATGCGCAATTGCCTATGAGGTGCGAGACAAGACGTCGGAAAGGTGTGATATGATATGTGTACAGAGCAAATGCAAGCGATGAGTGAGCATCCGACACCTCTACCTTGTAAGGAAGTTTGATCAACGGCAGAAAGCTCGTCAGAACGACAGCGCTCGATGGGCAACAAGGAACAAGGAAGCTGGATACAGTAGGTGGTAATTACACGCATGGACCAAATCAAGTTCTGGACAAACAGAGCTTGGACAACAACAAGCCCAGATGTCGATCACTGGGGTAAGCAGAGGATCACAATTAATGAACCGATACCTTTGTTCGTCAACAGAGCAGTAGTAACACATAGACGTAGATGCAATATTGAGATAGCTAGACTTTGACGGATGACTATCGAGGAAGTCTGACAAGACATCGGGCTTGGTTGTCTTGTCGCACCGTCGGCAGCAAGTCAAGGCTGTTGACGTAGTGGCGGTTGCAGTGACGTAGGGCAATTGGAGAAGATGTGGATGCATTCTTTGGGCGCAATATTGGCTGTCCCTCCGCCATCCAACCGTCGTCACATCATTCATTCCTAGCACCCGATGGAGCCTGACCAAGTCAAAAGCACAGGCGACACGACATTTCTACTCGAACAACATACTCCTGATCCCACTCCGATCGAAGAGAAAAAGGCTCCCATGTCCGAATCAAATCCCATAGAGGCTGCGAAAGCCACGATAGCCGCGCCCGCCGAAGATGCCGCGCCGAGTCAGTCGGCCACAGCGACCAGCGAGACTGCGACTTCTGCGACTAGCGATATGCCCATCAAGACGACAACTAATGTCTACCAGACCGACAATGTCGCTCACGACAAGGCCGACTCTACGAGCAGCAGCAAGACCGAAGCTAGAAGCAGCTACAGACCTGGTTCCAAGGCCCTTGACCTTCCCCCACCTGTGACAAGATCCACCATCATCGAGTCCAAGACTGGTCCTCCGCTACCCGTAACCACCTCGGCTTCTGAGGCGCATCTGCCTGTGTGTCCGGACCCCGCTGCTCACCGCGACACCAAACTCCAAGAACAAGCCTCGAATGCTGCTCTATATGCCACTAAGACCGGCAAGAGCACAAGACAGAAAGAGGATGTTCTCGATGCTAACAACAAGCTCTCCTCGCGCAGTACGCTTCGTCTTTCCCATTGCTTTACCCCAGTATTGACCTTTCGCAGGTGCCGCAGCCTCGCTCAAGTATGCTAGTCCTCAAGATCTCCCCAGCTATCCTGTTGTCGGCATTGACACGACTTCGTCCGCTCATTCCGCTGCAAACTTGGCAAATTCTGGTCACAAACAATTTGAGCACTGGAAGCCCGATCCGTCCAAAAATGCAGGAATCGCAGCAATGGCAGCAAAGGATTATAAGATGGCTCCTTTGTGGAAACCAGAACTGAGCTCAGCTGGCTCAAAGGCTGCTTTGCTTGCACACAGAGACGGTCCCAAGCTCAACCTCTGGCAGCCTGAGGCTTCAGCCGAGGGAAACTCTGCCGCAGGCCTTGCTATGAGCAAAGGAAACCTGGGACCCAAGCTCGACTACGGCTACACCGAGGATGGCCGTAAGAAGGCTCTCATGGCTGCTACTGGTGCTTTGGGCAAGTCTCAATCGACCAGAACACCGCCAGTCGAGCATCCTAAATACCCTGATTCTGCCAACTCCGCGTACAACGCCCTTAATGCCGCCACCACAGCCAACAGACCATCATCCAAATCACCTGTTCCCCACCAAGACTCGAACAATGTTGACTCTGACGCCATGCGCGCTGCTCGTGTCCAGAACATGGGACGCAACGTGCAACGCGAAATGTTCGGTTCTGCTCCTCCGATAGACCCTGGTGACGAGAAGAAGAAGCAGGCCGCTCTCCGCGCTTCTGCTATCTCAATGGCCAAGCAAATGTACGATCAGAGCGAGCAGAGAAGACGTGATCAAGAGGCTGCAGAGGTCCAGGAACGCATAGGAACCAGCGCTGCCACTGTCTCACACAACCGCGCACCTTCAGCTGCCTCTACCACTCAGCCTGATCTACGCCAGCAAGCTGTACAATACATTCATCTTCAGGAAGCTGCCCAGAAACTCGCCAATGAGCGCCTTGCAAAGATGGATCCTGATGGAACTGCTCGCTACCGCGCTCATTACGGATACGAACCACAGTCGCCTCGTTCGCGATTGTCATTGCGCAACCGCACTGGCAGAAACCGTGCCGAAAGCAACCCAAAGCCCGTCCAGCAGAATGACGATGATTCATCCGATGACGAGTTCAGATCGCGCAGAATTCGCAATCAGATGTCGTCGTTGAACAACTCGGTTGCACAGCAAGATGAGAAGCGCAACCAAGACCGTGCTGCTCTACTCGCTGCCGCTGAGAAGAGAGTGCAGGCTCAGATGCATAACATGGACGAGCAAGTCTTCCAACAGACTGGTCAGGTCACACCTGCCATGATGGAAGAGTGGGAAGCCAAGGCTCGCGCTCGTGCTACAGCCCAGAGCGAGGACAGACAGCGTAACTTCGGCAAGGTCAACATTGGTGGCGGCAAGTACATGGACCAGTCTGAACTTGATGCCATCGCTCAGAGTAGACTGAAGCCTACACTTGACGAAATTCACGATAACGCAGAGAAGATGCGCGCCAGGGACGAAGAGATTCGCCTTGATCAGGAAGAGAGACGACGCACTATGATGAGCGAGAAGGAACGCGAGAAGGAAGTCAAGGCCGAGACCAAACGTCTGAAGGGTAAGCAACGTAATCCTCATGTATTTCTGATCATACTGACAACGGTGCAGAACAGGAGAAGGCTGAAGCAAAAGCCGCGAAAAGGGCCGAGAAGGAAGCCGAGAAGGCTCGCAAAGCTGAGGAGAAGCAAGCACGCAAAGAAGACAAGCGCAGATCTAAAGAGGTCAAGAGAGAGACTGAATCTGCTACCAAGGCCTCCGCTGCTGCTCACGAGAATGACAAGCCATCGACTTCTGGTGGTGTTACAGGCGCTGCTGACGAGCACTCCGAAGCTAAGGACGAGGATAGAGACGTCGACGCAGACCGTAGCGAAGCTGTTGAAGAAGCAGAGACTGTTGCTACCTCTGACGGCGCCCCTCTAGAGAAGACTGACTCTCCAGACTTGATGACGAGGGTTGCTACCGGCGGTACAGAGCACAGCACCAGAAGCGGTCTTCGCCCAGAATTGGACCGTCACGTTTCTGCTGTTCTTAGCTCCAGTTCTTCAAGCGCGCGCAGCAGCCTCAGTCTCTCTAGCGTTGACGAGGCCAGAGACACTCATGCCGCGACTGCCGAGATACAGGCCGTGACCAGCAACACAGAGCCAGTAGCCAGCAAAGACGTACCTTTGACAGTTCCTGAGACCACTGCCAACGCCGTCGCCCTTCCTCCTGTCGAAGCTGTTTCTGGCAATGCCGCCGAGTCCGAGCCCACTGGTACCACTCCTGCAACCGCCAGCTCCGTGGCCTTCCAACGCCGCAAGTCCAGCCGTGTGAGCGGCTTCTTCTCTCGCTTCAGCCGCAAGTCCAAGCCCGCTGAGAAGACTCCTGAGAAGCCCAAGGCAGCTGAGACCACTGCCGTGACCCTTCCAGCCACAGAGGCCAAGAAGAGTCTCTCGACCTCCGAGCCCTCGACATCTGCCGCCGCAGCAGCAGAGACAGAGGCTCCCGTGACCAGCGATGCAGTCTCCGACTCATCATTCCGTCGCCACGACACTGATCTGCACAGCATTTCATCCATGTCCAGCGATGAGGAACCGTCAACAACACGCCCTACTGCCCGCCGCGGCCGCAGCAGCATCAGCGCCATCAGTGGCGACGAGGACGAATTCGAAGAGGCACGCGATCACTTTGACGAAACCCTTGCTCCCCCACCTACCTTTGGTGGTCAGCCCAAGGCACAAAGCCCCGCTCGCGAAACCAAGTTCCAGGAGGAGTTCTAGACTAACCATCTGGAAAGTGGTCTTGGCAGTATGGAATTGAGAAGGGGAGGAGGACGACAGAACATGATATCCTGGGGTCGAAGGTTCGGATTGGAGGAGGATGAAACGGTCTGGTGGTGATGAATTTGTTCATTTTTTATGTGTGTTTTTGCTGCGTTCTCTCCCTCACCCCTACGTACTTAATACCTAGTCTTTGCTTTTAGATATGATATCCTCAAGTTTTGATTATTTGTATTTACTACTGCCTCTTCGTACCAGAATCATATCTTGGCTCTGCTATTTCCCAATGTGCGATAGCCGAGGCTCTGGTGAAGCTCGATTTTCGTCGCGCTGTCGATCGAGACTTGCGCAGAATGGTCATCTTTTGACTCTGCTATCGTTTCTGGTGCCGTCAGAAGTGACGGTGTCTTATCCGCCACGAGCTACCTGTGGTTCTTCCCAGACTACCCCTGTCTGTTTGCTCCGTGCTCATATCTGCAGGTCTACCGCAGTGTCTTTTTGAGAGCTCTACCGCCTGTTCTGCCGGAGTCTAGAATGGGTGTTGCATATGGCGCTATTGGGTCGCAAGGAGAGTCCTTGTCTAGGCTGAGTTGTCGTTCGGATGATAAAGTGTGTCTCTCAGCCTTTCATAGAGGCAAAGTCAATCTTTCGAGCCACTTTGTCGCCTCTAGTGTTGGGGAGCTCGCCACCACGTCTCTTGAGATCTTCACCCATGGCGTCCAGACCTCCTCCCTGGCGAGGCAGTTCTTCGAGACGTGATGGACGAGGATCAGCAGTCCAGTAAGGGTGTTCAAGAACCTGTGTAGCGGTCGGACGTTTGCGCGGATCGAGGGCAAACATTTGCATCAACAAGTCTGCGCCTGTAGGGCCTACAGTACCGAAATTGGCCTCCCAGTCTGCACGCTTTTTGACAGGCTTGACATCTTCTTTTGCGACAGGCACGTAGCCTCGCAGTTTGCTGACACCAGGCCAGTTGTCTTCAGTAGGAGTTCCGACCTGCTCGCAGATCTTGCCTATCATAGCAAGGTCTCCGTCAGGGGTCTGGTGGAGGAAAGGCCAGCGAATGACGAGTTCGGCAAAAACGCAGCCAACGGACCAGATATCAACAGCGCCTGAGTAGAAGTTGGCCTGGTAGTACAGCTCGGGAGGACGGTACCATTTGGTGATGACGTTGTAAGTCATGGGAGCGTGAGGGTCTGCAAAACTTCGAGCAAGACCAAAATCGGCAAGCTTGACCTCGCCATTTGCGGCAATCAACAAGTTGTTGGGCTTGATATCGCGGTGGAGGACAAAGTTTTGGTGACAGAACCAGACGGCGCGGCACAACATGCTCATCCATGCTTTGATGTCGCTGGGGTTGTAGTCGATTGTGGTATCCTGGATCAGCTTCATGAGATCGCCCTGCGGCAACTGTTCAAGGACGAGATTGAGGTTCTGGTTCTTTGTAGAAAAGACGGAGAATAGACGGATGATGTTGGGATGTGACAGCTCCTGGAGGAACTTGATTTCGCGAAGAGAATCGTGTGAGATGCCCCATTCCTGGACTTCAGGGCCGACCTTGATCTTTTTGATGGCGACGAGCTGGGTGGGATCGGAGACGAGGTGTGCGGAGAAGACATCGGCGTATTGACCAGAACCAAGTTTCTTGCCTGCAAAATAGGAGTAAGTGAATTGAGCATAGGAGGAAAGAAAGAGTCATAGCATACCCTTGACATATCTACGGCGCTCCTGGTCATCGAGCTGCTCTGCAAGGTTGGTAGCAGAAGCAGCTGGCGCTGGCTGGGCAGGGTGGAGGGTTTGGGCTTGGATCTGGTTTGCTGCCTTGATGCTAGACCCATTTTCGGGCCTGAACATGGCAGGCGATGCGGGCGAGAGACCCTTGCCCATCTTGTCAATGTCGCACAGCAACTGACAATCGTCGAGACAGTGAATCTAAGGAAGGATCGAGGGTCGAGGGTGCATGCTTGAATGATGCGGAGCGGCTCTGCGGGCCGTGCCACACGGACCAGGCGCAACAAGCAGCCGCGACAGCGACTTTTTGGCAGGCGCTGCCCGTCGAATGTTCCTGCCAGTTTGTCAAGCAGAGAGCCTTTGCGCCCACCACTAACCTCGCTACTTCTCCAACCTTCTCCCTCGGATCCCTGAAAGCGCTTCATCACGACACAACTAAGCACACGACCTCTCGGCGCAATCATGTTCGCTCGGCGGGCACTCTCCGTCAAGGCTCTGCCTACTACAACTTCCCTCGTCCAGACACAGCTACGATGCCTGCACGCAAAAGTCGCCGCAAAGGACATACCGAAACCCACTCCCTTCGTCCCCGACGCCCAAACCTTCCTCACCCTGATTGGCCGCAAGATGTCCCAGCACGCACAAAAGATCCCCGACTGGAATGCTCTCTTTTCTCTCTCATCACTACAATTGCGCGAACTCGGTGTTGAGCCTGCTCGCAGTCGCCGCTACCTACTTCACTGGCGCAACAAGTTCCGCCAAGGCTCTTTTGGCATTGGTGGTGATTTGACCGATGTCAAGGATGGCGTTGGCGAATTGAGAATCGTCGAGGTGCCCGCTGCCTCTGGCACTGCTACCCTTACCAGCTCTCCTGGCATGCGCAAGATTGTCGTTAACGTCCCTGCTGGTCAGGACAAGCCTTCATTACCCCTCGACAAGATCAAGCCTGTCCAAGGCACAAAGGTCATCAGATCAAACATTATCGGTGGTTCATACGTCGAAGCCATCAAGGAGAAGCCCGGTGCTGCAAAGATTGTTGCAAAGGAGGGTCTCTGGGAGATCAAGCGTGGTCACAAGATCGATGGTGGTGAAAGAAGAAAGGCTGAAGTGAGGTACAAGAGACGTGTCGAGGAGAGAAAGACCACCAGAGGTTAGACGTCCAGCTGTTCGCTCTTGTAAAAATACCAATGTACCTTTTATCATGCCTTGTTTTCTGTATATATCCTCCCACGCATTTGCGTCCACTTTCTCAAGATGTATGAATTGAAATACTCAAAAAGGGAATGATCGGCGTTACCCATTCTAACATCATCATTGAACTTCTCATTTCTGAACTCTTGTCATCTATCAATTGAATCACCACAAATATATCCAGGAAGAGATGAATATTGATGCTCCCACCAATCTCTCAGGAGCCTTGATCTTCTGGGCATACATCGCGGGTGCTCTGGCCTCTACTGGAATCGTCTTGAACACCATCAGACAGTCATACCTTCAGAATGGCAGACCGAAAATCTCTCCATTCCTGGCAGTTTTGGCCCTATCAAGCTTCGCTACTCTTTCCTACCATATGCTGAATGTCTTGATCCTTTCTTACCAGCAGTGGACAGCACGTTACAGCATTCCTCTAGGTGCCTTGATTGGAGCTAACAGGACGCCTCTACATTTATGGAAATGGTCTACAACCTCATCGCTATTCCAAAATTTCGGTGAAGCTATTGTTGCCACAAAACCTCGGTATCTTCTTTCATCTTCTGGCTTATGGTCTACACTGGCCGTTGCAGTATACATGGGCATCGAAGGCCGAAGATGCAAAGTACCAAACCTTTGGGCTTTCTTTGCACTTCTCGAGATCCTGCCTACTTCATTTGCACAGACGCTGTTTTACATCATGCTCTGTACCAAGCCTCAGCCTACGAGTTTGAATTTCCAGTCACTGTCGTATTGGCCTTTCTGGTATTCTGTGCCTTTGCTGTACAACTACTGCCTCAGCAAAGCACCTGAATATGCAGGAGATGGCGAGTGGCTTATCTATACCATCCTCGCTGCACGTGTGTTGCTTGTACTCCCGCTAATCCTTCCTTTGCGAAGCTTGAGCGATCAAGCGCCAGGAACCAGCCCTAACACATTCCAGCATGTGGCGACATTGCGCTTGTTCACCTTCTCAATCGCTATTCAATATCTCACTCACAAGAGGATTGCAGATCTGGGGCCATGGGACCAGGTACCTTCGATTCTGTTCGAGGCTCTCAATAGTCATCCTGCAGTGCAGGCTTTGAGCTATGATATGCTACATAGTGCTGTAGCGTTTGGATATTGGATGCTACGGAAAGAGAGTGTCGCGCCAGTCGTGGAACAGAAAGCAAGCGAGCAAAGAATCCCTTCCAAGAGAAGACGCTGAATCTGGAGGATGGAGTCACAAGCCATAGAGGAAGCCATCAACTCTTAGGCCTGCCTGAGTCGCCGTCATCAACGCCAACACACCTCAACAACTTAAAAGACAGCCAGAGACCCCGTCTTCGATCAAAAGGAGCAAAAAACCAGGCCTAGCTCTTTCAGCCAGTCTCTGGGAAAACCCCCACCTGCTTGCAAAGTATTCTACCTTTGCAAGAGAGAAAGTAACATGACGTTTCCGTCACATCCAAGGATCGAACCGAGGACTTTCTGGGAGTTTTATTGGCAGTGGGATTACGAGTGGGTGGGCTTACCGATTGTGCCAACTCTACCACTGACTGCTGAGGGTATGGCAATTTGGCTGGCATTTAAGGGGTGGCTCTGAGAATGGGAGGGATAGGCGAGTGAGAGGAAACTTTGTGCGAGAAAAGATGAAGGCGATGAATCACTGTGTCACATGTATTTGGTTATTGTGATGGAAGTGATGCTCGTCGTGGTTATTGTTCGGACACTATGTTGTTCATGAGTTCACTTTCACTTGACGTGTTGTTCACTCCCGCCACTATCACAACAACAATCAATCGATACTTCTGACACAACCATTAACTTTTACTCCTCTATTTCCTTCCAACTTCCATTCATCACAGACTTTCTCTTCCACGCGCACAACATGGCTGGCGTGAGCAAGTCCTCCTCTCCTAAGCCACCTCCTTCTCCTGGAGATGATCACCTTGTCCAGCCTGATCACACGTAAGTTTTGATTGTTCACTTCCTCACCAATGGTCTGACATGGGTCGTAGTCCTGCTGCAGCACCAGCACCAACACCGCAGATCAAGGCAACCACCATCACCAATGATCTATTCAAATTCCAGATCTCGACCAGCGTTCCACGCGGCTTAGACAACATGAAACCACCCAGCAACAAGCCCGACGATGAGTCAAAGGTCAACCCCTCGACCAAGAAGCCAAACAACAACAAGAAATGTACCAACTGTGGCAAGATGGACGCAAAGGCCCACTGCACTGGGTGTCGCGGAGCACCTGAAGTCGATGGTACCCCTCAAGAAGGTGTGCGCTACTGCAGCAAAGAGTGTCAGAAGGCACACTGGGTTCATCACCGCAGAGGCTGTAGGAACATGCAGGCCAGAAAGGCCTTGTTCAGAGCTGGCAGCCTCTTGCAAGAGATGTGGTACGCTATACGCCGAGAATCTTACGACAATGCTGTTGTCAGAGTTCAAGAGATCAACGGAGACCTTGTCGTGTACGATGGGGACTACAATGTCGAATCTACCTTGAGAGAGAATGGCTACTACCGCAAATTTCCGGAGGAAATCTTCAAGAACAAGAAGGACGCAGAATCTTGCCTTAGCCTACTATCCTGCAACGATGTCCTGAATCACATGCCCAAGGCTGTTGAATGGCTCCTCAAAGGTAAGAGCTGTGTGTGTCTTCTCGAGATCGATCTGACTCCTCATTTCAGACATTTGCAAAGACATCACCGAAGCAATGGTCAAGGTAAAAAAGCCAGTTCGTGCAACACGCTACGGAACTGGCGAGTGGGATTTAGACTGGACGCACACGGTCTTCAAGGCCGTTCTGGTCTCTGGAGAAACGTACGCCATAGATCTCGCCGGAGCACAATATGGCTTTTATGAGCCCGTCATCCTGTGGTCGAAGTATAGAGAGAGATGCATTGAGATGATTTGCCTCGGCCCAGACAGCTACTGTCCACTTGGTTTCCAAGCCCGTACCTTGCTCAGTCAGACTTTTTCCAACCCCGGGGATAAACGTACCATGTTGCAGCGTGCTATCCCTATGATGGGAGAATGTCTTAAACTTCAGTTCAACCAAGCTCTCGAGGACATCAAGAAGCGCTACACGTCTGGACGAGACCTCCTTCACCTTCCCCCGCCAGCCTTCCAAGATGCTGAGAAGGACATGATATCAATGGCGAAGCACGTCACGCGTGATACGGCTGAGAAGGTGGATGTTCTTCTCCCATTGATCGTAGGCGAAACAGATCACGCGAACCAGATGATGCTTTTGGATCCCCGGGCCCACAAGGGCCGCCTTCTGGCTCACTGCTTGGTCACACTTGCTGCTCATTTCAATGGCGCCTGGCAGAGGGACAACGACACGGGTCGTTTGATCTCACTCTCATTAAAGCGTGCCGACACAGATAGTGAGTATCTCAAGAAAATCATGAGCGGGAAACTCCCTGAGCAAAAGTCTTGGAGCGACATGACTCTTTTGTATCAGTAGGATGTGGCACATTTGCAAAGCAGTGCTTGAATTGAGGGATGGATCGAGGGCTGGTTGGAGCTTGGTTAGATGCCCAAGGTCGCGATGCGAGAAAGAACCCCCGAGCGGAGGACGGAAGAAGGAGCGACACAGCCACAAGCTTGTAGATTAGATTGGCCTGCGCCACAAGAATTAAAGGCTGCGTAAGCACGCGCTACCTATACAAGCACATTTCCAGGCTGCTGAGAGCATGCGACTGTAATTTCTAATCTCCTAGCAATCGAGACATGGCGACCAAAGAAGGCTCTGCGCCGTCGAGTCGCGAAAGGCCCGCAGCCATAACCACCCCGAGTGCCCCCACGAGCAACGGCAACGGACACCTCGAACTCGATGATATGCCCTCGTCGCCCATCCATCCTATCCAGGAGGACTTGATGGCCCTGGCGAGACTGGGTGAACTGCGATCTATACAGAAACTCTTCGACAGTGGGAAAGCATCAGCAACATCAGCAGATCCCCAGGGCATCACAGCCTTGCATGTAATACTCTCGGACTGAATGCGCCAAACACCAGGAGCGCTGACAAGACACCACAGTGGGCTGCAATCAACGGACACTATGCTCTATGCCACTACCTCATCGAATCCGGCGCAAATGTGAACGCGAAAGGCGGCGACGCCGAAGCAACTCCCGTGCTATGGGCCTCTAAACGCTGTCATTTAGATGTCGTAAACCTCCTTTTACAACAAGGCGCAGACCCTCTCTTGACCGATGACCAAGGATATAATCTACTACACTCGGCCACCCTGGACGGAAACGTCTTCCAACTCATCCTCCTCCTGCACCAGGCAGACGTACCTGTCGACATACCCGATTCGCAAGGACATACCAGTCTCATGTGGGCTGCTTACAAGGGATTCCCAGCCTGTCTGGACGTGCTGCTGAAATGGGGTGCCGATGTGCATGCAAGAGATGATCTGGGCTTCACCGCGCTACATTGGGCTCTGGTTAAGGGCAGCTACAATTGCATTCAAAAACTCCTCGAATATGGTGCCGATCGTTTTGTCGCGAACAACGACGGCAAGACACCAGCAGTCACTGCTAAAGACATGAATTCAACACGACAGTGGCATCGCGCCCTCTCGGATTGTGGCTTCGATCCATCAGGCAATCCTCGCAGCTTCCCCTTAACTTTTGTCAAGGACACGAGAAAATTCCTGGATAGATTCTTCTTTGCCTGGCCATTTGTCGTTATTGGAATCACCTTGTACATTCTTTCCATCATGCCCGTATATTTCGGTCTACCTATCTCTATGATCACATCGTACCTTTTGCAACTGGCATCGCAGAAGTTGCTAAAATGGGCACCCAGCGACATGAAGCATATGCATAAGACGGTATGTTCTTGTGCCTGGAGACTAGTGTCTGCGTTACTGACATGATCTCGATAGCCATTCTTGGCCGGAGTTTTTGCAGCGACTCTTGCATGGGTGGGCATCAGATACATCACTCACATTCTTCCTAGTAAGGTCATCACGACCCTCATTCTTTCTGTATTTGCTAAACTATTGCAGCTACCTTTACGAGTCATTTCTTCCTCAACCTGTTTTTCGTGGCTGCATTTGGCCTATGTACATATTACTACTTTACGGCCATGCTCATGGATCCTGGATATATCCCTCGCTCAGCATCTCGCGGACAACAGAAAGCAACAATTGAAGAGCTCATTGACGCAAAGGCATTTGACGAACAACACTTCTGCACAATGTGTATGATCAGAAAGCCATTACGTAGCAAGCACTGCAGGCGGTGCAATCGCTGCGTGGCAAGACATGATCACCACTGTCCTTGTAAGTTCTTCGCTTTTCGAGTGTAGTAGTACAGGCTTGTTAACAACACTTTCTCTTGAAGGGCTGAACAATTGCGTTGGTGTCAACAACCACCGAGCCTTTGTTCTCTACATAATCTTCCTCCTGACTGGCATTGCCCTCCTCATTAGACTTACACTAGCCTACCTCGAGCTCCTACCCACACCACCAGCCTCATCAATCCACTGCAAAGTTCTAAAAGAAGAATTCTGCGCTCAATGGTCCAAAGACCCGTTCACACTCCTCGTCAACGGCTGGGGCAGCATCCAAATGACCTGGACAATAATGCTCCTCTTCGTCCAACTGACTCAAATCGCCCGCGCAATGACTACCTGGGAAGCCATGCGCAATAACCACGCTGGGCCTCTAGTCACCGCCCTCACCACCGGCTCTACCTCCCAAGAAGGCGGCAGTATCAACTCCTCAGGAGGTGGCCCTACAACAAGCCCACCCCACCATTCCACCTCCAAGGAATCATGCTTTGGACAGTGGAAACGCATCCTCGGCGTTGACACATTTATCGCAACCGCTCTCCACGGCTCCCGCGCCCAAGAAGTTCTTGCCCAGCGCCGCGAAAACCCTTTTACCAAAGGTATCATGCGCAATTGTGGAGATTTCTGGTTTGATGGTGAGGGAAGGGGTGTAGGATCCATGTTTGGAGGTAAAGAATTAGGTATGGGAATGCTGGGAGGTGTCAAGGTGGATTATAGGAAGTTGTTTGATTTGCCGAGGAACGCTGAGGTTTAGAGTTGTCTGCAGATGCAGACGGAAGTTTAGAAGGAGCGGGAGTAATAGCGACTCGTGCTTCTGTTGTGGATAGTTGGATGTTTGTAACGATCATTTTGTAGATAAAGAATGCATTGCACGACAGAACGACATCGCAGACATTGCTGCCAAGTCCGCCTTGAGCCTGTTCTACTTCACAGCTTGTTTGCAAAGTTCATCAAGTGTGGATGACAGCATATTGATACTTAGCTCGCCTACGTTCGTTTCTTTTGACTTGGAAAATGAATAAAATATGAGATAAAGAGACACAAGTCGGGGAGAAAGAGTGGTTTTATATACTGCTACATAGCTTAGACTGAAGTGGTCTTGTTTTCTTACTCTCTGACAACCAAACCCCTAGCCTCGGACTCTGAAAAGAAGACGACCATACGCCAAACCTTTCTTGCGAGTCCCTCGGCTTCTTCGTCAAGCGTATCGCTCAACTCCTCCACAATCTCCTCAGGACGACCGTGTCTGCGCACAACGCCCTCAATAACCTCGACAAGCATATCTTCCTGCACGCCCAAAGATTCGAAAATCTTCTTTTGGACGTACGGACGCAATTGTTCGCGGATGACCGAGTCGGGCAGGTGTGCCCATTTAACGGGCCAGCTGAATAGGTCGGTAAGGGATGTAGGGATCGAGGCGGCGAGTGCGCGAGTGGCGGCTTGACGTTCGTCGTCGTTCATTTTCTCTCCAGCAGCAAGAGGTTTGAAGTCGACTGCACGCAGCAGTGCCTTCTTGCGATCTCCACTGCCTTGGGTAGTGTCGTCTTCGTCGTCGAGCAGACCTTCCATCTCGGCCATGGTCTGCTGCTTTGCCACACCTCTCTTTTGTTGCTCCTCTGGCTCCTCTGATTCCTCGCGAGTTGCGCCATTGCCACCAAGACTGCCAAGGTTCAGAGTGAATGCTCTCGGTTGTGGTTTAGTGGCATTGCGAGCTGACAGCTCTTGTCCAGCCTCGGCCAGGAAGTCGTCGGCCATACCGCGAGCACCATCCATCTTGCGTTGCTCGCGTGCTCGTTCTTTTCTCTCGTCCTCACGATCCTTTTCGTCTCTCGAACGCTCGGCATGCTTGAAGTCTCTACGTGCGCGGATCCAGGCCTTGCGGTCCCGATAGAACAGCTCGGTTGGTCTTCGCAATTCCTCTTCGTCGTCGAATTCACGATACTTTTGCGCCAGAGTCTCACGACGTTGTTGGCGTGCGCTTTGCTCGGCTTCTTCTTCCGCATCGGCACGTGCGAGTGCTTGAATGTGTCTCCTCTCAACATTGAGCCAACGTCTTTCTTGATCCAGATACACCTTCTCCAACTCTGCATTCTTTTTCTCTTCGCGACGACGTTCGAGCTCCGAGTCAGAAGCCGGATCATCATCATCTTCGTGCTGCCCGTTGACAAAGTTGACGCCATCAACGTAGTCCTTAGGCATCTGTGCACCCCTGTAGCCCTTCGGACCTGATGGGGCTCCGGCAACAGTGCGATCACGTGGACCAACAGGTACTCCATTGACGCCTCCAGGACCAGATGGAGCAGAAGGGGGCGGGGAAGCCAAACGGCTGGGTCTTGGTGCGGATCGATTGCGTTCGGCGGCCTCCAACTCTTCCTCTTTGCGTAGACGCTCGAGATCGCGCTGAATGCTGCGGTCTCTGAAAGCGGCGATCTCGGCAGCGACAGTCTCGCGCATTTCAGCAGGAATGTCAGACAGCTCGTCTTCGGCAGACACAGGGATGGTGATAACCTCTGCGCCATCGGGCTTGTGGCCATCTTCCATAGTAACATCTCCGTTCTTGTCTGCGCCGTTGGTCAAAGTATCCTGAGAAGACAAATGGGCCAAGACGCGATTCAGGTCGTCCTTTGCGGTGTCTAGGCGGAATTGAAGCTCCTCGGCGGACGGCTTTGACCATTTCTCGATGTACTCGAGGGAGTTCTGATCGACAACTACCAAGAGTGTGGCTTTCTTGACATTTCCTTCTTCATCCTTCAGAAGCTTGCCCTTCTCCCGCAAAGGCACTTCTACATCCTTAAGAATCTCAGTGGCAAGCTGCAAAGCACCGGCGTCTTCGTATTCGGCGAAACCAAAGCGGCAGGGTTTCCCGTCAGCATCGGTGACACGAGTCCAGCGACGGAGCTTGACGGGGCCTTGACCACCAGCGCCTAGGATATCCTCGAGCTGTGCATCATCGGGAACACCGTCAACCAGACCTCCAATAAAAATAGTTCTGCTAACTTCTTCCAGAGTGGGAGGAACGAGCTGGACAGTTTCGCGCGGCATTCTTTGGTCTGCGCCGAGGCCAACGCGGTTACGATTGCCAGAAGCATTGTCGGGAGCGCGCGAGTCGTAGCCATAGTTGGAAGGTTTTGAGGCGGGCTGGCTAACACCGAGACGAATGACGGGAGCGTTGAAGTTGATGTCTGGCAAGTTTTGCGGCGGAGCGAAAGGAGCGGCAACCGAGGTAGGACGACCAGGAAGAGGTGTTGCGGCAGGGCTCATACCTGGAGGAGGGGACATACCAGGCGCAGCGCCTAGGAGATTGTAGTCAGTAAATGGTAATGTGGAATTGGTTTTGACCAAGCGCATACCCATGGCTGGCGGAGGGCCCATGTTGGGCGGGAAGCCATACGGCGGCCTGCCATACGATCCCGGAGCTGCAGACAATCAGTAAATGACCCAAGTAGAGCTTGTCCATGAGAATAACATACGGGGATAGTTGTTGTAAGCCATGGCGCGGATGGGAGAGTGGATGAAACAGGAAAGCGCGAATGTTTGATGGGTCAAGTTCGAGACTGCGCGACTGCCTTCGCTGTCCGCAATCCTTGGCGGACTTTTGGAAAAGTCGCCGGCCACTGCACGAGCGCGACCGACATAGCTAGACATTCTCTCACACACCCTCCACCATGGAATTGTCACAAGCCGCAGCGCGGACGCTGATGCGCTGTCGTCCTTTGTCGCTATATTCGTCGCCGCTATATCGCAACCAATTCTCCCCCTTCGCCATCCGCTCCTTCACCACCACCCGCCTGTTGCGTCAAGACCAACCCGAGGCCTTCATCCGCCAGCTCAAACAAGAAGAGAAGGAGACACGGTCCCATGATATTTCTGCTACCCCTGGAGAAAACGCTGCCTCAGCACCCGCACAAGAACGCAATGAGACTTCCTCAATGGTCGATTTAATGGACAGCGTCCTAGATGGCAACAAGGGCGTTCCCACTGCTTCTGAACAACGTACTTCTCGTTTCGCCACTCCTTCTGCTCAGGAGAAGAACCGTGTCAAGCCCATGGACTCCATGGAGGACTTCCTCACCAGTCTCAGACCCTCCAACAGATCTTCAAACTCTCTAAGCAGTCTCTACAGGCCCGAGATTCGACCTGTCAAGGAGCTCGACTTCACTCCTGGCCCTACCCTCGGCAAGACCGTACAAGTCAGGAATGGTGGTGACGTCGGCCGTGCGTTCCGTGAGGTTGAACAGCTTTGCGGCAGAAACAGAGTTCGCCAGGACTTCAACAAGCAACGATTCCACGAGCGTCCCGGTCTCAAGAGAAAGCGTCTACACTCTGAACGCTGGAGAAGACGATTCAAGGAGGCTTTCCGCGGTACTGTCAAGATGGTCAACAAGATGAGGAAGCAGGGTTGGTAGATGGTCAGCGTCTCCATGTGCATATCCCATTCGACCTTCCGCTGTACAAAAGAAGCCGGGCATAGATGCTTACATTCACTGTTCGCATGACACGTATCAAAATTTCGACACAGTTATGGGCGATACAACAATGTCAATAGTACATGGACTCTGGTGTTTGTTGGTTCGGGCATCTGTAAGAGTAGGGACTGATTTTTAAGGTCATCAACAAGAAAACATTCTTCTTTCCCAATCCTTCTTTGTTGGCTCCGAGGCATGTTCATGGCTTTCAACTTGAGTTTGACTTTCCGCTATGCTGTGTGTATGACCCTGTCTCCTAACAGATTCGAAGTATATTGGACATCGAGTTGGAACAATATCTGATCTGTCTGTTATGTATCAGTTGCTCTGCAGTTTTTCATCACTTGGGCGCTCCGTCTACCATCTGGCCATTACATATTGCCCGTCGAGTTTATAATGATGATCTTGATTCTGAAAATAACCTATACATGCAAAAACACATATTGAATGAGTCATGCAAGTAACCATCAGGCGGTACTACCACGCGTTCTTGAACTCAATGTGGTAGGCAATATTTTTAGGAAACAGCTGAGCAGTTTCGCAAAATGCTAGTCAAGGAGTATTAGATGTAGAGATCGATTTATCAGATTGATTGACGCGGCTCAATCTTAGCTTCGGATCTAAGCGGCAATAAACTATGGAGAACCATAAACATGTTGACACCTTTTACAAATGCGCACCAAGTCATTGTGCAACCAAGCCTCTCAACATTCGTCCGAATCAAGAACAAGTCAATGAGAATGACCGATTGAGATTATCTGTTTAACAACAATGTCTGGACAACTCAGCAACACTGAGACGTGGTCACTATTGGCCTGCTCTGCAGCAAGCCTTGGCGTACTCTCCAACACATGGAGCAGTGATGGCGCTCCAGTATTCGCTTCGATCGCCTTGAGCGGTTTGGCCTTCTCTTCATCATATGCTATCATAAGATGGACAGGAGATGCGTTCATCCGAGTTGGACGAAAGGGAAAGGATATGTCAAAGAAGCAACCCATTGAACTGTCAGTGATTCTGGACCTCTGAGAACAATACTTATGCTAACTTACGATATGCAGTCCAGAGATGATGGGTCTGGTCAGCGCTCTTGTGTATCTGCTCTGTATCATCACTTTCCTTCCCTTTGCATTCAAACACGACATCGTAGCGGCAACCTCAGGGGGCGGCAACAAAGATATTGTGATTGAAGCTCAAGTAGTCGAGACAGGCAGATTCTTGCACCGATTCCCTCTTGAGAAGGTAAGTACAACATTCTGGAATATACTGTAAGATCTTCTGACAAGTCAAGCTCGCATCATACGGGTTCGCATATGGCACCCTCGCAACTGTCATCATTCTCGGCATCATCGATGACTTCTTCGACATCAGATGGAGACACAAGTTTTTCATTCCGGCTTTTGCATCGCTTCCTATCCTAGGATTGTACTTTGTCGACTTTGGTGTTACTCATGTCGTCGTTCCAATTCCACTAAGGCCATACCTAGGAGAGCTCGTAGATTTGGGTTCATTGTACTACTTGTACATGTCAGCCATTTCCATTTTCTGCCCTAACAGCATCAACATCCTTGCTGGTATCAACGGAATCGAAGTCGCTCAATCGATTGTCATCGCATTGCTGATCCTCCTGAACGACGCATTTTATCTGGTTCCCTCGACGCCCACACTCCACCCAGCAACTGACTCGCACCTGTTCTCGGTCTACCTTTTGCTGCCGTTCCTCGGAGTATCTTTTGCACTTCTCCAACACAACTGGTTCCCTGCCAAGGTGTTTGTAGGAGACACATACTGTTACTTTGCTGGCATGGTCTTCGCTGTGGTAGGCATCATGGGTCACTTCAGCAAGACTCTGATGCTTCTCTTCATCCCTCAAGTCTTCAACTTCATCTACTCAGCACCTCAACTTTTCCACATTGTCCCATGTCCTCGACACAGACTACCTCGGTTCAATGCTCGTACAGGACTCTTGGAGCCGTCGAAAGCCACCTTCACACCCGAAAAGCCCCTGAACAAGATTGTAGGAGAAGTCTTGAAGGTGTTGGACAAGCTGAAGCTGCTGCGAGTCGAAACAGATGAGAAAGGGACGGTCGTATCTACTACGAATCTGACTATCCTGAATCTATGGCTTGTGTGGAGAGGACCTAAGAGGGAAGACCGCCTCGCTATTGAGATTCTAGCCATGCAGACCTTCGTAGGTCTGCTCGGTCTTGCAGTAAGACATCGTCTTGCTTTGGTTGTGTTCTCACAGGATAATCTATAGTCGCTTGTTATCAGGATAGATAGCAGAGCTGCTCAAATAAAGCATGTGCATAACTCTAATATCCGATAGCCGCTTGCGTAGACATAAACAGCTGCAGTTCGGAATCACGCCCTAGGGCGGGGATGACGATGGAGAAGATCTGAGAGATTTTCCGATGAGGTAAGCCTGCTAAAGCCGTACGTAATTACAAGAGCCGGCGGTAGGCGAGATAGATGCTGAGACAGCTGATTGCGAGATAGGCCCTCGAGATGTGCAACTTATGCCAACTCTTCAGAGAATACTCACTCGGAGTAGGGCTGCAAAGATAGCCAAGATCAGATTCGGCAGGTCCAAAGCAAAACAACCGCTGTGACGTTGTCTGAATCAGTTTGAAGGTAAACAGATCATCATGCAGGAGTGTCAAGAGTCATGGGCGAAGTCGGAGCTCAGTAAGCAGCGATGTCGCACACCGGGGGCGAGGTGGGAGGGGCACGGTCGGCCTGGGGATCATCAAGCCAATCACATGAAGCATTTTGTAAGAGCGGCCGTCGAGATCGGAGGCTGCGGTCATCGAGAGCATTCAAAAGTACAAGTATAGCTCGAAACGGATGGAAGCATCTCTCTGAATCTCATTGCCTCTTCCTTTCATTTTTGATACCCACGCCGCAGTCACTTAGTACTGACGCTTCTTGCTATTTCCTAAACTTTTCCAATCGATCACAGAAACATACGAATTCAAAATGCCCGGCGTCGTCAAAGGACCCAGAACCTTGTACGACAAGGTCTTCCAAGACCACATTGTCGACGAGAGAGATGACGGCACAATCTTGCTCTACATCGACAGACATCTCGTCCACGAAGTCACATCGCCTCAGGCTTTCGAGGGCCTCAGAAATGCCAACAGACAAGTCAGAAGACCCGACTGCACTCTTGTCACAACCGACCACAACGTCCCTACGTCATCGAGAAAGAACTTCAAGAGCGCTGCTACATTCATTGAGGAGGACGACTCGAGGTTACAATGCACCACTCTCGAGGACAATGTGAAGGAGTTCAACCTCACATACTTCGGTATGGGAGACAAGAGACAGGGAATTGTCCACATTATCGGCCCCGAACAGGGCTTCACCCTCCCTGGCACTACAGTCGTCTGTGGTGACAGTCACACCTCGACACACGGTGCTTTCGGTTCGCTCGCCTTTGGTATCGGAACTAGTGAGGTTGAGCATGTGCTTGCTACCCAAACCCTCATCACCCAGCGCAGCAAGAACATGCGTGTTCAGGTTGATGGCCAGCTCGCCCCTGGCGTGAGCAGTAAGGATATCGTCCTTTACGTGATCGGTCAGATCGGTACCGCAGGTGGTACTGGATGCGTCATTGAGTTCTGTGGTTCCGCCATCCGCAGTCTCTCCATGGAGGCCAGAATGTCCATTTGCAACATGTCGATTGAGGGTGGTGCCAGAGCTGGAATGATCGCTCCTGACCAGATCACCTTTGACTACCTCAAGGGCAAGCCTCTTGCTCCCAAGTTTGACAGCCCCGAGTGGAAGAAGGCCGTTGCCTACTGGTCTTCTTTGAAGACCGATGAGGGCGCCAAGTTCGATTACGATATTTTCATTGATGCTAAGGACATCGCCCCCACCGTGTCTTGGGGTACCTCGCCTCAGGATGTCGTTCCTATCACTGGTGTTGTTCCTGGTCCCGATGACTTCCAGGATGAGAACAGAAAGAAGGCCTGCGTCAGAGCCCTTGAGTACATGGGACTCACCGCTGGCACTCCTATGGAGGAAGTCGTCTTGGACAAGGTCTTCATCGGATCTTGCACCAACGCCCGTATCGAGGATCTTCGCACCGCTGCTGGTATCGTCAAGGGCAAGAAGGTCGCATCCAACATCAAGCGCGCCATGGTTGTTCCCGGATCCGGCCTCGTCAAGCAGCGTGCTGAGTCTGAAGGTCTCGACAAGATCTTCATTGACGCTGGATTTGAGTGGAGAGAAGCTGGTTGCTCCATGTGTCTTGGTATGAACCCTGACATCCTCTCACCCAAGGAGCGTTGCGCCTCTACCTCGAACCGCAACTTCGAGGGCAGACAAGGTGCTCAGGGTCGCACCCATCTGATGTCTCCCGCCATGGCCGCCGCTTGTGCTCTTGCTGGTAAGCTTGCCGATGTGCGCAAGATCGATGGTTACCAGCAGGTTACCGGCAAGGCTCCTCGTGAGGTCTCGGCCGATCCTGAGGTAGCTGCCCCAGACAGTGATGCCGACCTCGAGGAAATCATGGACCTCGATGAGACCTCCCAGGGCAACACCGTTGAGAGCGGTGCTCCTACTACCTCGACTGGCATGCCCAAGTTCACTCAGCTCAAGGGTCTCGCCGCTCCTCTCGATCGCTCAAACGTTGACACCGACGCCATCATCCCCAAGCAATTCTTGAAGACCATCAAGCGTTCTGGTCTCGGATCCGCCTTGTTCAACGACTGGCGTTACAACGAGGACAAGAGCGAGAACCCTGACTTCGTTCTCAACCAGAAGCCCTTCCGTGATGCCAAGATCCTTGTCGTCCAGGGCCCTAACTTCGGTTGCGGTTCCAGCAGAGAGCACGCTCCTTGGGCACTCCTCGATTTTGGCATTCTCTGCATCATCGCCCCCTCATTCGGTGATATCTTCTTCAACAACTGCTTCAAGAACGGCATGCTCCCCATCCGTATCGGTGACGAGAAGGCTCTCAAGGCTATCTTCGACGAAGCCAGCACTGGTTCAGAGATCGAGGTCGACCTTGTTAACCAACAGATCAAGAAGGCTGACGGCTCCGTCCTCTCATCCTTCGATGTTGAGGAGTTCCGCAAGCACTGCCTCGTCAACGGTCTTGACGACATTGGCCTCACCATGCAGATGGATGACAAGATCGTCAAGTTCGAGCGCAGACGTACTGAGGATACTCCTTGGCTCGACGGCTCTGGCTACCTCAAGCGTGACCGCAAGGGTCCCGTCAAGATCGAAGCTGCTCCAGTGCCCAAGACCAACCGTGGTGAGGAGAAGACAGAGCCTCTTGAGTGGTAGACTCACACGCTAGTGCAACGAATATCTGCTTTCACAGGAGTTTATGCGATGCAATGGGAAAAAGCGATAAAGGGTCTTTCGGATGATACTATTTTGAATTCGCTGTTGTGATATCACGAGTGGCATTGTCGCCTATTATATCTTTCATGTATATGTATACCCAATTGAAATATTTTACGAAAACGTCAGAACGATATCCTGTCCATATGCCTATATGGTTCGCTATGTTCCCTCGTGATACTCGATTATGTGGTTGTTTTAAATCCCGCTTATATCCGAAGCTAAGATGTACGCGCGAGACCGGGTCATGTTTAGAAGTGGTTGTCTACTCACCACCACCGCATCCTCGCATACATATATCCACATTTTGACATTGTCGTCTAGCACAAACTCCTTACAAGGAACCAATTCTGGTGATATACTTGATCAATCACGACTACACGGACGTTACCTGCTCGAGCACTTCCGCATCCACAACAGCTTGTGACACTACTTTTGTGCTGCCCATCAAATGGCTACCAATAATTCTTTCCACCATTTTAGTCATGGACATCACGATCTCGTCCTAGCGGTTGACTACAACTTCTATGGTACGCGCATGGTGACTGCGTCGTCAGACCATCGATTGAAGGTCTGGGACAGAAAGGATGATGGATGGACGGTGACGGACGTCTGGAAAGCGCATGATGCCGAAGTCACAGATGTAAGTCAAGACGGTGCAATAAAATCGCTGAACACGTTTTTGATTTTTACTAGGTCAAGTGGAATGGTCCTTTCGTGGGCGAAATCATAGGAAGCATTGGAGAAGACGGCTTACTACGGATATGGCAGGAAGATGTGCTTGAAGCACCTCTGTCTGGACGTCGCTTCAAGAGAATCTATCAGCAACCTTCGGCGACGCGAGTGCCGTACATGTCTCTGGACTTCAAGAACATTGGGACTGAAACGTATTTGGCTGTCATCTCTCGCGATGGGCAGTTGACAGTTTGTGAGCCGGTGGATCACGACAATCTCTCAGAATGGCAGATCTTGTGGCAGGACTATCTATGCAAGACTCCACAAAGGACAGAGGAGACAGGGTTTCGTCTAAGCTGGCATCATGAGAAACTGCCAGCATGGCCTGCCATAATGGCTGGACTCGATCGCAAAAGTCTGTCGCTAGCTGTCTCAGTCATGGACACTGTCAAGATCTTCCGCAGTGACAAGGATCGCAAGTTCTACACGGCAGTCGAGCTCAAAGGATCAGACGCATTGATTCGAGATGTCGCGTGGGCAAACGGCTCGATGCGCGGCTTCGACGTGATCGCGACTGCCAGCAAAGATGGATACGTGAGAGTCTATGAAGTGCACACACCCGGTGTTTCGGAGACCTCAGCATCTCAATCGAAACATGCTACGGAAGTTTCATCTGGACTCAAATCACCAACACATTCTAAGCCTAATCAGTCTGGCATTGGCGCTGGCCTCGCGGGAGGGCCACGCAGCGGAAGAAACGAGGAACAGGGACGTCCTGGCAGAGTCAATCAGGAAGCGAGACTTGCGGCTGAGCTTGCAGCTCACAGTGGCGCGGTCTGGAGAGTTGGGTTCTCACAAATGGGTAAGCACGAGACAACAATCTTCCGGGTACGATGAGCTGACCAGGTCACTAGGAGATCTACTAGTATCTACTGGCGACGATGGACTCGTGCAGGTGTGGAAGAAAGCCAATAACGACCAATGGATGCAGTATGCAGAAGTTGACGCAATCGGGGACAACTGAACCTGGCCCGCCATGACCGAAATTACGACTTTCAAGCTTGCGACGCATCACCAACGGCCTGTCATCATGGATTGAATGATCGTCTGAGTTTTGGGAAGTCGCGATTGTGATAGCAACGGATCGGAAGGAGTTCCCCCCAGGTTCCGCTCGAGAAATCACAAACCGTTGGCGGTTGACATCGCAACCACACATTCCTCCTCCACATCCATGGATGCTAGAAATACCGACATCGTCACCCAGCGACTTCATCAATTGCTTGCTCGACTATCTACTGAGAACTTAAAATCCAATCCTTCACAAAAACAGAATTTACTGACAAGTGCTCATAAATATCAATACCCCCATCGTCGGCCAGAGAGACGAGCGTGGTCAAGAGACACCTCTGACATACTACCTAAGATACTGAAGCAGCATATCAGAGATCCAACCATGGGCGTCAAAGGCACCGATGACTATCTAACAGCACGCGCGGCCAATCCAAGGACCGGCTTAATCAGTCCCAGTGTTGTAACAAACCTGACTCCGAGAACGCCTATATCACCCGCTGAAGCACTCTCACTATTCGGGACCGACCATGAACCACCACGGATTTCTACTCCAAAAGCTCGAATGCCAGAAGAGCCGCGTGCTGCGATCCAGAGACCGAGACCAGCGGGTCCACGAGGTCGCTGGCGTCAAGACTCGACAGGATGGAACATGGAGCTAGACACTGAGGCAGGATCTTCCAGGGCGAATACACCCAATCCGCCAGCTACGAGAGCCGATTTCCACGCGAGTGAGGATAGCTTTGTGATCCCCATGCCGACAGCCAAAGATCCACAGCCGTATCGACAGGAAGATCAAGACAAGGCCGTACAATACTACAAGGACAAAGCACAACGCCTTTCCCATAAAGAGGGAATGAATGGCAGGATGCACAGCATTGGTGCCGGACCTCGCAAATTTGCTCAAGCCACCAAGGCACTTCGAGACTTTAGCAATCCTCAATCCCCAACGCCTGACGAAGAGGACACTATCACAAGAAAAGAAAAGGCAACCTCATCTTCACCACCAATGTCTGCAGTTTCAGGATTCTCTTCATGCGAGTCTTCACGTTCGTCTCGAAGATCTGTGTGCTCGCCGCCTCCCGGAGTTGAACGCAGAGATTCCGCTGTCAGCATGCCAACTTCGACTGCCTCACGAGAGAAAGAAACCCTGACCAGCAAGAGTCCCACTCTAGGAGGAGCTGAGCGCACACGATCGAATTCGAATGCTTCCCGATTCCAGGATCTGCGACAGCTGCCTAGAGTTCGTGCTGTGCATCCAGAAAGCCCGGGCAAAAAGACCCAACACGAAAAGACTGCGCCCGTACCTCGCGAGTATAATTCTACACCACCTCCTCCTTATCGGACCCACCCAAACACTCCTTCCCTATCTGGAACGTCAGTGGCCGAATCACTGTCGCCTCTCGAGACCCAGGTAGTCGGATTCTTGGCATGGGCAATCAATCAACTGTTCTACAAACCAACATCATCAACACGTGATGGTTCACCACAAGGGCAAAGCATCGGTATCGTTCAAGCCATTCACATACTATCAGATTCGACGACCAAGCCTATAGAACGTTGGCAGGCGATCAAAGCTTTGGCATTTGTGGCATCAAGAGCGGTCATGATACTGTGTTGTCTCGCGATTGTGGTTCGTATTGGAACGGCTGTAGGAAGGGTGCTAGCAATAATACTTTGGCCTGTCAGTATAGTCTGGACGATTGTGAAGTGGATGCTAGGGTTTGCTTGATTAGGTGGATGCTAGGCTTCACGATTGAGTGGAAGCAGGATGTGGCCCTTTATGTATTATTCTTCTTTGAGGGACCTAGATAGTGCTACTGCCAGTAATTGGATGTTAAGCTAAGAGCTCTTATCGGTATCATAACCATGCGTCTGATATGTCTTCCTTCCTCTCTCAGTCTGTTGCCTTGTTGCTGCCATCTCCATTTGGGAGTCGAAAGTTCTCCTTAGAGCAAGGCCAATATTCTTTGGCGGTATGTCAGCACACTTGTGTTGCATGCAGACACGCTCAAAGAATCCCATTTATGTCTGAGCTCCTAGCGATAGTCGTTGTTGTAAGCTTCGGCGGCCTTGCTCTGGATCATCGATATCGACCTAGAACATGCAATCTGGCAATGCAGAACCAGGTTTTCCGCATCCTTAGGACTCGACTCTGAGCTAGAGTCAGGATCTTTTTCTAGCGCCATCATTTATCCAGCCAACGTCCAAATACCGCAATCATGCCATGATCGCCAACACCAACACACCATTTGCCATCGAGACTCCAATCAATCGCTCTGCATGCGAAATCAATGGGACAGTTGACTACCGTCGTCTTATGAGCGGCGTGTCTGATGTAGTTTCTCATGCTTCGGGGAGGTAGTTCTGGTTTAGGATCTGCTGTCTCAGAGGTATGTCGGGAAGATTTGTTTAGCGAGTCTGGGGTCATGGATTGCTTTTTGACAAGGGTTGGTGTAGGTGCTGATATAGGAGCGGAGGTAGGGGCTGGTGTAGGGACTGGTGTAGGAGCTGAAGTAGGGGTTGAAGTAGGGACTGATGCAGGAGCTGGTCTAGGACCCGGGACCAGTGAGGTACGAGGTATGAGCGAAACTTTAGAACAAGTTAGGATGTTAGTCGAAGACGATAATGCCTTTAAATCACATACCTCCAGAACCTTTGCTTATGCGGCTGCTTGCGCGAGTCAGAGTCAAGTCGCTGTTAGCACTACTTGCTCTTTCTGCGTTGTTGAGCAAAACCCGTTCTTTGAGATCTCTTTTTCGCTTATTGTTCTTAACAAGAAGGGGTGGATCTTTATCGCCGGTGTCGCTCTTGACGACAGGTGATTGATCTTTATCGCTGGTGTCGCTACCAGTAGTACTACTGGCGCGTGTGTTAATAGTCAGGACTTGACCGGCAGCAGTTTTCTTGCTGAAGACTTGATCAACACCATGTTTCCTCCTGCGGTTTTGATCGATTATGTCTCTGATCCGCTCATTGTCCTGAGCAATAGAAGTCCGGATTTTGCCAGTAGAGCGGCGCTCCTCAAACCTCTGCAGATCCCAGAAAAAGAAGCGAGCCTTGATGTTGCCCATGACGAGTATAGGCCGGTAGTTATGTTCCTTCAAGAGGCCGAATCGCATATAGAATGGTTCCACGTTGGTCACGTCGAAAGTGGATAATCGTTGGAAACCCTCGCCAAAGGCAGAACGTGTCGGTCGACCATATCCTGGCATGGGTGGTTCTGGTGGGTTGTCGTTACCTGAGAAAAAGCCATCGATTTTCCAGAGCATTATCTCTCCTCTGGTAACTTTGATGTTGTTTCCTGTAGATGCTTTAGATAGGACGAGGTCGCCCCAGAATCTAACACTGTCTGTCTGTTAGTGTGAAGCGACTACTGGACCAAGAGAGTGTTTTGGAGCGGTACCAGTCTACGTAGTCTGAGTGCATGCCAATGCTGGCAAAATGTGGATAGACTACTACCGTCGGTTTGTCTGTGCCTGCGTTCTCGTCTGGCACGGGTGGGAGGCTCCACTGCATGGGTAAGCCATGAATTTGTACCATGCCCAACAGAAACGGTACTTACCAAGCAGATCATCGTATCCTGCCCACCACTTAACAACCACCTACCGTTGTCATGGAAAGCCTGCTGCTTGTAAGCGCTGTATAAAAGCAGGGATAAGCACACTCACAATTGAAAGAATCGTCTGCCTATGACCTTCTCCCGAGAGTATCGCTGCGCATGGCTGCCTGCGATAGCGGGCATCCAAGTTCCATATTCGAATTGTGTAGTCGCCGGAGCACGACGCCAGAATCTGTGGCGAGACAGGTGATGTGACCAAATCGTTGATGGCCTTTGAGTATGTCAGCTTTGAGCTACGAGTGAACGTTGTGGAATCGGACTTACGCCACCGTGTCCATAAAGAATCTGTTGTGACTGCTCAGCAAGTGCAATTCTCATACTGTCACAGTGAGCTTACCCGAACCAGCTCTCCTGTAACCACATTGAAGATTTTGATATTCTTTGATCCAGATCCAGCGACACAAACGAGGGGCTCGTCTGTATCAATGTCCACTGACCATGCAACACTGTTGAGAGAAGAGTCTTCCTGGAAGGGACAGTCAGCCAGGACACAGAAACCAATACATGGATTGTCATTGCATCAATGTTGCAGACATACATCAGGGTCCTCGAGCACAGTCAAGACTTCCAGATTGTTAGTCTTGGAGGTGGCTGACTTGCGGACAGGCTTGCATATGTAGATCTAATTGTATAACTGATTACTCAAATGTTTGTTGACAAATGACGGTATGAGTTTTACCTCTCTTTCTGCCACGGCGGCAAAGATGGGATCCTCACCCGGCTCTGAGTATGGATAGAATTTTATGTCGTATATAGAGACTGAAAACCGACATTAGGCAAGATCAACCGAAGGAGTTTAATGACAGCAGAGATGGTTGCAAGCGTACCATTTTGTCTTTCACCCTTTGAATTTGTTAGCGAGAAGTGATATCTTGCAAAACGAGGGTAAGAAATTGGAGACGTACAGGTAATCGCAGCCATGCTTTTAGTTGAGGAAAGTCCATAGCTGATCACCAATGGTGAGTGAGGTGGATGCACGAAAAGCCGGGCCCGCTCGAAGGATCGCTAGCAGGCTGAAAGTTGCATGGTGTATGTGTGTGAGTGTATGGTGAACGACGGGAGTGATGGCCAAATTGGGGCAATGCACTTGTGACGCAGAAGTGTTTGTGCACCAAAGCAGAGTGAGAGTGAAAGGGGATAAGGGAGTTATGGAACAGTGGATACCAATCAAAGGCGGCTGTTGTCGTGTCTGAAGAGGCAGTCGCAAACAACAAAGCCGACGCCGAACTCTTTGCGCGTTTGCTTGCGTACTAACCTCACATGGTCAAATTCACAATCATGACTGATCAATCTACAGCTTTCTCGCTTGTTTTCTCTCTTCTTGGTTGATGAGGATATGCACACCGCGGACAAAGCGCAATCCTTACTCTTCTGTGGCTAGCAGGCAAATACGAGAAATAAGTTGAGCACCATGATAAAGCAACAATCAGCGATTGTTTTTGCGGGATTCGAGATCCCCACAAGAAATTCGATCCAGGCCGAGGTGGCCAACGACACGCACCGCAGGTGCCAGTGCATACGCTGCTCTCTATTGGAGGACGGAGCTGGGAGCCGAGTATTTTTCGAAACTAGGGCAGCTAAAGAGTGCCGGGTCGTTCCTAATCCTGGCACGTTGCGCAACAGGAACCACCTCCACTCTAAATGCGGCTCTTGCTCTATGGCTGCACTGAGCACTCAGACTGACCGTGTCTTGTCCTCGCGCTCACAACTTGTCTCATCTGATCATGATGTGGCCGCTCTTCCCGAGCAGATCCCAATGCTCTGGCACTTAATATACGTCGTCAAGGACAGGGCCATGAAAGCAGGGCAATGAGTAGAGGATTTGCAGAATGGGCGCCAAGTAGAGAGTCTCGTGTGACGTCGACGAAAGTTTGTGCAAGCGATAGGATTTGTCTCAGGCAGAGGCGAGGGCGAGTCTGGGTGACTAGACCCGTGCATGCCCTCTGGCTCTGCAAAGCGCAATTTTACAGCACTTTGTACCTGTCGCATCCCAAGTAGTGCTCGTCGTGAATCGCATTATCGTCGCTAGCACGGACAGGACAGTATATTGTTGCGCAACTACACCCACATCCTGTCAGCCCCCGAAACAAACGCCGAGCCGGGCTTGTCATTGCGTCTTTGACACCACAACCACTATATAAGCTAGAGGCCCATGCCTTTACAAGCCTAGACGACCTCTGCCGCCTCGACAATTACTAGACCCGACCCTGCACTCGAAGCCTCTATTCCGAAAAAGACGATACACCAGGCCCTTCTCGCTCGTCAGCCAGCTAGGCCCCGCTGCATTCCTGTCTTGCGGTCCCTACCTCTACCTCTGCAGAGACTTTAATTGCTCGAAAGCGTGCAAGAGCCACTTCTAGTGGCAACCCGCATACACCTCTCGGTCATACAAAAATCAACCCAACACATATCCCATACACTTCTCTCGACTTCTTTGCCACAATGGACTTGACTTTCATTTCGATCCATGGTATGCTTGTCCAACACATAGAGTCCACTTCATCGTGCTGACTTTTTGACAGACCTGACCCCCGATGCCCGCGTACTTTATTCTTCCGACTCTATCGTCGACGTCTTAGGCTGGACTCCCGATGAAGTCGTCAATCGTTCCTGCTGGGAATTTTTCAGCGAAGATGAGCTGCCTTTCGCAAAAGCATTCCACAAGAAGGGTGTTCAGATGGACAAAGCCGCTGTTCTGTCGTACTGCAGAGTAAAGAATAAGGAAGGGCAATGGACTGGTGTCGAGTGTTGTTTCACAGTCGTCTACGATGTCATGATCGTATGCACGTCTATCTATCGAAGAGGCCTGCCGAGTCAGAGTAAGTCTCCATCGACCTTCTCACAGCAATCATTTGACTGACATCTCTCCTAGAGCGAGCCGAAGAAGCACCAATCATCCGACGGCTGTTTTCATCCTCGCCACGTGATCCCCGTTACCACATGTTATCACATATCTCGGACAAATTCAGACAACCTGCTCAAAAGGCGAAGCACGAGCCTCGAGCTGCTTTGTTTTTGAATCGCTTTACCAGGACTTTGACCATCATGTACGCGACCGCGGGCTTAGAAGAAGTTATTGGCATCCCAGCCGAATACATGAGAGGCCGCAGTTTCTATTACTGCATTGCCGAGAACTGCCTTCAGGACGCTATCAAATGTCTCGAGAACGCAAAAGCCAACGACTCTATAGCATACCTTCGATTCTGGTTCAGGGACCCTCGCATAGACGAAGAAGCCACTACACCAATGGATGAAGAAAGCGATGATGATATGGGAGCAGAGAGTAGCGTTGATCAAGAAGTTGGTGGGGGTGTCCACATAGATGGTGAGCGCTCAGGATCTGACAGTATGGATATCGACTCGTCACATCCCATTTCAAATTCTAGGACCACATCAGGAAACAGCAGTACGGACGTACAAGACACCCATTCGGCAATATTCGGTGATTCTAGAGCCGAGGAATCTTCAGCGTCTTCAATGACTTCTCCAGATGGAAGTGTCAGACCTCCTATTCAAAGAGAGCCGATCGAACTCGAAGCGGTCATCTCTTGCACATCTGATGGCCTTGTTGTATGCTTGAGGAGAGCACGCCCTATGCTCCCAACTCAGACACGCTCGAGATACGACAATGGTCTTTTCGCTGCTCCCTGGGCAACAGAACCGATTCTACCAACCATGGAAGCGCGCCCACAGCAAGCATTCGCGACAAACTTTGCTCCTTCTTTGGGTCCTTTCAGCGCCCAGACAGATCCTATCAGAGTCGGTGGACCTGCTCAGGACGACTTCATGAACTCGATCCGGGAACAGGCTGTCTTTGCATGGGCACTCACTGGAATCAACGGTGCACTCCACCAGTACGGTGTTAACAAAGCTTATGGAGAATCTCTACCACTCGAAGGTCTCGAGGTGTGGGAGTCCGACCCGTACGCTCAGTCTGAGATATTCAGAAGTGACTCTGGCTCAGGTCTTGATGGCATGACCAAGGGCCATAGCCCAGCACAGATGTTTGGTGATCCTGGCCTCGATGGTTACAGGAAAAGGTAGAGCATATGGATCTCCGCCCGCAACTTCTCTTCTTTGCTCTTTCCGGTTGTTGTATTGATTCATTCTTTTTTTTTTGTCTGCGATTAGCGGGAGTCCCGGGATGTGAAGGGGACAAAGCACATACGATGATGATCATTTATGATGGTGGGACCGGTCCCTGGCGATTGTTGTTTTTGTCTTCAACCCGACTATGATTATTTTAGAGGTTATGAAACCTGAGGAAAGCAATAGTGTTGACATTTTGGCATTGGCACCAATGGGTTGCCCCCGAAGTAAGAATCTTATGTTCAACGATCATGTTCTGTAAAAATGAAGTATCAAGCACGTACGGCCATAGTCAGCTGAAAACTGGGCATCCCGTCCGCTCTGCCATACATAAGCAGTTGAACGGCAGATTAGTACTACGGTGGGTGACCACGTGGGAATCCCTGCTGCTGTACGTTTTGCATATCTATATCTCTTCTTTTTGCAAAAGTACCATCGGTTGGTTGCCTTATGGTACTGCCATCTCCAAATTTAATGAGAGCCTAGCTCTACAAAACTCTGGCTCTCTCGTGGTTGGGCGCGCGTATTGAGTTTCCCAACTCCTGAACAACCGAAGATCAAGTATTCATTACAGCATGGGCGACGCTAGATGGTTACCGCTGTTTGTAGTCGCAGACGTGACGACAGAGGTAGGCTGAGCGGCCTCAAGATACTATTAACTACGGATACTAAGGCTCTTTGAGGTCGTCGACTCGGTACTTAAAAGCGCCGCTTCAGAAAGTGAAGAGGACGAAGATTTCGAAAACAGGTGGTGCTTACTGCAGCATCCCAACCAACGAACAATTTCAAAACCCAGCGTTCCTCCTGCCGACCCTTTCCAGAGCGGTTTCTTGAATTCCGACATCCAAAGGCTACAAGATTACATCTTAACGGGATGTGGAGAGAATGGTCTCGGCCACGACAACAATGTTTACATGGACTGGCTCGCCGATGATGCTTTTGGCGTAATTGATGCACGTACAGCCCAAGACAATACAATCTTGTTCTGTGTACGGGAAGATGTGGATGCTATTCAAGAGGCAGAAGTTCGCTTGGCTTGGAACAAAGGTTCGGCTTTCGACAAAACATACTTGAGAGGAGTTTTTTGCTGATGTGTTGAACTTACAGGTACGAGAAGCGACGAACTTCTAACGAGATATATTGAGGATTCTGGAGACATAGATGACCAGGACATTATGTTCTTGGTCGAGAACTTGGCAATCGACAAAGATGATTCAGAGGAGGCAAGTGTGGCCGATCTCAGACTCGACGAAGCAAAGCAGAAGATCGACGACTGGATAGAGCTTGAGCAGCGGGGAGGAAGGCCAAGGTGGTTCGAGATCAGAATGGTTGTGGAAAATGCGATGAAGAACAGTTATGGCATCTCCAACATTGGACCTGCCGCTGTGCTTACCGAGATGAAAGACGAGTTTGATGAAAACGGAGTAATGAGATATTGATGGTGGTAGCCCGGCACTGTTGCATGCATGAACTTTGTAAACATGAACTGCTTATCTCGAATTCAGTCCCCGCTGCTGTACGTTTTGTCCTTGAAGTATAGGTCGAGTATTCTGAATTATAGGTCTCGGCGTGCTCCTCCTCGGGCAGGAGGAAGCTCTTTCCTGCTTCTAGGAGTGTCAATAGTCGCAAGAAGACATCAATGCCATAAGCACCGGTATACCGCCATCAAACACCTTCTTCCCTTGCGCCCTACACGCCCTTCAAGCTCCTCCGTCGCAATCACGTATGCCTCAGAATCCAGCAAAGAGTTGAAGTGGGCCCAAACTCGCAGCTATATCGGAGTCTGGAGACCGTTCCCTAACAAAGTTGATGACGCTGCATTGTGATGCAGCCCCGCTATACCCCACCAACCACCGAGCCTCGGATCTTGACTACAAAAGCTGGAGCTATTTCCTATGATTGAGCGAGGAGTAAGAAGTTGTCTTTCGTGAGAGAAGCAAAAGAAGATATTATCAATCATGTCGCAAACAATGAAAGCAGTTGTTTTCAAGGGACCTCACAAGGTCGAGATTGAAGACCGTATGTGTTGACCCATTCTGAGAAATGTGTATACCATTGCTTACAGAAATTCAATAGGTCCTGTTCCTAAGATCCAAGAAGATGGAGATATCATTGTCAAGGTTGAGTACTCAGCACTCTGCGGCAGGTATGTGCTCCAACTCTCCATTCTCTATATCGACCTAACCATATCAAAGTGAACTACACGTCTTCCGTGGCCACCAACCATCAGACACTGGATTCATCATGGGCCACGAATTCACCGGCCGAGTCACCGAAGTCGGTAAAGCCGTGACTACATTTAAAGAAGGCGATCTCGTCGTCTCTCCCTTCACAACTTCCTGCGGAGAGTGTTTCTACTGCAAGCACGGCTTCTCATCTCGTTGTGAGAAGTGTTTGCTATTTGGATGTCCTAAACTTGATGGTGGTCAGGCTGAATACGTCCGTATTCCTACAGCTGAGGGTACAGTCATGAAAGCACCTGAAGGACTCGAGGAGAAAGCTCTGGTTCTCATGGCAGATATCTTCCCTACTGGCATGTTTGCAGCCAAAAACGCATTCAAGGAGTTGAGTAAGGAAGAGGCTCAGGAGAGCACAGTTGTGCTGCTTGGTCTTGGACCTGTGGGATTGTGTGCTTTGGTCAATGCTCTGGACTATAAGCCTAAGCATCTACTTGCTGTCGACAGCGTGGACAGCAGATTGCAACAAGCAAAGGGTCTCGGAGCCGAACCCTGGAACTTCCAAACCGACAGAGAAGGTTTGGAGAAGAGAGTCAAGGAACTCACCAATGGCAGGGGTGCAGATGTTGTCATTGAAGTCGTTGGTCTGTCACCTGCCCTCAAGCTCGGTTTCGATCTTCTCAGACCTTGGGGCGTCATCTCGAGTGTTGGTGTGCACAATGCCGAGGTAAGAATACAACTAAACAATTGTAAACGATCTGGAGTTGTCTAACAAGCACGCCCAGATTCCTTGGACAGGCAATCAAGCATACAACAAGAACTTGCGTATCCAGATGGGCCGCTGCCCTGTCCGTTCCACCTTTGCAGAAGCGCTCGAGAAACTCAAGCAGAAGCAACATCTGCTCGGCTTCATGTTCGAGAAGGTCATGCCGCTCTCTCAGGCTTTGGAAGGCTACGATCTGTTTGACAAGATGAAGGTGCAGAAGGTCGTTTTTCAGCCTGGTCAGTAGGCTTCAGAGGTTACTCAATTTGGTGAGATGTTACGTTTTGGTCATGAATATTTGATAGCTTGGGTAGTTGGTAGCCCATGTATAACAGATTTTGGTATGTTCGTTGCAGAAAGTCAATCATGGTACCGCTTGTTGATGACTGAGCTGAACAATAGCAAATACAAACATGGGAATTCCTATCATTTTGAGCAGCAAAAGAACCCCGATCAATCATATGATAGCGTATAGCAAAAGAAAAACAATACTCCGTACCAGCTCCTAGCCTTGACACCATACTCCTTGCGTTGTTCTCGTAAGCTCAATTCATAGCAAAACGCCTTGTCGACATTCATAAAGCGACGAAGCAACATGCTCAATTCACGCTGCAAAGCAATTCTGCTTCGAGAATGTATTTTCCCTCCTTGTACTTCTCAGCAGGTTCGTAGGCCTTGTCGTACTTCCAGCCGACCGTCTCTTTGCATTGCCTGCAGGTGATGTCTCGCACGACGTGTCTTCCAGTAGTCATGTTGCGCTCGCCAGCCTCGCCAGCAACAATGTTGACGACGCTGTTAAACAGGAAAGCCTTGCCATGCTGTCCCCGAAAGTTCTGCAAACGTAAGCTTGGTGGAGCCCAGAACGAATTGCAATGGCCTGGACGTACTCTGCTCACTATGTCATCATGGTCGGCCAGGTGAGTCTTGCAAGTCTTGCAACCATAGATTCGCTTGCAGTTGAGGTAAACGTTGTATGCCAAGCCCATATCGCTGTCAGCTGGGCGGCTGCGTGATTTGAACCGTATGTTGGGCGAACGACAAAGGCTACTAGGTGAGGGTTTATGTTCCAGGCAGGCCACCAGACGGGAGGCGCAATATGGGTTGTGTATAGAGTAAAGGATTTCAGGGCGGGAAGAGACGATGCAATACAAGGCCAAGCTCTTCAGGTAGAATCACAGGTTGCGGTCACTCGAGGTGTTTTTCACAGCAAAAAGTAGAGGGCTATGACGGTCGATGGGTAGACGGCTTGTGGCCAGACCCTGGACGGCGGGAGTCGGCGGTAGGCGGAGTTTAGGCGTGGCAATAGCAAGACGAGGTAGTAGTACCGGGCGAGGGTATAGCTGTGTTCGGAGGGTCGAGAATGGCGCTGGACAATATGCGAAGATGCGGTGTAAGAGACGACGTGAGCTGCAGCTCGGAAGGTTATCAAGAGAGGTCGTTTGAGACGCGGGGCAACAGGAGACGAGGCAGGAACGATTGGAGCAGTCGTGACCTGATCACGTGGAGCTCAATTCACGTCAGAGACACCGTGATGGACGCAGAAAGAGAGAGGAGGCTAAGAGCAAGCGGGTGCACCTTGACAGCAGATTCTAAGCGGGACCGTGTAATTCTCAAGTACAGCAGTAGCGAAAGAGTGTTGGATAGAAGAGTTGGTTGCCCTGCATCATTTCCAAGTGCTTATCGATTTGGGACTCGCGGAGACACTCCCGACGGCTTTTGGAGCGACCGAGCCCTGGCTGGCCGAAACACAGCCGTCCCTCTCCCGCCCGACGCTGATGACGCTGCCTCTTTGTTGCACATCAGTGTTGTCAACTTGTCGCAACTTCGACTTTCGAAACTCCTACAAACTCCTCCACACCTACGAGCCTTTGGACAAGACTTGCTTTGAACTCGAAGCCGCCTGTCTATCTGAGTCACATCCGGCACACCCAACGTGACCGCCTGCCGCACCAACATGGCATCCGAGACGATAAACTTTGGTCAAATATTCGCTGTCGCTGTCGTCGGCTTTCTTTTATACCGCTGGTTCTCTGGACCCAGTGTACCCTCATCACAATCTTCTGGTCGCAATGGAGGACGTCAAGTCAATCCCGAACACGTCGAAGCAGTAGCCCAAATGTACCCTCAGTTGGATCGACGAGCAATCATCTGGGACTTGCATCGGAACGGAGGCAGCGTACAAGCGACTGTTGAAAGATTGCTCGGTGGAAGAAGTCTGGAAACAGTATGTTCAAGCCGCTTGTTCACGATGAGCAGTTACTGACAGCAAACGTAGCCTCCACCATCTTTCCAGCCTCCGATACCACGTGCTGCAGCCCCACCTACTACCAGCAGGTCTATAACTGAGGTCAAAGTCAACCCCGACCTAATCACTCGCTACAATCTTGCATCTCGTCTCGACGCTGCAGAAGGCAAGCAGGAGGCTGAAACGACGGGCACCAAGGGATGGTCCCAGAACAAGACGGAAAGATCGGAAATTCTAAGACGAAGAAGGGAGGAAATGGTGCTCGCTGCGAGAAGAAAGATGCAGGAAAAAGATCAGACTCAGGCCGCATAGTGCATCTCTCGTAGTACTGCGGTCTGTCTTGTACATATGGCCAATCTTTTTTCGATAAAGCAGAAGTTGAAATGATCAAGTCGGGTTCTGCAACCAGTATTCGTGGTGGTAGTCGTGATTATTAGCAAGCAGTTTCATCTACAAGCATGAGTATGGCTCTTTGACTGCGACAGGTAGAGATTATGATATCTTTGTATGCTCGCGTGAATGAGGTCGAAGTTGATGTATGCAAGTAACATTGATCGACATGTCTACAGGCTGGTAGAGAGATGTCGGTCCGTCGGCAGAAGTTGCTCAGAGCGAGAGCGAGACCGACGCCGACTGCGACTGCGACGCCGACGCTGGTAGACCTTGACAGAGCTGCTCTAATTAACAATTCTCGAGTAGCAGTCATTTGATAACGGGTCAAAAGGCATATTCACACGGCAACGGAATGAATCGAACAGGTACGATAACTCCCTTGTTGGACTCTTGCGCCTAGTAGATAGCTGGTCATACCTGATGCAGCAGGCGCATGCTTGGCGAACAATGCGCGTCAGACTCAACAGTCCGAGTTACACACACAATTCAATAGCACGCATTATTCAAGACGCCAAAAAGGGCTGACCAGATCCTCTAGGAAACGGACAACAAGCACTGCGCCCGATGGCAGGCAACGTATTCCAGACCCAAGCAAGCGCAAATCGCAACACGCCGCTTGCCTCGCAAAGAGGAGGACAGACAGCGAAGCTGGGAGGAGGTTCAAGCTGGGCTTTTGGTATGCCCATGGCGGCAGGAGCTCCTGGCCTCAGTGCCTCTTCTCGTACACCACTTGCCGGTTTCGCTCAAGCAATCGGCGCATCTGCCTCACAAGCTCCCCTCGATCTCTCGTACGTCTCTCCGCTTTCCATCACATCTATCATATTCCAACCATCCATCACCCGCACTCATTGTTACCTTGCATCTCCATGTTCGCAGAAAGAGTTGGTCCATCCAGAAGGAGAGGGAGACGTAGATATATGAGTCTCGACCTGGAGAATGATGCTGGCTATAATGCTCGCATGCTGGGCATATCAACCACTCGTCGCACTACTTCGGGCCTTTCTGTTGTTGGTCAGAACATCTTAGCTGACTATGAACCTAACAGCGAGTTTCCATCGCTTGGCCCACAACCTCAGCAAGCCAATGTATCCCAGGCTTGGAACAGTACCGCTTTACGCACACCCCAGCAAGCTCCTGCTCAACGCGCCACCTCAGCCCAACAGCAGCCAGTCCAGAATTCTCAGCAGCAGCAACAGCAGCGCTCTGTCTCTGCCCAAACCCACGAGTCACAACAGCACGAGCCTTCAAACCTCGACACTCAGTACGATGGTCAATCACCTACTTCTGGCCGCGCCGGCAGCGAACAACCACAAGACGAATTCCCACCTCTTAGCAACCAGGCTCAGTTGAATGGTCGTGTCAACGGTTACTCTCACGACGACGGCGCATTCGGCTCGGAAGCAACACGGCCCAGACCTGCCAACCCACCGGGCATCGACCACCAACTAGGCTTGGTGCAGCAACAGCCACCCATTGGTCAGACTAGCACACAACAACAACCCTCACAACATTCTTCCAACTTTGCCCCTCAGATGGTTGACGCTCCCATCGCCAATCAAGCTGCCCCACAACAATTGAAACCCTACGAAGACATGACTGAGGCTGAAAAGTGGGGTTTACCTGGTTTGCTGGCCAAAATCCGCAGTAACGATGCATCTTCTGCCTTCACCATGGGTGTCGACATCAACTCATTAGGTCTTGATTTGGACAGCCCGGAATCGCTATTCGCTACTTTCTCTACCCCCTTCGCCGACAATCGATCACGTCCTGTCATCCCGGAGTACACGTTACCTGCTGGCTACACCGTCACCAACGTTCCCGCGCTGGGTTCGCGCATGAACGCCTTCTCTGATGAGACACTCTTCTTTATCTTCTATCAGAACCCTAGAGATGTTGTGCAGGAGCTTGCTGCTGGTGAGCTATACAGCCGCGATTGGCGTTGGCACAAGGAACTGCAGCAGTGGATGATGAAGGACAGTCAGATGGCTGCTCCCATACGCGTTAGTGAGCGTAGTGAGCGTGGAGTCTACATTTTCTTTGATGCCAACAACTGGAGACGTGAGCGCAGGGAGTTTGTACTCAATTACGATCATCTGGATCAGAGACACGGCGCCGCCCAGCCCCAGGCTACACTTTAGGGAAGTGTTATGCAGGCTGCTTCGACTTCCAATGTTCAATCAATCGACTCGGCTGCGCGCCGCGCCTTCAACACCCCGGATCGCCCTCATAGTGATACCCAAGCCTTAACTCATCTCAGATCCACCACGCACCCTGTATCTCATTCGCCTGCCATTCCTGCCAGTGATGCTCAGTCTAGTCCTTCATCTTTTGGACCTGACCACTACGCTTCTTTACGGTCGACCCCTGTGCGTTCAGATAACCCTCCTACGTCTCGTCCTCCACCCGGGTTGAGCATGCCCGCAAATCCACCTCATGGCTTGTATAACCTCAAGGATCTATTCCCTAGATTCAAGTTTCCAGTTCGCGCACCAGCTCAGCAGCACCTTCCTGGCCACAAGCCTTACGTCTTTGGTCATCTCGCCTTTGATTACGTTGGAGGAGAGCTGCAGAGGAAGAAGGACTCTTCTCAAGGCAGTAACGGCCAAAACCCAGGATGAATCCAAGCTGCCTCTCTTACACATTCAATTGAGCGGGTTTCTTCTTTGAAACGCATAGCTTCTGCGACTCTTTGTGCAACAGATAACAAATACAGATCGGTTTCGGTGTTAGACTAGTACACGTAGGGTCAAGTCACTTGCACTGATAGACAGATAGTCGCTTCGCAAAAGCATGAAGAGCTTGGAAAGAGAGTTGAGCGAATTGCTAGAGGCGCAAGCCCTTAGTACCTTAAATTTTATCGCTAATCAAAAATCACCTGCGTTGGCCCCATCATACTTTAGCGAAGTCTTTCAACTCAGAGTAAGGCTAATATCAGTCGCACAAGAAGTACAGCTGAGACGAAATCCGAAGCTTTGCAGATCAATCATCGTGAACATTAACTATATTGCTGTCATTATCATTATTAAGATGTCTGGGTAATCAAAAAGAAAAAGCAAGTCCGATCCAAGCATGACACACTTTTACTCCTTCTTGAAAGCACTCTCCTTGACAATCCAATCGCCCAAAGTCTGCAAACCAGGGTGTTCCTTCTTGAGAGCCGCAATATCGACATTATAACCATCAGTCTCGAACCATCTGAACATAGTTCCCAACTCCTTGCTTGCCCAAAGCAAGCCAGCGCCCATAAAAGAGAAAGTCTTTGGTGCTCCATGGCCAATTGCGTCCTTCCACACTTTGTCGGCTTCCTTGAGAGTGAGCTCGTCTCCTGCGAGACTGATTGCGCGGTTGTGGTAGCGAGAAGGGTTGCGGAAGGCTTCAGCTGCGAAGTGGCCGATGTCTTTGACACTGATCAATTGCAGTTTACGGTTTGACGAGAGTGCTGATGACCACATTGCTCCAAACATCTTGCCCATCATTCCGGGAACCCAGTTGTCCATGAAGCCAACGGGGCGGAGGATGGTATACGACATCTTTGTGCCCTTTGTTTTATCGACCAAGTGACGTTCGATGTTATGCTTAGAGATGAAATGTGGGACATTCGTTGGGTTCTCAAGGCTCTTATCACCGCCACGGTCTAAAGAGGTGTACACGAAGTGATTGACACCACGTTTCAGTGCTTCATCTACCAGGGCTTTGCCTTGTTGCTCTTCAGTCTCGACGCTTTGGCCTTGACCCATAAAGGTCTGTACACTGAAGACTCCATGGATGGGTTTGTGGATTGCTTCGGCGGCGTCAAAGACTCCGGGTACGTCTTTGAGATCGCCGGTTACGAGCTTGATTGCTGGAGATTTCTTTTGCAAAGCGACTGCTGAGGCTGAGGATGGGTTGCGGGTTACGGCTAGGATGGTGAATTCGGAGCTGTGGGATGGAGAGCTGATGAGGGCGTCGATTGTGGCACCGCCTTGCTTGCCGGTTGCGCCTGTGATGAGGAGGGCTTTGGACATGGTTGTTTGATGGATGATTCTTGGTTTGTGGTGGATGTGTTTTTAATGACAGATGAAAAGTAATAAGGGTTGCTTTGTGTTTGTGATGGATGTTGTGTATTGTAGGATGTTGTTCTTTTGCGATGATGATGAGAGTGGTCTACGATGGATTCTTACAGTCTTTTATATCTATTGTAACGCTGTCTTGCTTACCTACCATACATCTTACCTATACCTTGTACCTCTTGAAAGTTCACGCAAGGAAGGAAGTTGCTCCGAGCCTCAGGCCTCAGGCGGCATGTGAAAGACCCCGACTCGCCGGACGAACATTTCAACGAAGTCCTCCCGAAGTTCATCCAGCAACTTCCTTCGTCATCCTCGCGAATACTCTGTTTGTACAGCAATCTAGATGAGTGCTTGATAATCATGCAGAAAGCAATCGATTGACTCAGTAGTATCATGATTGTGTCCGACTCCGAACAAAGGTAGCGACCAGGTTTGACAATCGTTCATCCATTCTCAACCATGCCGATTTAATATCGGCGAGTAGTCAGATGACTGCCTCACGTGTTCCTGGTTAATCCTTCGAGACTCAACAGATTTCGAACAGGACCAGAACATACAAAAGATGAAGTTGATCCAGTGTTGAGGCCTCACAACATTTTCCATCCTTACCTCAGTCCATCAGTCGCTCGCAATCATGATCAGCATCAGAGATACCATTGCTTCCTTAGACCAAGCGCGTTACGATGCTTTCATAGCTCAGCATCAAGATGGCAACACCATGACTTCATTCAACCTGATCAATGGGACCATCCAAATCCGCATCGTTAGATCCAAGACTCTGGACGTACTTGCAGAAGACCATTTTGCCGACAGTGGCCTTGCAAAGCAGTGGATTGCTGAATATAACGATGCTGTCAAGGAGATCCAGAAAGAAAGAGCGAATGTTACTGAGAGGGGTATTTATGGGACACCGGAACCGGAAGAAATTGTTGTTTGATCACGGATTGCTTTGGTCGAAGATCAATGACCAGGTTCTCCAGAGCTCGATATACAGATCCCTGACAGATCGGTGACCGGGTTCTCGACATATCAGTGATTGGGTTCTTGTCGCATCCACGGTCAAGTCCTCGGTGTATTCATGGACAGACTCTCGACGCAACAATGATCAGGCTCTCGATGTATTGAGGCTCCCGACGGATCAATGGCCTGGTTCTCTCGGTATCAATGATCAGGTTCTCGACGCTTCAATGGCCGTGTTCCCACTGCAACAATGTACGAGTACTCTGAATACAATACATGTGTACTTGATAGATTGATGACCGGGCTCTCGACGTGTCAATGGCCGGGTTCTCAACATGTTAGTGGTCAGGTTCTCGACGCATTGATGATTGAGGTTAGATGCCTCGCGCATTGAGCAATGGCTCTCACTATCGTGGCTGCGAATAGGGTTCGATGGTTTGCTCGGCGAGAATCAGATCTCGGCATGTCGATGCATGGGCCTCGTATCCACGCTCTATAATGGAAGCCGAGCACTCCTCTCCCGTTTACTTTCTTTCTTCTTTGCGGTAGCAATTCACGACATCAAAGAGCTTCACACAATCATAGACGAAGCCCCTCCTCTGTACCTTCTCTTTCTTCCGCCCATCTATATATCTGCCACCAAGACAAGATGTCGTAAGTAGTCCTACATGATTCTTTTCTCTCCCAAAGCTAACCTTTGAATACAGAAACATTCCTGGCCTAAGTCAAGAGGTTCGCAACCTCAGACGCCCTCTGAGCACTAATGCCTACTACTCTTGTTCGCAGCAAGAGTGGGACGTCCTGTGTCGCCAGACTTTGGTGCCTGCCTCTAGGGCAAGGGCTACCACCGCTCTCATGAAGAAGAGCAGAGCTGGCAAGATCCACGAGACCGCGGATGGCGAAGCGGCTCTGGCAAGATGTTCTGCCTGTACCCAGGGCAACAATGGCAATGGATATCCTTGCTACCTCTCCTCCAACGGCACCACAAAGTCTTGCGCACATTGTGCGTTTTCCAACAAGTCGAAGTGTGGTATGTGTTTCCAATACACGCATCAAGGAATACGACTAATCGTGATTGAATTCAGATGCTCAGCGTGCTCCCGCCGCCGCCAACAACCCTGTCGCCCCTCTCCCTGCCGCCCCTCACCCTGCCGCCCCTCACCCGGCTCTCCTCCCTCCCCCTGCTGTCGCCGCTCAGGCCCCTTACCCGGCCTTTGCACCCCCTGTTCAGCAGTTCGTCCCGGGCCCTGCCAACAACGTTGGCAGTGCTCCTGTCGCAGCCCACCAGCCTCTCCCACCTCGTGAGTGGACAGACGAGGACCTGAAAACCCTCCTCACAGAGGAGGAATTTCTTGAGCTGTTCAACAGCTTGAGAAGGGATCACGAGAACCAGCGTCAGTGACCTGGGTCTTGGTGTAAGATTATATAGTATACCCCCAATTGCAATGTCAAACCATTCCCGACTTCACTCTATCTCCCTTGATATACCATTGTAATGCATAGTAATATCGAGATTTGCTAGCTTGTCCAGTGAGAGTCTCAATCTTATGACCTCTCTGTGGACAATTTTAGAAGTTATAATCTATTGTGACTTTTGATAGCCTTCTTTCGAGTCGACACCATGGGGGAGAGCGAGATTTCGATATCTCCCATGCCAGTTTATCTCCTTCAACATATTATCGAAATGCAGAATAGTTTGGGGTTTGGTTGATGTGTCCAATGAGAGCTATTGTTGATGCGAGCTCTCAGTGGATGGTGCCCAGAATCAAATCATATCATGCATTTTGATGGACTGTTTTTCGCAAGAATGTTTCAGGTGGAGTGTCATTGCTACATGCAAGTTTCATTATGGATAATGGATAATTCATGTCTTTTATCAAGCCTCTGGCTGAGCAGCATAGATCCTCACAGGATACAGGTCCTTGGGGAAGCCTCTCTGCAACTCTGTAGCCACAATCTTCAAGCCTGCTTCCTTGAACAAGGCTCTGAACTTGTCATCCGTCCGCGTAACACTTGAATCCGTCTCATCATAGACATCCTCGCCCAACTGATGGTTTGACAAGTTTTCCTTTAGCACGATCCAACCGCCTGGTGATAGGTGCTTTTGTATGCGCGTGAAGAGAGCATTGACTTGTGTATCAGTGCATTGTCCTAGACACCACTGGATCCAGATGATGTCGTAGGTGTGTTCAGGCTCCCATGCCTCAAGTCCGACATTGTATATCGTGCCAATCTTGCCTTGGTCTCTCAACTGCTTGAAGTCATCGCCCTCCGAGATCTCCCTTGTGAACTTTTCGACGGGCTCGACGATATCTGTAACGGTTGCGACTTTGGACAAGAGTCCTAGAGTGATGCGGCCAATGCCAGCGCCGCAGTCGACAATGCGTGAGAGTGGGGTTGTGGTAGGGTGTGTTTTTGATGCGCGGCGCAGTTTGGCGAGGAAGGTGGTGGATTGTTGGAGGTCGATGCGAGAGACTTGGGGAAAGCCGCCTAGCATGCCTGTTACTGAGGGATCACATGAGTTCCAGTATGTGAGAGCGGCCGACGTGTCGATTTGTGAGTCTGGAGCGGGTGCGGCGTCCGATCCGGAAGACATGTTGTGTGGTTGGAGAGTGTATGAGATGGCAGATGGGTTTGATCAACGGGTTTAACAGATAGTAATGCTTGGTGTCGAAGATCGAGTCCAGTGAGATGTTCGTTCTGAGTGAGATGTTCGTTTTGAGTCAGAAAGTCGTCAGGCGCGAAGAAGCTGCGGAAGACGCGTCGATCAACACTTCAACGTCACACTTCTTAACTCGAACACGACAGGGAAAGTGCACTGAGACACCAACAACAGAGCACTGAATACATGCTAAACAGAACTATGTTCACTTCTGTCGACGCGTCTACAAGCAGCGTCTCGAAAGGCGTCAGAATTTCCCCATCTTCACACAACACATACATACCTTACTATCACACGTCTTCTATCAAACTCCCAATGGCCACAACCTCGATTCTTCTTCAATGTCCAGCCAGCGGCCAGAACATCAATGAAAAAAGAGATAACAAGAGATATTGTTGTTTTCCAAAAATTCCTTGACGATCGTGAGACCATCAAGAGCAGTCAGTTGATAGTTTTCAACTAGCAAAAACACGATCTCGGACGAATCCTCACTGATACTATAGCACACATGTCAGTAGTTGCTCGAAGTTGAAACGGCGAGAGCGTGTAAATACCGCGTAATGCTGGAGCATAGTTAGTATCCATGTCTGAAAGGAGATTTTGAGTAGAAACGTACCCCGTGCACTATCAAGAGTCAGTATTGGAAGATAGCTGTGTCAGATTTGGGAGTACGAACCTTGGATGGTTGGTGAAGAGGGTGTGGATAGCGCGAGTACTTATACCACCACGGCTTACGTAAGCAAGTCAGGGTCATACCATCATCATATGCTTCACTTCTGGACTTGGTTTTTGTGGACTATCAAGGCTCAATTGGTTGCTGTGTCTGTCAAATGGTGACAATCTACGCTTTGAACATATTGTATCCATTGACGATATCATTCGAGTATCGTGGCGAGGCTACTTATGAGATAAGATGTGTGTGCTAGCCAATCTGGAAAACTTCAGTCTTCTGCACAGTCAACCTCAGATAACCATTCATTGTATTGACATTCGAAGCATTGTTCAGGGCAAAATAGGTTCTACGGTGTATCTCGTGACCATTCCTTTAGATAATCATCGACAAGATTGTTAGACAGGGAGCAGGTCGTCATAGCGGGCAATATATTCGGAGCTTGAGATGTCATGAGGGGCTTGGCATGTCATGCACAATGACCTTGATCTCGCAAACCGTGACAAAGTTTCCAAGATGAAGTTGCACATTCTAGGACCAGCTTTTGGGCTGCCTTCAATAGACGCAGAATGTATTGCTGCTGTAGCATTGATCGAGCGCTACACGCAGGGCAGCAGTCAGGCATGGGCTCTGGTTGCTTGCCATGAAGCCGCGCCAGGCACTCGACTCCCCTTTCTCCAGGTCGGCGACGAGACATATTCCGGCTTTGATCGGATAGCTCAGTACCTCATCGATACGTCCGGTAGCACTGTCCCTGGTCTGGCTACGAATCTGACAGCACAGCAACAAGCAGATGCGACAGCGTAAGACCCGGCGCAATCACAAACAATCAAGCACACACTGACCCTCACACAGACTTTCGACCTTTATCAAGTCTGAAGGCCAATTACTGCTCGACATCTCGCTATATGTGTCGTTCGAGAACTACCGCAATCGCACCCGTTCTGCCTTCACAAAGATCCTCCCGTGGTACGCCAACTTTGTCATTCCTCCTCAGCGCCGCCATGAAGCACGACAACGCACTCAGCACCTTGGAGTGTCCAGTCTGGATGTAGATGATATACACGAGGATGTAATCGACAAGCCATCGAGCATGCAGTCCGAGCATCAGAAAAAGCCTTTCGAGCACGAGACCGAGAAACACGCTAGGAGATTGCTGGGACGCAAAGACACAGTCCGCACCTTATTACAAAAACCAGAGCATGCTGCTGCCTTCAAGTTGAACGCAATAGCCGACAACTTCTTTGAGCCGCTGCAAGAACTCTTGAAGAACCAATCCAATCTTCTGGGCACCGACCAACCCGCAATCGTCGACTGTCTGGCCTTTGGATATCTGAGCTTGATGTTCTACCCCAAGATGCCCCAGAACTGGCTCGCTTCCACTATGCGCCTCAAGTACCAGAAACTTGTTGTCTACCTGGGCTCTTTGAGGGACACCTTCCGAGTCGACGCCCACCCTGACGAGGCATTGGATGCTGTTTCACAATCAGAGAAAGGTGCCGCCGAGCTTCCCTGGGTATCACCGCAAACTTTCAGTCCCCTTACTGTGGTCGGCTACATTGGACAGAGCCTCGTCAGTCAGCTACCGCTATCGAAGACTAACTCAGGCTTGGAATATTTGCCTACTAAACGTCAACCAAGCTTCCTCAAGAAATACCTCCCTGCGGTACTGGGTCTTACTTCTACATCGCTGGCTTTGCTGGCATTCTGGGCCTACAACAACCTAACATGGCCGCACGGAGAAGCGGTCCACTTTTTTGGCCGAAGGAGGTTAGTAGACTATGGTGCTGCTGGCGCAACCCTCTCTGCTCTAGGTAGCCTGGGTCTGCAAATGCAACAACAGCAACAACAAAGTCAAGCCCCTGTACAGGTTGACGTTACTGTCGACGAGCAGGTTTCGCCGTAGAGAAAGCTTGTGAGACAGGCTTGGCAAGCTTCGATACAAGATAACTCACCAACCAAGATGCACATATAACTCTTCATATGCATTACTCTGCATTGGGTTGATCAATTCTACCGCTCTTGGTCATTGGAAAGTTGATCCGTGCGGGATCATCCAGCAAAATGGCTGCCTAGCCATTGTTAGGGTTCTTGTGCCTGGATTGCATCCTAAAAAAGCCACAACCGCCCAAAGATCAACGTTCATCTCTGCAAGCGAAAAGTGCCTTCCTGATGCGTACGTAGATCAGCTCACAAACAAAGGTAGCTCTGATTCATATCGTATCTCTCTCCATCCTTCTCAACGTCCATTTCTATATTGTGATTGTCTCTCACTTTGCTACAGTCGAAAAGCACTTTGTCGCTTGCATAACATTTCTTTCTACAACACCATGTCTTCAGAAGTCGACAATCTCTCTACGTCGCCTTCCTCGTCAGCGACACTTACAAGCACCATGGTCGTGACAGAAACGGCCACAGGGCAAGCATCCACAACAACCGCTCTAGTCACCTCCGTGGTAACAGCAACGGATTCGGCAACAGAATCAATCCCAGCAGTCGTGGTCACCGTGACAGCGACAGCGACACCAAAATCCACATCACGGCCAGACCTTGATGAGCCCCATGAACATAGGCTGGCAGTAGGCAGTACAGTTGGATTTTTCTTGGGATTATTCGCACTCCTCGTACTACTTGGGGTGGCACTCTACTACTGGAGGCGGCGGAGACTGAGAAGGAGAGAGGCAAATCGTGCGCAAGAGGCCAGCGCTGCGCAAGGAGAAGAGGGTGCGCCGCAGATGTCGACGATATATGGCTGATCGGGCTGGCAAATGGTTCTTTGGCTCTTCTCGAATCCATTCATTGGCATCCTACTCCCCATTGGTCTCCATGCTTTTGTGTTGAGGGCTAAATTGCCTATGCTGGCTTGCATGGTACATGCCCAGCACTATCGCCTACGAAGAAGACATACAAAAACGACTGCAAGAAGCTCGTGAAGCATGTAAAGAAGGCCTATCATGCGACAACATCCGGCGACTTGACTGTGGCAGTGATTCGCTCCTTCCCAGACAAGACAACTTCCTTGCTAAACCCATCTGCATCTTCACGAACATCTCCTACCGGAAGCTCTTGAACAAACGGAAACAACAGTGCCTATAGCCTTTGACCACCTGCATCGTCTTCTATGCTTCGCCTGGGTTGCTATCCGCACAGTCTCTCCTTCGTCGCCGGAATTCATGGGGCTATGCACGGTCTGCCACAACTGTCCCTTTCGTCAGCGGGCCATGAGATAGCCCGTCATATTTAAATTAGTCTACTATCTCCAGTTGTCATAGGCAGTCAAATGTCCACCTGCGAGCTCACAAACATATTATCATTCATCGCGCCGCCTCTGTGGGGGATGTATGCTACCAGTTTTCGGTGATGATTGTAGTCATCGTTGTCGCCATCTCTGTGTATCTGTATCATCATCATCATCTTTGTTGTCGTGGCGTTGGCCTTTGAGATTGAACTGCTAGCAAGCAGAAAAAAACACCAAACAAAGGCATATGTTTAATTCTTGTCCCTGATGCATTCGAAACTTGATTCCTTTCTCTCTGCAAATGCCATGCCAAACGCTTCATCATTGAGGAGAGAAACAATGGCTATCGCATTAGACTTCTCACTATCATATGTGTTACACCAGACAGGCACGTGCTCACGAACTGCCTCTTAAGCGCCCAATACGAACCAGAAAGTTCCTTCCTGCAAGTTAGTCTCTCTCAGCAGTATCCCTGCTTCACAGACGGATAGATGCATATATTGCAAGCCTGGCAATCCTTGGCTGCTGTATGTATCAGGCTCAACGGAAAATGCACTGCAGCAATGTCAGGTAGACCAGCATGTCAGCAGATTCTCCCACACAGTAGTCGGAATCAAGACCAGATGCATCACATGCAGACACTTTGCAAGCGTCTGGATTTGAGAATTGAAGGGTGAGAGTCTTGACTTCTCGATCACCAAGTGTCGTTGCCCACGACATCTGGTCAGGAAAGAAACATGTCACTAAGCATGACCCAACACGCCAACAAAGGCTCTGATTGTAGGATGTCGCAGCTCCCAAATCCCGATACCTACATACTTGCTTCTGCAGCAAGCCTTTGTGCTACAAATCAGGAGGGGTAAGAAAAGGAAAGAGCTCAAGGTATGAATCATGATTACCCTCGCTCGTGCATGTTCCCACCATCTACATCTTCCACTTTCATCCCACCAACGAGCAAAACCACTACATCAAAGCAAACCCCAATCTCAATTTCATCTCTACTTTGGCCTCTCTTTTCCATACCACCAAACCCAGCAAAAATGCCAACACAACCAAATACACCCATACCGATTCCTGAGCAACAAATCACGCACTCGAAAGCAGCAATAATCGGTGGAGCAATAGGCGGCACGATATTTCTTCTGCTCGTCTTGGTCGTAATCTTCATCCCTTTATTCCGACACCAGCGTTCTTGTCTCGATATAACATTTCGCCATTGTTCCACTACTCCTGCCCCGAGTATCCGTAACGACTCGATGCAAGAGGAGAAAATCGTCCAACAGCAGGTTATGCAAGCAGAAGGAGGAGAGGAGCCAGGAGAGAAGGTATTGGGCGGTGGGAAAGACGGAGAGAGGATGTTGGGCTTGGGGTTGGAGGAAATGGTGGGACTGGAAGAAATGCTGAGGATTGAATTTCCTAGTCCTTCGAGGTATGAGTTGGATGCTGGAGGTTTCGTGGAGGGGAGGGCGAACTGGGAGATTAAATTGTGAAGATGGTGTGGTGTTGTTATCTTCTCCTTTTCCTTCACCAGATCTCTTGTTCTTACTCGAAACATCGAGACTGTTTCTCTGCAGGAATGAATGACTTCTTGAAGTCCATTTTGCAGGGGGGTTGTCTTGCGGCCACAAAATTGTCCAAGGTTATCCATTATACTTGCTTGCTATGTTCATTACCACTCAAATCTTCTCCTGCGCCCAAGGATCTTCCGCCGCTATATGATTCGCAACATCTTCTTGATGTGTCTTCTGTACGTCCTCCTCCGCATCTTCCTCTTTGGGTTGGATGGCACGTTCTTTGCTCAACTCCGACACACTCGTGACAGCAGGTCTGGACTCGTCGGCAGCCCACATCTCTGTAGAAGCTAGAGTTAAAGGTGTAGGCGCAGTAGGGGCATTGTTGGTCTCGGGTTTCTGCCAATTCTTGCGCTTCTCGGACGCCCAAGCGCCCCATGATGATAGATAGGCACCGGCGCGGGAGGATGCTGCTTGGACTGATGCTTGTGCTTGAGCCACTTGAGCGTGAAAAAGTCAGTGATACTGCTTCTAACTGGAAGTAAAGTAGGATTTACCTCTTGGGGCGAGCTTCTCCTCAGAAGTTCTTGGATTGTTGGCAGCAGCAGCTTTGCTCTCTTCGGCACGTTTGCGCTGAGCTTCTCGCATAACCTCAATATCGGCCCAGAGTGTATTGATGGCGCCAGCAACACGCTCACGCCCGGTTGATATATGTTTGCCCATAGCTTCTTTACTGCCTCTCCAACGCTCGTCCAGATGCAGCTCTGAGACTTGAGCAGCAAGCCTGCGTTGTACGTCTTCAATTGTCAAGCCACCAGCACAAGGGTGTCGCGGCTCTACAACATCGAACAGATGCGAGTCTGTCGTACGTTCGAAAAGAGCAAAGTTCTCGGTCAGGGCCCATTGATTCATGAACTCGCTGCCGAACTCGACAGAGGGATCGCCTTCGACTTCAGAGAGTAGAGCTTTGGGGTCGCCTTTGTGGTTAGAGACGAAGCGGCTGTATTTCGAGGCCGAGAGTAGAGAGAGGAGGTATTCTTCGAACTGCAGGCGAATGAATTCTTCGCTGCCTGCATAACCCATATCCTTGGGTCGGCTTGGATTCTTCTCGTCCCAAGTATCGTTGACAGATTGAGTGAGGAAATCAATCCATCGCCTATCTGCCGTCGACAGAGCCAAAGCGTTGCGCAAAGATGGCGAGAATATATTGATGGTATTGTCATCAAGATTAACCAAAATATCTGCATAGCGATCCTTCTGTTGAAGCAGCAGTTGGTTAGTAGAGCCAACAACATACGATTTCGTATCTTGGTCAGCTAGAGTGTCGAGTTGTTGTAACGGTGTGTAGGGACCAAACAGACTGCCCTTGCCGAAGATTTGCAAAGGAACTCCCATGTAAGCCAGAAGCGAAGCTCGTTCGCTTGTTCTCAGCGAGGTAGGCTTCTCTACGTGTGTGGCATAGTAATCCATACGAGGGTCTGCACAATCGCGAAGGTGGCGCATGAGAGTGGGTATGAGTGATATGAGGGAGAACTGAACCAGACACATCTTTTCACAGTTTGAACCAAAGAAGAGCATCTACAACTGCATCAGCGCTGTCCTCTCTCTGGATGTTGGTAAAGCTTACCTTTGGCTGCAACAGCAGGCATTTGAAAAGGACCAGGGTCTGCCATTTGAATTGATGGATCAGCTCGCGCATGGACAAGCCTGTCACAAGCATGTCAGCAGGTAATAGGACAGAGCTAGCCGAATCGCAGGTTTACCAAAGTAGAGATCTTTATCATCCTCCTGACTGCCGAAGCCTTTGTTTAAGCTCTCTTGGAACCGCTAACACAAGTCAACCATGCTGTATCTCAACGTAGAAGACAGAAGTCTGGCGAACCTCTAAGATCTCGATGTCTCCAAAGTCTCTAGACGAGAATCAGCCCCTGCGTTTTGTATTGCAATTGTCCAAGACTCTTTCTAAGGGGGAGCGTACTTTTGAGCAAACCAAGCCCTTGTCACAACACTGAGCTTCTCTCGTATGGCGGCGAATGTTTGTGGGTTCTCGGTAATGACGACGACTGCCTTCTGGACGGTGCTGCGAGTGACATCGGCGGGCCTGTGGAGCAACTCCCTCGAGTCGAGCTGCCGAGTGCAGCTTATGCCGAAGAGCGAACGTTCGGGTGTGCTTTTGAGTACCAGGGTGAAGTAGGAAAAGTCCTCTGTAGCACTGCGTTATTGCTGGTCAGCTGGTTGTTGTAGCAAGTCGGGCGTAGGCAAAGGGGAATCGGATTACGCGTGGGCACCATCAGACAAGGCAAGAAAGGGCAGCAGCTGCCAGTCATTGTCAATGGCGGGATCGTATCCTTGGTCTACTCCTACCCATCGCTCGACTTCTGGACCACTAGACTGAGTGTGAGCTGTTGTTTACTTTGGTCGCTTGCGGCTGGGAAGCTCTACCGCTGGTGGTGGAAGTCGACCACTGCTACTATGGGGTGATATGTGTCGGCCATGGTGCTATGCTATCGCCAAAGGGTCATCCTGCAGCACTCAAGTCACTGCTGTGCCAATCAATGCCTGAGTGTCATGTGTCGGTCTAGGCCAGCCCTCACTGGTCACATTTCTGTATGACATCTTCACGCCGCTCCAACTAATTTGGCTTGGCGGACTATGAGCCTCTTGCTAGCAACCATTCGGGTCTTGCAATGCGACACAACCTGACTTATTAAGTGTTTGGTGCCTCTTTTTCTTGTTCTGCCTGTTTGTTTCTATGGTGGTTCCCCTAAAGCTCCGCAACCATGCTCGCTCATCTCTCCCACGCTGACGCGGCGCCTTATTTGCACTCAGTCTGGCTCTGGAGTCATTGTTCCACAACCTTGTGGACAGAGACTTGTCGAAATGTGTCTGAGCCAGACTGCATGTGCAATGCACCTTCGTCTTGTATATCCATGAGGTAAAAGGGTTGTGCCAGTGCTCTTAAAATCAAAACAATAAACCAGTTCCATCATTGCGATCCCAAGCTTGCATATCCTTGGGATTTCGCTGTATGCGCCTGCTCTTTCTGTATCGTCGCAGTATATTCGATCATGCACGTCTGACTCCCGCCTATTGAGGCACTCCGACTTCTTCACCGTTCTGAGCGTCCACGTTGTGGTAGTCGAGAATTTCAGAGTACCTGAACAATCATGTTAGTCAAACTCGTCTTGACGCTTGTCTTTGCATGCGAACGTACATCATGATCTTCCAGGTATCAACTGGCAAGTCGGCATCGTTGAAGGACCAATCGAACTTCTCCTCGGCCTCGGGCTCATCGGTAGGATCGTGGTAGGGGGCGAGGTAAGGGTCAGCCAGAGCGTCACCTGCTCTGATACGTGTGCGAGGGTCGAAGACGAGCATACGCTCGAGCAACTCAATGGCTGGCTAAAGTCAGTTCATGTTGCAGAAAAGCTGCTTTGTATACGGACCTTGAGGATCGGCGTTCTTGAACTTCTTGGTCAAGGGTTGACGCTCACGCTTGGGCAGGGACTGGACAAATCTGAGGGTCTAGAGCAGGACACAAATTAGCTCATGTTTATCAATGGATTAGATTCATAGTATCTTACGTTCTCGCTGCAGATAGTCTGGATAACATCATCTGGTGGGGTTCCGAGAAGCTCGGTGATGATGGAGAATTGGTTGACGTGGTCCTTTCCGGGGAACAGGGGCTTGCCCTCGAGCATCTCGGCAAAGATACATCCAACACTCCAGATATCAACTTCGACGTCGTACTTTTGCCAGGTGAGCATGATTTCTGGAGCTCTGTAGTATCTCGTCGAAACGTAACCGGTCATCTGAGGGTCTTGAATACGGGCCAGACCAAAGTCGCAAATCTTCAAATCGCAGTTCTCGTTGACCAGGATGTTGCTGGGCTTCAGATCACGGTGGACAACACCGGCGGAGTGGACGTATTTCAATCCTCGCTGGAAACCTTATCAGTCGTGATCTATGATCCCGTTGTCGAGTGGAACGAACCAAGATCTGGTACAAAAAGTATTGGATGAACTGCTTCTCAAGCGGTCTCGAGGTGAGCAGGCGGTGAAGGTCAGTGCCGAGAAGCTCGGTGACGAAGTAGCTGAGTGATATTAGTCGGACGAGTTGAAGGGTTGTGGAATAGAAGTACGCACATGTCCTCGAGGGGAGAGATGAAGATGTCGCTAAGACTGATGACCTGTGGAAACGAGTCAGATGCATTGGTCGAGTGGGAAAAAGTTTTCCGATACACACATTCTCATGCCTCAAATGCTTCAAAAGCTTCAACTCGCGGTAGGTGCGCTTGGAAAGGACAGGTGTGCTGAAAGGCTTCATGATCTTCTTGACAGCGACAGCCTGGTTTGTGAGCTGGTCCTTTGCCGAACTGGGGATTTGTTAGGGCTGTTTTGCGTGCAACCATGGAATCGCTCACCAGACAAGACCGAAAGCTCCCTGGAACGTCGTTAGCATCTCAATGCGCATCAGTCAGAACCTAGAAAACTCACCATGCCTACGGGAGCCAGTTCCGTATAACTTTGGAGACAGTGTTAGCATTCGCGCTTGCCGAGGCGATCGGCCGAAAAAACAGGCCCTGAGGATTATTTACCGGCTGGTAATCTCGAAGGTGGTTCCGAAAATCTGCGCGCGTACGAATTCTGCCATGGCGACGGTGTTGACGGAGAGTAGTGGTTCAGGAGGGGTTTGGTTGAGAAGACGGAGGTCGAGAAAGCGGATTGATGTTATGGACCGTGGAGTGTGGAGCAGCCGAACGAACCAATAATGACGTGGGCGTTTCTATGTGGCTGGAAATCAAGGATTCTCCTTCTTGTCAAGTACGACTAGTCAAACCCAGCAACACGACTTCTATCGTGTAGGTAGTTTGGCTGGCTTGCAAAAGACAGATAGCAACCCGACAGTAATAGAGGCGCTGCAGAAATGCTGCGCTAGGGCGTGGCGACTGGGAAAGTGCTAAAACGCTTGTCGAGGGAAGCGAGTGCGGGAGTGTTTGGATTTGCTTGGGATCGTCGCTGTCCGCCGGGTGATGGAATATCGTACCTGAATGAACAACAAGAAGACGACGAGGATGGAAGAAGGAAAAGAAGAAAGCCCTCAGGAGAACTAACAACAGCACTGACTGTCCGCAACTTCCATGTTTGTTCACACGCACACACACAGATCGATCGATCGCAGCTGGCCAACTCCAAGCGGCGCGTAAGTGGCTGCTTTGTTTAAGCTTCGACCTTCACACAAATGCTTGCCGACGGCTACCGCTGGTCGATGCCCATCTGCATGTCACCAGCAATTTTCCTAAACACAAGATGCGGCTTCCGATTGAGGATCAGGATACGTACAGCGTGGATCACCACACTTGACGACGGAGTTCATGTCCTTCTCTCTCCTTGTGTCCATCCTCCCTCCGCCATTGGTTGCTCCCCAGATGCGGGACCACGAGATCCGCCGCACCACGTGCCAAGGGAGAAGAGGCTCAAGTGCCTGAGCTCTTCCCGATCCGAACAATTTCACAAAATAGGATGCGGCTCCTGCGGGGTGTCTCCTTGACAAGACTCATGGTCACCCTGTCTTTCAAGCATACAGGCGGCAGGCCTCATTGCGACCAGTCAGGCAATTTCTTCCTCCCCATCAAGAGCTCCGGTGCACGACCATCTGGATGTGACGTTCGCTGTTGCATCCTGCTCTGAGCGCAGTTACCTGGCGGGTCGAAGCAATTTTTCATGCACGGAATCCAATAACTCTCTGTTCTGTGATTACACTTTCGCGAAACTCAATCAAGGTAGGATGGGCTTCTGTGTTGCTCGCCTGAAGTTTCGATGGTGTCTTCACCCCCAAAGACATGCCATCGACGTCAGAAGCCATTGGGAAATCACGACACGTCTCGCTGAGTTGGATTCCAAGGCTCAAGTAGGGTTATGATATCTCTCGACTCGACAGGTTGACACCGTACCCGTATACTTACTGGGTTGTGGAAATGCAATATTCCGTTTACTGCACTAGCCATATCATCCTAAGGTGCTTGACGGGCAAATGGAGCTGGGGCTGGCTTCCAAGCATGGTCCTAACAAGACGTGTTGGAGGAATATATTGAACAGCAGGGAAACGTCCGACCCAAATACTTGGTTGATACGAGGTGGGTTGATGGAAATGTACGAGTGGAAATTTCATCCACAGGTCCAACACCGAGGATTGCGCGGCTGATGACCTCGAAGCTCTCGGCCGAGAAGTCGCTCGCTCTGTCAATAATAGAACGATAGCTTGCCTGCGACCAGGGAAAAGCAGGCAAGCCGGTAGTGCTCCACCAAGTTGGTCTATGTGCGAGCGCGAGCGCCGGCAAAAGATGCTTCAACAGAGCGACGACAGACGAACTTTCACCTCGGAGCTGGTTACGAGCAAATGACAAGTCTGTCTGCACCGGCTAGAGCAGTCCATGGTTTACGACAAGTACGATGCGGCACTCAATTAATTGATTTCTCTTAGCAGAACGAACCGCAAGCAAAATCTCGATGACAACGCTTCCACGAGGGAGGATTCCAATCGCCAACGGGAATTGGCATTTGCAAGGCCGAGACAGCGGTCGAGGGCCGAATTGGGAAAATTGTCAAGTACCAGGTATAGGACGTTTTGCTAGCTTCACGACAGCGACAACGCTGATGCACCAATGTGACGGCAACCGTGAGCGATTGGCGTTTCGGAGCGACAAGATTATGCACAGAGTTCAGACGAATTGTGCACAGAGCAGAGAGAATGGGGGCCTTAGAGTAGATACTAGTAGATAGTGCGTCTATGGCAAGGTGTAACGGCGAGCGATTATGTGGCGCAATTCCAATAGCAAACGGCAGGTACGGTGTTGCTAACAGCACGATGGCGGTCGTGATACAGGGTGGATACAGCAGACATGACCAGTAGCTTGGTTGCTACTCTCTAGGTTTTCCTTTGATTTGCCTCGCTCTCTCCTTTTCCAAAGTCCTTCGAGTCTGCGAGTGTTTCAGCTCATCTTTTTGCATTGCAGCATTACAGCATCGCAAGCGCCTGGAGCAATTAAAGGAAGGCTCAAAGCGATCTAATTGCGGGGGCCCTGTAGCAGAGACAAGGCACGGACGAACTCGACAGCGGCAGCGTCCCAGAGAGTCGACGCTCCCAGACACATCACCAACTCTATCAACAAGTCGCCGACCACTCGTCCTCCTACCTAACTATCCACTCAACCCGTCGCCGCCTCGCATTTCGGGCTTCCTCGTCCATCTTTGCAGCTTTCACTCTCTCAGTCCTGCAGCTGCGACCGCACTACCGCCCTTGTTTTGTCTGCCGTCGCTTGGTCGCTTTCGGAATCCGGCAACCAACAGGCCATACAAAGCCCTCTCCACCCACCCAGCCACCCTCGTCCATCCACCTCGCCATTGTTCCGTTTTATTGTTTGCAGCCAACCACGCTCCCATCAAACCAACGCCGAGCTGTATTAGCACCCGCGAACTTCGCCTTGACATCTTGATTGAGCTTGCGACATCCGGCCGAGGCCGGTCCAAGCACTCGGAACTGTCACCATGGGTAACTGCATGAGTTCTAGGGGAGGAGACGATGAAGGTCAGAAGAAAAAGAGTCAGGCGATTGATCGTGGCCTGGAAGAAGATTCAAAGAAGCTACGGCGCGAGTGCAAGATCCTGCTGCTGGGTACGTCAGCCTTGAAAGCTGTCCAATCATCACAACCTGCTAACCTGTGCTGCGCAAAGGTTCTGGCGAGAGCGGAAAGTCGACTATTGTCAAGCAGATGAAGATCATCCACCAAAACGGCTACAGTGTCGACGAACTGCGCCTCTACAGGCATACCATCTACAAGAACGTCATTGATTGCGCCAAAGCTCTCATCGGCGCAATGCAACAATTCGACATATCCCCAGAAGTACCCGAAAACATTCAACACTGCGAGTTTATCATGCAGTTCACAGTCGACCCCGACCCGAATGCTCATCTGGATGCCAGATGCGCTACTGCCATCACTGCAATATGGAAAGATCCCTGTATACCTAGAGTCCTCGATCACTCGAGCGAGTTCTACATGATGGACTCGGCATCTTAGTGAGCACGCCCATTCTGAAATTGCAGCTGTTCAGTGCTGACTGCTAGTAGCTTCTTCGACGAAGTCCACAGAATAACCCAAGACGATTACTGCCCGACGGAGGCAGACGTACTAAGAGCAAGAACAAAGACTACTGGTATCTACGAAACGCGATTCCAGATGGGCCAACTCAGCATTCAGTAAGTGCCATGGTCATGACCATATCCTTAGCGCTGTGCTGACTAGCTTGCAGCATGTTCGATGTTGGTGGTCAACGAAGTGAGCGCAAGAAATGGATCCATTGTTTCGAAAATGTCACCTCTATCATTTTCTGCGTTGCGCTTAGTGAGTACGATCAGGTACTCCTAGAAGCGAGCGACCAGGTATGTGGTTATAAATTTGCTTACCTCTACATTCACTTACCATAGAGCAACAGAATCGCATGATGGAGAGTCTGGTTCTTTTCGACTCGGTCGTCAACTCGAGATGGTTTATGAGAACATCTATCATCCTCTTCCTCAACAAGGTCGACTTGTTTAGGCAAAAGTTGGGCAAATCACCGCTCTCCAATTACTTCCCGGATTACTCGGGTGGCAATGATGTGAATCGTGCCGCGAAGTATTTGCTCTGGAGATTTAACCAGGTCAACAGGGCGCATCTTAACCTTTACCCTCAGTGAGTCGATATCTTTTGTCTCTCAATGCCCAGCCGTACTGACCCATCACAGCCTCACACAAGCGACCGATACGTCAAACATTCGCCTGGTCTTTGCAGCCGTAAAAGAAACAATTCTACAGAACGCATTGAAGGATTCAGGAATCCTATAGGCATGGCATAGCTACTTGCTGGTAACCAGGAGCCTGCCGGCCGACACGTAACCCACTATGACGACCCTTCTACGTTTCTCGCATCGACATACATCAACCACAATCTTCCTATCCTCCGACACGTACGCCGTCACTAATACAATCGCGTAAATGTCGCGCGTATTATGAATTTGATTTCCAGCATAGGCGTTGTGGTGTAAGACCTTTGGCTACTTATGGAGCGCTGGAAGCGACTCCCGCGTGGTTGCGATGGCCATCTGTGGTCAAAAGATCGATCTGGTTTTCTTTTCTTCTTTTTTCTTTCTCTTGCTTTATTGTTCCCTTCGGTGGTTGATGGCGACATGCGGACGGATTCCTTGTCCATTAGTACTGTCCAGAGGTTCTGATGGGGTTGTTCCATGAAGTTGTTGCTCTTTCCAACAGCATGTCTAGCACACGATCGAAGCAGGCATCAAAAAGTGATGGACCGGCTTAGGATTCTCTTATTTGCAGCGTTTTAATTCTCTTTACGAGAAGAAACAGGAGGAAAAGACCATATGTATTAATCATTCTACAACTTGCGTATGCAAATGCACACATTTGTCATGTAGTTCCCTCTGGAACCTGCAGGCCATTCGCTTCTGTGCTCGTATTGACGAAGGAAGCGGCACAACCCTCAACCTATCGAGGTCCAGCGGTTTGATTCACACGCCACGACCCATATTCGTCACATCTGTAACAAGAAGCGGCAAGCGAATACTGGACTGGATTTGGCCATCAGACCAAAAATAAATCGACCTTGGCTCTCATGCATTTGTACGAGTTTCAGCGGATGATTTGGGAAATGGTGAAACCCTTGGCGCCAGCCGGGCAGGGTTCCTGCTAATGGTCGACTATTCATATCATGGCTCCTGCCATTGTGAGTTGATCATGCCCATTGACTGGATGTCTGTTTTTTTCCTTGCCTTGACTTGTCCCTGGCTGGACGTTGCTTCTGCCTGTTCATTTTGAAATCACTCTTTGCCTAGTTCCTACATTGTTCCACCTACGCCAGCGCCAGCGCCTAAACCAAGCCGTCCTAATATTCACATGATCAGACGATCTCTGCAACAATTATTTTCTTGGATGCATGTTTAACATCTACGTCTGCATGACCGAACCTCTTTTCGTCCTCTTCCAATAAACTTGACCAATTCCCGACCGCTCACTTCTCTGGCTGCATACTGGCTGCCGCTTGGCTGCAGTACCACCTTGGCCAATCCCGAAGCCGCACAACTAACCCCTCTCATTCTACCAACGAATACTCGATCAATACATGATCACGTCTCTCAACAAAGGCCGAAGAAGAAAAGAACTTGGCCTCTGAAAAGTCACCTGATTCAATTTGTTCCTTTCAACCTACTTGATCGCCCTCGCCTGCCTGGAGCACCATCACCTTTGCGTTCTCGTAGAAGCAGTATATACGTGTCACTCACAGAAAATCTCTTTTTCTCGTTCATAGTCCCAGGCTGCACTTGATTGTGCCTATCCGTATACGAGATGTGGATCGAAGCATTTCGTCGTGCGGTGGATGAGAATGGCATACCATCCATTCATGATCCCTGGCCAGCGAAGGACGTAAGTCGGACCATTCTTGCATATCCTCAAAAGATGTACTAACGATGTCAGATTGCTTACACGGCAATCGTTGGCTCAGTCATGCTTGCTGCCCTCCTCGAATGGTTTCTCTGGGTAGCTGCTTTTCTATATTGCTTAGTCAAGGTCTACCAAAAGGCCGAGTCTCTCAGCATCAGGATTCTAGCGATTGTAATGATGTTTGCTTTTACTGCTCTCAGGTATGTTACCACCGCCGCAAAAGTGTTCAATCAATCCTCCTAATCATTGAATAGATGTATATTCCTGCCCATCATGGTCGTCACTCTCCCTCTACCCAGTCAAATTGTGCGATACTTTCCTAAAGAAATGGTCAGCTTCCTGCAATGGTTCGCATTCTGGTCTTTCTCTGGACTCCTCATTATACCTTGGCTCATCTGCGTCTATCAACTCGTCACCCACTCTGTCGGGAGAACAAAGCGCATCAAACATGTCCTTGATGAGGATTCAGCTCCCAAGGTTGTCATTGTCATGCCTTGTTATAAAGAAATCCCTGAGATTTTACTCAGAACTGTCGACTCCTTGGCTGATTGTGAATATCCTCCCTCTTGTCTTCACATCTTCCTTTCCTTTGATGGAGATCAAGAAGACGAACTCTACCTCAAGACCATCGAGCAACTGGGTGTCCCGCTGACGCTTGACACGTACCCTAAAAGTATCGATGTTACCTACAGAAGCACTCGTGTGACCATCAGCCGTTTCCCACACGGTGGAAAGCGACACTGCCAAAAGAGAACATTCAAGCTTATCGATAAGGTGTATGCTGAATACCTCAAACGAAACGATAATCTTTTTGTTCTCTTCATCGACTCCGATTGTATTCTGGACAAAGTGTGCATCCAAAACTTCATGTATGAGATGGAACTTAAGCCCGGAAGCAAGAGAAACATGCTGGCCATGACTGGAGTCATTACCTCTACCACGGAGAAGAACAGTTTGATCACCGTTCTGCAAGACATGGAGTACATCCACGGTCAGTTGTTCGAACGATCGGTCGAGTCGGGCTGCGGTGCTGTTACTTGTTTGCCAGGAGCCTTGACGGTCCTGCGATTCTCTGCTTTCAGAGCAATGGCCAAGTACTACTTTGCAGATAAGGCAGAACAGTGTGACGACCTGTTTGATTATGGCAAGTGCCATTTGGGAGAAGACAGATGGCTTACGCATCTCTTCATGATTGGCGCCAAGGAGAAATATCAGATTCAGATGAATACTGGTGCTTTCTGCAAGACAGAGGCTGTACAGACATACCAGAGTTTGCTCAAACAACGTCGAAGATGGTTCCTTGGGTTCATCACGAACGAGGTTTGTATGCTTACAGACATCCGTCTTTGGAAGCGCTACCCCATCCTCTGCCTGGTCCGATTTGCGCAAAATACCATTCGAACCACTGCTCTTCTCTTCTTCATCATGGTCATCTCTATCATCACGACATCACAGAAGATCTCTAACTTGCCTGTCGGATTTATTGCTGTTTCTCTCGGCCTCAACTGGGTTCTGATGCTGTATTTTGGTGCCAAGCTTGGGCGATACAAGATCATGATGTACCCTCTGATGTTCGTCATCAACCCGTTCTTCAACTGGGCGTATATGGTGTACGGCATTTTCACTGCAGGACAGAGAACTTGGGGTGGACCGCGTGCCGATGCTGGTGCTGCAAACTCTACGACTACACCACAAGCTGCCATCGAACACGCAGAAGCCACAGGCGATGATCTCAACGTCGTGCCAGAAACCTTCAAGCCAGCAGTCGAAGCAATTACACGCAAAAAGTCTGTCAAGAACAGAAATGTGCTTCCGGATCAGCATGTCGAGGGCAAGTTTGCAGCACCCGAGCTCATGCCTGGTGGTTGGTACAAGCAAGCAGCCGATTCTACCAATACTCTTCCAGACATTTCCAATCACCCGGCCATGCGCAGGATGAGTTGGGAATCGATGGTGACGGCCACTTCAGGTGTCAACTCGGTCTATCTTCCTCGACGAATCGAATCAATCATGGGACCAGAAGATCAACATCTGTACCACAATGCACAAGCCCATCAGAGGCCGGCCGGTGGACTGCACTACGAGCATGAAGAGTACGAAACTAACCGACCTGACATGGGAACAACTCTTAAGGGGGGTTATTCGGTGTCGGTACAATCGGCGAGTGACGATGAATCAACATATGGGCATGGGCGAATGAACTCTGATAACAGCGACATGAGCGTGGCACACGGAAGAGCTTTTTCGGGCACAGAGAAAGTGCTATCGTACCCTGGAAGAACAAGACAAGCACATGACCATGGAAGCAACCGCAGCAGGACAGGAAAGAGCCCTTTGGCGCGAAGAAGCTTTGTCAGATCCGCGTCGGACTTGCTGCCGGACATGGCCGAGGTTCAAGGAGATCAAGCCATAGAGATGAGGGAGCAAACGACTGGGCTCATGGATCCACGAGCCAGAAGTATCAGTCCTCGAGGCCCGCAGGCGCAATCTACACCAGCCCTGGCACCAGCGCCAGCACCAGCGCCTACAGCTGCCGTACCTGCTCCTCAAAACCAACCTCCACCCCAAGAAGTGGTGGAAGAGAAAAGCAAAAAGGAGCGGAAGAGGTTGAGTAAGACGAGACCCGGTAGCAGTGGAAGCGGGAAATAGGCACCCAAAAATGAGGGTCGGTAGTGGTCAGTGGATAATAGTAATGAAAAGTTTTTTGTTTTCGTTTGACACAAGAGCCTCATGGAACAGAGCGTGATGTTGACGAAGATGGAGACCAAGGCACACCCTTCCAAGTCAAAGTAACCTCAGAGTCACCATCAACCAGATATCTCAGCGCAACACCTACACCCTCCAAACCACATTCTACAGCAGGGTGATTCCAGACAAATTGTCTGATTTTACCCTCAGTCGTGATATTCAGATAGGCCATGGGTAAACCACTTCTTCCCACAGCATCCCTGACACCTTTTGTTGCCTCTTTTGCCGCAGCCAGAATAGCTATGGTACCCTCACCTCTATACCGCACAGGCGCACCCACAACAGCGCCTTCCAATTCCCTAATCATGCTCGGTTTGGGCGCTTCGGCTTTACATTGTATCAAGACGTTCAAAGGTTTTGGATGCGAAGGCAGTGCCCATGAACCTAGCAGGTCGATACCAAGGTCACTAGCGCGGCCCACGCGAGTCAAGGAAAAAGCGAGTCGGTCGAGGGCTTCTTGGACGGTGTATTCGTAGTGGGTGCCGCGGTAGACGGTGCTTGTTGGCGAAAGGTTCGCGGCGGAGGCGTAGGTGAGGAATGTGGATAGGGAGGTGTGGTGGAGACTGCCATGTGTGATTACATGTTGGTCTTCTTTTGGCGTCTTGGGTTCGCGAGAGCGTTTTTTAGGTAGTGCTGAAGTGGCTTCCTCTGAGGTGTCTGGTACGCAGTTGGTAACCTTCTTCGGGCGACCGCGTCTTTTCGGTGCTTCTGTTCCGATGTGTATAGGAGACGAGGTTGGCTCTGTATTCTCAAGAATAGGCTGCGGCTTTGTTTTGCGACAGGGCGTCTTCTTCAATGGCGCATTGTCGTCCGCAGTCAACGGTATGGAGGCTCCATGGTGGAGGTCGGCGGGCTCGACAAGATTGGGCTTGAGATTTTGCGAATAATAACGCTTGATTGGTAAGTGAATATAAGGCCTGTTCAGGCGACTAGAAGTGATCAGGGCATGGCGGAAGTTCATGAAGGAGAGATGGAGAGCAATGATTGCGACTTCTCCAAAAACACCTTGAGGTCTGCCGAGAAGCGTCAAGCCGAAGCTCGTCATTGTGCCTTCCACTTTCCATCCACTTTCCACTCTTACAATCCCAATCCATACCAATCACAATACACACAATGGCGGATCGCTTAACACAGCTCCAGGACTGCCTGGACGACGTAAGCATCTTCTCTCGCGACAGCAACTACGCCAACTGACAAGCAAACCAACAGCTCGCAACCCAAATGTTCGCGTCCATCCGCTACATCCAAACACGCCATCAATTCGCCAGCATCCCAGACCAACCAGACATGTCCGAACCCACTGCTCCAAACGCCCCAGCACCTCTCCAACCCAACGCTGCTCCCAACACATTAACCGCCTCTGCCGCCGAGCAAGGAGGCCTCAATGCTGCCCTCCAACCCCAAGACCCCACCCATCCACCAGGCCCCGACGATCCTGCAACCTTCCAGGCAGCACTCAGAGAATTAGCCAGAGATCTGGTGCTCAAAGAACAGCAAATCGAGTATCTAATCTCCGTTTTGCCTGGTATTGGCGAGAGCGAAGCCAATCAAAGTCAAAGGATCCAGGCACTGGAGAGAGAATTACGGGAAGCTGATGAAGAGAGGAAAGTCGCTCTGGCGGAAAGAGAGGCTATGTTGGATAAGTTGGGTAGACTGGCTGCAGAGTGCAAGAGGGTCTATTGATCCTATGCGTGTTTGAACGGACGACTTGATGATTTTTTTATGATACCCCATGGTCTGCTGGTAGACCAATATGCGAGAATGGACGACACGGCAGAGAGCAATACAGACCTTTCAATCACACTTTGGACTAGAGACGCAGATAACGCCGAGCTTATATCTTGACGTATCAGATCGATATGCCCCGCGATTGTCCATCACTCTTGTTTACATCAGCAAACCATTTATCAGTACGAACCTCAAGCTTATGGCACATCTCGACCTCTGCTCGCTCTCGATCCGGATGAACACTTGATTCAAGCCATTTCATTACAGCTTGTCAAGTCTCGTCATGCCCTTCAACACATCGACCAAAGCATTCTACCCATCCGACGGATTCGTCATAAGCTGTGGGACAGTTCCCCTCGACCTACCTCACAACAAAGTACTTTTGATCCGTATGCGCTCCACCAACGAAATATTCCTTCCCAAAGGACGCAAGGACGAAAACGAATGTATGAAAGCAGCGGCACTAAGAGAAACATACGAGGAAACAGGTTACTGCGCAACCATCCTCCCACTGAAGATTCCCACACACGCTACCAATAGGACAGGCGATGGAGCACATGAGGAGCCCATTGCAGTGACACAACGAGTTAAGGACGGCATCTTGAAGATTATCTTCTGGTACGCTGCGAGTGTGGATTCGAGACAGGTACCTGAAAAAGATACGCAGCAGGAAGGGGAGGATTTCGAGCCGATATGGTTGGATTGCACGCAGGCCCTTGTGGCGCTGACTTTTGACGACGATAGGGAGGTTGCTCGGCTAGCGATAGATGCGGTTTCTGATTCTCGTCGTGTGACAGGTCTGTAATCAATCTCCCTTTCACAGTGACAGAGCGACTCTCAGACCATAAAATGGCACAAGTACTTCCGAAATAGAGATGTAGATGCAGAGAGCGGTCATATATTGCTTCCCCATGGATGCTATGCTGTCTTCAGCTATTCTTGTGCACTTTTGTACCTGTATGTACTGGCGCGGCTGAAGAAGCTTGGGCGCGTGGGCTTGATATATTGCTTCTAGAACGGCCCAAGATTGAGGTATTCATGCATACACCTGCATAGCTCGGCCATCTAACCTTTTCCTCCAAATCTGCTTTTCTTGCTGCTCAAGGAGCTCAACCCAACGTCCCCTTTGAGATTCTGAACTTATGGAATACATGCAATACAGTCATTATCAGATGGTTGTCTGCTCAAACTCCCTTACCTGTTCAAGGGATTAGTGTTGCTACTGTGGTGCCGGCGATCAAAGGCCAAGGAGGTGGCTTTGGCACTGGAGAAAAGAAATGGCAGATTGAGAATGTGGTTGCGGAGTTTAACTCGGGTGCTTGGTTGGGGAATTTGGGATATCCGGAGTGTGGATCGACTTCTGGTGCTAAGGGGTCTTAGGATGGTGATGAAGTAAGGGTGGGATGGATGGGAGTTTGATATCGAGGACATCTTTTTGTGGGTTTGGTCCATTGGGTTCATGACTTGGGCATGGAGAAGTTATATATTCTTAAGAAAGCAAGTGAATTTTCTCTGAAGCTATTAAAGTACATGACACTATTCTGGAAGATTCAGCTTCACTTTGACTTTCGTCGTATGCTCGCAGCAGGCTATGCGATCTTTCTTAATTTGCAAAGCTTAGTAGAAAGAAGCTGCCTCTTTCTTTTGACAGTCTCGATCTTTTGTTCGATTTTCGTAGAAGGGATCTTTTGTCATTGATCTTGGCTTGATGTCTAGGACAAAAATCTCATACCCAAAATCAGTTGTGACTTGAGGAGGTTTTCAAGGTCTGTCTACCTCTCCCACTTACAGTACTCGCTGTTTACTTACGGCTTTCCTAATTTCCACTATGTAGCCGTGGAGTTACACAAGGCTCCCTCGAAGTAAGCGATGGTCACGAAGAGATGTCCTTTCATGGTTGCTCTTTGGTCACACTTCTGATACAAAAGTGATTCTGCATCTATACACCTCAAGATTCCACTAGATGTCAATGTGAGAAGGAGGTTTGCTCAACCGTACCAAGTCCACTTATCAAGCTTCATAGTCCCATGTTCAACAAGATGCTTGTGCATGTCAAACGAGTTGAACAACATATGAGGCTCATGACCCATACCCTTGCGCAAACACTCAAACTCAGCCTTGTTGAAGTAATCCTCAAGGATCGGTACATAATCAGGATGAGCACACTTTTTGATGATGACACGGGCACGCTCGCGAGGAGACAATCCACGCACATCGGCGAAGCCTTGCTCTGTAACAATAACGTCTAGATCGTGTTCAGTCTGGTCTACGTGGGTGCACATGGGGACGATGCAAGAGACTCCTGTGGGGTCGGTCTTGCTGGGGCGAGTGGAGGGTGTGTGCATGATGGAGTATTTGGCTGAACGCAGGAAGTCGGCACTTCCACCTAGACCGTTCAACATGCGTGAGCCCAGGACGCAAGTGCTGTTGGCATGGGCGTAGATATCGACCTCCACAGGAGTGTTCATGCCAATCACACCGAGACGGCGGATTACCTCAGGTGAGTTAGAGACTGCCTGACTACGGAGCAGAAGCTTGGGATAGTATCGCTCCCAGTTGTCGTAGAAGCGTTTGAACCCGTCAGGAGAGAAACGAATCGAGGTAGCAGTTGCGAAGTCAAGGTTGCCTGAATCGAACAGATCAAGGAAGGAATCCTGAAGTACTTCTGTCCAGACCTTGAGGTTTTTGAAGTCCGCACCACCTCCGGCGAGACCACCAATGACAGCGTTGGCAATGTTGCCAATGCCAGATTGCAGTGGTAGAAGGGTCTCTGGCAGACGTCCTTTACTAACCTCGTACTTCAAGAACTCGATGAGATTTCTGGCGATAGCTCTGCTAGTTTCATCCTCAGGGGCATTGGGTTGAGTTTGGTCAGGGTAGTCCGACTCGACAATAGCGACAACACGTTCAGGATCAATAGGGATATGCGGAGTGCCAACACGGTCCTCAGGAGCCATGATCAAGTAAGGTTTGCGACGAGGAGGAAGATCAGTCATGGTGATATCGTGAAGACCCTCAAACGAAGGGGCAGCAGTGTTGACCTCAATGATGATCTTGTCCGCCATTTGGACAATTTCAGGAGACGCGCCAACTGAAGCACCTGGGATTACGCCACCATCTTCGGTGATGGCACTAGCTTCGACGATAGCGACATCCAAACGGTTGTTTGCCTTCTCCCTTGTGTAGAAGCCGTACATGAGGTCCACAGGAAACATGCTCAGGTGCTTGTCGAAGAACTTGATATTGCCGTTGTTGATACCCTTGGCGATCTCTTTACCGACTTGATGAGGAGCACGACGCTCAATCATATTGAGCTTGGCCCATCGATTTTCTGTCTCAGCACCAGAGGAAGCGCCAACGAATAAGTTGTACTTGAGTTGACCTTGGAGACCATTCTTCTCGACATGATCAGCCATAGCCGTGGGTACCTTCCTGAATTGGAGTCAGCTATCCTTTCAATTACCACGTTGCTGCATTCTTATAACTGAACATAGGAGTTGTGAGAATACACAGTCGATCTCGAGCTAAGGAGTTGTCCAAAGAAGGCCGAACAGGAGAACTCTCTGTGGAAGCTGCCCGTTCGTTGAAACTACTTTGCATCGCGATGGCTGTATCCCACAAACTTCAACATCAAAAGAGGCTCGTTCAAACCAACTTACTTGGGATATCCAACTCCAGTGAAACCTGACCAACCAATGTAGCTGCCATTAGGGAAATGGTGCATCAGGTCCTCAGCTTTTGCAAGCTTCTTGAGGTAGCTCGGGCGTCGTACACGACTCTTGAGAAGTGCTGATGCCGACATCTTGTCCACTTTCAGTATCTAATCTTCAAAGATATGTTATAGAAACCCATGGAGAAACAGACAATGTCCCAGAGGTGGTTACACCAATATGTCGAAGGAGCTGTAGCATGACGTTTGTGCCGCGAGCTCTGGAAGAGCGAATCACATGTTCTCGAGTGGTGCCACCATATCGGATGGCCACATGTTTCCTGGATCAGTCATACCAGCACCTACTGGCGTCAATTGAAAGAAGTCGAGAGAGACACAAAGACTATATAAAGAACCAGAATCAGTAGTCGAGTACTCTCAATCTTTTGAGCTTTGGAAGTTTGAACACCCGAGTGTTTAGAGTTCTGCGATAATCCGCCGAACAAACCCCGCAGGCACGTCTTCATGCATCGTTCTTGCCAACAGAAATCCTCTCAACAACACTTCTTGATCGCGCAGTTTCACGCTTCTGCGCCTTCTTGCTCTCAAGATGAGGATACAATCGGCAGTCTTCTCATCTCATCATTTTATTTCCATGGAAACCGCACAGACAGCGCCTTGTCCGTCCGGAGAAAGTGGGTCTGCGCGCACAATCTGGGGCCAGCTCAACCACGAAACACATACGACCAGACTTCTTTACAACTCGCTGTCCGGCAAACAACCTCTATATAAAATTGCACAAGCTCGACCTGGACTTGATTCTGACCACAATAATACCACCGAGACGTAACATCGCTTATCCTGCAGCTTCACCGCAGAAAGTCGACAGCTCGTGGCCATGAATATTGATGAAAAGAGACATGTAGATTATGTTGATATTGCCTCGCAGGAAGTACCCGATGCTCAGCGAAGGTGATCCCGGCAATCTTTTTCGTTGCCTTCTTTTTCCTTTTCTGTTCCATGCTTGTCCTTTCGTCCACTTCCATCTCCTCCGCCCCTCACCCATCCCTTTTCCACTTCACTCAACGATCTTGAGACCGTAGAGCCACGAGCTTGAGCCGGAGAGACGTTGTAAGAGCCACAAAAGATCTTGGACCGTAGAGCCATGAGCTCGAATCGCAGAGACTTTGAGTGTGAGCTAAGAAGATCTTGAAAGCGTAGAGCCACGAGCTCGAATCGCAGAGACTTCAAAACGGCGTTGATCCTGTCACCGTAGAGCCATGAGCTTGGTCCGGAGGGACGCGAGAACACAGAAACGAAAAAGAAATTTATCATCATTATCACTATCATTATCATTATCGTCACCAAGAGTGATGGCAGCATCTGTTCGCTTCCTTTGCTATTGTTGCCTTATGTTGTCTCGGAAGCACAGCACTCAGTTACTTGGTCTGTACAGTCTGTATGGATGCTGGCCTGCAGTATCGCAATCACCACCGATCAAGGACCATGCCGGCGAGCTTTGGTGTTCGATGATCGAAAAGAACAGCCAACGTTCATCTATGCCCGTGTTTGCACTCAAAGTATTCATACACTCGAAATGGCGCCACAAGCAACCGATTATCTCCAACAGAACACACCTCTACCAAGCACATCTCCGCCATTACGGGTCCTATTACTGAAGCTTTGTCAGAGGGCACAGCAATGCAAGACTGACCGAAACAGAATTCCTGATGTACCAATTGTTGCATAAAAGGTAATGGAGAAGCGAGCAAATTCACATTCACTCTAGTAAGTATCGACCAGCCATGGCTACTCGACAATGTCGTCTTGTACGTAGAAAAGCCCGCAGTCAACAATGTAAGTGGGCTCCAGGTGATGGTCAACTTTTGAATGAACACCGTATGCGCCTCGTTCATTCAGACTTATCGCAGCAATATTGTAAAATTTCAAATAGACATATATTTTATTCTCCATTCTTTCGAGATCGAGGGGAAGAATGATATGCTGAAGGTGAGTGGTGGTGGAGACAAATTCACCTCCTGTATCTGTTCTTGAAGGTAAATGTGCATTTCCATGGCGACACGCAACACATACTTTAGCAAAATGCGCTCAACAAGAAAATGCTGGACAAGAGATGGAAAATCTCTGCCAGGTACGGAGATTTCGCCTCGATGTTCTAGAAAAGCGCACAGCAAAGCTATCCCTGTTTCTTTTCTTTTTCTCAAGTGAATCTAGCTGTGTTGAACAGTGGCAACGAGTGAGGCAAAAACTGTTGCTGTCGGAGCTTAGTTTGGCGAATGAGAGCGGGCAGCGGGAACAGCACGCACGGAGGCACGCACGCCCGTCGAAGCCAGGTGTAAGTCGGAATGCCAAGGCTGGCTGTTGAGCCCGGCAGAGTTTTTTCCCCAGCGTCGACTATTTGAGTCTCCCCTGCTCGCCTCGTCGACTCTCCTTCACTCATCCACCAAAATGGCAAGCAAACAAGCCAAATCTGAGAACCAGCAGTCGCTGAAGGTGCTCGAAGAGCTCCTGGCCAAGCTGAACGTCTCCAAGGCCCAGGATGAGATCAACGGTGTCTCTCAGGAGATTGCCATCTTCATCAACGGTGACATTGAGGAGGAGGATGCTCCCACCAAGTGAGTCGCCTTGCCATGTATACCACGACGAACTGCTTCTAACATGCTCTGAAGGGCCGTCGCCACCTTGAAGAAGGCTCTCGCCAACAAGAAGGATGCCCTCGCTCGTGAACGCGCCTGCGATGCCATCAAGGCCATCGCCTCGCACGCTGAGGTCAGCCCTGCTGTTGAGCCTTTCCTCGTCGCTCTCCTCCCCGCCGTCCTTGCTGCCGTCGGTGACAAGATGGTTCCCGTCAAGAACGCTGCTCAGGCCGCCGCCCTTGCCATCACCCGCATGGCCAACGCCAACGCCGTCAAGGCCCTCATCCCTCACTTCATTGAGTCCATCCACAACGCCCAGAAGTGGCCCGAGAAGATGACCGACCTTGAGTGCATTGTCGCTCTTTCCGAGTCCTCCCCCATCCAGACCGCCCTCCGCGTTCCCGACCTTATCCCCATCGTCTCCGAGGCCATGTGGGATACCAAGAATGAGGTCAAGAAGGCTGCTTACTCCACCATGGAGAAGATTTGCTCCTTGATCGTCAACAAGGATATCGACCGCTTCATTCCTGAGCTCATCAAGTGTATCGCTAAGCCCGAGAACGTACCCGAGACCATCCACTTGCTCGGTGCCACCACTTTCGTCACCGACGTTCACGAGCCCACCCTCGCTATCATGGTTCCCCTTCTCGAGCGTGGTCTTAACGAGCGTGAGACCGCCATCAAGAGAAAGTCTGCCGTCATTGTCGACAACATGTGCAAGCTTGTCGAGGACCCCCAGATTGTTGCCGCTTTCTTGCCCAAGTTGATGCCCGCCCTCAACCGCAACTACGACAACCTCGCTGACCCCGAGGCCCGTGAGAAGACCAAGCAGGCTCTTGATACTCTCATCCGTGTCGGTGCTGTCGTCGACGGCAAGGCCCCCGAGATCTCCAAGGATGGTGACATGGAGACCGTTGCTGCCCACCTCAAGTCTATCGTCGGCTCCAAGGCTGACAAGTTCGAGACCATCGTCAACTACGTTGGTGCCATCGGTGGTCAGCTCGTTGACGAGAAGGTCGTCGAGCCCATGGTTTGGGCCCAGAACACCGTTCCTTTCCTCACTGTCATCTCTGGTGACGAGGCTAAGAACGTTGCTGAGGAGCTCCGCAAGAAGGCTTCTCCTCTCGCCGCCGCTGGTCGTGACGTCGAGCCCGATGAGGAGGAGGGTGAGGATCTTTGTAACTGCACATTCAACTTGGCCTACGGTGCCAAGATCCTGCTCAACCAGACTCACCTTCGTCTGAAGCGTGGTCAGCGTTACGGTCTTCTCGGCCCCAACGGTTCCGGAAAGACCACCCTCATGCGTGCCATCAACAACGAGCAGGTCGAGGGTTTCCCCAAGCAGTCTGAGGTCAAGACCGTCTACGTCGAGCACGATCTCGACTCTGATGACACTGAGAAGACCGTCATCGGCTGGACCCTCCAGAAGCTCGCTGCTGTCGGTGTCGAGACTCCTGAGGAGGAGGTTCGCAAGACCCTTATTGAGTTCGGTTTCCTTCCCGAGCAGCTCGACGGCCCCATCGGTGGTCTCTCTGGTGGTTGGAAGATGAAGTTGGCTCTTGCCCGTGCCGTCTTCGAGAAGCCCGATATTCTTCTTCTTGATGAGCCTACCAACCACTTGGATGTCAAGAACGTTGCTTGGCTCGAGAACTACCTCGTCACCTCCCCCTGCACATCCATCATCATCTCTCACGACTCCAAGTTCCTCGACAACGTCATCCAGCACGTTATCCACTACGAGCGCTTCAAGCTCAAGAGATACCGTGGTAAGCTCTCCGAGTTCGTCAAGCGTGTTCCTTCCGCCAAGTCCTACTACGAGCTTGGTGCCTCCGAGATCGAGTTCAAGTTCCCCGAGCCCGGTTTCCTCGAGGGTGTCAAGACCAAGGCCAAGGCCATCGTCCGTGTCAGCAACGTTTCCTTCCAGTACCCCGGTACTGCTAAGCCCCAGATTGAGGAGTGCTCCTTCCAGTGCTCTCTCGGCTCGCGTATTGCTGTCATTGGTCCCAACGGTGCCGGAAAGTCTACTCTCATCAACGTCCTTACTGGTGAGCTGATCCCCACCAAGGGTGAGATCTACCACCACGAGAACATCCGTATCGCCTACATTAAGCAGCACGCTTTCGCTCACATCGATCACCACCTCGACTCCACTCCCTCCGAGTACATCCAGTGGCGTTTCCAGACTGGTGAGGACCGTGAGACCATGGACCGTGCCAACAAGATCGTCACCGACGAGGATGAGAAGGCTATGGACAAGATCTACAAGATTGAGGGTACCTACCGTCGTGTCATTGGTATCCACTCGCGTAGAAAGTTCAAGAACTCCTACGAGTACGAGTGTTCGTTCGCCCTCGGTGACAACATCGGCATGAAGAACGAGAAGTGGACTCCCATGATGACTGCTGACAACGCCTGGATCCCCCGTAACGAGATCATGCAGTCGCATCAGAAGATGGTTGCCGAGGTTGACCAGAAGGAGGCTCTTGCCTCTGGTCAGTTCCGCCCTCTCGTCCGTAAGGAGATTGAGGCTCACTGCGCCAACTTCGGTCTCGACGCTGAGCTTGTTTCTCACTCTCGTATGCGTGGTCTCTCTGGTGGTCAGCGTGTCAAGGTCGTCCTTGCTGCCTGCTCATGGCAACGCCCCCACTTGATCGTCCTCGACGAGCCTACCAACTACCTTGACCGTGACTCTCTCGGTGCCCTTTCCAAGGCCATCAAGTCCTTCGAGGGTGGTGTCATCATCATTACTCACTCTGCCGAGTTCACCAAGGACTTGACTGAGGAAGTCTGGGCTGTCCAGAACGGTCGCATGACCCCCTCCGGTCACAACTGGGTTCAGGGTCAAGGTTCCGGACCTAGACTTGAGGCCAAGGGCGGTGACGACGAGGAGAAATTTGACGCAATGCTAGTAAACCCCTTTCTTGACCTTTGAAACTCATGCTAACTTTGTTACAGGGGTAACAAGATCGAGACCGTTGAGAAGAAGAAGAAGCTCACATCCGCCGAGCTCCGCAAGAAGAAGAAGGACCGTATGGCTCGCCGCAAGCGCGGAGAGGAGGTCTTTTCTGATGAGGACGATTTCTAAAGCACTCGCTAACCTTTACGTTTCGGAATGATTCAGAAGGTCGGTTTGTGTTTTTGTTGTTGTACTCGAGGCATTTGGCCAGGCGTCCCGGATTAAAAAGGGCTATGTTTATGACGTTTCTTTAACTATTCCCCGCTGTGAATCACTCGCATTAGAGATAGATTCCATCTTAAAATAAAGATCTTTCTCGCTTTCAATGTTTTTGGCGTCTATGGTATAGGGCTTCGCAGCACGTGACGTCGACGTCAAGCCCTGAACGTCGGGCGACAGCCATCTGATTCCCGACTACCGCAACTCAGCCCTTTCGACATGATCCCTTGACAAGATTGCGCATTTTTATCTTTATAGGCGCCAGTAGTATCATCAGGAAATGGCTTCTCTTCAGGAGACGTCTCGCTCCTTCGTCCCTCTCAGACTCACTCGCTCGTGCCTCGCTCGCTCGCTTTTCGAGGGCCTCGTCCGCTCGTCGTCTTCCTTCCAGGCTCAGAGCGAGTTCGTGATGGGGGAATATCATGCGAAAGTCGAATATCGCTTCTGCGCATCAAACTATAACCCATCACGGTAGGTTAGTACACTGTCCGGGTCAATTTGCCAGCCTGGCCGTATCTGCTTCGTGTCGCACCCTTTCGCGCTCGCCGCCTAACGTCTATTCAATACTTATCATCGATCAGCAGACAATTGACGCACGCCTGCGATGAGCACTGTACTGCCTTCTCATTGAACGGCCTTAGTTCTTCTCTGATTCAACTGGCTAGCTTGATGTGACGTCCGTCTTCTCCTTTTGTTCAATCGTTGCGCCTGGTCCTACCCATCTCCTCCAAAACATCAGTGATTGCATGTTTCATCTACAGCGCTGTAATCGAGCGTCTGGGTTGCTTCGTGAGTGCCCATGTGCTGAAGACAGTCACAACTTGGCATTGAATCCTTCTCCAATTCGAGACGTGAAGGGATCCCTCCACATGCATTTGTCCCATGGCTGTGGGGAAACCACTGACGTCAAAAATCGAACATCCTTGCTTGACGAAAAACAGGGACCTTGCATGAGGTTTGGAGAACGATGATCCGCGAACGTAAGCAAGCATGGGTACGGTTGACTTTTAATCTCTTCCTAACCCTCGACCCGTGAGTTCGTTGTTTCTTCTCTCACACTGCCAAAAACAAATCGCACCATTGTTCGGCCAAGATCATAATATCAACCATGTCGAACAACCAAGAACCCAGCCACGATGAGAGTCTCAGCAACCTTCCTGCTGGTGCGACAGATGTCAGCTTGGGAGAGGGCCAAAAAGGTAAGTGATAGGTTTCCTTTCTCTTTCTGCCATGTCCCTCTCAGCTCTATTTCCTTCTTCATTCGAATCATCTCTCATAAACATCAGGCCTTCTCGCACCTCTCGGCGATCCTCTAGGCAATGCCCTGAACAAAGGACTCTCTCCCGTCGGCACAGCTATCGGTGGTCTCACAAATGGAGGATACACCAAGAGCAAAGAGATGGACAAGCCTCAAGAAGAAGAGAAGATTGGTGGAAAGGAGCAGAATGGACAGAACCCTCTGGGACTGTAGGGGTATTAACGATGAAGGAAGAAGAACATACAAGGAGTCTGGACACCAATGATTTACAAGAGGAAATGGGCACAAGAGCTTGAGTGCTGTGCACACGAGGACGATGATAACGGCAATGAATGATTTTAAACTTCTCATAGGATCTCTTGCTGCTCTTAGCGTGATGTAAATGTAGATTCAAGGTGGTACAGTGATGCCCGGCTCACATAATGGCGTGTACTTTTTCTTGTTATCAGAACTCAACTGCGACGCCTAGGAAGCGTTGTGTCCCAGACAATTTCTGTCGCTCAGATTGATTGAAGAGTGACAGCGAGTCGAGGCCAGGCATACGCAAATTGACCTTGCTTGCTCTGACAAATAAAACGTCAAATCAACTCGCCATGGCAGTACAACCGTCGCTCGCCTTTTACCAATCGCGCCTCTGTAACACTCCAGACCTGCAACCAGATTCGAATGACACTTTATGCTCGAGTAAGCTCGATTCAAACCACTTCAATCTTCTCCTTTCCCATAGCAAATTCCAAATACAATCCAAAAATCAGATCAACAAACACAAAAGGGTATTCTCGCACACGCTCCACAATCCTCGACTCTCGATGGTTTTAGATCAGCTTCTGCTCAGGCAGGTTCTTTCGATACGAATGGTGTTCGCCTCCTTGTGTGAATGCACGTTTGAGTGCAATGCCGAAGATTATGAATGGGAACGCGAGGACGTAGACGAGAGCATCGGACATGCGTTCCATGAAGGTGCGGTTGTTGTGGTTGGGACTTGTGGTCGGCATTGTGTGAGATATGTGTGTTGTGGTCTTCAAAGACAGCGCAATCTGGTGTTATTGGAGAAATATACGATTGAGAAATGTCGCGTGAGTTGTGATGGTTCGGCAGTTGAGTTCTTGTGGTTTGTGATTGAACTTGTATGCGCCGTGCTGTGCAATGCAATTGAAGCTCAGGTTGTCGATGTCTTTGGTTTCGATGGATGGCGCGCGTGTTTTTGGATTGGTTTCTCAGAATCCCAAGGAGCAGCGACACTCGTTTTTGTTGATTCTTCGATAGCGCAAGAGTTAACTATTGATTTCATGATGCACCCTCGTGGCGATGACATCACGGCTTTTTCATTGTTCACAGCCTCAATTCGGAAGTTGCGGGATCCGGATAGCAGATGTCCCGAGTATGCGACGGTAGTTGAAGATATGCACTTTTCATTCTGCTCTGTGATGTTGGTCTCATCAATGGACTTGCCGAGTAGAGAAGCAGTGGAAAAATAGGAAGAGAGTCCGTGTTCAAACCCAAGAAGCTTTGAACGCTCGGCTTCGGCATCCATCCTGACCCACGGACAGAGAAGATGGTTGTCCTTCTCCCCGTGTGCTAAAGACGTTCACAGTGTAACCATAGAAATGCACAACACTTTCGTGAAGAATGTGGTCTCCACAGAGATGACCCCATTAAAGGCCATCTCAATTGCTAGAGTTGTGTTCGAACTACAACTATGCATCTCGATAGCTTCTAACAACCCGGTTGCAGTTGCTATTTTGCATAACTACGTGAAATACAATCTGAGCAGATACTAAGAGACGAACACTTTACAAAACTGGATCAGAGAACTATGGGTAAGGTTGGTGCCTTTGGGATATTGCAAAGGCTGAATTCATTGCTAGAGTGTAAACTAGAACGAGTGTCGATAAAAGCACAGGAAAGATATCAAGGCGTGCGTTATGCGCCTACTGTCCACCATGATATTCAAGATACATCAAGCATTGCTGAAAGGGGTATATCATCAAAACAAACAGCCGATAGAGAAACATGGAATGGTTGCGGCAGAAGAGAAGAACATTTTAGCAGCAAGAAAGATACAATAACCATCGTTCGAAAGGGCTGAGGACCGTGGTATGTCGGATTATAAAGCGCAGAATGTAGTGAAACTACTAGCGGTTGGTTCATCGCAGCGGGTAACCGCCTCAGGGATCGTCGTTGTAGTCTTAGTATTTCTGGTTTGAAGGATAACCATTATAGCTTCCGTATCCATCAGAGCCACCTGCAGGTCTTCGTTTGTCGTCGTAGGCTCCATCGTAGTCATATCCGCGAGATGGATACCATGAAGCACGCTTACTTTCCCTAGATTCATCATCACGTCGTGTATATCTTGCTCGGTCTCGATCTTCAGAGTGTATGTTGGAGCTGTACTGTGCGGATGGAACATCGCTGATGTTCGTGCCTTCCGAGCGGGTGTATGAGTTAGGTGGATAACCAAGAGGAGGCGGAGAGCCAAAGTTAGGTCGTTGTCCGGTTGCAGAGAGACGATGGCGTCTCTGTCCTGTAGGTATGTCTGTGGGCCTACTCTGACTGAATTGTGGTTCACGTGCAGCGGAGTTGGCGCGGGAGGAACGATTGATGTTTTCTGTGCGAACAGTATTTCGACGATCGTCATCATACACCTTTCCAGAGCCTTCCTTTGCAGTGTAAGGTTGACGTTCACGCTCGATCGGGCCAGGAACAGTACGTAAATCATCGTCATCAAGGGCAGATGGATTGTTAGAGTAGGGCGCACGTTCTCTCTCGGCAAACGATGTCGAAGAAGAGTACGAAGCTGATTGTTGTTGTGGTTGTGTTGACACTGGAGGAGGCGGCGGCGGTATAGGGTTGCTTGAGCGCAGCTGTATGTTGCGATCGTTCGACATAGCAGCATGCAATCGTTGCTGTTGTGTTATGTCATCCTCTTTGGGAACAAGTCGACGACTGAGTTCCTTTGGGAATCGCTCCTTTGGATTATCAGCGTTGCTGATAGGCATGTCCAAAACAGCCTTCGCAAGTCGATCATATTCCAGAGATGGATGAGCCTGGATGAGAATCGTCATGAATTGATTGAAGCCGTCGGGCGTGAGGGCTGGGATATCTGGGGCCGAGTGATTACCCAGCTGTACGAAGTGGTGCTGGCAGCGGAGATCACGATAGATTCTTGAGATGGATTCGCAGGTGATGCGACCACCAAAAATATCCCGCCAGGGGTAGATCTCTGAGGGTAGTCGTACATCCTCGAAGAACTGGACCATCTTAGCTGGGGGGATGACAAGACTGCGCTTTGGCTCGTAGTCATCAATGATATGTAGCGCGAGGCCTCTGAGAAACTGACTCAATCTTGGAGTAGGTTGACCTGACCGAAAAAGAGGCTGCCATGCCTTCTCCAAGACCGTCTCTTCGGCAGTAGAGGGCGTGCGGACTTGCTCAGGTCTTGGTTTGCTGTACCCAGCATGGATGGGTGATGCGTCACTACCGTTTCTGTTTGGCTGAGGAAAGTCATAACTGCTATTGCACGGATCTGAGGCAAACATGGAAGGTTCGGGAGAGAGTGACCTATAGCTTCCGTTGTCCTTGGTTGGCGAGGGCGGCGTGTAAGGACGATTGAGAGAGCCGGCCGAATCTGCAGGAGATCTTGAATGGGCAGATCTGGTCTGAGTAGAAAGTGGTGGTTGCTGTTGTTGAGCAATACCAGAGGCCTTGAGATTATTGATGACCTGCTCGGTGATCTGAGCGACCAGAGCTGGGTCTAGTTGGGCAGCCGCATCAGAGCGCTCGTAAACGTGGTTGACGACATTATCGATTGGAGCGCTTTGTTGGTACGTGCTGTTGGGTCTGACGGCAATCGAGTTGCCTCGTTGCCTCGAACGTCGATAATTGTCAGGCTCTGACTTCTGTATGTAGTCATCTCGACGCAGTTCGAAGCTGTCCGCGGCTGACTGCACAGCCGGAGAGCGGTAACCATCTCCAGATGCCATGCTGAACAGCGTCACTTGCTTCCCGCTGTTGATGCGAGCCCGATGCTTTAAGAGAGTTTCGCTGGCCAGAAGAACAAGAAGTGGCAGTCAATTCGCGGGTCGAAGTTTGATAGGAAGTGGACGGTCAGCAGACACGGTAATGCGATGCGAGTGCTCCTGCAATGTTGCGGGGGATAGCGTAGAAGTACGAAGGAGTCGACAAGGAAGGAGCAAGCCCTAGTCAATGCCTTTATCTCTCACAGTCCAGCGAAGGAGAAGAAAGGTGCCTCGTTTCTGTGTCCCAGCCGCTCGAGTCTTCTTGGGTTACGACTTGGTGGTTTAGTTCGCGAAACATGACAAGGGGACGCCAAAGCAATGGCGTCCTGGACGAGCCACTCGTCGTCATTGACATGGCGATTAGCAGGTTTGTAGACACGAGAGCGCCACGCCAATCATCAAGCATCATGATAACAATAATAAGGCAGACCAACCGAAGCGCGCCAGTCAGACGAGCACGCTTCGAACGCTGATCCTACAGGTCCATTCGTTCTTCCGACTAGCTTGACCTGCTTGTATGAGCGGCGACTGTACACCCATAACGTTTCGACATCAAGTTAACAGGAATGATCTGCTTTGTTACAGCAACCGCAAAGCAACGAAGATAGGACCAAGGTCAGGATTATTTTAGCGTCATCGTTTCATGCTGCAAGCTGATGTCTACCGAACACATGCTCGAGATCAACAAACGGGCACCGGGCCGGCCAAACCTACCAGACAGCAGTAACTCTCTTCCCCGCTAGAACGATACAGTTTTTCTCGCGCCTCCACTCATCAGAACACGTTCGGTGGATCAATTCGGGCGTCGACAGATGGATCATCAGTATGATCAGAAATATCAGAAATTACGCCAGCCGCAAGATCCATCGGCGAGCAGATCTGCATCTTACCAAGCTGATGTTCACCCTACGAGCTGTTTTGACACTACGCCCAGATGCCGAGCTTGCTGGGTCCCACATTGGCACGGTAAATCGGGAGCGCAAGCTGTGAGATTGTACATGCTGTATGGAAATAACATACTTATCCTGCATACTCTCGAAGATGGGGCAGATAATTCAATGTCAGGGTGTTTGATGCTCTTAGATCAGCTAGGCTCGAGAGCGTTAAGGATCGCTTCAAGATTGAAGGTGGTGATGAGCTAGGTTCAATGCTGCAAGCTGCAGAAGCATTGTGGATATAACGCAAGAGCAGAGGCACATATGATACCTGATTAGCACAATGCATGTGAAGGACAGCCCGCCGGCCGTGTCTGGGCTTTCCACCTAAGGCTGCTCGATCAAGACTGTGCATTCGAGCCTGAAGCTCTGGGGATTGCGCACGTTGTTTTGATGGCATGGTCATTGATGATGAAGGTTCAAAGGCTAGGGAGCGGTCAGTGGTCGACGATATTGTGATCGAGATGTACAAAAGCAGGTGGCCGTTGAGCATCGGGGATGAGAGATGCCCGTTTAGGATGGGCTTGGTCGCGGGCAGCTCTCTAGATGTGGCGGCGCGTTTCATGTTCAGTTAGTGCGACTCATGGAGGGATTCGATTTGACATGAGAGGCTTTGGCACGGGGCGCACGCGACGACGACGAGAAGAAGAGGTATTTTTGAACTTGGACGTCCTAACTTTGCTCACCTGGCAGTGAGTCGGTCTCGTCACTCGTTGTTGTTGTGCTGGAAAAGACGGTCAGCTTCTCGTCGCTTCGCTGCACCGTGACACTGCCAAAACATCGCAATCCGACATAACCGAGTGATTGTCGCTCTGACGTTTCATCCTCTGCAAATCATCCAGAGCTGCGACTGCTCGGCTGGTAGTGTCTCAGCTATCTACATAAGCACGACCTGACGACCTGGACGTTGAAGTTGAAACACGAGCGACACCAGAAGGCCATAAACCCGCACGCCCGCAACCCGCCGTCACCTGTCACGCCGCTCTCTCGCTCTATCACGACACGGCCACAGTCGGCGTACAGAACGACATCATCCTCCGGAGCGCTTGGTCTATCCAGACAATGAAGCAATAGCCCCCGGACGCCTCTTGCGCACTGCTTCTTTGATCGTCATCTTTGTCCTTCAACAATGGCCATGCTGGCTTCCAAGCCCTCGTTTGGCACCGCCATGGGAGGGGCCACTTTTCAAAACACCTCGCCTGCCTACCGTAACAACAACAACGGAGTCTATGGCAGTCCTACCGAATCCGAGTTCTCTGACTCTTCCAGAATGTCTGATACAGTAAAGTATGCACACACCAACACACAACTTGCATACAGAGGCTGACATGCTCTCGTAGAAACTGGGACGAACAACGTGTTGGCGAATGGTTGGTCAGTATCAACTGCGGTCAATATGTTGACATCTTCAAGAGTAGGCCTCTTTCCATTCTTGCGCACGCTGTTGTGCCGAAGCTAAGGGCATACAGATAACAACATCACTGGCGAGAACCTTATGGACATGGATCCTGCTACGTTAAAAGAGATGGGTGTCAACAAGATCGGCGACCGAGTCCGCATTGGCTCCCAGGCCAAGCTATTCAGAACAACCGTATACAGGAAGACGAGCAAGCGGAACATGAACAGGGTATGCTATTGTCACGCGATCACGCTCTTTTCCAGATGCTGACTAGATTGCACAGCTCTCCCTGGCTACACTCGACGGCAACGCCCAAGCAAATGCTCCCCCAGCCTCATCGCCGCGCGAGCGTGCCGTACTCTCCACTACTCGAACACAACCCCCTCCTACCTCTCTTCGCGACAAACGCCTCTCTCGTCGCATCGATGGCCAAGACCTCGCAAAAGCAAACTCTCGCCCGTCTTCACCATTGATAGACCAAGAAAACCGCTCTCGCGCTCCCATGCAAAAGAGCAACAGCACACCATATCTTCCCAAGCCATCGCAGAGGCTTACTCCTGGTGAAACCCCTCCACGCTTCGCTGGTCCGGTCGCCGGTCACATACGCTCAAGCCCCAGCGTCGACAACCTCGCCACATACAGCAGCGCCCTACCTGCTGACAAGGCTCTGATCCGTGTCATCTTTGACAGTGGTCGCTCCTCTATGATCAACATTGAAGGTTGTGAGACTGCTGACGACATTGTTCTCAAGACTCTTAAGAAGGGTGCTCTCAACGAAAACCACGTCAAGAACTTTTGCTTCTACCTTCTTGATGGCTTCAATCCTGATCCAAAGTATTGTCGCCGCTTGGGTGATACTGAGCTGCTTCGTATTTGCAACGATCGCGTACGTGGTGAGAGAGGTCGTCTCATGCTCCGCAAGATCCATGCTGGAGAGCCTGAAGGGGAGCAGCTGCGCATCGCCGCCAAAATCGCCGAAAAGGAAGCCCCCTCGCCTCCTGCAATCGAGGTACAGCAACCAATCAACAAGTCAAAATCCCACCTCAAGATCGAGCAGCTCATTGGCGAGCCTTTGGCTGCTGTCAGCTACCCAATGTCTCCTGCCTCATTGCTCGAACGTGAGAGAAACTCATACTTCGCTGCTCAGCCCGCCATCAGCACTGCCGGTGCCAGAGCACGCAAACTCAAGGAGTTCTATGGCGCTCGCCCACCCACCGAGCTCATTACTCAGGACCTCACCTCGTACTTCCCGGACATCGAGAAGGAAGAGATGGACAAGACCGTGCGCATGTCAATTCGCCGCTCACGCAGACTTAGTAGAGCTGCCAATCGCCTGAGTACTATGAGTAGCTTCAGCGTTGCCTCGAGCCTTAAAGATGCTCCTCCACTTCCCACCATTGCCGACAGCTGGTTGAACTCCGCCAATCAGCCCAAACCTCTTCGTCCTCTTTCAGTCGTTCGTCTTGGTCGGCCAGTATCCAATTACCGCGACTCGATCACATCATCTGTACTTGAGCCCCTAGATGAGGAGTCGCCTTTGGAACCCAACCGCAAATCTTACGTCTCTTTCGGTGCTGACAGCGGATCTGACTCGACGGATCGCAATGTTGCTGTAACTGATCCAGAAGGTAACACCATCATGCAGAGCTACTTTGACGATACCGGTAGCACCAGCCCAGCCAACACCGAGAATGGCGGATCTCTCAACTCTCGTCTCAGTCAGGTCATTGCCGAAGACGGTGAAGAATCTGACGATGAGCTGATGGAACACCTCGAAAATGATAGCTGGGAGAACCTGAAGTACATGAAGGGTGCCATGATCGGACAAGGCTCTTTCGGCACTGTTTACCTTGCCCTTCACGCTATTACTGGTGAGCTCATGGCTTGCAAGCAAGTTGAAATGCCCTCTTCCTCCGGCACACACCTCGACGCCAAGAAAAACAACATGGTAGAGGCTTTGAAGCGCGAGATTGGACTCTTGCGCGAGCTTAAGCATCCCAACATCGTGCAGTACCTCGGATCCAACTCGGATGACTCTCATCTCAACATTTTCCTTGAGTACGTCGCTGGTGGCTCAGTTGCTACGATGCTCGTCAACTACGGCTCTCTTGGTGAACCCCTGATTGCCAACTTTGTCAGGCAAATCCTCTCTGGTCTTGCATACCTCCACTCCAAGGACATCATCCATCGCGACATCAAGGGCGCCAACATCCTCGTCGACAACCACGGCAGCGTCAAGATTAGTGATTTTGGTATCAGCAAACGCGTTGAGGCCTCAAGTCTTCTCGTCCCACCCACCGGCAAACGTACGGGTCCCCGTGTTTCGCTTCAAGGCTCCGTCTTCTGGATGGCACCTGAAGTCGTCAAGCAGACCGCCTACACCCGCAAAGCAGACATTTGGTCCCTTGGCTGTCTCATCGTCGAAATGTTCACTGGTGTGCATCCTCATCCCAACTGCACTCAACTGCAAGCCATCTTTAAGATCGGAAGCAGTGCGGCACAAGCTCGTCCAGACATGCCTGAACAGGCCAGCGAGAATGCCAAGTTCTTCCTCGAGCGCACATTTGAGATTGAACATGAGAAGAGACCTTCGGCTGACGAGTTGCTGGGCTATGCTTTCTGTGCGCCCAAGGAGCCTGGATCTGCTTGATTTATGCATCTTGTTCTTGGTCAACCTCATCTGTGACTTTTGTTTTTGTTTTTGATGATTTCATTGGATGTAAGCGTAGGTGCTCAGGGGAATCTCTTGCTTTTTGTGTTTTTCCGTTCACCTCACGTCTTTATGAGTATGGATTGTATGATAGTGAGATACAGCACGTAGTAGTAACAAAAGACTGCTGAATCAATTTATTGTCTAACAAATTGCCCCTTGGCCATCGACTGAACCCATTTATGTGATGGAGCAGTGCTTGAATGATCCGCTTAATCTCCTACTAGCCTCTCCCATAAGTATGTACGATCATCAGGTTTCCAGCTTGCTGACAAGAGGTCGCTGAGCTCTCAACCGCAGAAGCGCCGTGACACGCGATGCGATCCCCCGCCTACGTCATACCCATAATTCGACCTTCTCTCCACCACACCAATAGCTCTGCCATTCTGCACTCAACACATTCAATACCACAGTTACTACCCCGAAAACACACAAGCAATCATGTCACAGAACCTCATGGATACCCAACCTGGTGGTGACACCGAGGGCTCGTAAGTCAGAACGGAAGAGTCGATCACACTCTCGCAACGATGCTAATGATGCTTTGCTTCCAGCACATCGCAGTACACAGCTATCAACACCGTCACAGTCCCGCATAAGAAGTCGGGTGGTCAATTCGGCAGTGAGTTTGTCCTTCTTCAAGCTCTTCACTCCAACAAGTCATACTAATACGTGCAAGACCCCGAGACCTCTGTCGATTCCAACCCCGAAGCCGAAGCCGCTCAAAAAGCAGAAGATGGCGCAAAGACAGCAGAGAAGATCCGCTACGGTCAATCATTAAGCGAGAATGGTATGGGCGGTCAGACTACTGGTCTTGGAGAGGCAAACAGCAGTGCTGCAGATGAGACTGCCGCGAGCGAGAGACAAAAGTCTGGATACGGTGGTGACAAGGACATGGACAGAAACATTGGTGCATAAGAAATGATGGGATGAGAAGATACGAATGCCATGAATATCTGCAAAGCAAATATAATGCTATGAAGCGTAGGCAGCCCAGCCAGATAGATGTCTGCGCTTTGGCTTAACACCTTATAACGAAGTCGGGTTCTGCTGTGTCCACGACAGTACTCTTGTCTCATTGTATGCCTAGAATATGTGCTAGACCATCTGCATTCTCCATTTGCTCCTCGTGAACGATTCAATGGTCTGTCCCACCTCCAAGATGTTGCGTGAGATTCCTATCGTATGTTTATTCTTGAAGCTTTGGATCATGCTCGCATTCGAGGGTAGGATAAACAGGTTGTGAGGAATGAGACTTACTTTGTAACACTGAAGCCTTCTAGTAGCACCTCTCTAGTACCTGTTGTCCACTGGACATCGAGGTGGGTTCACCCATAGTCAGAATGTGTATGTCGTAGAAGAAGGTCAGGGTGGTACTTCCAACAAGAGTACTGGAGGATCAACAATGGTCACTCTACGTTGTAACTGACAACGAGTCGTTCGTGAAATCTTTGGAGAGATTGAGTATTCATTTCTCTCAGCATTATGAGAAACACCAAACCAAGGTAAGAAGAGACAAAGCATGCGACCAAGACCAAGAGCAAGAGCTCCCCGCACGCTACCTCGCGCGCAACATCCGAAGCAACTCCCGTCTCAATTGCTTACTCTTGCATCTCAACCTTTGATTCTGCCACATGGAGAGATGAGCATGCAAGGGCTATACATGCCAGTCGCTTGTACGCCATGATCTCGGGCATCTCCAGGCTTTTAGGCCTGTCGTTTCTGTTCTGTCTGGGCCTTCCATTCGCTTTGTTTGCTCTCTTCACCACTACTTTGGCGTTGGGCACTCTTTTTCTGCGGCTACTATTCGTATATTTCGACCTGTTTCTCGCCATTTTGAACGGAGCGATAGTCCCATCAACACCTCCCACGCCTCTGCCATCCCCAAGTGCTAGGCCCGCACGACGCAAGAAGCACGCTACACCACCTACGCCTTCCGCGGCGCTTCGAAAAACTCCCTCATTCGCAAGTTTGGTTGGCAGCGGAACAGACAGAGACTTTGAGGGCGTAGGGGGCTGGAGGTTCCCTGAAAGCGCAGATGAAGAGGCTATATGGATGAACATCAACCGGAACCTCGAGCTGCCTGCTTCGCCAGCAGCAAGTAGAAAACACAGGAGAACTGGCACAGGCAATGGAACCCAAAGCCCTATGGTTACGAGGACAATGGCGAGGACTTCGGGCAGTGCAAGTCCTGAGGGCTATTTCAACATCAGAGTGGAGATCAGGGAAGGGCTAGGTCTGAGCTCTCGAGATGGATGAAGGTCGGTGAAGGTTATGCAATGTTCCTAAGACAAAGCAGAGGCCCAGAGCATGGGGAAAACGGACACCGCCAAATTCATGCAGTTAATGATCTGATGGCTTGAGGCTGTCGCGAATTGTCTATACAGCTGTATTTACAAGCCTTCTTAGGCTTCTCGTCGCGAGCTTGACCCAAAGTACTGGTTAAACACACACCTGAAGAAGCAACTTCCAAGTTGACCAAAAAGTTGGCTCAGTGACGTGAAAGTGGAAGGAACCCCACACTGACAGCTGGGTTCAAGACAGAAGGAGCGAGGCAGAGCTTCTGGCTTCTGGGCGCGTGCGCTTTGGCCTTTGAGGCTGGCAAGTCCCAACTAATTTGCATCGATTCCAGCCATCTTCCTTCTTCGACCCGGCATCCTCTTGCATACAACAACTCTGCACCTGTCAGAAGCTACATCCGACTTCCCGTGTGCTCCGTCGAAGCTCATCTGTACAACCTCGTGCTCACGCGCTTTGTCGACGACGACCTCCAATACCACAATCACCGACGCGTTTCCTCGTCCTCTTCCGCAACCATGTCCGGAGAAGCCTGGCTATACCTGATAGCGGTGCTCATCAATGCCGTCAACCTCTTCCTTCAAGTCTTCTTCACCATCATGTACAGCGATCTGGAATGGTATGCCCGAGCTAACCCCTCACACCGCCTTACCTAGCTCTATGCTGACTTGCTGTCCTTGTAGCGACTACATCAACCCTATCGACCTCTGCAACCGCCTCAACACCTACATTGTTCCTGAAGCTGCTGTCCACGCTTTCCTCACCATCCTGTTCCTCATCAACGGTTACTGGCTCGCCCTGATCCTTAACCTGCCTCTGCTTGCATGGAACGCAAAGAAGTCAGTTCTTTGCAATCTCTTTCTTACGCGACACATGTTGACATGATACAGGATCTTCGAGAACCAACACCTTCTGGATGCCACTGAGATTTTCAGAAAGCTCAACGTCCACAAGAAGGTAAGCTCTTGCGCCAAACTCCCACCAGACTTGCAAGCAGCTGACAAAAGCTTCAGGAATCCTTCATCAAGCTCGGCTTCCACCTCGTCATGTTCTTCTTCTACCTCTACAGCATGATTGTCGCCCTCATCCGCGACGAGTCGCACTAAACTGCCGCTGCCGAACCACCCCAATAATCATCCCTCCAACCTCAAGTTCGCTGCCGCTGCAATATGCTGCATTCAAGTCCTGTAGCCGTACGCGCGCACGCTTGAGCTCTCTGGCTGGCTGGTATAGGATGAAGACGAGAGATGTTCATGTCACAAAACGGCGCACATATGGGTCGCTTTTCTTTTTACACTTCACGCTGACGAAGCATGAGTTTGCGAATCGAGGCGCAAGGATGACGATACTCCTTGTTCCCTTGCTTTCTTCTACAGGAAGCGCTGGAAAGGGTATGACTGATGCAGGGAGAGACGGCGAGCGCTTTGCTTTACGGTGGCGCAGTAGCTTGCCTTGTCATGATGCAAAGATACCTCCGATATGATCATATAGACCTTTTGTTCAAAACTTTTCTTACAAGCCTCTTTTCCGAGTTAATTGGAGAAACACGTATCTGGATGGCCAATCTACTTTCCAAAGGAAATGGTCGTGTGACTTGATGATTAATGTTGATGCCTGGACCGAATACTTCTCTGAAGCATCTTGGTGCCGTGATGGACGCGGTCTAAACAAGCATAACCAAAACGTATGTGACAACTGGTCTGAAGATGCTCAGATACTTGTGGCCATGTTTTCGCTCCAGGCCTCGAGAGTGCTCCCCAGACTCGGGCCGATCCAGGCCAAGCTTCAACCACATGCTCCAACCTCACTTCCTGTTTTGCCCTCTCTTTGATCATTTATCTTTTCGGCTTTATTGTTCGATACCCTGGATCGCTCACTGCAATATGAAAGTCTTGAAGAACGGTGGCCTGGTCATCGGTTGGCGGACTTGTTTACAACATTGCCCTTATCCATGCATGACCTGCCTCGAAGCCAAACCTCTTCCTGAGGAGATGTGGATCTCATGTTCCAAATGTAAGCGACAGAGTCGTGACAGTTCTCTGCATGCTGTCGTATTGGCGTTAGAACGAAGGTAAGGTTTCTCGTCATGCCTGCTGGGCATGGCTCTGGCCCGAAAGACGTGCTCAACGAGGACTCGCATGTCCTGAATTGTTCGAACTCTGGATCCTCTCCTGTTTCCTTCTCTTTTGCTTTGTCTCTTGCAGTCTCCAAGTCACGAAAGAGCTTGGGACTCGTGGTGTCGAATTCAGTTGGGGTTGCTTGCTTCGGGTCGGCGTACGTGGGCGTAAGTCGCTCTGTGTGAGAAGTGGTCCTGCTGGAAGTATGCTGTTGGGCTGCATGATCTCAGACCGTCTGTTCATGCCTCGATGGCACAGCAGAGAGGTTATGTTGAGGCTGTGGCTTGAGACTGGCGGATGGCGAGGGCACTCCTTGTGCAGATGAAAGGTCAGTGCCGACAGAGGGTGCTGGATCGTCTGGAGCCTCTTCGGAGGTCTGTCGTCAGTTCTGAAGGTGAGTTGTCTCAGTGCAGGGGCGCCGGCGGCTGGGCGATGGGTGCGTCTGCCATCGGCGGCTGGGTAATCATGCGCCGGACTCTTGGACGATAGCGAAGGTCTCGTTCTCAATCTTGGGTAACGGTGGAGCTGTATATGTCAGTTTGTGGTATGCGCGAAGTAGTGTAAACAGATTGTCGCTGTGTAAGAGCCGCTTGGACGCGGCGCAAGCTTGCGAGCACAACCAGACGCACTGTCGTAGGCATGAAGACAGTAGAGTAGGCATAGGTAAAGCCCTTCTCGCACATACAGAACGGTGCTATCATACTCTCGCCGTTGCTCACATGTCTTCCGCGCAGCAGCAGAGGTGTTGTTGCGCATGCCACTGCCGCCATCCAGCCGCATGCATCTTCCACGCTCAGAGCTCTATACCACAACATATCAGGAAACGAGTGCAGGACGTTAAGGAGGCATTATAGACATATGATTAGCCTTAGGAAACACTACGGATGCTATATAGATGGGAGATATGTGACCAATTGATGTCATCTTCTGCCAATGAGTAGGATGTCAAAGGTCAACTTCCGCGCGAAGAAAGATGCCGCTCGCTTCACTTTTTTGGTGACTGCCTATATAAAGCCTCCTCTTCTCCGCCATCCACCAGCTTTCCTCCTTTCTTCCTTCCACTCTTCAAAAATCATCTCATCTTCTTCAGATGTCTTCTTCCATCATTGGTCTTCCTTCTTCATCATTGTTGATCATCATCACCATCCATCATCATCATCGTTAGTCATTGGCATTACTCTTCCACTGCGCACTCCATCTTCCACTGCGCACTCCATCTTCCACTGCGCACTCCATCTTCCACTGCGC